TATTCACTAGGTAAAAGAGTGCCGCTTACAGGAGGCTATGAATCACTTTGCGTCTGCTGGGTTCAATCTATACTCGGCCGATCCAAGTCCCTTTACAACTCGTCCAACATCACCATCACTTTCGCCTGGAAGTGACGACAGGTCTTCCATTCACGATTTTACATCCGCTCCTTCCCACAGCCCAAAAACGGTCCTCACGCGGTCTCGGAGTGGTACTGACACATCGGCACTTTCGCAACCCCGTCAAGATATTTCAAAGGAATCACTTTCTCCGAAGTCGACATCACCCCGTAGCAAAGCGCATTCACCAACCTCAGGTGAGGTTCGCATACTCCACCCCGACCTTGCTTGCGTTGGGTGGTCCGACGAATTAGCTGTAGACAGTTGGGGTCTCAAAATCATAAAACTAGTTGCCTTTCCAGATCTGATACCCCTCTCACCTCAGCGGCCCTCTTCTCCTCTGCCTTTTAGCCCCCCGCCCTTGGATCCATTCGCACCTGTATCTGTAAGCGACGGCGGACTTGCTTCTTCAAGCTCATCGTCTTCGGACAGTGAAGACGATGGCTACTTCTCGCACTCTCCTCAAAATGTTTCTGTCACCTCACTCGATTCGTTAGCCTCCCGCTCCTACACCGATTTACCCAGCTTGATATCCCCATCACCCCTCAAACCCCCATCCAAGCATCCCCTATCGCCTGAGACACCATTATCTCCCAGAAAAGCAACGCGCTCTCACGCGCACGCACCGACACCCCCAATCAGGAACGAGGTACTATTTTTTAGCTTTACCAGAACACAAGAGGGATCCTCGCTCACCGCCGACGTTCACATCCTCGCCACTTTGTTCCCGCCTAACGAAAGACATATGGTTATGTGCAGCGGTGAATTAGACGCGGCAGATGCGGATTCGTCGGACGACGATGAGGATTGCGATACACCTTCTCCCCGAAAATGCCTTCAACTTGACCTTCGACGTTTTGGACTCAGTAAGCCCAATGATTAGCTTATCTCCTTCGGTTGGCTAATAATAATAAATTAGACAAGCACGGTCTCGTGAATCACTTCTCGCGAGTTTTAGAGGAAAACGGCATAAACCACATGTATAGCTCCACGTTCAAAACTGCCAATTTACTAGTAAATCTCATTCTTCCGCCTACTGCGTACACACTTTGACTGTCTTCAGGTTGATAAAAAGCACGCGCTCCGTGCTCAAAGTCTCCTCCGCGTATGCTGAGGAACAAAAGTTTTATATGTACCATATCATCTGATCGTTTTTCTTGATTTCAATTCCGCTCATTTCGTTCACATCCCTTAGTTAGTGTCCAATCTGCCTAGCGTTGGAGACTTATCATGTTTTGGAAATTCACAGTCCCTGAATTTTTCTAGTTACCCCATACTTCATCGCTGCGGCCTTTACATTTGGACATCCCCCACACTCTCTTTCCATGATTTCATGGTTCTCATCTACCCTGTCATCGCATCCTCTTACATTTATTTATGCATCACTCATCTTTGCACGCTTTGTAATTATATGCACCAATTCTTTCCAATTCTCTGTAGTCTATCATTTTTTCGTATCTTTTCATTCCACAAGCGCAGCATAAAGATATTTGTTATCGGATACAAGTACAGAGAGTAGAATAGAGTTGATTGGGATTATGCAAAAATAATCGTAAGAATACTAACGCGATGGTAGAACTGACGTTATGTTGCAGGGTATGCAAAGGTATATGCTGTGGAAGATGATGAGATGCAGAGGATGATTGATGGTGAAGGTGGATATTAAATGTCCGAGGACGAGCGAGATGAAGGGAAGATATCGATTAGTTGATGTTCATAGATTGAGTACGTGTGGCAATATTTTGATACCAATCGTCAAAGGGGGGCAAGCTGTCTTCCTCGTCATCGTCGTCGCAAAGGAAAAACTTCGGAGGTTCCACTCGAGTCAGACATTCTGAATCTAGATCGTTTTCGTTGGAATCATCCATCATCTCCTCGGGTCTTTGGATATAGAAGAAGTCGCTCTGATCGCATAGTGGGGTCTCGGGGAAAGGGGTGCCAGGTGGAGAGGAGCTCTCCGATAGATCTACCTCGTTTTCGCAATTCGAATCTGAAGTTTCGCAAGGTGATTGCGGCAGATTGATATAGTCAACTACTCCGAATCGTGAAGGAACGACAAGATATCGGCCAAAACCTCCGTCTTGAGGACTATTTGTAGCATTTCCCCAGGTAACCCAGAAGTCTTGAGGAGGAGGGGCGTTGATCATGATGTGAGGGATGGTAAATGGACTAAGAGAGTCGATGATAAGCACTCCACGATGATGAAAATTGTGCCGAAGAAGAGGCTATGATTGGTCCCATTAGGGCGAGTCGATACAAAAGGGAACAAACATACCTCTGCAGGATCAACCCATTCAAACGGCTTCTCGATGGAGGAAAGAAATTCGGGATTGTCATATCTTTGTCGGAATGCATCTGCTACACGACTCGCACCGAAAGCCTTGAAGAAGGTTGAGTCAGACTGGGATAAGGTGGTACTCATCACATCCTTACCGCAGCTTTAAACTGATTCTTTTGCAGGGCCCGTCTAAGATGAAAGGCGAGGCGTGCTTTACTCGTGGTTTTGATCTATGTCTTGATTAGATTCCGAGAGAATGGAAACGCCAAAAAACGCACCATTCTATCAAACCACGACGTATGTAAGGAGAGCTGCAGGGATGGGCGTTGATTTGGTGATTCGACAGAGCATGCTTTCGATGAAATCACTGCATTGTTCAGGGGAAATAAACGCGTCGTCGATACGACAGGTGGTGGAACTGTGAGGCAGCCTAACCACTGGGGATTAACACGGTTCCCCCAATGGATATAGTAGTCCTCTACGGTTTCCTCCACGGGAGTGATGACGATGTGGGGCGCGCCTGGGTGGGTTGAGTCGAGAATGAGATTGTTCCGAATGCTGTAATACTCTCGAAGATCATTCTGAAGAAAAGACTAGGTGATCAGTTATCATTCAGGCCTTGACGCGTTGTTGGTACACTCACATTACGTTGTTCGTAATTGTCTGTTCCGTTGGTGCCACTGGTGACGATTGAAGCAGAGACACTGCAGAGCTGCAACAAAGGGATTGAGAATATCTCAAGTGCGAGAGAAAGAAGATGCTCACCATATCATGGAGGGAACGAGAGCCGTTCTCTCGTTCGTCGTCACCCTCGGTTTCTTCACATAAACGCCACACGGGGGCGGACCGTGGCAGGCATGATGTAGTATCGACGTCCTTTGGCGGCCGCTGTATACCAGAGAAGCTGGAATCGGTGATACCGCGACAGACTTCAGCGATACGCGTGATTCCGTCCTGTTGGAACAGAGAGGGTTCAACCTAGGCGACGTGAATCTCTGAACCGAAAACCAGACTGGATCATAACGCACCGCGTCTCGTCCATCTGCTCCTAAACTTCCCTCATCTTCGCGTGTCTGTAGTAATACATCTTGGACGTCGTGTGGTAATTTCGGTTGCGTTGGTAGAGAGATTGCAAACTCGGAAAGGGTTTGGCGCGCACACGTGATTGGTGGCATGGTTTCGTTTCGAGAATAAGGGACGCGTTCCTATTAACAGCTATTACTTAACCTGCGCTCCGTGGTGTGCTGGGGGTGGGGACTTGTGTTCCCGTACGCGGCGCAGAAATTGGAGCTGAAGTGTGTAAGGCGTTGCTCGCCGTCGTCGTCTGAGTCGTACTCTTGTTTAGAACAAAAGATAAGTTGTGGGCTTGGTGTGGGCGGGCGCTCGTAGACGTTCTGTTCCCCTAAGTTGGGGATTGCGGAGGCTCACGGTTGGAAGGCTGAACACTTTCACAGATTGAAATGAATAGGAGATGGAAGTGGTATGAATCCAAGTCGCAAAACGCGTTCTGTCCTAAGTGGACAATGGCCATGTTGCATTTCACAGCTTTGTGGCCAGTGGCCAGCCTAGTGACTCGTTGTTCGAAAGTGCCGGATTATCCATTGTGCTCGCATGCCCAGATCTCCTTTCTGCCCAATCATGCGCAATAACAAAAGGCTTTTCGGTTTCATCTCCTTGTACCGTGCATAACAACCTTTGTTGAGGAAGACGCGCATTTCAATTGTGATTGGGTTATCAATGTATGAACGAATAATAAAACTACTAGAAACGTTTAGTCCTCCTTAGAGCCTCTACCTCGCCTTTCAGACGTTTTGGTAAAATTCGACATTGCATAGTCAGCTCCGGAAAGCTGGAAAAGAGATAAAGGCGGGAGACCTGAATACAAAGGTGTTGCTCTACTCACCCACTGCGCGAAATTTCTCAAGAAACTTGGCAAATGGTCGATGTATGGGGTGAAGTTGGCGAAAAAAGGTAAGAAGATAGTTTGCGAATGCTGTTCGTCAAGAGCAGCGATGATTCGTTTCACGACTGCGACAGGTTGCACCGATGGGAAGAAAAAATTCCAAATGGAGGAGGAGGGAAAAGTGACCGTTTCAAACATGGATGTATTGATGTGAGCCGGGCAAACAAGGGTGGTGCGAATTTTTGGGCATCGGTAGCTGATTGCCAAGGAGTCAGAGTAGGCGGACGTGGTATAGCTTACAGACGCACCGATTGTCCAGCTCCCACCGTAAAGTGCGGTTCAAGGAAATGGCTGCAGCTTTGGAAGCATTGTAATCCGCTATTGAATTAAATGTCAGTAGGTCATAGATCGAGACTGAAATTGTTCATACACATTTGGGCGCATCCAGTGAAACCTAGTACGGACGATAGTGTGACCTTTGGACGGCGCTATATTTGTAGAGGTAAATTGGAATAATCAGGAAAGACCTACAATGTGCCCGGACTTCTTTTCAAGTAAACCAGGAAGGAATGCTTTGAGTATCCAAAAATGAGAAAGGGTATTAACACCAAACGTCCTGTCCAAGATGAGATATGGAAATCTAAGAAGAACCAACGTACTGTTCGATATCCTCAGGTGCTAGATCTAAAATAAGCTTTCCCTGAACAACGCCGGCGTTGTTTATGAGAATCGTCGGTTGACCGATCTAGCAAGGAGTAAAACCAGCTGAATGCTGTACCCGTTCGACTTACCTCGTCAACGACTTTTTTCGCTACTGCCTCAACTTCCTCCCACTTCGATACATCGCATTTATAGTAAGTAATATTATCTAGAGAATGATGAGTGGCGAATGAGAACACCAGGCCGTGGACTCACAATTCTCAGTTATAATTGGTTTTACGTCGAGAACCACAACGGAGACGTTCCTGACCGCTAGGGTATTCGCTAACAATTCTCCAACACCAGATGATCCTGTATAAGGTTAGAAGTGTCACAGCGCAGACAATTCCCAACTCCCACCTCCCGTTATAACCACTATCTGCTCTCCCCAGTCGAGGGCTCCGGGCCCAAAGAGCAGACTGCCCTGGTTGCGATACAGTCTTGAATACCATTTGACAAACCCTGGTTGCGGTCAGCATGATTATAGTGAACGGATGGTGAGCAACTCACAAAAGACTGATATGGCTACGTAATATGCAGAACTTAGGAGGACTACTGGATGGGTAACCTTCAAACCCTGGAAAACATAGAAAAGGGGGATAAAGAATACGAAGAAAGGACCTAGGGCAGAAGGTTAATAGAATTTGAAAGCTGGGCGCAGTTTAGCTCACTGAAAGCGGTGTTGGCCAGCACCTTAACAAAGAGGTCGACATCCAGGTTGTCAAAAACTGGTGAAGCTTCGTCTCGTCGATCCTCAGCCTGCATGTGAAAACTGGAACGAGGAGTCCTTCTTGGAACTCAATTGACAAGGACTATCACTGCTCGCACCAAAGTATGTAGTGGACTAGATGAGATGAAGGTTACAATTGTAGTCTGATGAAGGACACAAGGATTCGGAAGGACATCTTCCTGATGAGCCTGGGAAAGCCTAATTATAAAGGCATGCCCCTGTGAAGGTAAGTTGTGCACAGGTTGCGTCACACCAACACAATATCACATCCCTGTTCTCAGTCACTCCGGAAGAAGGCTTGAGTCGTGGGCAACATAAGCGAGGCTTCCCTTCAAGCCCTGTCAGCGAGGAGCAGTACTCTCGGGCTTGCTTCTGGTATCGACATAAAAACTGGTGACTGTATATCTGGCCAACAGACGATTGGCTCAAAGAAAACGGTTCGAAGTGACTGTAGTCCCGCAACAGGTCTCAACACATTCCTAGGATTGAAACGCCAAACTTGCGTAGTACCACAAACCGTGGTTATGACCACCTTTCTCCGACACACTACGCTGGTTTGCAGAGCACAAGTCTGATGTGGCTATTTTCTCTTACTCCGGGCTTTCTGAGTGACTATCAATTATTGCTGGGTGCAGATGATCACATTAAGTTTATTACACTTCGACGACTGATTCCATAGCGAATGGGTGATACCTCACAAGCCGTTTGAAGATGTTATCGCGCAAGGAGTCTGGTCCCTTTCAACTGATGTCGAAATTTCAGCAAGGCCACAACGGGAAGATTGCGCGGCGGACTATACGGAGGCAGACAACACTTCGTTCTTGTCTTCCGTGTTAGATACGCGGCAACTAGGACACTTCCGTTTGAATCTTCGCCCTCGGAACCTTGGTATGTCGTACGAAGACCGCTTTCTCCGGCTGAAGAGACTCGGATTTATGAAAACATGGTATTACTGGCTCAACAGTGTCCATTTTTGCAAGGGATAGCAATTGCATTACCACGGGAGGACTTTGCTTTTTGAAACCCGCTGCGATGGTCCCACTTCTCTGGTGATTTGTATCTGCATCTGGCGCACATCTGATATTCAGTATCAGGTCAGCTATCGTAAAACCTTGCGGTTGCTCTTCTTGATTATGGAAGCCCATTCTTCTGTGATCGTGAGGAGCCCAGAAGGCCCTTTTTTTTCAACGCGGGTGTCATTCACATTCGAGAAGCTGGTACGTCTAGTAAATTTTATTCCGGACCGATTTGCAATCAAATATGAGATGGAACTAACATAAACTCAAGGTCCGATTGTTCTAAAAGGTAAGATAATTGATTGAACTTTTGATGGTGGCCAGCTATATATTTGATCGTTTATTGGCCCCAGGGTATGCAGAGCTCAAAGTGCCAGACAATGAGAGTAGTCGCTGACTATAAAGTGAAGAGCTGATCTCTGACTTGAGCAGGACAGCGTAACAATTCGGCGGCGCCAGAAGGTAGCCGCTGGTTTTAGAAAAAAAAATCAAACTTGTACATTGGCTCTGCAAGTAACGAGAGGATGAATAATTTCTCGGATCCACGACAAGGAATTTTGCTTACGGCGCGTTTCCGACGACGTTTCCGGCAGGGTTGTACAAGCAAACGTAGAGGGTTGCTTTTCCAAGCGACCTATCGAATATACCATCGCATTTGGAGACGGCGCACCCAAGTTGTGTGGTGGATTTCCAGACGACTTGAGTAAAATGGGTGTATGTTGGGTTTGCTGGGTTATAATCCGCTGATTTCGACTGTTTAGTTAAGAAGAAGTTAGCAAGATACAATTTCATACCAGCATCCTGCACAAAGGTGCCCATGGCGGCGGGGATGGAGAAATCTCCTGTCGCCGCCACTATATTTTCGCCATACGGTTTGTTGCTTAAAAGGCCATTGGAGTGCCTAAATTGGCACGTATTTGCCCATATCGCCGCTTTCAGCGCAAGCTCGCCGGACCAAGTGAGGGCTGGAGCATTGTGGGCAGCGCGGACAGTGTTGTGTCCAGCGAGAAAAGCGGCGATGTCCGCAGAGTCGGACACTAAACCCCTAGCAAGTGCGTTGTGCTTGGTGAATTGTGGTCGAGGCGCGGCAGACGCAAAAAAGTGGGGAAGGAAGCCGAATGAAATAAAGACATAAAAGAGAGTGACGAGGAACATATGGAGCAGAAAAGAGCGACAGGGGGCGAGCGTAAGCAAGCCTACAAGTACAGGACACAACGATAGTTTGAAGAGACAAGATGGGATGATCTCATGCTCGAATCAACGTGGATGGTGTTGCACATGATCACCATCAGCTTCCCGCCAAGCATTAGAAACCGTCACCTTGGGGACTAGAATTTGACAAGCACATGATGACGATTTTTGGCCTGCGGATTCAAGAAGTATATCATCACAGGGACAAGGAGTCACATTGACGAAGTCTCCTGAAGGGTGAGATCAAGTCTGTGCAAATTCAAGAAATTTCTCCCTTAGACGGAATAAGGGCATCGAAGAACATGTCTGAGGCCTCAAACTTGACGCGTTGAAACGAGTTGGGAGTTCACATCTCTATAACTCACCGAGGTAAGAAAAAAGGAGTCTAAGTTATATTTAAACAGGTCGAATATTGTATTCGTTTTTGAAGGTATCCAGATCTTTTTCTTTCGTCTTGTATTGCTCCGTTAAACTAGCGACGACTTTCCGAATCTGCGGGGAACAAGGTTAGCTATCAAGAAGGGCAACAGTGAAAGTGACTACTCGCCCCATCACGATTCGTCTGAAGGGCAGGGACGACATCCTTCACTGTACGCTCAACGAGAACCCCACCGATGAGGCGAAAACATTTGCGATCTGGTTCGTGCACAAGTGCCTCATCAAGTGTGGTGAGAACGAGCCTGCGGACCCGAAAACGAGGGTCAGCCACTCAATAGCGGGGGGGATGAAGTACTTACTCGTGTTCATCTGTTTCCTGTTCTAGCTCTCCAATTTTTCCTGCCAGGCCTTGCAGCTCATTCTGCATTCGAATGTAATTTTGCTGAATTTCTGGCTGATGCGGTTCAGCCTTGGAACAAAGGAGAGCAACTGAATGCTTACCCTGGTCAGAAAGCACCGGGGCCTTCGATTTGGATTTCGTTGTTGACGACATTGTAGATCACTGTAAGATTATGGGTATGTTTGAGTTAGAGATTCTGATAATGCGATTGGCTGGCGACGTGTGACAGGCGTGATCCTTACTTTTCCGTAATCTCACTGTTGCTGGCATCGTTGACGCTGCTGCTCTCATGTCGCTCTCTAGAACTCGGCCCTTTGTAGGCCTGCAACCCCGTATATTTGCGTCATTACCACCAACTTCGGCTCGCTCTGCTCTTGTCACTCGTCGCCTTCTCTCCAGCTCAACTTGTTCGCGTTCGCAATTCACCTCTCCAGACAAAGAAAGCGGCCTGACTAGTGGAATTGCTTCTCGTGTTCACCATGCCGAGGAGCTGCCTCGCGAATTTGACAAACATGGCAACGAGATAAATCTATATGCGAATGGTCCTAGTGCGCTGGACAAAGCAGTTCATCTCTTTTTCTTCACCGAAATCATCCGGGGTACGCGCCAGGCGTTACACATAATAGCGATCGCCGAATTCATCATTTCATCTAGGAATGTGGATTGTGATGGAGAACTTCTTTCGACCGCCCTACACAATCATGTATCCGTTTGAAAAAGGTCCTCTATCTCCTCGATTTCGCGGCGAACATGCTCTGCGTCGATACCCGAGCGGCGAAGAGCGCTGTATCGGTGAGCATCCGTCCATGTCTCTTGAACCAGTCATCTCAACACTTCATTATAGCTTGCAAACTTTGTGAAGCTATTTGTCCTGCTCAAGCAATTACAATTGAGAGCGAGGCTCGGTTGGACGGGTCAAGGAAGACCACCAAATACGGTACGTAAAATTGTGAATTGACGGGATGTTGTATCTAACAAAGTTTAGATATCGATATGACCAAATGCATTTATTGCGGCTTTTGTCAGGAGGCATGTCCTGTTGACGCGATTGTGGAGAGTGGGTCCTTCTGTCTTTCTCCAAAAGTTTGCCAATGACAAGCAATCTTTAGCACAAAACCAGGAGTTTTCTACTGAGACTCGTGAAGAGTTGCTGTATAACAAGGAAAAGCTTTTAGCGAACGGTGATAGAGCTGAGTCTGAAATTGCAGCGAACTTGCATGGTGCGTGTTGTGTTCTTTTGTGATGAGAATATGCGTCTCAGGCTACCTTACTACAGCCGATCACGTTTATCGGTGACCCATATTCAATTTATGGATTTTGGGAACCCTGCAAAATAGAGTGACACTACAAGTAGACTGTAACGTCGCAGATCCTTGTTTACACGTTGTTCATTTTCTATCACTTGCAGCGTCCTCAATCCTGGGGTAGTCGCTGATGAATTGAATACTGTAGTGGACGGTATGGCGGCAGATCAACGCGCAACGGAGGCGAGTTCAAGTAAACTCTGGCATGTACTTACCTTCGCACAAGTGTTACAACCCATTTTGTCAAACAGCACCAAATGCCAGAGAAAAGGCGGAATTTTTTGTTTCATGGTGTATCGTCTCGATAAACAGTCGAATCTTATTTAGAATGCGCATGAGCACTCGAATCCAGCACAATGCCTGGCTTTGTACATGTTTGCCAGTGGCTTTGATTTCACCTCTCAACCACTTTAAACAGCTTTACTCAAGCAGACTCAAGCCTTGGGCGTCTCACACGAATTGGTTGGTGGGAATACCAAGCAGGGAAACGACGGCAAACTGGTCCGATTTAATGGTTGAAACTTCTACAACTAGATATGACAGCAGTCAAAAGAAATGTCATTGTTCTCCTATTTCAACAATGGCTATACCACCTGTCGCACGGATGCACACCGCGGACACGACCATTTATGACAGGACGTGAGATTGGTGAGCGGTGGCGGTTACATAGTAATATTGTCATGACTTCGCTTGCCATTGACCCGTTTCTTCCATCTGTGCGCAGCGAACCATTAGGCGCGGGACCGCCTTATGGTTTTCCTTTTCGAGGGAAGAATTACCTTACAGCATGCATATATGACTTACATTATTTTGACAGGGCACGAAATGACAGCGGGTCAGTCATCAAGTTGCAGTCCTAATTCTTTGACTGTGGGCATCACTTTTAATAACGTATGGTTCTGCTGTTGTTCAAATCGGGAACCCACCGAGCCAGGCTCAACTACTTACTTTCTAGTTTGACGGTAAGAACGTCACCAATCCATATCTCGAACGTGTTGTGGACACCAATACGATTGACATTTCCGTGGCTGTAAAATTCAGTATTCGAAGAATCGACTCACGTGGCCCAAAAATCCTCGCGCTTTCTAACAGCATTCTAAAACTTTAAAGGTATTCTATTAAGATAACGAACCAAGCCAGGATTCGCCTCATCCCCGCTGAATGCTTGGGGACTCTATATCATCCGTACTCATTTGACGGTTTGGTCCGAGTCCGCGCGTTATAAAAAAAACATCCAACTGATCCATTACCCGAATCCTTCAACATTGTTACGGATGGAAAAAAGTATACTACCCCTCTTGGAACAGTCATAGGGTCAACTCACCTATCGCGCAACTCCGCCATTGCCTCGGTGTCCACAACGCCGCTGATTTTCACGGGCATTTTGGAGCGCTCAACCATGCTTTGGTCAGCTGCATTAAATGGGAAGAGCGGCTGACGTCAATTCCCGTTTGGGGCGGGGCCTTCTACGCCATGATTAACCAATGGCCATTAGTTTATCGGGATGGTGATGTTTGTGGCTATCGGGAACATATGATAGGAGGGAAAAGTATACCTTCTCTTGGTATTCTTGAACCAATTCGTCAACATGGTTCCGCCCGTTAGGCGCTTCATTACAGGGGTTCGGAACGCTTCGTTTCCGTCTCTCGGAAAACAAGCGCATTAGGGTGACGCTTTGTCCGACTCGCACATATTCCGAAGGACTATCTTCTCACCATAGAGATGGTTCGCCATCTTATTTGCGCTTCTTGAGTCAAAGAGTGAATTGGCAGTCAGCAGACCGCAGCAATCGATGATCGCCTTGCTCTATTTATGATGTTCGGCTTTGACATACCAAGCCGACTTTACCAACAGATACACTACCTGTACACAGCAATCCAACATACAACACGATATCTCTGAGAAGCAGATAGCAAATTAACATTCTCGAGAGCTTGAGAGGGGAAATACCACAAAAAGGTTTACGAGGTCATCCGGTTATCTTCATGATTGTCATCACTCCGGTGTTGATGATGACGTTCTCGATGATGTCGTTTCACTGAACCCCTATCCTCTTGTAACCTCCCAGTAGAATACAGAGAATCTCCGTGAGGTCCTTCTGCGTCATTGTCACTGACGACATCCATGTCGTTCCGGCTTCTCTTCCTACCATCCATTAGAGTGCGGCTCTGTTCTGCCAGCGCGAAATTGCCACTGCCGCCACCCATACCACCGCCAGTCCGATGGTCGCGAGAGTAAGATCTTCCGTCTTCATGCACAAAATCTATATCTTCGTTCGTGACCGGACGAAGTCTATATGAAGAAGACCGTGAATGATCGCGTTCATAGAATTGGCTGCGTGAATCTGAGCGGGGTGGATCTTCGCCTGCGCCAACTGCAGAACCAGAGGCTGAATCCGAACCAGGTGACCCAGAACGGGAGGGGTGAGTGTACCCAGTGGGAAGCGGGCCATCGGCATAGTATGCTTGTTCTTCGCGGCTGCGTGAGGACACCTTATAGTCTGTTCTGTCAATCAATTGTCGGGACCGGGATGCCGAGTGTGTATCAATTTCTCTGCCACGACCTGAGTCGTGACGGTCCCGTTCGCGCTCACGTTCCCATTCACGATCTCTCTCCAGATCGCGGTGCCGTTCTTGAAGATCGTCCCTGCTGCTGTTAATGAAGGTAGCATGCCCCACGCGGTGTTGAGGTTGAATGTAACTAGATGACCTGATGTCGGAACGGGGCGACATTTGTGCCAGTGGTGCTTGATGATGGACATGACGAGGATCATCATGGGAAGCGGAGAGGTCGTTAAAATCATGACGTCTTGATCTCTCTCTCTCGATGGAGGCGGGGCTATGCAAAACTTGTTGAGCCGGTATTAAGCTTTCGGGGTACTGGGTAGGGTGGCTGGACCCCCCATGATAAGATTGCGCGGGTAGCTGGTGGGAACGAGACCGGGAAGAAGAATGTGATCGGGTGCGCGAATGAGACGAGCTTGCGTGAGGGTGGTGCAAAGGAGGACTGGCATGGGAATTGGAATGCGAATGCGAATGGGCACGACTGCTTTCGTATCGTTGCGCTGGTGGCAACTGTCCCATCTGTGGAAGGTGGTGACGGCTACCATCGTGCCCTGCGGAGGAACGCCTAGGAGAATGAACCGCTGACATGTGTGACAGTGCCATCCCGGGGCCAGCATGTAAATCTGTTACGGGCCCAAGGCGGCCATCTGTTCCAGTGTTGACTCTGTCACCCGAAGAGCGAATATAGTCTTTGAGTGGTTGATCGGTTTCCATAGAAGGATGATCACGACTGTCATGGCGGTGATGAGTGGCCGAGACAGGACGGGGTGGGGGCAAGCTTTGTGCCAAGTGGGACTGTGCTCCACGTTCCTGGACGGCTGGGAAGGGTGGAACGATAGAAAGACGTTCATACAAAATACTGTGATGAAGGTTGAAAAAAAACGAAGAGAGAAAAGTCGAAGGCGAAACCCACGCTCGTTCCATTTTCATTCTCTGAATGCTCACTCGAGCATTCATGACTTTGATGTGGAGTTTGTCATTATCCTGTTTTAGCCAGGTGTGTACGCGTCGGTGGTAGAAGAAAGAGAGTAACGTACTGATTCGATGTCTTTTACTTTTCGTTTGAGCTCCTTGTATTTTGCCTGATAGATTACATCGTCGGCGCCTGCAGCAGAGCCAACAGCAAAGGGCTTTTGTTTCTGTCTAAGAGCGGACAAGGGCTGTGCAGCGGGGTTGGACGGGGCAGGGGAAGGATGGCGGGACATGATGGGCGGAGAAAGGAGGCCCTTAACCCAGCCGTGAGTACTTGTTGGCAGAGTATATCGGGTCACGAATTCCGTTGGTGTTTTCGTTCAACCCGCCAAAAACACATCCTTTCATACATTTCCTATTCTGGACACCATCAGGAACAACCAACATCACCCACGTATACTACTACGACAGAGTTTCAACGGGAATATCAACAAATTTCTACTGAAATTCTACCGAAATACCATACTTCAATCAACTTTCCAAGTATCCAGCGCTCCCATCGGTAGCGGTTGAGAATCTATATCGTCGCCAAGAATATTACCACGTGACACGTACCCGTCTTCTTTGTCCCTCCGTCACACCTTCAACATCATATACGAGTGCGTTGACCCACACTGCACACGCATCAACACTAATGCACACTCTTTTACAGTGTCGGTTCCCTATAGACAGTACGCAAAATGATAATTGCTGGGCAAACAACTGTTGACAAGCCGTACTTAGAGACATGCCCCCGACAGGGGGCTTCGAGAGCCTCAAGTACAAACGAAATCTTCCTTACAAAGGCCCAGGCGCATACGTTCTTCTTGGAGGCGTGACCGCCATCTGCGCCTATGGTTTTTATCGACTTGGAAAGGGTAATCTGGAGCGAAGGTATGTCATCTCTTCCTATTGTTTCCGAGCTGGTCTGTTGTGGGAGGGTCAGCTGAACGTCGCGCGTGTCATCGCATATCCCGCTCAACGCTAAACGTGGCCTTTGGATCCGGCCGCCACTCCTTATCAAATTTTATGGCCTTGGCTCAAACGAGAAATTGAGCTGATTCGTCGTTTTTACAGGGAACTTCAACGAGAGAAAGTATGGTCGCGAATTCACCTCGTCCCGCTGTTCTTGGCGGAGGGAGATCGTGACATGTACCGGCGACAACAGGCAGCTATCGCTCGAGAGAAGGAGATTATGAAGGATGTTCCTGGCTGGGAGGTGTGTATTTTCCCCTGTTCATAGAACTCATGATCACTCATGATTTGCGATAATGATTATCTTTCGGGTCCGTTCCTTGTTACCGGTCAGGCTGGTAAAAGTGTGTACAACAGCTCCAAGTACCGTTCACCGGAAATTGTTATACTGTAGATACAAAAGTAACATTCATCGGTCCATACATGAATTGGGACATTGATGACAATGGGAACCATTGAACGGGATTGAACCTTCTTAATTCAGGTGTTTGCGTATGTTGTCAAGTGTAGCATGGCAAGCTGTTTTGTGAACTGCTCCAAGTTGGCTCGAAGCTGTTCGTAAGTGGACGAGTCAAGAATGGTAATCTCCCGCATATCGAACCGATGCCGATTTCTACTTAAAGTTGATCGACGGTGGATGACATCTGGTTCCCGATTTCGCGTAACAGAAAGTACTTTTAAACTGCGCGACCGACAAAACCCCTTCTTCGCCTCTTCAATGCCCTCCCCATCCATTATCCCTCGTTATTTCTCTCCGACTCGTGATTCCTCTTCCTTTGACCACTATTCCTCCCCAGATTCAGATCAGATGATCTTTGGTCCAATCGACCTGGAGGATGTTCCGCCCTACCAACAATGGGACCCGTACACAGATCTCGACGCAGACCCAAAGCCCGCCTATAATTTCACTCCCATAATCCCTATGACAAACTACGAGTATGGCCCTCAACTTTCACCAACAGACAGTCATTCTAGTAGTTTCTACAGCACTGATGGTATCAAGTCACCCGAGGATAGTAGTCTTTATCTTTCCCACTGGATTAATGATCCAGAACTCCCACCATCGTCTCCCATTCCAATCCCTTCCCCATCCGACACCCAACCATCTTCTTCGTCTTCATTTGTCGCTTACGGCGAGCACGTTCATTTCTCAGCTGATGGAACGTTTTCTCCAGCATCCTTTGCTGCTTTGCATCCCCTACCGGGATCTATGTCTCCCTCCTCTTCTTTTGAGGATCTCCGGCCGAGTCGAAACATTGTAGATTCGGTTTCTCCTAGAGATACAGCCCTCCATACACCGTCTTGGGCTTCACAGCTCTGGGAATCAGTTCCCAGCTCTCTCCGTTCTCCCTCTCACGTTCGCCCTTCAGTCCGTCACTCTCCCATGACCGACGGCACGACAGTACGCCAACGTACTATTTCTTTACGTCGAGGCTCTCTTTCAGCAGGGCAAATATTTCAATCCTCCAGCGCACCAGCCATGACTGACCCTCATGCATCGAGTATGAATCGATCATACAGCCGCAGGTCAGAGTCAGCAAGCGTAGCTGATGATCGTGATGCAACTGTTCGGCGAAAGAAACGTTCACCGCCTACGGAGGATATTCCCGTCACCGAGAAACCGTCTGACAGCAGTGAGTTTTGCTGCGGGTTACTGATGATTACCCACCCTCCTAACCCATTTTTACACAGCCCTGAAGTCGGTTCTGCGTCCGCCAAAGCTGGCACCCTCCGCGTGGCAGCTATACTTCACCGATTGGATACAACGCCAGCAAGCCTCTGGGACACGCAAATTAAATGTTGCTCAGGCAGCCAAGGAGGCCGGGCAAGAATACGCGTGCCTCAGTGCCGCTGAGAAAGAGGTACGGAGAACCCTTATTCATCTAGATTACGTCATTCTCAAATGTTACAAAAATTAGCCCTATAAGCGGCGGTCACAGGCCGCGAAGGAGGCACGGGAGCGTGAGCTGAACGCTTACATGCGAACTCTTACCCCGGATGACATCAAGCGGGAGAACGCTTTCCGTGCTGCCCAGCGTAAGGCTGGGAAGTCACGCAAGAGTAATATCAAGGACCCCAACGCCCCCAAGAAACCCCTCAGTGCCTACTTCATGTTCCTGCAACGCATCCGTGCCAATCCCCAACTTGTTCGAGAAATTTTCGGGGAGGAAACAGAGACGACCAAACAAAGTGTTCTTGCGGCTGCGAAATGGCGGTCTATGACTGACGGAGAACGACAGGTACTCTATTTGTTTCAACAGCGGCAGGATGACTAACTTTGTCTTCAGCCGTTTTTGGCGCAGGCAGAGCAGGAGAAGATGGAGTATGAAGCCGCAAGGCGTTTATACGAGGAGGGAACAACTGGGTTCAATTCAAGTATCAATTTCAGCATCCTTCCTGGTAGCCCTGCTTTCCCGACCGTCAAGATAGAGTCGGAGAGCGACGAGAACGACGAACTGACGTGGTCTCACGGTGAACAGGACCCAAACCGGTGATCTTTCACCGTCTCACATTTTCTTACATGTTTCTGCTATGTTATCACGACCTGTCATGCCTTTCGTTTGCGAAGCTTTCTGCTTTCCCCTTTTTTTGTTTGAAGTATATTATACCTTTTTGACGGCGTTTACGCCTAGGACATATATACCTATGCTGTATTTCTAGATTTGCCGTTCAGTCCACTTTTTGTGATGATGAACGATATAATACATGACCACTCCTCTACCGTATTTTCCTCTTGTACATAGCTATAGTTATAGTGGTTCACTCGTTGAATATGTTACGATAATAACGACGTCATTACGGTTGTAACGGCATGCAAATAACCATTTTCTGGTGCGGATCACCATCCTCGTCGAATTCAGCACCCTAGGAGCAGATCCGAGATCTCGAACTCAATACACAACGAGGCAAAAGGCACTGAGCTTACCACTGGCTCGTATCCAAACCTAGGCACGAAACAAAGCGATCTGAGTTGACGTGTTTGTTGCACAATTACACGCATACCAAAACGTACTTCGCATAAAATCCTTTGACAGGTATTTGCGAGTGAGAGACTATCTTCACGGATTCAAGGGTGCCGTTTTGCCGAGTTTGGCCCTTGACCCAATCGTGGAGCGACAGGACGAGCTCACGCCCAAAGTGATGCCGGCGGTACTCTTTGAGCACTGCTAGTCGACTTAACTTGTAATAATCCGCGCCTGGGATTTTGTACGCGCGGATGGTGCCAATGGGCTCCAGGGACGGTGTAAGTCGAAGCAGAAAATGTGCAGATGCATCCTCCATGCTGTGAAATGGTTGTCAGGAGAGAGTACGGAGTAGGAGGAGGAAGCAACACAAGCTCATCAATCTCTGTTTCGAGAGGGAATTTTTGTTCGATGTGAAAGACTTTGATTCGCTAAGGGTACCGCGGGTCAATCGCGTACTTTGAGTTCGTCCACAGAAAACCTCTGACCACGTCGTAGCACTGCTGGCGTTCTTCCTCCCTTTGCACTAGAATAATTTCGTGGGATGGTACTTGAATAGCCGACATAGTTATTGCCTGTAAGTAATAAGTATGGTGTGCTGTTACCTTTGCTTGCAACTATTACTATTAGTGACCCATCACATGACGGCGTACTGCACGCCAAACTTTTTCGATTGACGGACATCCGCTACGGACCAACGGCACCACAGTCAACAAGACATCTTTCCTCTGCTGCAGGTGGACAGGTTATTTCTATGTATTGAATCAATTTCTAAAGTACTTATAGGTGCCCTGAGGATTCGTCAAGTGTTGATGAATTTATGGTTGAGCCATTTGCGGCTGTCCTCAATTCCTTTCGTCCTGGTCGCGCGACCGTGGCTGCTTCTCCCTCCTCGTTGGCAAGAGCATTCAATGGATACACGAATCACACGCGTCCCTCATTGGTAGTCAACTTCTTTACACCCAGCCCTCGCAGCGTAAAGGGGAAGGAGAAAGCCGCGAACTCTTTTGACGGTTCATATCCAGGTTCCGTGTTGCAGTGTCAACAGTGGTCCTTTTGCGTTTCCAGGCATTCAGTTAACTGCCCAGGTGAGTAGAATCAACAATATTTGTCGTGACTGACTGACTGATCATTCTTGCAGCTCGACACCAATTGCGAATGCTGGATGAGCTGTCCTCTACAAGGGCCCCTCGCCGAAAGACCAACCGGCTCCCGAACCTTCGCCGCAAACCGTTTCCAAAATGCTTCATTACAGACATCGGAGGACAAAGACGACATACGTCACAGGACTCTCAGGCTTCGCAATCGGACACAGAAACGCCGACGCCAGCCGAAATCCCTACTGAAGCCGCCAAAGAAGAGGCCATGATTCGCCTTCGGTGGTACGCTCACAAGGAGTCAGATCATTTTCCTGACCTTGAGGATGCTTGGAATGCCTACACAATCGCCTCGAACAGGGACACTTTGTCGTGCATGAAAGCTGATGATCTCTACGCTTTTTTGGAAAAGTTGATCACCAGTGTTGAAAGGCTGGCTAAAGGTGGCCTATCCTCAGATGAAATGGACGACTGGGCGTATCGAATACGAACTATTCTCGATCTTCCTACGCTTGAGGTTGAATCCATATCCCACCGATGTCTTGTCGTACGCTCATTGGCTTTGGGAGGTGATGTTGAAGAAGCAACATCCATCATAAAGATGGATCCCGAACTTCGTGACAAGCTCATTGGATACGAGGCTATCATTTCATCTATCTCTCGATACTCTGATCCCCTTCGCCTCTTTAAGTTCCTGTCGGAAAGCTGGTCTGTGATAGGTCCACCTCTAACATGGGCACCAAAGCCCACAGATCGCTCTCAACGTGCGGACATCACTCGGTCTCTATACGAAACAGTTGTGAAAGCTCTGTGTGCTGTGGATCAGCCAGCTCTTCTACTGGTCGAGTCAAAAACTTGGGAGAAATTTCATCGGCAACACATCGTCAACTTCGTGATCAAAGTGCTTTGCAAAAGCCAGCCTGAAACTGCCCTGATCGTGTTAAATGAAGCACAGCGACAAGGTATCAACACCCCAGCGACGGTGCAATTGCACCTTGTGCGCCAACTTGCTCTGAAGGATATCTTTGATCCTGCGATCAAACTCTTCGACTTATTCCCTTACGACCCATCTAATTCATTCTACCTGATGGTAGGACTTCAACTGTATTCGCGTCTCGGAGACGTCGCGTCTGCTGAACGCTATTTCCAAGAGCTTCAAGATGGTCATAGGGTTGCGGCATTTCATCAGGCCCTATTGCTTCATTCATACGCAAAGGCGCAGAAACACGAGGATCTTCGGGCCGCCTTTGACAGAATTTTTCCCTATGGTCCAGAGGGGAAACGCCTAAACGGACCCACACAGTTCCACTATGCTGCTGCAGTGGAAGGCTGCTCCAAAGATGATGATACTGATGGGATTCTCGAATGGTTGGAAGACATGGAAGTGGCCGGTTTAAAGCCCACTCTGTCTATCTATGCCAAGCTATTGAGTTGTTTTGTCGGTCGCGGTGATGTTGTTTCTGCTGCCAACGTCTTGGAACAAATGCGCGACGATGGTGTCATGCCTGATGCAAGATGTTACACGATCGTTATCTCGTTGATGGCTCGCCGACAAGATCATAAATGGGCGGAAGCTCTTTACCATCGTGCTATTAGCGAGGGCGTTGTTCCTGACGCTATAATGATGACCTCTGTTATGAACGCTTATGTGGAGGCAGGAGAGTGGCAAGGGGTCATCGATTTTTTTGGACGGCTGACGAAGAATCGGCAACGTCGACCTGGATTTACCATCGACATCTTCAACACGTTACTCAAGGCCTATGTTTTGATTGGCGCTCCGTTCGGCCTTGTTGCCAAGTTATTCCTCAAACTCGAAGGCCAGGAGTCGATACGAGCGAACCCCCACACATACGCGCTATTAGCCCAGTCTGCATGTGATGCAGGGGATTTAGATGCGGCCTCTGACATATACCATGAGTGCTCAAGGATGGTCGAGGAGCAAGGCGCCTCTGAGAAACTGATCAATGTTTATATTCTTACCATCATCATGGCTGGTTATCTTCGGAAGCAAGACAAAGAGCATGCGAAAGCGGTATACGATGAAATGATCGCAAAAAACCTCCAACCAAATGCTGTTACATTCGGAACCATCATAAGGGCATACGCGACTGAGCAGACAAGGGAGAGCATAGAATTGGCGGAGCAATTTGTTCAAAATCTGAATATCGGTTCAAGTGAAAAGAAAGAGTGGAAAATCAAATCCTTTGGACGACGTTCCTGGAAGGACAGCATTTTCTTGCCTCTCCTGGCGGCGTATACAAAACGAGGGGAAGTGGAAGATGCTGAGCGATTATATAGAGAGATCGGCGATGATACCTCACCCATTGCTGCCTTGACTCTTCTCCTCGACGTCTACCGCCGCGTCTCCGACACCGACGCTGTTCTTCGAGTTTGGTCGGAGCTTTACAGGTTGGGTCTAGAGCACGTTCATACCGGTGATATATTCAAGTTCAATGATACACATTCACCGCCCGGGACGCAAATCACACGAGTTTTGGGACGGCCACTTTCCATCTTGATTGATGCACTATCAACAGCTGGACGTCATCGTGAGGTCTTGGAAGCTTGGAAGGACTACGAGCAACAAGGATTACACTTTGATTCTCTATCGTGGAATGGTCTTGGGGTGGCTTTTATTCGCGCTGGAGACCTCGAGCGCGCGTTTGGAGTCATCGAGGACATCATCATACCGATGAGACGCCAAGCCGAACAACTTTTGGTTGGATTATCTCGCTCTGACCGTACTTCCTTGCCACTACCCGATCCTTCAGAACCCCCATTGCACATACAGGCATATCGAAGGAGAACAGTTAGGATCGCGACCGCGCGTCTGCTTCAATATCCAGAATTCGAAGATGACAGCATCAATACCAAACGATATGAGCAACCACTACAAGATTTACAAAGAATTGTTCCAACCTTCGAAATCTGGCGTCCACATATTAACCTTCTTCGAAACATGCTTCTGTCTGTGTCGACTCTGGAGTCTGGGCGTCTCGTCAGACCAACGACTACTACTAGTCCGGATTATCGCCCCTCTGATCCTGAAGAGGGCCCTCAAGCGCGACAGCTCCTGGATAGGTTATTCGCCAACTATCCGAACGCCATTCAACTCCTCCTGCAATTCCAGATGAGAGAGCAACGTAGACTAGGGCGCAACCGATATGATCGATTATACCGATGGGGATCAGGATCAACATGACGGCTTATAATTACGCGATGACAAGCAGAAACTAGTTGCAGATTACAGGGGATCCTCTGGTGTTATTAGTCCTCATCAGAGTCGTCAGACTCTGAACCACTGCGTCTCCGACGCTTGTTGGACGCGTGACGATTCCTCTACCAACGCTTCGCTTAGCCCATCCGATGCCTGATCAGGAAATGAAAGGCTCACCAGGGGAAGCTTCTGTCCTTGATTCCCGAGCGCGATGGAGAGGGCGGTGGTATCTAGGTACAGTATAACTTAATAGAATAAATATTGAGGTGAAATTACTATAGGTACCTGGAACACCTGGGAATCGTTTAGCTGAATAAACGGTAAACTGTTCAGTAAATGTTTGGGCGAGAACAGGCGAGACATCATTGTGGACTCGCGCAGCTCCCACTTCTGGCGCTGGTGGGCTGAAACCGGAATCAGGTCTTGTGTTCTCGAGATAAAAAAGATAAGCGCGACTCACGCTCCAACATTCATAAGACGCATCCTAAGCCGGAACGTTCCTGTGATGATGTTACAAATAGAAACACCAGAAGAATGCCCGTTAGCAACGAACCTTCGGTACGAACAGACAAGTCTTGGAAAAGGAAGAAAATCCCAGGTTTCCGATGTTCATCTAATAACCGGCATGCATTTGCTGAAAGGGGGCCAACAAGGGTACGTGTGTATGTATGTCTCGGAGGCGGAGGAACGGTTGAAACATGTTGGGAAGAACATGTGCCTGGTGCCATCTGAGAATGTGTAGGTGCAGGATGATAAGCAGAATGGTGGTAGGTCGAGGATTCATAGGCGGCATGGTCCGCCTGAGAATGTGGCGAAGTGGCTTCAGATGAAGACCATCCCGGGTTCTCAATACCTTCCGAATTAGAGTGATTACGAACTGAAGGATCGACCTGCGAGTTCGAGTAGCTGCTGATAGATGGGTGGTAGGGGGCGTCGGTGTTCCAGGCCCCATATGGAAGGCTTTGCGGTTCCGGCTCCGAATTCCAGTGGTCCGAGGTTGAACTTGATGGGCTGCGACCCAAGGTGTGTATTGATGGCAAGGTGGGGTGCGGGAAGCTGGTGCTACGGTCACCGGGCGGCGGTGGTGGATAGCCCCAAGAAGAGTCAGCTTGTGTGGGACCGTATGGTGTGCTTGGCGGGAAGCCCAAGGCATCATTTACCTGGGGCGCGTGTGGTGTGACATATCCTTGATTATTGTAACCAGAAGCGTGAGGGTGTGGGAGAGGCGGGCGCTGGGCGCTTCAATGTAAGATGACAAAATGTACTTTTGTAAAACAGCGAACCTGTTCGCCAGGACGATGTTGAGAGAGAGTGGGAGTAGAACCTCCACTTGGAGTTTGATTAGCAGGAGCACGAGATTGAGGGGCCGAAGAACTCGTCCCCCGCCGTCGCGATTTCGTGGAGGAATGGGGAGGAATGTGACGATCCACCGATGACGGATGCAGGACAAGATTGGTTTCATGCTTTCCATCTTCAGACCATAGATCGACGGTCACCAGAAAGAAAGAACAGTCCATATCGCTATCACAAATAGTGAGAAGGTCCTTGAATAAAACTGGCATAAACTCACTCCACGTCTACGATGCTGTTGTCGTCTCGTCTGACAACCATTTTTGCCACGGCTGCTGGAGCGAGCGGTCTTCGATCCTAACAGTCGTTATTTTGTTTGAGAAGCCATGGATTGCGATGACCAAACCTACTTTATCCCCAAAGCCACACATTCGTGCCCGCAGAGGGTGCTGGACGACCTCGAGTGAGTAATGTCTGTGATAACGAAGATGATAACAACGTAAATCAGCCAACGTGCCAGAGTAGTGATTCAGAGTAGTGATTCGAAACGCTTACTTGCGTCCCAGCCAGTAGCCCCATTGCTCAGGGCTGTCGCTGACGAGTTGACGAAGCGGTGCAATCGCGACGCTAGATTGGCGGGCGTTTGTGTGTTGTATCATTGTGAAATAACGAGCAAAAAGAAGCGGGCGGTGTGATAGACCCTAATTCTGAAAGCAATGGTAAAACCCCACGCGGTTCAGGAAAGAACACTGAGACGGCCAGTGAATCTATGAGAGTTGTAATGATATAGAGCCAAAGGTCTACGAGCTTGTTGGGCGAGAGTTGAGACACCACAGAAAACCTTGAGGATGAAGTGGTTGAGATTCTCAACAGTCCAAACGTAATATCCTCAATGCAAAGAATCCTTCTAGTAGTCTTCAGATAGCTCTTGAGGGTCCCCGGTTCGTAGCGCTCTAGGTAAAGGAGTACGGCGTACAAACTCGGTACAGCTTATTGAGGCGCACGTGGTAGGTGTGTAGTACGGTGATCGTGATTCCGAATTGCAACCAAGATTGTGTGTCAATGACTGACCAGGCCTCCGCGAAGAGAATTCTCAGCGACCTCTCGAAACGAGAGGATCTCAAAAACAAAGTTTGTGTCGACTGCAGCAATCCTAATCCACAATGGGCCTCTTTAAGGTTGGACCATCACCTTATTCCTTGCTGGCGCTCATCTCATCACAACTCTCAGCTTTGCCGTCTTCATATGCCTGCAATGTGCTGGAGTACACCGTGGCTTCGGCGTGCACATCAGGCTAGCTTGATAACGAACAATTTTCACCCTGTTGTTTATATTGTCTTCTATCTAGCTTCGTTCGATCGATTTCTATGGATACCTGGCAGGATGAGCAAGTGAAACGCATGCAGGTGGGCCTGCCATTTTTAACGTTATGACGCTCATACTTATTCAATATAAGCTTGGTGGAAATGGTCCATTCCGAGATTTTATGCAATCCTACGAGCCGATTGAACAGGGAGGTTATAAACAAGGGCTGAGTCCGTATGACACATACCATTGTTGGGCAGCCGCCCAGTATCGAGAGAAAGTGTGTATCGTTACTTGGGCTCTAAGATATGTTCTTTAACATTGAATCGCTGCTAGCTTGACGCCATGTTGGCTGGACGTGAATGGTCCCCCTCTCCCAAACCTGCTGATTTCGGCCTCAATTCACGTTCGTCCTCCCCAGGACCTTCTACCGCTCAAGGTCTCCGTAAATCACGTGCATCGACGCGCACTTTCACAGCTCGTAGTGATTCTCGTTCTCCGTCATCATTTAGAAATTCCCCCGGCGGAACACCAAATTTATCCACAGACCAAAAGAATCTCAACGAGTCCTACTTTGCTAATTTGGGAAAAGTCAACGAGAATCGCCCAGATCATCTTCCCCCATCACAGGGGGGTCGCTATACGGGCTTTGGGAGCACACCTACACCACCACCAGGCCAGGAGCACCCATCATATGGTTCGTCGTCCGCGAACGCCCCATCTCTGAACGAGCTCCAAGAAAACCCCGTCGCTGCGTTGAGCAAGGGCTGGTCCTTATTCACAGCCGCGGTTGTTGGTGCTACGAAGGCTGTTTCAGAGAACGTCATCCAGCCAGGGATGGAGAAGGTTTCCGATCCCAACTTTCAAGCAAGTGTCAGAGGCTACATGACTGAGGCTCAAAAGAAAGCGGCCGCCGTCGGCAGCACCGCAAACGAGTGGTCGAAGCAGCAGTTTGGCGTCGACGTCGCCGATACAGTTGGTGGTGTCGTCGGGACAGTGAAGGATAAAGTCGGAGGTGGACCTTCACGACTAGGCTATGGGTCTATTGCATTGACGAGTCCAAACGATCACGAAGAGTCTTCTGGGCTCTACGATGGTGACGACGACGACCTCTTCGGAGAATATCGTGGACATCAGTCGCCTCAACATTCAAGCTTGGCGCCGACGGTAATCGCTGGGGGAAGTCATTCTACCTCCACAGCAACGGCCCCCGTCAAGAAAAGTGAATGGGACGACGAGTGGAAGGATTTTTGAACATTCCAGGGACTTCGAGGATACATCATAGATTAGATTGTAGGATGTACGGTAATACACTTGTGGATGGTCCGAAGTTCCGGCCGCTTACTTAGTTCAAATGCAAACACCAACTTATCGACACAACATCTCTATTCACACAAATGACAATGCACGCCGTCTTGCAGAGAACTCTGACTAGGACGCTGGCTAACCAACTGAGGTCGTACCATGCCTCAGTGTTGCCCACCTTCGTTTCTACCTCCTCGCCGGAATTCACTGCCAAGTCACTTGCAATGGACGAGCTAGTCGGCGATTTGGAGACAAAGCTGGCTGAGGCGCGCCAAGGAGGGGGTCTCAAAGCCTCGGAACGAATGCGGAACAAGGGAAAGAGGCTACCTCGAGAACGGTTGGGACTCATGCCTATGCGGTGGTTCAACCTTTGAAATATTGGTTCTCAGTCTAGGCCTTATCCTGGATCCACATTCACCGTTCCTTGAACTTTCGTCTTTGGCGGCGCACAAGGTTTATCCTGAATCTATTCCAGGAGCGGGTATCATCACTGGCATTGGTCGTATTTCCGGGCGGGAGTGCGTCATTGTCGTAAATGACGCGACTGTGAAGGGTGGGTCATACTATCCATTGACAGTGAAGAAACATTTGCGAGCGCAGGAGATTGCGCGGGAGAACAGGCTACCTTGTGTATATATTGGTATGTCATTTCCGATGCTCTACGAGTTCTCGTATAGTTTTCCTCATTGTGCTGAGCAGTGGAGTCCGGAGGTGCTGCTCTCCCCCATCAAGCGAACGTGTTCCCGGACAAGGAACACTTTGGCCGTATTTTCTACAACATGGTATGGTTTACGCATTGGCCGAGATAAATTGGAACTTATGGAGAGACAGGCTCAAATGTCCGCTCTCGGAATTCCTCAAATCGCGGTCGTCCATGGTATCTCGGTTGCAGGTTCGTACTTCTATTTTCACGGTAGATTGTCAGATTGATGCTGGGTAGGCGGCGCGTATGTTCCTGCCATGGCGGACGAGAACATCATTGTGCAGAACCAAGGCCGTATTTTCTTGGCCGGTCCGCCGCTCGTTAAAGCCGCAACGGGGGAGGAAGTTGATGAAGAGACCCTGGGGGGTGGTCTGATGCATTCCAGCGAGAGCGGAGTGACCGATCATCTGGCTCGGGATGACGAGCACGCTATTTCTATAGCGAGAGGTATTGTTGGAGACCTGGGTAGTGCAGGCACTACTGCCAGCGTCGTGAGTGACAACCGATTTTTGAATGGGACTCTACTGATTCGTGTCGATTCAGCCATCTGCGAAGCCAGAGGACCCTCTATACCCTGCTTCTGACCTTCATGGTATTGTTGGGACAGACGTCCGGCAGGCCTTCGACATGCGTGAGGTCATTGCTCGGATCGTCGATGGAAGCAGATTTAGGGAGTTCAAGAAGGAGTATGGGCCAACAATAATCACAGTGTGTTTGACGGATGCAGTTTTTTTGATCTACTTTTAAAGCCATTTCAACAGGGCTTCGCCCATATCCATGGCTATGAAATTGGAATCGTGGCCAACAACGGAATCCTTTTCTCACCCTCGGCTTTGAAGGCGACACATTTCATTCAGCTTTGTTCGCAGCGTCAGATTCCTTTATTATTCCTTGTGAACGTGACAGGCATGTTCCATCGTCTTCTGCTTTTGCTTCGGAGGTCGTTGATGATTTTATTACAGGCTACATGGTCGGGTCAAAGGCAGAGAAAGGAGGCATCGCGAAAGACGGTAAGGTTTGTTTGTCATAGATGAACTTGAAACTCACGGCTTCGAAGGTGCAAAAATGGTTCGTGCCGTCGCGTGTGCGGACGTACCAAAGATTACCGTAATTGTTGGAGGAAGCTTTGGTGCTGGTAACTATGGTCAGTCGCGTCGTTGTTTTGTGATTAGCAGTTGTCTGACGAGTTTACCAGGGATGGCTGGTCGTGCTGTGCGTCTGCCCTTTCCTCTCAAAATATTCTCACTCAAATTTCGAGCAGTATTCTCCTCGATTCCTATGGATGTGGCCTGTAAGTAATAAATTAACCTGCTCTGCTTGACCTCGAGTAATGTGTGAATATCAGAACGCCAAAGTTTCCGTCATGGGTTCGGGTCAATTGTCCCAGGTCATGACCACAGTGTCAAAGTAAAATTCTTTTACTCTGCTTTTCCGCAACAAACAATAACCATTCCATTCTAATTCGTTTTATCAGAGATCCTGCCCAGCACTCTTCTTTAAAAGCCGAAATTGAAGACCAATCAACTGCGCTGTATTCGACTGCACGCCTTTGGGACGATGGAATTATCAAGCCTACGGATACCCGAGACGTGGTGGGTCTTGGACTTGGCATAGTTACACGAGAACGAGCTTTACGAAGCCGGAGAAGTATGGGCGGTAGTACTACATGGGATGGAAATGGTAATGGCTTTGGAGTTTTCCGAATGTGAACAGTGACCTCTTAATTACTTGTCATGTGACTGTATAGACCAACGTCCCCATCGTCGTCCAACCTCAACGTTCAACAGTCAGTAGATGCATGGAGCCATCGAAGCATTGAACTCTTCAACACGCGCCAAACTTCGCTCAACCCAAATCCTCACTTCGCTGCCCCAAATTGTATCCGAGCTTCTACAGAATTCCCTTGATGCTGGGGCGTGTCAGATAGACATAGGCTTGGACTGTGAGGAATGGTCTTGTTGGGTCAAAGATGATGGTTCTGGCATCAGCAAAGACGGCCTCAATATTATAGGTGGCGATGGAGGAGAAGGTCGATATGGTGAGCATGAGTGAAGCACCTCTTCGTGAATCGTACTAAGCCTTTGCAACTTGTAGGAACGTCAAAGGAATGCGCGCCAGGCTTTATGAACTCCCTTTCCACATTTGGTTTTCGAGGAGAAGGTACATTCAATAATCGCTGCTCAGACGGCAGCTGTTAACATTCAGTCAAAGCACTTGCATCTGCGGCTGAGCTCTCGTGCATGGAAATATGTTCGCGCACATCAAAATCTAAGAATACTTGGTCCATAATAGTCAAGGTTGGGGTGAACCTGGCATTTTTTCTAGAGTGAGCTCGAGCCAATGCTACAGGGCGGAAAGACACTATATACCGGTCCAGCCGTTCGTTGGCGAAGAGAAACGCAAGGCACCGTAATTTGCATTCGCGATGCCTTTTATAATGTCAACCCTTCCATTTCCATCTTCGTCATTTGCTGACCTTCTGATGTTAGCTCCCCGTACGTCGTTTGTCCCATCCTTCTCACATACGAACGTGGGAGCTTGTTCGTCAAGAAATCGAAACATACGCTATAGTATTCCCTCATGTCGCCTTTTCACTTGAGGACAGCCGCAATGCTAGGGAAACGGACGTCAACACTTTCCGAGATCGTAATTTTCGAATACCAAAGGTTTTGTCATTCAATTCAATATCGTGTTTTTTCTCATGAAAGATTCAGACACCATCTATCTTGAGCGCGTTTCGCCGCATATACGGTAGAGCATTGACAGAGGTATTGGATCTTTTTGTACACTTCACAATGAAATTGAAGAGTTCAACAGCACGTCGAAGAGATAGATGCGACCCGCGATTCGATGAAGGTTGTCGGATTTATCAGTCTGAACGGCTCACTGTCCAAGGCGAGACTCGGTCATCCTCGAAATAATGGGAAGAAAATGACATTTTGCTCTAACAGGCTTATCAGTTTCTTTGTGTGTATAAAAGCATTACTTTACGGTGTTAACTCATAGCCCTTTCTGATAGATATCAACAAACACCCGGTTTCTCACTGCGATATTCGTCGTCTCATCGATACGAGCTTTGGCTCTAGTTCATTTTCCAAAAATGTTTATTTTATGCTCTCATCCCGGTGTCGGAACTGATGCAACGACCATTAGGGCCTTGATGAAGATGGGGATTCTAGCTATCCTCGCCCCAGTGAGACTCTACAAGGTCGCATGAGATGCACCGCTGATAGATCATAGCTACACGGCGTTCCCCCCGCAAGACTGAGAAAAAAGCTGTTTATGTCCTCAACGTTACCCTTCCTCCCGATCACGTTGATAATATAATAGAACCGAGCAAGACGTCGGTTCAGTTTCAGGTAGAGCTATGCATCTCTCAAGGCCTTTTGAAATCACTAATCATGGGTGATATGCTGAAGAACAGAGCAAGCATCTTGTCCTTTGTATCATCTGTCATCAAGTCTTTCTTGATGAAACATGGCTTTGTATTGCAACGCGACATTGAACCTGGTCCCCAAGATTCCCCTTCACGAAAACGCAGGAAACTCGAAAAGAATTTTGAAGACTCAGGTTTCATGGAAGGAAATCATGTCAGCGAATCGCCGAGTTCTTTGCACGATCGTCATACTGCAGAAGGCTCAAATTCGGTACTCTACACTTCTACGGTTTGTGAACCGTTTTCACTCCCCCATACATAGCCTCATTCTCCGACAGGAAGACAACCCTTCCGATATATTATGGACAGATCCTATAACCCATGAGAAGTTTCTTGTGGATGCAAGGTCAGGAAATTCATATCGGCAAGGTGACGGTCGGACTGGCGAACCTTCGTCGGGCGTTCGGCAAGGGAGGAGAACTTTACAATACAGGCATGCAACCAGCTCAGCCCCCCGACAGGCTGACCATTCAATCCCAACCTGGCTCGAGAAAGCACTTCAGGTTTTTTTCTCCTCTTTAGCGGAATCCCGCTTTAGACAGTTGACCATTATCATGACGTCAGGAAAACGAAGCATACTCGCTGAGCGAGAAGCGTATAGCCTCGTTGGAACTTAACCCTTCTATATGTCCGCCGGTTGTCAAAAACAACTCCTTCCATACCGAACAACACCAGTGTCTTGCATCACAGGACAAAAATTTTGCAAGGAGTCTCCAAAGTGATGCCCTCTCACGTCCCCTCACCAGAGAAGACCTTCAACAAGCGCAAATCATAGGTCAAGTTGACCGAAAATTCATAGCTTGCGCCATTCCAGTCAAGCAACCTGAAAATGGTTTACTCAGGACCTCTCAAATCTATCGTGAACCAACGAGCACTTCTCCTGCTCTCGTACTTGTCGACCAACATGCTGCGGACGAACGCATCCGTGTGGAGTGTTTCCTCAAAGAGCTGTGTCTCGGCTTTCTCCACTATCGAGACGAGGGCAGTTCTACAGAGAAAGGGATTACTCAAAAAGAATTACAACCGCCACTACCTGTCCTTGTCACTCGGCACGAAGCTATCTTGCTAAAAGCGTCTGTGGGAATCCAGAGAGCATTCCACAATTGGGGTTTTCAATTCGCCGACCTCTCGAAGGCGGCGAACGTGAACTCCGACGATGTTTTTGCGGACGGAAGCAGTAGTGAATATGAACAGCTTCTCGTGTGTTCCGTTCCAGAAGTTGTGAGCGAAAAGGTGTGTTCTTTCCGCGTATGTCAACGGAGGGTATTAAAATTTCCATTTTCTCATGACAGCTTCTACAAGGGGAAGAGCTTCGGGATCTCGTGAAAAGCTGTCTTGCCTATTTCCAGCATTCGAGCGACTCATCTCAGATAACTCACAGCACCAACTTGCGAGCGGATGAGCTTGCCTGGCTTGGTGCTCTGCGTCTGTGTCCCAAAGCGCTGCTCGACTTGGTGAACTCGAAGGCTTGTCGTGGTATGTGTTCATTCTCACACTCCGGTTTTTGGTCGAATTTATTCGTCTGGGCTCAGGTGCTATAATGTTTAACGACCACCTGACCGTCGAACAATGCCAAAGGCTGGTCTACAAACTCTCTCAAACATCTTTTCCGTTCCAGTGTGCCCACGGACGGTACGTAACACTTGTTTTGTTCTCATAGTTCTTCTCCTGGCTAATATTCTTAATTAGGCCATCCTTGGTGCCGCTAATGAACATCTGGGATTACCCAAGGCATCCGACTCGGCAACTTGAACGTTCGCAGTATCGGTGGAGCAGGTTGGAAAACGACAAAGAAGCCTCGATTTGATCTTTAATTTTGACTACCCTGAGCCTAAGATGTCGATCTCTGGATTTTCGCTTTGTTACAAGCGCTGAGCCGCGTGAACTGTGGCTTTTATGTATCAATAAATAGAAATTGTTGCCTTGCACTTCCATGGAAGTTCAGGAAAAAGCATTCCCGATTGATAAGTGCCAGGGAGCTGTTTTGTATCCCCTGATGAGGGTGGGAAACTTTTTTTTGTGACATCGTCGTGCTCTGAACGACCACAATGCCGACCTCAAAATCCAGCTCAAAGCCTGCAAGTCAAGCAAAGCTGTCGAAATCCTCGCTGGGCGCTCCGGCGCAGCACAACCAGTCGACCAGAAAAGGCAAGCGGGCATGGCGGAAGAACATCAACATCGAGGATGTGGAGGAGGGATTGGAGGGTATGAGGGCTGAGGAACGGGTTATTGGGTAGGTTTTTTGTCATTCATGGGCACGAAAAGGTGTAAGGTAGGAAGAAGTGAATGCTGATTGTGTCATTTAGGAAACCGCTGCAGAAAACGAAGGATGAAGATCTTTTTGTGGTAGATGTTCAGGGCGACGAACAAGGTGCGTGTATTCATGCAACATGGAAAACTATATACTAACTACAGTTGACAGTCCGCAAATCCCTCGCATCACGATTTTCTTCAAGAACACCGTTAACATCGACCAAGATCCTATCTGAACGCTCCGCCGTTCCCGCTGTTTTTTCTCGGCCCTCCAATGCCACGTCAAAAAGGAAAGCAGGGCAACTCAGTTATGAAGAAAAAGCCCGGCTTTTGAAGATCGCGAAGAGGCCTCGCAGAGGACCTTTCAACTCGATCCTAGACCCGTCGGAGTATGAAGCTGGGAGCGGGATGGTGGGACTGAGCGAGGCTGTGAAGAGCAGCGGGACGCATGATGCTTGGGCGCCCGAGGTGGCAATGGACGTGCTCCCGGATGGGATGGAGACGGTTCAGAAGAAGGTCATCAAGGTTCTCTTTTTTTTTCTATCTGCCTGGTACAATTACTGATCTTGGTTTAGCCACCCACAGTAAAATATACCCGGGACATCATCCAGGTCCCCGCAATCGTAGAGCCGCACCAGGGGACGTCGTATAACCCGCCCGTGGAGGCGCACCATGAGCTCATACTCAAGGCATATGAAGCCGAGGAGAAGAGGCTTCGGGACGCGGAAAAGCTCGCGGAGGTGAAGAAGAAGATGGAAGATTCGTATATGGTTGAACCTCTCGAGGAAGGGTTGGCTGCTGGGATGAAGTTGGCTGAGAAGGTTCTTGTTGAGGATGATGAGGCGGAAGAAGAGAAGGAGGAGAGGGTGGTGAAAAGCGTTCCTGATCGGAAGACAGCGTCGCAGAAGAATAAAGCGAAGAGATTACTTGCTGAGGTTTGTTCCATTCCTTGTCCTTCTACTACGCTAACCTTTCTTCTCGTAGAAACGCGCTCTGGCGGAACGAGCCGAGCACAAACGGATGATAGCATCCATAAGCAACGCAAAGATCATGCGTCGGAGCACAGCGCGGCTCCTGTCCGAACAAGAGAAGAAGCACCTAGAGCGCCGGTTAGCTCTAGAGGAAAAAGTGAGGAAGCAGGGATTGGTGGGGCAGAAGTTGGGGAAACATAAAGTTCCTCAGGGCGAGGTGGAGGTGCAGCTCGGAGAGGACTTGTCAGAGAGCTTGAGGGGGTTGAAGGTCATTTTACTTGTCTTCTTGCTCTTTCAGTGTATTAATGTCTTTTCCCTTTAGCCCGAAGGAAATCTGTTCAAGGATCGATTTCTCAGTTTGCAACAGCGGGCGTTGATTGAGCCCCGTGTGCGTGTGTTGCCCAAGAAACGGAGGCTGAGGATCGTAGAGTACGAAAAACACGCTTGGAAGCGGTTCCAGTAGATAACTTTGTGAATGATATGTTGCTCCGAGGTGGTGGTGTCGCGTGACGTCAACGGAGTGATCCGACGTCATAAGAGCCGAGAGGTATAAAGGCACAAAGAGCCAGATTGCCAAGTCCCAACTCCTTTACACTCTCAACGTCCAAACTCAGTCTTTCTTACAACCGATCTGACGATATCATGGGGAAATCACTCACCAAAGTCATTTACAAGCCCGATTCTCAGTCTACGGACGAGTTTATCGTCATCGTGAACCCTGAAGAGGTCAGTCCACCTCCGTCTTTGTTAATGATTCATCTCATTATGTTGTGTTTCTACCGTAGTTTAAGAAGTGGCATGCAGGAGGTGAGTTGTTTTTCTTGGATTTGAGTGGATCTTTCAATTGATTTGTCTCTCTGCTCGTCAGACACGTAATTATTGCATCTTCGACTCACGTCATCGAGGTGTAACCCTTTCTCAACAGCACGATCCCACTAGCTGAAGTCGTTGATTGTGAGTATCGCGTGATATTCCTCCCGGGGTACCGAATATTCACTTCCCGGACTCCCCCTAGCTTTCAAAGTCTTCCACTCTGGTCAAGGCTCCCAAGGTCTTCTTGGCGAACCATCCAAGCAACAACTAGACACGGTTTTCGGCACGCACAAGGACGTTGACGTTGTCACTCACATCTTGAAGAATGGGAGAGAGCAGGCTGCGGAGGGTATTACGAAATCTTCTGGACCTCTGAACGCTGTGCGAGGAGGGCCAGACAACAGAAAGCAGGGGCACTCCTTGGGCGTTTGAGTACCACATCAGCGAACGTAAATCATTGTATTACCATCAACATTTGTATATCATGATTTCTTGACAGTGGACGTTCAACATCGGTACCGGGCTCCAGAACAGCCGTGCGACTCACCTCAGCCCCAAAGAAATGTTGTACGTATAGTTCATTATTCAAAAGGACTCTAGATACATTAGGTTGTAAATGGGGGAGAGTCTCCGACATGTGTGGGATAGCAAAGCAAAAAAGACAGTCAGATGAAGGTTCAAAGATCGTCGTAAATCACGAGAGATCCAGACGCGCCAGCGCACATAGCGTCCGTGCTCAGAAACGTCCTGCGGTCTCCGCCCACTCCTTGCTTCCCATTTGTACCAGCCGCGAACAGGCTCTGGCAAACGCGAAGACTTCCTCCTCTCCAGTGAACATGGAGCTGGTTCCAACGATGTCGTTGGAGAGTCCCTAAGAATTAAGGCATTCTGAGTCGTCTTAAACGCCAGATGATAAACCAACACTTACAAGATCATCCATGACGCTGCGCATGTGGTCCGAAGGATGTTGTGGTAGTGATTCATTGGGAACATCCGAAAAGACCTTGAACACCGGCACCTCTGATGTCACGAAGAGTTTAGTCTACACGGGGAATGAGTGACCGTTAATATACATAAAACCGAAGGGAGCATACCTTGCTCTCATAACATGCTTCACGGATCACAACGATAAGCTACGATGACATCAGTCAGATAAAAATGACGAACCATCAATGAAGGTGATAAACCGTCTGGCCTGGATTAGGCAGGACAAACAAAATTAGCTTAAACGCTATATGACGATCAGATGACACACCAAGTCTTTCTTGTCCAGGCCCATCTTGGGTACGTTCAACAAAAACACCGTTCCAAACGTTTCTGTCACTTTAATGTAGTCAGCAGCGCTCAAGGGCTGTCCACATAGATCTTGAAAATCGAACTTGGCGATTTTGCTGGTGCTTTCGGGAACGGCCAGTTGTCGGCCCCATGTAGTCAGCTTGCGGCCGCGGATGGGGGGGTCTGTAGGGTCTTGGGAAGCCAAAGAGAGGAAGACCTTGTTGATTTCGCGGTCGTGCTCCGGTGTGAGCGGATGGTAGTATACATGGGAGAGGGCGCGAGGTACGCGGCGGTAATCTGCGAGAATGGAGAGTTAGTTAGTTGAGTGACCTTTGTGAGAACGTGAACTGATGCGCACCAGTTCCAGAGTCAAGGTCGGTTACTTCGAATTGAGATTTCAGCAGCTCGATTGCGGGTATAAAGCTAGAACGCTGAATGCCGTTCTTATAGAGATCATCTGGATGCCGACTAGAGAGATGCTTATCGTTAGCGTCCTGATGCGAAGGCCTAACGCCGCTCACTTTGAAGTTATCACGCAGACCACCCCATAATTGAGCAAAGACTCAAGTAACCGACGAAGTATCATAGCGTCAGCAATATCCGTCACCTAACGATGGTCCCATGTTAGCAATTTGAAATGGATAGTAGTTCGGGTTGGTACCTGAAATTCGTCGAAACATAGAATGGACGCCTCAGTGGCGAGATCTCTAGCCACAGGTATTATTGGGTCACCGCCATTGAAGCCCATAGCAATTTTAGCGGCGTGGACACGTTTGTGGACATCGATCATGAAAGCATGGAAATGGACCCTTCGTTTACGCTTTAAGGAAGGTGGGAGGGTCTGGAAGAACAGGTCCATGAGCATTGTCTTTCCAGTTCCAACGTCGCCGTAAAGATATAAGCCCTTAGGGGCAGATGCTGGAGGAGATGTAGGGACAGGTGGGTCGCGGCTGAAGATCCGGGATACCTGGAAGAGGAAAGTCGCTGTTTTAGGTACCGAACATGTCGACTGTCGAGTAGGTGCGTACCAGTGAAATGCTTTGCGATGGACGGGGTATATGTGGTGGATTGTAATGGAGTAGATTGTCGTGCAAGTCCTGTAGTTTCTGGATGATACGGGTCTGGTGGTCGTCTCCCCGCAGCACTCCCGTGTCTATAAGTTTCTGGTATTGCCGTAGTGGCGTTAGGAGATCTACCAAGAAAGGTATTGAGAAACAGATACGCGAGAGATCGGACAAACTTGCCATCCTCAGAGGAATTCTGGTTTGGGGTATTGTTGGAGGGTGTGCTCGGTTGTTTGAAAAGGTGCTCAAGATCCTGGCCGAAGCCGGGTTCAACAGCAAGAGACGAGCTGTGGGCTCTACCGCAAGGCCTTGTATGTGAGGCAACTGCGAGCCTTGTGAGGTATATCGGTGGTCTTCTAGCGGCAGGCGATGCCAAGATGGAGCGCACGACCCTCATGAGCGTTAAAAAAGGGGAGCTGAACAAGGTTAGTACTTGGAGAGATATGAGCCGGTCACGTGCATGGATGAAGAATATCTCCTCTTGCTCTTGGCCGACAGCAATCTTCCAACTGGCTCTTTCGTCGCATCATCGGGACTAGAGTCCTATCTCAAGCATGGGTTTTCCTCGTCGTCGGCAGAGTCGACCATTGTCGCCTTTATCACCGACAGTTTGGCGTCATATGCGAGGAGCACCCTCCCGTTTGTCTCCGACGCACATCATCTTGTCGCACTCGCCCGGGAGCAGCGCAGAGGGGAGGGGGAACTCAACGAAGTTCTCAAGGACCTAATGGAGCTTGACCACTTATACAATTCCATGACCCTCAATCACGTTGCAAGGCGGGCATCCAAAGCTCAGGGGGTAGCCCTACTCACTCTGTATTCAAAAGGCTTTGCGCGGCCTTCCTCGCTTTCCGCTTTGACGGATTCAGAACCCCATCATCACGAGACAGCCATGAACCGTCTCTTCAGTCAATTCAAGCTCAGCGTGAGGAAAGAGGAAGTCGACGGTCATCTGCCAACGTGTTGGGGTGCTTTAACAGCCGCTCTGGGACTCGCTTTAGGTATGCATAATTACTACATAGAAGAACAATCATTCAACCGCAAAATCACATAGATCGGGCTCAATATCTTCATCTCTTCCTCCATGCACGGAGTCTTCTTTCCGCTTCCGTGCGCCTCAATGACATTGGGCCATACGGCGCTCAACAGATCTTATTGCACGTTCTCCGTCCTCTGATAACAGCCGAGGCTGAGAGATGTCATGAGCTGCGTACAGAATTGTTCCAAACAAAAGAGACGGGGTTTGACGTGACCATACAAGGCCCGGCGAATACATGGCCGCTGGGAGAAATCCTGGCAAGCCGTCATGACTTGCAGCATTCACGGATTTTCAACAGCTAGACCCTTCCAATTTGATTCACGAATAGAACCATAAAATAGACAAAGATATATAGCATCTTCATCCAACCATTCTATGATGACGTTGTGAGGGCTAACCGGGACGATACCTCTGCTTGCGAACGCACAAGGTTCGCAAGGTACGATATCATCAGTGTATCCTGCAAACACCATCAGCACTTTCGAAAAACTAACACTGAGCACCCGCACCTGTAAGCTGGCATTGAAGCCACCCTTTTCTAAATCATCCGTGCTGGCTCCAAGGGTATCCATGAGGTACCGGCCAATGGCTGGATCTCCCTTTTGTTTCCCCGCAAGAACATCTCGCACATAGGAGAGTACACGGTCGAGCATTTCAGATACTGTCAAAATTGATCGTTCGAGAATCTCCACATCAGCTATAGGCTGTGAGGCTGTTGATGTTGAGGCATTTGCAGCGCTGGTTAGTAGGTCGACTAAAGATTCAAAGTGTCAGCCAGACAAATTTATCAATCAAATAGATACATGTCTTACGGCCGCTTCGTTCTCCATCGTGGAACCGCAATTCAACGGGCACTGGAACAAAGACACAGTTTTCTGGTTTGGGGAAGACCCCTACTGGTGAGCTGTTGATACGCGGTTGAGTGAGTTGTCGTCGCGAATCATCTGAAGTACAAGCCTGATGAACGCTTTGACACCGGGTTCTTGGCCCTCCTCAACGCCAGTGTTGACAGCAACGTGAATCGCTTGGTTAGGCGCGGTTTCTTGCGAGTAAAAATTTTGAATAAGCGCGGAATATGTGTTGAGATTGGATCCTGTGGAGTACCTGAACGAGACATGAATGGGATGAAAAATCTGCAGACAAGAACGACGTTCACCATCCAACAATGACTTCCTTTGGATTCACCTTGTGGTGCAGCTCGTACATCGTCCGGTGGTAGTCCATGTCCACGGCAACTTGTTCGGTCGTCTCGCTGTGCAACACGGCGAACGAGGATCGGACCTCGACCTCATTTTCAAAGCGCGTGCCTAGGAGTGTGCCAATGACCCGATCTTGAGACTCGCCGCGACGAAGGTAGTGGTCGAGGATGGAGAACAGGGCTACGGGGTGGATGGTGATATTTGTTGGTGTACGGCTAGATGAAATGTTATCAATGTAAGATTCGACTTTGGCGCAGTGATAAGAGCGACTCACGGTAAATTATGCGCCGTGTCCGTCGTGGAAGTGCCTTGGACGTGAATCGCAGAGGATGAAGGACCGAGAGACATCCTTTTTTATATATAAGAATCCTTTTGATTTTAGTTGGAGACCAACCTCAGCAACTTTTTCGCTTCTCGGCAACGGCCGATAACTCAAATTCAAACATCCACCCACCACCACCGTCACCCGACGAAAGCACAAAAAAGACAACAGCATGCCCTCAGAAGATACAAAGGTGCGCAGAGTTTTTATTTTCATGATTGATTTGCCTAACCTGCCGGTATTCTCAAGGAACGTATTGCAAAAGTTGTCGAAATAGGCCGTGTATGTATTTTTGCGCGGTGTACTCCAACGTCCATCCTACTCAACGTGTCCCCACAGACCGTCCTCCACTACGGATGGATACCTCTCATCATCTACGTTGGCTTCACGCGGAGTAACCCACAGCCTTCTCTGATAAAGTACGCCACTCTCACGCGAACAAAGAAATACTTACTCAACGCCAGTCTTAGGTTAATCAGTCCCCTTGCATAACGAGTCCTGGCCCACCTGTATTTATAAATTATCTCCTCGTAATTCAAAAAGACTTTCATCATGGGTGAATACCGAAACGATCATCAAGCACCCAATTCATGGTGAGCAACTCTTTCCTTTGTCCCATGTCAGGGCAACGATTTTACATGTCGTGGTGGTGCATTCAAAGCACCCCGATCCATTCCATGTATGTGGGATTCAATGGGCGTTACTTGCTGTAACCTTGTCAGCTCTGGTTTATTCAAGTGACGTCGACATGAGGATTTGACTAGGCCAGATATGAGCCCTCTTTACCGATTTTCCATCATCGTAATTCCACAACTTGCCAGAAACTAATATACATATTTTACACAGAGCATCGAACAAAGCAAAGTAATGATCCATAAGTGAAAATCATAAGTAGACACGGCGCAACTCGGTGGCACTGGTAATGCGCTTGCAGATTGGGCAGAGCTTGGTGGAACCTAAACAACGCAGCCAGCAATCGCGGCAGCAAGTATGCCAGCATCCTGTCGACACGGTGGGCTCGTTGTATGGGTCCAAGCAGATCCGACACGAGAGTGACGTTGACGACGACACCCGCATGGATTCCTGCAAACGATTATTTTAGCTTACATTTCTCCTGTATTGGCCATTGTGAACTTACAAGCTGCTCGATCTTGTTTTCCAGTGCAGCTACCAACGCAGCCTTGTCCCCGCGCTTCTTAGCTGTTAGGACTGCGCGGTCCACCCGATCTGCTTCCCCAGCCCCCAGGACTTCAACCATTTTAGCTTTCAAGTCTTCTACTCTGTCGGGGAAGACAACCTTCCCCTCAGCAACGAGGTCACGCAACGTTTTCAGTTTTCTTGACGCTTCATCCTCGTTGTCGCCTTCAATTTCAACCTCAACGTCTTCCTGAACCATTACCTGGGGATTGTCGACCGGGAGGATATCCCCTTCTGTGAACTGGGCTTCACCAAACGTGTCTTGATCGTCGCCCTCTACATCAACTTCATCATCTACATCCTGTGCACGACGGTCGCGTGTCAGGAACCCTGTGCCTATTAACCCTTGAGTAATTGGCCAGCTCTGCGAGCAACAAAGGGAAAACACCCACCTCGTACATTTCCTACATGTCCCCCAGTATCCAATTCGTCCCATATATCTTCCTCCATGTCTCTTTGTTGTTGTAGTTCACGCTGTCTAACCTCCTCCAATCTGCTAGTCTCGTTTGCCAGGCACGAGTCCACATGTGCGTCCAGTACGTCCTGGTCGCCACAAACCTCTAAGGAACACACGGGGCACACAATACGCCCACCAGCGACGCTTCGCGACCAAGCACCTCTGCCCATATATCCTTCTTCCTCCCGTGCAATCTCTTTGAGTTTCGCATGCCTTTGCTTTCTGTGTCGTTTGATAATCTGGATAGTTTTACACGCTTGTTCCATGGAATCGTGAACGTTCCGTGATGTTAGTGACTTGCGAGCTTTCAACGCAGAACGGCGACTGCGTGAGCTTGGGCCTGGGCTACACACGAAGAATTTCGGTTGGGTTTTTTGAACGTAAAGAAATAACATACGCATCATCCATCTCGTCGTATAGAATATCCGAAGACCCAACCTGCTGTATAACCTCTTCTACTCGCTCTGACTCTAATGCCGCGTGCATTGGCAACAAGCGAAGGGGGATGTGTTCTTCGCAGACGGGACATTGTCTCGTTTCTGCACGTTTGGCTGTGCATAGATTTGAGATTCCTACCCTTGAAGAAGCTGGACATGAACATACGCTTCTTGGCCGGGGCGGGAAAGTGATCGCTGGGTACGGGTGACAATGAGGACGAGGATGTGCTGGCGCGAGCTTCAACGTAAGTCCGTTTATTTCCCCTGACCGTCACGGTAAATGTAAGCAAAATAAGAATGAGCACGAGCGCAAGTCCAGCGCACCGAGATAGCGCCATTGAACTGATTTTTTTTCAAGGCCACCTTCTGCCGCTTGATAAAGTGTAAATTTCGCGTGGATAAAAGATGGATGCTGAGCTCAGACCCGGCTCAAACAAAGGACACGATTTCCCTTGATATAAGGACTGTACTTTGTGGATGGATTGTGCTTGACGGAAATGGATGGAGGGGCCATTGCACAAAATTCACAAATGCCATCACATGATCAAGACATGTCGCGTATAGCTTTAGATTCTGATTTACAGCTAACTTCTAAGGATGAAATTGGTGTTCAGTCGTCTTCAAACACTATTTCAACCCCCGCGTCACGAGCCAACTGGATTGCTCGATCTTCTTGATTTTTTGCAAAAGTAACCAAAGAGGTCAATATGTCGCGCTGACCTTGATCAATGACATTAGTCTTCTGACCTCCCAAGATTGACTGAACATACCTTCCACGTAGTCACGAAACATAGTAGATACTTCGGGCCGAATCAATGCAGAATTTTGAATGGCTTCTACTGGAAGACGATCTAGGAGAGCTTGAACCATTTCTAGTAGCATGCTAGACGCGTCCAAAACATCCTCATAATCTGGCTCAGATGCAGGATCGTCAATGAATGATCCGAGGATCTCTTTCCATAGACTTTCAGCGCCAATCGTATTCCTGCCAATCTCCCACTTATGTCCTTCAATACCACCTATCTTGAGAAGGATCGTATCGTCCGGGTTCTGCGGGAGCGAGAAGCCGTATCCAAGGATGAGTTCCGAGTTGGGTTTTGGTCCGTAGTTGTTAAAAAGTTCATTCCCCCCAGTAGCAGGTGTGTGGAGAATCAGAGATATCTTTGGTTCTTGCAAGGACGAATCGGGAGGAACATTGTTGGGGTACCGGACAACCCACGAAACAGGCTGTCCACGTGCGTGGTTCAACGAATCTATTCCAGGAAGCAACACCGGTTCCGTTAGAGGTGAATGTTTTAGCGATGGCGTCGGCGATAACAAAGACGACGGAAAGGCCCGGGAGGATAGGTATGTTGCAGCCGTCAAGTATCGCTCCCTATCGTAAAAAAAAGATAAACTGTGATAAGCTGTAGACTCGGAAAATGTAGCCGACCATGTAAAGGACTTGCCCCAATCTTGATTGGCTTGCGAGACCCTGTCTAGACAGTCGGCCCACTCAGTTCGCCAGTCGCGTTCGCGATCAAGCGTCGCGCCATATAAGTTGGTTCCTTTGAATAGTTGTATTTCTTCCGAAGTAAAGTGTAATGGCGTCAAAAGTTTTTCGGAAGACGGCAGTGTTTTTAGATAAGGATAGTGAGCCAGTATCTTCAAGTTTGGTTGACTGTATGTAGCCAGGACACATGGGTCAACCGTTGATCAGTGATCGATGGTCTCTTATGGAGGAGATTTACCTCTCATCGCATATTATCCAATGAAATATGATATACGTGCTGATCCATTGGCGTTCGGACCAGTGTGTGCTGGAGATGATCTCCGATGTGTCCAAAAAGTTTCCCAGAGCCAGCTGAGCATGTTGGCGGGTTATAGCCAAGTCGAAGGGACAGGAAACAATTTCCGTGTCCTCTGGTATGTCTTCCGAGGCAACGACGCGAGATCCAGACGTGGCTTGGCGGGAGCGAGTGAGCGAAGTTAGCTTTTGGGACAGCAATTGATCAAGGAAGAATTGATAGAACAGTGCTATCAAGGCCGGAAATCAACAAATAACATGTATTACCTTCACTGAAACGGACTCGAGTGTTGAAGCCTCCTCCGTGTTTTGAGAGCCAGCTTCTCAATGATAGAGCAGCAGAAAATTCACTGGACATGACACTGAGGACCTTGTATCAGTGTGTGGTCGTGTTTACGAATTGGTGCAGAGCGCGTACGCGCGCGCCGCGCGTTCACTTTCATAATTGTCCCTCCAGAGGTCTGAATACTCATTGTTCGGATCAATTTACCAAAGTTGCAGCAGCAAATTTAAATACTTGAATGAAAAAAGATCTTCAATTGGTCTATAGAATTCTGATATTCAACTTCAACGATACCTGTCGTTACATGTAAACTAGTCAGCCGCCAGCCTGAAATTCAGGAAATCCCCGAGAATGTCAGCTGGGCTTTTTACTCCCCAGTAGACTTCGCGGTTCATCCCTCCCTCCACTGAAGATGTTCTTTTCCGCCTTCTTTCCACTCATGGTCTCTACACTGTCATTACTCGCTGTCCACGCCCTCGCGCCGCCCGATATGAAGACATATGATCAAACTCAAGTGGCCGCCGGTTGGTATGAGGGCTATCAGGTCAACGACGGGTTGCCTCTGTCGCAGATTAGCTGGTATAAGTATACCCACTTGATATATTCGTTCGCGTGAGTAAATCATTCAGCCCAGTGATATTGCGAAGTAACCTGGCATGGTAGGGAAACAACGCCAGATGTCAACGTCCTTAGCTTGGAAAAATCTAATCCAGAGGGGCTGCCACAGTTCGTCGCCGAAGCCCGTCGACATGTAGGTCCAGAGAATCGACACGTTGTGATGCGGGCTAATCTATATCCAGGGAGTCAAGGCAATGGCGTCGGTCGGCGGGTGGACAGGCTCCCGGTGGTGGTCCTCCAACGTCGGCTCCGCGGAGAACAGAACAGCATTTGTAAGAACACTGTCAAGCTTTGTCAAAAGGCATAATTTGGATGGTATCGATTTCGAGTGAGTGTAGTCAAACCAAGGTTTCACAAATCTAATCAAATATCAAGCTGGGAATATCCAGGCCGACAAGGGGCGGGGTTTAACGTCGTTAGCAAGCATGACGCAGCCAACTTTCTTTCATTTCTCGAAGAATTGCGCAGGGACCCAGTTGGTTCGTCTCTTGTCCTGTCAGCATGCGCGTCTGTCGTACCGTTTGCCGGAGAAGATGGAAAGCCAAGTGGAGATATGTCTGGCTTCAGCGTGGTCCTCAACTTCATTTCTGTCATGAATTATGATGTCTGGGGTCACTGGAGCAACTCAGTGGGTCCAAACGCGCCACTTGACGATACCTGTGCCGCACCTGAGTACCAGATTGCCTCAGCTATTTCCGCTGTTAGGCTTTGGACGAATGCTGGTATGCCGCGGAAACAAATAGTGTTGGGTGTAGCAGGATATGGTCGGCAATACAGAGTCCGGCGGTCAGATGCGTTTATGAGTGGATCGCCGTTTCTGGCATCACATCCGCCATTCGTAAAAACTAGGGAGGATCCGCGACCATGCAGCGAAGACCGTATCGACGAATGTGCTCTCGCACCATTGGTACAAGGAATACTCGATTTTAAGCGCATAATTCAGGAGGGTTACCTCGACAAGAATGGAGCACCTCGGCTAGGGATCGCATATCGATACGATGACTGCAGTCAGACGGTGAGTATTGGCTGAGCTTGTATTGGGTTACTCAAGAAGTTGGGTTTCATAGCCGTATGTCTATAACAAAGAGACACAATCCATGGTATCGTACGACGATACGCGGGTAAGTGGTGTCCAAGACCTTCAAGTTCTTCGTTACAAGCTGATTATAATAGTCGTTTGCGGCCAAGGGACAATTTATCAAAACGGCGGGATTAAGGGGGTTTGCGATGTGGGAGGTTGGTAGTGATTACAAGGACCTTTTGCTTGACTCCATTCGCCTCAACTGTGGATTTGGTATGCAACTATGATTCGGTTGTCGCCAGTGGGGTGTGCGTTGTTGATTAGAAAGGATTGTGTGCTGAATTTGGTTGTGAAAGGTTGTAAGGTCACGGTCACACTGTTACCAACGCGCCTTCGATCTTGGCAGTGAGGTCTGCCTGTCCTGCTAGTCTTCCTCAGCGTGTAGACAATGGGTACGCTTGATTACCTGTTCTGAAGCCGCAATTTACGTCCGTAAATTCGTTAGATACCGCTGTGTCCAGGCAGCTCATTGACAAGATCTATGAGAAACGCAAAGCAGCAGCCCTTGAACTTGAGAAGTACACCCACTGTGGCAATATGTTGAAATACAACCAATAACCCATTGTTCAGGCAAATTCGAGAGTGCCAGCAACAGGGGGAACACAAGCGCATCAGCCAAATCATTGACCAACTTGTTGACATGTTCAGCAACACCGCGAACCCTCTCCACATTAGGAATGGCGGACTCATCGGTTTAGCTGGTACCGCGATAGCGTTGGGCGTAGACGTGGCTCCCTACATGGAAAAATTTGTCAGGCCACTGCTTGATTGTTTTGTCGATCCAGAGAATAGGATCAGGTATTTTTCTGCGGAGTGCTTATACAACATCGCCAAAGTGTCGAAGGGAGAGGTTCTGGTATACTTCAACGACATATTCGATGCCCTGAGCAAGGTAAGCGATTAAATTCTACTGTTTCGTCGCACTTGTTCATCCAGCCCAGTTAGCAGCCGACTCTGAGCTCTCTGTCAAGAATGGTGCTGAACTTCTTGATCGACTGTTGAAGGATATCGTTGCGGAATCCGCTTCCGTGTATATTCCCCTTTATCCCGAAACGGAGAAAGTACGTGACGACAGAGACGAAGCGGTTGGGGTGCTTGTTCCTCTACCAGATGGGCTGCCCGGAGAAGGCGCGAAGAAAGCCTTCTCGCTGGCGCACTTTATCCCGCTACTCCGGGAACGTATCTACGTTGTTAGCCCCTTTACAAGGAGCTACCTCGTATCTTGGATGAACGTGCTAGATTCAGTTCCTGAGTTGGAGCTGATTTCATATCTTCCTGAGTTTCTGGACGGTCTTTTGTGCGTGATTCGACAACTATATCTTGATCATCTTTTCTTAATACAGTCTATGTAGGAAATATCTTTCGGATCCCACGGAGGATGTGCGAGTTGCGACTGAAAATCTATTAGCTGACTTCCTCCGTGAGATTCGCGATGTGACAGTTGTCTCTCGGCAACTCGACCAATATACCATGAGGACTTCAGTTGAGTTTACACGACGTGCTGACGCGACCCTCGAAAAGCTACCCGATCTTACACTGGACAATGCTGAACGGGCATTGTTTATTCTAGAGAATGACGACCAGTCCCATCAGGCTAGCGAGTCCGCCGTAAAGGAAGATTCTTCGCCAGAGATCAACGACCGTGATACCGGAGGTAATTGAAGTCACCCCCTCCTAACATTACAGAGGATAGTTACCTTCTTGACAGCATGGATACCTGGGCAAGGTGTTCAAATTGATTTCGCCTCAATTATCGAAATATTAATTCAGCAACTCGATGGAGAACGTGAGTTCTTTGGTTAGCTCTGGTGATCCACTTTCAACCCTGTCGATAGATGACGAAATTCAGCAATCTATGGCTTTGAGATGGCTAGCAGAATTCCTTACCTTTGCACAGGATGTCATGGTTCCCTTCACACCCCGGCTCATCCCTGCCATTTTGCCCAATCTCGCCCACCACGTTGCTATGATTCAATCAGCCGCTATTCGCACCAACAAGTTGTTGCTGAATGTTGTTCAAAATCTCCCTTCTCCCGTCGAAACTCCTCCCCCCACACGGCCGATTGCCGAGAAACCACAACCAAGCAGGATTCCTAGATCTCCAACACCTACAACGTCTACAACCAACTCAAGACAATCTACACTTGGTAGTCAAGTCAGCCAAGCATCAAGAGAGGTCGCAACCCCTGATATCCTTCCGGACGTACCTCCCCTACAACGCCATCGTGCTAGCAATGCAGAGCTCTCGCTTACCCCTCGACCTGCTGCCGTAGCAGAAATATCCGCATCTAGTTCAGAACCCAGTCGACCACATTCGCCAAGCTCGCTTGTCAGTCAGCCTGGAATGAACGGCAACCTCGCTAATTCACAACAGCAAGAAGATACAGATCTATTCGATTACCAGGCCACAGTGAATGAGCTGACAATCCAGTTTTTGAGCGAGTTCGAAGAAACAAGGGTAGCTGCATTGAAATGGCTGATTATGTTACACCAAAAGGCTCCTAAGAAGGTATGTTCTACAAGTAAAATCTTTCCGTTGATCACTATTACCAGTTTAGATCCTCGCCATGGACGATGGGACATTTCCGGCTTTACTCAAGACATTATCCGATAGTTCAGAGGAGGTATACCAGTTTAAGTCATTACCATTTATCTCATTAATTGGCGTCGTTTCAAGGTGATAAAACACGATTTGCAACTCCTAGCACAGATATCCTCTAGTTCAGAAGAGAATTACTTCAAAGCGTTTATGATCAATCTTTTGGAGCTCTTCAGCACCGATCGGAGGTTGCTAGAAACGAGGGGAAGCCTCATCATCAGACAGTTATGCCTTAATTTGAACACGGAGAAGATTTACCGTACATTTGCAGAAATCTTGGAGAAGGAAGATGTAAGTGACTCAATACTCGACTTTGGGCAGCTTTCCTGATGTTCAACAGGATCTCGAATTTGCAAGTGTCATTGTTCAGAAGTTGAACATCATCCTCATCACATCTCCCGAACTTGCGGATTTTCGGAAACGGCTGAAAAGCCTAGAAACTCGGGTCCGTCCAGGTTGTGCACATCATTTCGTAGTTACTGATGAATTGGCCAGCAAGATGGCCAAGCACTGTTCACAACGCTCTACCGATCATGGTGTCACAACGCGGTCGCAGTATTTTCCCTCTGCCTGCTCGCTCAAGCTTATGAACATGCATCGAATCTGCTCTACATTTTGTAAGGTGTTTAGAGCTCTGCAAGACTCCTACTTACCTCGTTTATACAGTGCTGATTTAGAAATTACTGTGCCGATGCTCGTGCAAGTCGATAAGCTTGTGCAACTCATCGAATCACCGGTCTTCACATGTCAGAAATCCACATATCTCCCGTGTTCTAAAATTTGACTCTTTGCAGACATTCGACTACAATTACTGGAACCAGATCGATATCCGTATCTCTTCAAGTGTCTCTATGGCTTGTTGATGCTGCTGCCACAAAGCACTGCATTCGTCTCACTGCGAAATCGGCTCAATGCAGTTAATTCTGCAGGGTTTCTACACATTGCTCCGAAGCCGTAAGCGTCCTGGTCCGTACCTTTGTGTAGATCATTGCTCAGTTGACTTCCTTCAGAACGATAGGTCCTATATCCAGTCGTTCAAAGATTGGTCGCGACGATATCAAGTGGCAAGAGCTGCTCCTCCATTTCCGGTCGGTGCAAGCTAGACATGAAAAGGCTCGACGACAGGCACTTGGTGCAGATACGTCGACGATCTCGGGGTTTCCTGACTTGGATAAGCTGGGTGACATGACAGGCGAGAGACCAGGACGTGCACCAACAACCGGTCGCCCACCCATGCGTCGAAGAGTTACGGGTGGAGAGTTACCAAACCCCATGTCCCCAGCACCACCTCTTGCCAGCAAGGGCGGGGCGTTATCGCCTTTGAACCCGAAGGCAAGGGTTCCAAGCGGATTGACGGGAATAATACCTTCCCAGAGTGGTGCAAGCGTTACGTCCAGCAACACGAATGCGGCGGCGGCACTGACGCAGGCACAGAAGCAACGTCGCCCTATCGATTTGGCGAGGAGAGCCTAAGTTACGTGATGATGATGATGATAATGACATTCTTTACCATGAATAGTATTCTACACTAATCGTTCGAACTATGACTGTCGGCCATCCGTTGGAAGACATCCCGTCTAATTGTCGTTGACATCGTCTATAACCGCGAATCACCAGGAACCAGGATATTATTCCGAATAGTGTTGATGTCGTGCTCAGAGAGCCCAACGTAATGCTTGATGTATCCTTCTGCTCCGCCGTATTTACTTTCCAGCAGCTCGAGGAAAGCCATCATTGTCTCGTGACTAGATAAAATTGTTGAAGTCGTATACACATCAGAATTGAAAGTTTACGCACCGGCAAGTAAACATGTTGAGGGCAGCCTCGTTGTTCGAGGCAAATAACGGCTCTTTGGCCAGACGTGCCATTATCATTTCGCGGGCAGGCTCCCGGCCAACACGAGTAAGGGCATAATCACGAGAGACAGCTTCATCGTCCACGCCTGCGAGCTGCATACGCAGTGAGGAGAGGGCGTAGTGTGTCGAAAGTGGCATACCTTGAGCAAAATGGCGGCTATAAGTCCAGTTCGATCTTTCCCGGCTGTACAATGGAAGAGACAGGGCTCCGTGGGCTTATCTCTTACATGACGAAGGATGGCGCCGAACGAGTGGCCACCATGATCTAATATTTGAGAGTATAGCTCCATGAAGGCCTTTGTCTGCTGTCAGCATCTTCGGATAACTAGGCAAAAGTTGGAATTGACCTCTGTTTTACCACTTGCGTATAATTGATATCTCCTATCGACCAAAATCACATGGGTATTGGTGTGCCAATTACCGGAAAGGTGCTATCACGTACGCACTTAGCCATCATCTCTGGGCTGTAGTCTGCAGTTTGGAAGACGGGTGTATGCAAGATCTCTACGCCATCGATCACGGGAAGCGGAGTGTTATACTTTCGGATTTCAGTGTCGGATCGTAAGTCAAAGACTTTAGAGACACCGATTTCCTGTAACTTGGCTTTCCCTATGAAAATGTCAGGTCGGGGAAAATGCAAGGCATCCATGAAATAAGCTTACCCTCTGGAGTGATTCCAGAGAGCTCTGCGGATCGGTACAGATACTCTGGCTTTGTTATTCTTCCAGAATATGTTGCTGAGGGGTAGGAACCAAGGTCCCGAACGTTTATTACGCCGGGAATTGAGACGAAGGGAGGCCGTGAAAGAACATCCGCAACGTATGCGGGGTCGAGCGGGTCGAGGTCGTGCATATGATGGGAGTTGTAGGAACGATGAAGCAGATTTGAGTATGTAAATGAAGCAAAACCCGTGACCTGAATACATATGTCACACACAACACGAGATTACCTGCCCTACACGCGTGATGTGACAGACGCCTCATCATTTTCTACCTCTTGTCGCGTCCAAGTCCTCATCACAAATAGGCTGAAATCTTCCGCAAACATGGATTCTGAAGGTCCTTCATCCCCACTCGCGATGCCGTCGTCTCTTCCTCCAAGCAGCGCTCCGGATCCAGTCGGTTCGGTTCGCGGTGGTACCCCTCGCAGACCCGCCGTTGATGCCCTGACTCTGGAAGACGACGAAGATCAGGAGCCTGGTACGGGCGCACCAAGTCGAAAGCGCAGAAGACCGCGTACTCAGGCTAATGGGGAGGTTCCACTCGTAAAAGATGCTGTCGGAGAAAGCGTGGCGGAAAGCTTTGAAACGTTCCTCAAGACGTGAGTTGGTTGTCGATCTCGACGCGCACGACTACTGACTTCTATCAAGCTTCACGGAAGAGGTCGCCTTCGCAGCTACTCCAGGATCTGACGGAGACGCGCCTGACATGGGAGAAGGCGAACTGATATACATCGAGCAAATTCACACGATGAAACAATGGAGTCTTACTACTCTCTACGTTGACTACGGGCACCTCCTTTTACGCGATGACGTCCTAGCAGATGCAATACAGAAGCAATACAATCGATTTCTACCCTATCTACGACGCGCCCTTCTCAACCTTGTGGCCGAATACGAACCCGAATACCTCAAGATCAATCCCACTGCGGCCACAACAGACTCAGCAAATCTTCTGTCGCGCGAGTTCCACATAGCCTTTTATCATTTGCCTCTGGTATCTGGTATTAGAGATCTGAGGACGGACAAGATCGGGACACTTATGAGCATCAGTGGTACAGTCACCCGGACCAGCGAGGTTCGACCGGAGCTCCTCTTTGGAAGCTTCACCTGTGAAGTTTGCAATGGCGTCGTGCATGACGTTGAGCAACAATTCAAGTATACTGAGGTGAGCTGCTATACAAAAGTTGATACATCTGTCTTATCTTGTTCATAAGCCTTCACTCTGTCCAAATGCTCTATGTGGTAACCGCGTCGCATGGCAACTTCAAATCGACACCTCAAAATTTACTGATTGGCAAAAGGTCCGCATTCAAGAAAATCCTTCAGAAATACCCACGGGTTCTATGCCTCGTTCTCTGGATGTAATTCTTCGATCTGAGATGGTTGAGCGGGCCAAAGCTGGAGACAAATGTACCTTTACTGGGGCTTTCGTTGTCGTGCCAGATGTTAGCCAACTTGGCCTTCCCGGGGGAAACAAAGCGGAGTTGCAGCGAGAAGCAACCAAAGCGGGCAACACAGCGACTGCTGGTGTAGGTGGTAACGGGGTTACTGGACTGAAAAGTCTCGGTGTTCGAGATTTGCAATATAAGACTGCATTCTTGGCATGTATGGTTCATGACTCTGACGGTCGGGTAAGAGCTTTAGATGTCAAAGCATTATCGAAGCCTAATCGCCCCAACAGGGTGGCACAAATATTCGGGGGGAGCAAGAGATGGGAGAAGACAGCGGGCAGGCCTTCATCGAGTCTCTCACAGGGCCAGAATACGATGAGCTCCGCAACATGATTGAGTCAGAACACATCTACTCTCGCTTGGTCGAAAGTATCGCACCGACAGTGTATGGCCACGAAATAGTGAAGAAAGGGCTTCTGTTACAGCTCATGGGAGGTGTACACAAGCAGACATCAGAGGGCATGAATCTTCGTGGAGACATCAACATATGTATTGTTGGTGATCCGTCCACTTCAAAGTCCCAATTCCTGAAGTGAGTAATATCGTGTCTACTTGTGGCTTTTAATGACTCCGCTACAGATATGTTTGCTCTTTCCTTCCTCGAGCGGTCTACACTTCTGGTAAGGCCTCCTCTGCGGCTGGTCTCACCGCAGCTGTGGTCAAAGACGAAGAAACGGGTGACTTCACCATTGAGGCCGGAGCGCTGATGTTGGCTGACAATGGCATATGCGCTATTGATGAGTTTGACAAGATGGACATCTCCGATCAAGTGGCCATCCATGAAGCAATGGAACAACAAACTATATCTATCGCAAAGGCGGGTATTCACGCGACGTTGAACGCGCGAACGTCCATTCTTGCAGCTGCGAACCCAATAGGAGGCAGATACGATCGCAAAAAGTCGCTTCGAGCAAATGTCCAAATGAGCGCTCCAATCATGAGTCGATTCGACCTCTTCTTCGTCGTCCTAGACGAGTGCGATGAGAAGACAGATCTCAATATCGCGAGACACATTGTCAATGTTCATCGATTCCAAGATGATGCCATCAACCCCGAGTTCAGCACAGAAACCCTGCAGAGATACATCCGTTACGCAAGGACTTTCAACCCCAAAGTACTTTCCCAATCGCTGTCGGGTGTATAATTGTTGCTGATCTCTTCTGTAGATGTCACGAGAAGCCGCGGATGTGTTGGTGGAAAAATATAGGATACTTCGACAAGACGATTCAAGGAACTCATACCGGATTACCGTTAGGCAACTGGAAAGTATGATTCGTCTCTCAGAGGCGATTGCCCGGGCGAATTGCACCAACGAGGTAAATTCCTATAAATGATTAGCTCGCCGTCAAACTCAAAAGAATCACAGATAACTCCTGCGTATGTTCGCGAAGCGTTCACTCTGCTGCGGCAATCTATCATCCATGTGGAGCAAGATGACATTGACTTTGATGAGGAGGAACTCGAGGGTGAACGCGACAAAGGACGACCGCACGCACCCACTTCTGTGAACGACGCGGATGGCGAGGACGTACCCATGATGGTGGAAGAAACGGATGGAATGGACGAGACTATGCCGCTAAACGGCGTTCGGGTCATGGGTGCTGACCAAGGTGCTTCTACTCAAGAGGCATCATCACGGGCGGCCACTGCAGCTCCCGAGAGTGAACAGCAGGCAGCGCCACCAAAGCGGCGTATGGTTATTACACACGACAAATACATAACTCTGCGGAGTTTGATTGTCCTGCATCTGCAGGAGCACGAACGACAAACGGGAGTGGGTCTGGATCATGATGAACTCGTTGACTGGTATCTAGAGCAGAAGGAGGAATCTGTTCAGGATATAGAAGAGCTGGAGTTTGAAAAGGAGCTTGTGACCAAAATGCTCCGAAAATTGCTCAAGGTCAAATCAACGTTGTATATGTCGTGTTGCTGCTGACATTTACCTTTTCTAGGATAACTACCTTTTGGCTGTTAAAGGAGATGTACAAGAATCTCTTCCCTCCGAAACTGACACCCAACAATCATCGACGATATTGGACGGGGAGAATATGCGTGTATTCTATATGGTGCACCCGTCGGTCGACACAGAAGGGTCGTCCTTGACCTCAGCCCCATAGATTTAGATAAATCTCCGGTTTCACATTTTTGTTTTTATAGCTCTGCTTTGATGTATTGTAGATGTAATTCTAGACGAGGCGCGTCGAAATTTATTGTCCAAATCTGGGAAGCTCACGCGTCGAGGCGTGATTTTCGGTTGTCACCACGTGGGCGTGCTATTGACAAGAGCGCAACCATGCTCCAAAGACCATTTATACCTTGCCAAGATTTATACCCTACTTATACCACAATTAATCCTCGTCTCAAACATCCTAGCCGTCCGAAGAGGCACGCCCGGATATAATTTCTCGGCGTCAGCCCCGCCATCACTGACCACCTGTCGGACGGCATCTTGATTCGCAGTGTGCACCAATATTTTGCTCTGGACTGTAGAAATCATCAATAGCCTGCGACCTCCATGCTCACAAATCCATTGATAGTGCCGACTATCCTTCCTACAGGCTCTCTTGTCTTCGCTGAGGTTGCCCAGGAGGGACGAGCTCAGGACGTTATCGACACTCTTGTTGACTTGCCAGGCGTGAAAGAGCAGATACTTGGAAACCTCGATGATCATGGGTGGGCCCTACAGAGAATCAGAGTAGAACAGAATGGCAGGGTTTGGGAGGAGGACGAACTCCTGAGTCTTGGGGATGGTAAGCTCGCGTTCGTCAATTTAGCTCATCTAAATTGATCCATCCTGTAGGCACCGTACAAAGTAGTACGCTGGTTGCGCCGCTGGTAAATGCGCCTCCCGCGAAGTCTGAATATCTTCAGCGTCATTTCTCTTCGTTTCCCATGACTGCACACCTGCACAACCCTGTACTTCGATTGGTCTCTCTCCACCCTCAGTTATCTTGTTCTTTGGCTTTTCTTAGGGTCCCAGAAATTCACGATGGGTTTGAATACAAAGTCTTTGTATCAAGGACAATGTCAGTAGACGACGTAATCCACACTGTGATCGAGGAACTTGGTCTGGCGAGATCATTGCCCATTCCTGGAGGAAAATTTGAGTACGTCCTGGAGGAGGTTTGGATAGAAAGGGATTCGCAAAGTCAGTTTTATCTATCTGTGTTTCTATGACTTGCTAAATTTAACGCGCCCAGAGTCCACAAGACTTCCGACGACCTCTCTCATTCCCGAAATTCTAGGCTTCCCCTTTTCAGCAAATCCTTTCGGGTCTTTAGGACACCGGATACTTCGATTTTGTGTTCCTGATGAGTGGTATCGCCGTACAAATTCTCGTGTTGTTCCTACGGCTGGCTCTGAACCCTCAGAAGCGACTCTCAGGCGACTTGCCGCTCTTCAAGAATCTGACCAGGAAGACGAAGACGAAGGGACTGCGAAGCTAGCTGGACAAGCTGAATCGCATCTACGTCATCCCACGGCAACGCAGACTATGGAACAGCGTGGTCTTGTCACCCAAGGCCGTCTTTCCAGCATGTTTGAAGGGTGGCTTCGGCCTACGTCACCCACGACAGCCCGACACAGTACTGTTTTTATTTCTGACAACAAAAAGAGTGTTAGCGAGCCCAGACTGGTTGAATCCCCGACAGGAAACATGCAAGACGAAAACCAGACCACGGCTTCAGCTGACGGGGACAACCTGGATGATTTTGATGCTGCCTTCGAGTTAATGCTGGTAGGTATATAATTCGCACGACATTTTGGAGCCTACTCAATATTTGTTCCAATTGCAGGACGAGTTTGGTTTGAAAGGTGAAAAACGATCTGCAATGTATGCACTCACACGAGATCGCAAAGCGTATCTACTTCGCCAAAATCGTCAATTCCGGTCCTCCAGCCAGCCTTCGGATGCGGAAGCGACTCTTCGCGCCAATAATCCACCCCACTCTGTGACATATGGCCCATCAAGTGCTGCAAGCCTACTTCCCCGACTCATTCCCCAACTAACTGGTGACCCAAATCTGCCCCGCCGCTTCTCTATTTTTGGTTGGGGAGCCCCCAGCGCCACCCCGACTGTTGCCTCGGCGGTCACCAGTGGCTTCAGTGGAGAGGATAACACGGCTGGCCGAGGCTCTCCGGGCAGAGGGAAATCACAAACTATTGAATTTGTTGAGGAAGTGCAACCAATTCAAATCCAAACTACTGGTGGTCTTTGGAGTAGTTGGTGGACATCTTCTGGAGGCGAAAAAACTGCTTCAGGAGACAAGAATGGCAAGAAAGAATCTGGGAATTCGGCCAAATGGTACATAGACGCCCTTTGTATCGGAAAGCCTCCCGATATGAAGCTGGTGAAGCACCTCATCAGTCTACGCGTCCATCTATCAACGGCGAAACTTGCTTTTATTGAGGATTTCGTGCGCAACCAAAAAGGACTTGAAGCTATCGGCGTGTTGCTAGCAGGCTTAGTAGGGAAGGGCGGCAAGAGGAAAGGACTCAACGAGGTAGAAACGACGGTACTTTTTGAGTTAATCAAATGTCTCCGAGTCTTGCTCAACACTGAGGTAAGTAGCATAATTAAACTGATTAAAGGAGGATGTGATGTTCACCGCTTGACAGCCTGGCTTTGACGAAGTTCTATCTTCTCCAACCGTCATTACCCACATTTCGTACTCATTGCACACCCTTTCACTCAAAGTCTACACGCTGGCATCAGAACTTCTTGCGGCTATATGCATTCTTTCGCTCACTGAAGGGCACAGGGCCGTCCTTGCAGCCATGTCAGATTTTCGGATTGCGTTCGAAGAGAATTTTCGTTTTGAAACACTGATAGCTTCCCTTCGTCCCCCCGACGTGGACATTGATTCCGAGAGCGATAATGGGGCCAGTTTTGGCAATGAAGAAGAGGGTGTATGGGAAGCGCGCACGGCTTCCATGGCTCTAATAAATGCGTTGGCAAACTGTCCTGAATCTCTCGAAGAGCGAATAATGCTTCGCGAAGAACTTAGTAGACGCGGGCTAAATGAAGTCATAGTGGTACGTGATTTGATATACCTATTTCTATCGGTTCGGATAGGCGGTTTTCTCGCAGACTTTGAGATACATCAAACCTCCAGATTCCTTGTTGACCCAACTTGATGTATATTCGGAGGAGAAATTCGAAGATGAAGAAGACGTGCGCGAACGTACCCGGACCATGATGTCTCAAGGACTCAAGGCTCACCAGCGGACACGTTCGGATTCTGAGGTGGTTTTCCAAGACCTCCTACAACTAGCCAAACAACACGGCGAATTATATCCCATGATGGTTGATATTTTGAAGCATTATGGACTGCTATTACAACGGGATGTTGGCATGTACGCCTTCTATGGTCTTTGGCACATTAACAGTAAAATAAACCAATACTCCAGACAGCTCAAGGCCGATTTGTTCATTATCCTGGATCGCTTCGTCGAACAAGCAGCAATGCTCGAGAATTTGTGATGGTTTCCCCTTTTTCGCCGCCAGACCTTCAACACTGACTATCACCTTTGATATAAGTGATGAAAGCTGGCATACTTTTTTGAAGCGTTTTACGTCTTCTGTTCAAGACATTACTGGTCAAGAATTGGAGGTTAAAGCTGCTTCGGAGAACGATTCAAGGGAGGTCGTGGAAAGAGAACTGGAGTTGTTGCGCACCCAAGTCGAGGAACTTAGCGAGGAGGCAGGTTCATTCGTTCAATTAAGATTATCTCGCTCCTAATATCGCTCTTATTAGCGAACGGAACTGCGAAACGAGTTAAATCAGCAGATTGCTGAGATAAATACATTGAAATCTTTTCCTCTCGGAATCTCAGTCCCTCACGCAAAGGCTGGAAGGTCCGGGTCTGAGGTGTGCCAGTTCGCAAAACATGATGTCATTGACAGTGACTGGTTCTGCTATAGAACTTTCATGGTCTGGTCCAACGCCTAGTGCAGAAGGAGAAGCAAGTTCTTCAGCTTCAGACTGAGCTTGATAGGTGTAAGGCTCAGAATCCGGGTGAAGGACGGGAAGCTGTACGTTTATTGATTGCAGACCAGATTTCCCATTTGACCTCCGACTAGGATGATCGCGCAAAGCGAGAACGCGATCGAATCAAGTGGAACACCCTTATGGACGAGATCGCCAAGTTGAAGTTTAAGGTATGGGCATTGTTGATGGGGTATCTTGTTTAACTCTTCATGATTGACAGAATGGAGAGCTTGAAAATGGTTTGGGTAGAAAAGACAAAGAAATTGCTTACCTCAAGCGAGCGCTGGAATCAGTCTATACCAGATTTCTCTCAAGAGAAGAGGCTCGTGAGGAGAACAAAGAGGCTGAGATGGATGCACAACTCATCGCTAATCGCGCAATTGAGCGATTGACCCAAAAGGATGAACAGATTGTTGCTCTGATTGCTGAGGTGTCACAGCTTAGAGCTCAATTGGTTGCCAAACCAAAAACAGAACGAGAATTTAAGGCGAAAAAATCTCCCCCTCCTCCACCTCCAACCAGGCCCAAACAACTAGGAATACTTGCTGCCTTATCCCATGCAGTCGATTCCTCGAAAGACTCTTCACGAGACATCTTACTCGAAGCTCTGCCTCTGTCATTTACATCACCAGACACCGAATCCAATCCAAAGCCTGTCTCTGAAACTGCTTCGGACCATGATGAGGCATCTTTCCCTCCGCCTCCGCCTCCGCCACCTCCTCCGCCTCCGCCTCCACCCCCATTTTTCTCACTTCATTCACCTCCACTTATTCCTCCTCATTCGCCCCCACTTCTCCCTCTCCACACTCCTCCGCCTCCACCCCCACCACCGCCGCCTCCCGCACTACCCGGTAATAATAGCTCACCATTTCCACCACCACCTCCACCGCCACCGCCACCGCCGCCCGCTTCGTCGGTCAGTAGTTCAAGTTTTCCCCCTCTACCGCTTGATGGACCCCCACCTCCTCCCCCTGGACCACCAAGAGCAGGCGGCATTCTCAAGGTCAGCAAGCCAAGTAAACGTCTCAGACCCTTCTTCTGGAACAAGATATCCGGACCTTCCGTGGCAGCCACCGTCTGGAATGAGCTATCGCCCAACATTCACTTTGATCTGTCTGACCTCGAGACGACCTTCATAATCGATAACGCACCCTCTACGCCGTCACAACTAATCAGTCCACGGAGGCAAAACGTTACAACACTTTTGGATATTAGTAGGGCCAACAATATTGGTTTGCTTTCTTTCTACCTCCTTGGATCGTGACCAACGTCTCCGATTATTGTAGCTATCATGCTTTCGCGTATAAAAATGGACTATCCTGAAATACGGAGGGCTTTGTTGGAAATTGATGATGAAACGCTGTCCATTGACGATCTAAAGGCCATCAGCAAGCAATTGCCAACATCAGAAGAGGTACATTCATTCCGTCCCGCGTCTTCCTATTTCTTCATCATTGCATAGGTTCAAAGAATTCAGAACTTTGACGAAATCGGAAAACTCGCGAAGGCAGATCAATATTTTAGTCAAGTATGAAACTAAAATAATCAGACGTTCTCAATTTATCCCAAATCTAGATCATCACAATTCCTCGCCTCTCAGAGCGTCTCGAATGCATGCTATACCGTCGCAAGCTAGATCTTGATATTGAAGAAATTCGACCGGATCTAAATACTCTGAGAAACGCCTCCCAAGAACTCCGCACATCCTCGAAGTTCAAGCAGATTTTGCAGGTGGGAAAGCGGATTCTGCTGTTTGCGAAAGCCACCACTGATAAAGCTTTAGGTTTCTTTGGCTGTCGGGAATGCTTTGAACGGATCCACCTTCCGTGGAGGTGCTCGAGGTTTCCAGCTTGAATCCTTGTTGAAGGTATGTCAGGGGTCCTTGAAGTTGGCAATTCACCAAAAGAAAATCGTTAGATGAAAGAAACAAAGACCGCTAGAGGAGGACCGGAGTGCCCCACTCTCCTGCATTACCTTGCCAAGGTCCTTATGCGCAAGGATCAGTCACTAACCACCTTTATTGAGGAGCTGCCGAGCCTTGAGGCGGCTGCTCGAGGTGAGGAATTGTCCTGGTCGCACAGAAGCTCCTCTAATCACGTCAAAACAGTGTCGGTGCAAACAACTACTCAATCCGTCAACGCACTCGTGTCAGGACTTGATCAACTGAAAGTCGAGCTTCGGGAATCCAGAGACTTACCTAGTAACGATCGATTCATACAAATTATGCGGGTAAATTCCACTTGCATCGTCTGGAAATAAGATGTTCTCACTGTCGAATAGCCTTATGTCGAACAAGTTGGACCCATCGTCGGTGCATTGAAGAACATGGGTATTGCGATTGAAGTAGAACTCAAAGCGCTCCTGAAGTATTATGGTGAAGATCCCAACTCCCCAGAAGCGCCCAAGCCGGAAGATTTCTTTGGACTAGTAGCCTCATTCTCGTCGTCGCTTCAGGTAAGTCGAGAATCACTGGTTACCTGGCGATGGTTATATTGACATTTGTAAATAGAAATGTGCATTGGAGGTTCATGATGCTGAGGCTAAGGTCATGAAGATTGTTTCAAAACCTTCCACGCCGAAGATCAAGCCTGCTGTGAGCGCAGGGGTCAGTTTCCATTTCTCTATGTAGATTTACTTACACTAACACACACTAAGACCGTCGTGGCATTGCAAGATCCTCCTTCGACTCAAACTTCACATTCGACCTTGAAACCGCCCTCACAAGGTTACGCGGCCGGCAAACGTTCTGTTGGGCGTGGAGATCTGGACCAAGCCATCCGTAGTATGAGAGAAGGGAAGCGGAGGAATAGACCTCGACCTTTGAGCAAGATCTTCCTTGACGGAGCTAATGCTGGTGGCAGACCTCAAAGTCGGTTATTCGATAGTTGACGCTTCTAATAATTTCCATCTACAGATGTACCCTAACTATTTATCGAATTTTAAAAAATTATGGATGCCATTACAACGTCGACGCTCGAGTGTAAAAACAGTTGATCACTTTCCGCCGAAAACCTTATTTCTTAAAAAGGAGCGTCATCATGTGATGTCGGCCCAACGCACCCAAACGCATATTGCCCGAATTCACAAGTACCCGAGTACATCTTCTGTGAAATAAGTGGTTGCTTTTGCAGTTTTGGCGCCGATATATTTCTAAGATAAAGAATATTTACAAGGGAGTGAGTACAGTAACTACCTACGGCAATCCAAAATAGCAAATCTGTAATACCTATGCTACTAGAGCAACATCTTGTAACGGCGGGGAAGTAGTTGACCACATACCAGTCGCGACTTGGATCCCCTAGCTTCCCAGCCCCACCATTTCCCACCTGGAGGGGCGCCATCCCACGCCCTGCCATGTGTATCGCGTCGTGGTCGCTTGTGCTGGAATTCACCCGACCCGTCGTTGGTGTCGGACTTGCGTGAATGGATGGGGCCGTGTCCAAGTCCTGTCATGCGCGTTGGGCGGTCAATTGCTTGTCTTCACTGCTGGCAGCTTTTGTCGTCGACGGCGTGGTTGGGCACTCGGCGTTGGAGTCATCGTTTTCGCACCCTTGCTGGATGTGGTTGGCGTAGTCGGGGTTTCTGTTTGTGCCAATACCGACGTTGGGCAGATTTTCGGTTGCAGGGTTTGTCGCGTTGGACTTGAGACGGGTTGACGGGCGCGAGATTCTGAGAGGGATGGTATAGGTTTGATATAAGTGTGGTTTGTTGCTGGTTTGTGAGCGTGGACTTGGGCGTCGTTCCCACAGGTCATGTGAGGTTTGACCATTTCGGGAATTAAGGTTTTCGGCGGAATCTCAAAAGTGTGTAAAAACGGTGTCACGATAGGGAAGGGTAGGGCATGTCATTTCGAATGTATGTGTATACGAGTGCGTCATTTCGATACTTATCGCAAAAGAGTCAGTTGAAGGAAAGAAATTTGTCGTCGATCAGGCGCTGTAAAGAGAGTCGCAGGAGATAGATTCCATGCTCGGACTCAAACGTCAGCGAGGATGGAATGACAACGCCATGCAAATATGAGGGTGCATTCATCAAATAAGTTCAAATTCGTGATACCGTGGTGAAGACAACGGGGGAGTTGCGGGGGAGCATGAAGAGTATTTTTCCCAACGGCAGAAATCTTGGCGACTACTTCTCAACCACAACTTTGAAAAGGGTGTACATCGCTTTGTCGGTCCGCAACTACAAATTAAAAACCATGCAGAAGTCTCTCTCCCTTTTTCCCGGACACGATTCGCCTAGAGAAATTTTACGGGGTGTCAGAATTTGCTTGCGAGAATAAGTAGGTGATGAATTAGCAGTGTACAGAGTCGTCGCCGTATGAGACAATGTGCGGGCGGTATTGCTAATATTGAGCAGTAGTGTCATTGACGAAAGCGATGTAGTGGGGGAGGCGTGACGAGAATAGGGAGGAGGGCGGATATTTCGTGGAGTGGGTGAGGTGTTTGTTGCACACGGACGCTGCTACATGTAGAATCTATTTATAAGCACCTACTAATTAGTAAGTACTAGCCGTCAACCGTATCTAACTGTCCGCCTCCCTAATCCTGCACAATCATTCATCATCATATATCCAATGTACCAGGGGAAGACAGCCTCCCAAATCGAGAGCCCGTCAGCCGCCGGTGAGGGCTTCATCAAATACTGGATAGAACGGACACCCAAAGGCATAACAATTGGCGGCAGATTCCCAATACCATGAAGCCAACCATCCAGAAACAAACGCCTCAGATCACCGCAAGGATATACTTGCATTCCGAACGATCATGCACTTTAGCAAGGCTTTCATGATTGATGGGCGCATCTACACAGGTCACATCCAGGCAGATTCAAATAGGGAGAAAAACGAGCTCAAATTGTCCTCTGCGTTTGCCTCCTTGGCTGTCCTTGAAAATGAAGATCATGCAGTGGCTTTCAAGAAAGCCTCTCGAACTGATCCCTTTGAACCTGTTCACGTCGTCATCACTTCCACAACGCATGAACCTCCGCACGTCACTGTCACTTCCGCACCTCAACGAATGAATGGTGTCTTCACCGAGGAACCCCGTTCCGATGATCTGGAAGCTACCGAACAGATGCTCCGGACACCAGATATTCCCAGTCAGTTCAAGGAATTCAAGAAGGAAAGGAGGAAGCGCGGTGGTTTCGATGACACCGAGATCTGGAGTCAATATATTGACAATGTCCTACCTTCGCAAGGGTTTCTCGTATGTACTATTGCATTCTCACATTTTTCCTCCTTCACAGACGTCAGTCCACTTCGCTGGACAACCATATTTGGATGCTTCAGAAGATCCTCAACATGCGGACTCGCCAAGGAGAAGTGAAGTCCTTGAAACAGCTCAATATGTACATGGTCATTGCATGCTTCCGTAAGCTGGGCCAGCGCACAAGTCATGCACGATCAATGCCCTTCTTCAAGGCCTTGAACGACGTCAATCTTGACGAGATTGATTTTGACAAGGCCAAACCCGACATCACTCCAGATGATTCTGAGATCATAATTGATAGGGACTGTTTGGCGGTTCCTGAACTCTCATCCTGGGCAATACGAATTCAAACGTTTGCAATATAATCATAAGTCCGCCAAAACGACCCCCGTTTATAACAAACACACATTCAAGGAATTCCATCAGTTGCTACTCTCCATCCTGGAAATCTACAGAAAGGAGCTTGAGCGAATGAACACTACGACCGGAGATGATGGGCCTTCCAGAGAAATGTTTAGAAAAGCAGCCACCAGGGTCTCTTGGGCCGGATATTTGCTTCACAGCCTCCTAAACACAGGCGCTGCCCTTCGAATGCACTTGCAAACTCTCAGGGGGTCGCTTTCTGGCTTAGCAGCGTCCAGTCTTCCCAAGAGTCGGGAGAACGAACCAGATATAGATCCCATTCGGGTCGACATTGTCCCCAGTGACGACGACTCAATCGTACACGAGGCTGGTGTTCCTTTCAATGAGGGCAATAACTCTTTTGACGAAGAGCCACTCAAGTCTCCCCAAGACGCTGATGGTCGTGATAACGCGCCTGACGAAGAGGATCCCAGTAACAATGGTCATGCTGTTGCTAGTGCAGACTCCAATGATCCGAACGACAATACGCTTGACGATGTTTCTGGGGATAAGTATGAGGATGAGTTTGAGGAGATCAAATCTGAAGCTGGATACCATGCAACTCTGAAATGGATGAAGTTGCTGGTGTCTCAGTTCCATTCCACCCACCTGCTCATTCGGGGTCTCCCAGTCGAGTATATCTCCCTTCAAATACTGAAAAGTCCATCAGTTGGTGTCGACATGATGCCCTGGAAGGAACTCCTCACAGACAGTAATTTCTTTCCCACGTGGTCACCACTTGGTCCAGGTTCTCGCCTTTGGAGCAACCAAGAAATTTTGCAATTTCTGGAAAATGGCATAAATGCAAATCATGGTAGGACAGCTGGTCATGCTCAGGATGCTCTTAACACATGGGATGAGATATTGAAGACTTATCGGTCCAGCTCCGAGCATCAACCCAGTTTCGATCGTGTGGTTCAAGGCGTGACCTGGATCCAGGATAAGACTAGTGTTCCGGGCTGTAAAGCGTGCGCAAAGGATATCCTTCAAGTCCTCAAAAAGAACCTCGTGGACATTCTGGCTAATCCTCATCAAACCTCTGAAGTCACCCGTGGCCTGCGCTACATCGCTGATGTCTGTATGATCTTTGCCAAACTTTCTGTGACTAAATTCTCAGGTTCGCTTCATTGCGAGGCCGCTCTTGCAACGCTCATTAGCACTCCTTTCGATGGGACTCACCCGCAGTACTCTTCACTTCTGAGTAAAATGCAGGTGAGCCATGCTGCACATGATCGACATCCTGTTTTTTCCCCTCTCATCTTGCTTGATAGCATTACGGGCGAGTTATTGGGACATCGAAGCACTGCTGTCCTGTATGTGCAACACTCCTGTCGACTATTACACCACAAGCAACAAACCAGCCATTCCTCATCAGAGGCTCTCATAGAACCATCACGTCATGTACTCTTCCTGATTGGACTCCGCCACACATAGTCAAGGAGTTGATCAAACATTTTGGGGAACCGCTGAGAGAAGAAATCGGCCGATTAATGGAACGTACGCACTGGGCACCCCTCAACTACAGCCCTTCAACAGATTCCTTTGTACCGTTGGTAAGCCGATTACAGATGGACGCGAATCATATCGATGTGATCACCGAACCTGTATGTTGTTTGACCTCAATTTTGTTCTGTCGTTCATTCTGCTTTGACGCAGGATTGGACCTAGTGTGTTTACCCAGTGCGACTCTTGAAGCTATCTTTGTTATCTTGTTGTCCTGCGCAGGCGAAAGGGATTTGGATTTCTTTTTTTTCAATTGTAAATAATATAGGCCTCGCCCTCGCAAGCAAATTGGTGGGCTTGCCCTTTCCAATTGTCAGCCAAACAATTATCGATGCCAATATGAAGGTTTCATAGCCATATATCCTTTGCTATACTATATAAAAGTGTCATCCACGCTGAGCGGAGAAAAGAAAGATAGAATCATGTCAAGTCCATCACTGAATCTTTGGGCCAATGTAGAAAACCGACAAAGTGTCATCTGAGCGAAGCAAAGAAAAATAGAATCACGTCAAGTCCATCACCGAAACTTTGGGCTAATGCTCATCCCCCCCAACGATGCTCCTAGCCCGGTATCGTCCTCATCCTGGCTCCGTGAAGGTTGCGGAATGTTCAGGTACCCGTTGCCTGCCAGGTCGTCTATGTCTTTGCACCCATCTTCGTCTTCATTTTCGTCATCGTCGTCGTCGTCGTCTATCGCAACGGCCGCCCATTCTCTATACACTCCCTGAATGAAGACGTTTGATCTGGGGAGGCGATATGGGTCGAAAGGGAAAAACGTGTTCAGCTCAGCATCTACGGGCTGGTGTCGTAGTAGGACGGATTGTGGTTTGTTAGTGACAGTGGTGTTGGAATTTGGGATAGAGTTAGGGGAGGGGCCGTATTCTGATCGTTTATTGGACTCGAGAATTGTGTAGCAGTATATGAAGTCAGTGTGGTGCGCAACGCGAGCGAACTGCATCACCACGTTAGGGGAGCAGACCTACAAAAAATAAAAACAAAAATGAGCGGGGTTTTTTTTTTTTTTTTTTTTTTTTGGGAAGACAGAGAGCTGTACCTTCAACGGATTCAAAACAGATATCACAACCCTCTTTAACACGCTCAACTCAGGTATCCATTTATTCTTCCCACTCACATTGCTCGACCTGAGCCCTTTGAACGCAACACCAACCTCGTCATCAACATCTGCGTCTTGCAAAAGATCTCTCCAACGAAAACAAAAAATTAAAAACACAGCCTGTGCAACAGCATAGAAAACAGCATGCTGCGCCCCTCCTACCCAGTCATCACCATGAAGCTTAATGGCCTCCTCCACGCCGTCAAGGTGAGCTTGAAGGTATTCACACAGCACGGCAACTACCCTCCTCGCGCCGTCGCCGTCCACAAAAGTTGCTCGTGATACGAAGCTACCAATGTAAGATGCCGCTGCTGCTCGTGTAAGTTCTGGTGTTGTTGGAGAGCTGCTGGCGGAGGAGTTGGGATTGGATGTCGTGGGTGCGGTGGGTGCGGAGGAGAACAAAGCCCGGTCGACGAGCATCCCTTGAAAGATGTCCGCGAATTCTGGGTCGAGGGAGGTGTACCAGAACACGAGGAATTGTGTATAGCGTGATTTAAACGTCCGGAGAATGGTGCGGTCAAAGATGGAGAGCAAGGAATGGAACTGTATACGTAGGGAACTAGATTTTGATGCCTGGGCGTGGCCTGCAGGAGTGGGTATGGGAGGTTCGGCGAGGTCAGGTGGTTGAGAGAATAAACTGTCGAACGATGGCGTCAGTGGGATGGTGAGGGTAGAGGGTAATGGAGGTAATGGCAGTAGTTCAGCGGGAGATGAAAGGCGAGTATTCGAGGATGAGGAAGCTGATAGGGAGGTATATGTGCGGTGAAAATGTTGGAATATAAGGGTAAGAATAGCATCGAGCTTCTTGACCATATCCTGGATGTGCTTCACGTTCGTGTGTAGAGATACTTGAGGTTCACTGTCTCCCAAGTCACCTGCATCTGAGGAAAGATCGCTGAAGTTATCCTCTTCATCGTCTTCCTCCTCAGAGTCGGAATTGTCCCCTTCTTGTCCAACAACGACGTCAAATGGATCAATCTCGAACACATCCTGATCCTGTATATTTTCTTCCTCTTCTAGTTCTTCGATTTCAACCTGGATCTCAACCTATGAAAGAAATTAGACGCTGAATGATCGTCCGAAAAGAGCAAAACGCACATCGATTTGTATGGCGCGATCTACAATTGTCGCCAAGATCTTGTCAGAGAGCTCAGGGCAGTATGTTGACACTCTGAGAAGGTTGCGAATGTACGTCGTCTGTACAACTTGGTTTTGACGTTTATGGGGAAAATGGCGAACAAGGAGGGGCTGAAGGGTTGAGGGCAAAGTTGGGATAAGGGAGAGAATGTGACCAAGAAGATTGTGCAATCTGTCATATATCACGCGACGAGTGAGAGGACTCGATGACCCTTCTGGCATACCAAAATTGAGTGCTTGAATTCCAGATTCTATTTAGGTTTTCCCATTAATGAGGTTGGTTGTCGAGTAGATGAGAGGTGACGCACGATGTGTAAATCCTTGAGCTATTTTGCCAAGGACGAGAGACAGATACTCTGGACGGGCACTGAGAAGCATTCCGATGAATACAGTGTATGACTTTACTGTCGCGCTATCGAGAGTTGTCCAAGGCATGTTTACTAATGCTTCGACCAGTGCAGAGTGTGTGCGCTCAAGACGCGAAACGATGTGAGAGAGAGCAGCAATCCAAACTCGCAATTGAGCTGGTTGCGTTGGAGCATCATTGCTGGATGACTTGAAGTTGAATTGGTTGACGAGTTGATCGAAGGATTCGCTGTTTCCCTGGAGATATCGAGATGGGAATGTGTGGCACGCGATGGGTGGGAGGACGTACAATTGACTTTTCGTGGAGAGCATTGTTGACGAATGCAAGGTACATGTCTCTGCGAACATTCTGATCTTGTTTTATGCGAGAATTTGTTGCGATTGGACGACGGATTAGGAGAGACGATGGTGCTGGGGCACCTTGGGTGTGTTTGGGGGGATATTTTTGATGAGGATCCTTCATAATTTCTACAACTCTTGCTTGTGGACCTGACTTTGGAAAACGCTGATTGAATTGAGAGCGTCGTGAGTGGGGGTCCATTGCAAGTTGTTTGCAAGACGAGGAGCAAAGGAAACTTTTCCTGGCTTACGTAACCACTCGGAACCTTACCATGTCCACCTCGACGTTCTCGTCGGCGCACAGGCTTTATGTCAAGTCTCTTTATAGACGATACCTCCAAAACTCTTTAGATTGGACTATTAGACGCGATCTCTGGCGTCCACAAGCTCTCCAAATCAGAGCAGAGTTTGAGCGGAACCGGTGAGCCGTCAAAGTGTTAGCATCCCCACTCAATGAACTCATTGTGACTCATTCCTAGGAATGTGCACGACCCTCGGGCGTTGGCAGAGATTCTGGAGAAAGCTGAGGCCCATCTCGCAAATATGAAGCACCCCGATCCTTATATTCGTGAGTTTATGATGTATTTTTACGTGGCTAAGCTGAATACAAGACCCTTTCAGCACCCACTGCGCCAGGAGGCACCAAGTGGTACGTTCTGCATTTCCGTCTGGCCAAGATGGTAATCTCAAACTTTTGTGTGCAGGGAGCGGAACACACCGGTGAGCGGGTTGAAACACTTTGATGGCACGTTACTGACGAGACCTACAGCCACCCTTGGGACCGTTGTACGACCACGAAGCTGCAGACCATGGGCACTAGGACTGGTACTTACTGGTACTTGTACTTTGAATTCATTCAATGAATATTCGTTACATATCTTGTATCACATGATACTTTCACGTTCACGTGTTTGCCTTTTGTTGCTCCTTCTCCTCATACCCCTATCGAGAGCACCTATGAACTACATTCGTGGTGCGGTCAATGTCATTAGCGCACCATATCAATATTACAAGGAACTCCCTCCAATAAACCCTTCAACTTTGACTGGCGCCATCGATGTCATCGTAATACAGCGACCGACCGACGACGGAGGTACGGAACTTGCTTGCTCTCCCTTCCATGTCCGCTTCGGAAAATGGCAGGTCCTCAGACCAGGGGAAAAGAAGGTGCAAAGTATTCTCATAAACTATCTACTTCTTACTTATTATAACTCAGGTCAACGTCTTTGTTAACGGAAACCCCATTCCGTTTAATATGAAGATCGGCGACGCTGGCGAAGCCTTCTTCGTCTTTGAAACGGACGATGACATTCCTGCAGACCTCATTACCAGTCCCATAATTCAGCCTTCCGATGTATCGCCCGACATAGTCTCTGACCATTTCGTTTTGCAGCAAGATTCGGGCAAGACTCCCGATGGATCCGGAGGCGAGGAACACGAGGAAGGGCAACTCCGAGAGGAGCCCGAAGCCCAAGAGCCCGAGTTTCTTGATCTTGATGCCCATGTTGGGGGCAGTCAATCAAGATCAGGCGAGGAAGAGCCGGAGCATATGCAGCCGGTGAACACGACCCCGAAGCAGACCTATACCATTCCTGCGGCGCTAAGAAAGTCTGCTTCGCGTAACACTCTACGGCAGTCTACTCTTCCTTTGAGATCACATACAGAGGAGGAGCAGGATAAACGCGCTGATGAGGCTTTGAAGTTACTCAATGGTCAAATTCATGTTCCAGAGGTCGAGTACCATCACGGTCAGTGAGAGGGTCACTCTTCACGCATCGGTACAGCTCAACGTTCCATAGACGTTACTTTGGATGCACAAGGCTACCACTCAGGATACAGGAGAGAGAAATCTAATCCAGACCATGAAGAGTTCAAATTTCCCTCAGGAAGCAGGACTCGTAAATGTCACGCCTTACAAACAAGGTATATACTGATAACTTTCTATATGTAGAGCCTCCAAGTCCTCCTCCACCACCTCATACACAATCTATGCACCACGAAATGCACCCGCAAACCTTCCCATCCTCCGAATCTTCAGAACCAATCACCTTCCCCTCTTTCCGGGCAACATCCGAGCCACCACCTGACATGATGGAAGAAGAAAGCAATCTTTCTTCGTCGTCAAAACCTCCGTTGAAAATTCAACCGCCCCAGCAAGAGTACTCGTGGGAATGGGGCGCGTTTCCTCAACCATCTCCTATGAAGGCATCGTTTGGGAAGGGTGGACGTATAAATGGCAGCGGGGGAGGGCCCCTGCTAGATGGGAAATTAGGATGGGAAGCGAAAAGCATGAGAATGAACAAACCTCGTCGACTTGGTGGGATGCACCTTCCTGAGCTGCAGCACAATGAGCTTAACCAGCAGGAGGAGGAGAAGGAGGAAGATTATGAATTCTCATACCTTCGTGATCGAGTTAGGGATCGTGGGCGAAGTCAGAGTGTTCCCCCCGAGTTGCAGGGAAGTCCGACGTCCAGGAAGCAGAAGAGGGATAGCAGGGGATGGAAGGAATACGAAGACTTTGAGGCGAGTTCACCAAGTCCGGATGAAGGAGCGAGGGAGTACGGCGGACAGGATTCCAATGGCGCAGAGTTTGGTGCAGGGGGTTTGCTAATTGTCAGGAAGGATGATCCCACCAAGTTTATCTTGAAAATTGAAGGGAGGCGGATGGCATTTCAGCTTAGTTTGGTACCGGGCGAATCAGCAATAGAAGATGCTGTTGCTGATTCATTGGACGAGGATGAGGGCAGAGGCAGAAAGATCAGAGACGGGTCGAGAGCGGGAGGTCTGCGTGTGTTACCTTCCAGTAAACGTGGACAAGATGAGGTAGAAGCAACGCGTCTGTTTGAGCAGGGCCTCGTCAGCTTTGACCAGTTCCTGGACGACGAGAGTATATTGAGCCATCCACAGCTTGTTATTCGCTGGGTTGGTGTCGAACAGTCAGTCTTCATTCCAGCCTCATTTTCCGCATAGTACTTATTTGCGTTCTCAGATACGTAACACGCAATGATGGATCCCCCTTGATGGACGCTCTTGCACACTGGCGACAAGCCACCTTGAGCGAGCGCAATACTGGTTATTCCGTGCGTCATGCATCCCCCTCCTCTCTCGAAGATCAGCCAGAATCCGTTTCTTCTTCCACGCCCGCTTCCCCACCAGTATCGGCCTCTCCCTCTCCCCCTCCTACATCTAATACGACTCCATCTGACACGGAGGAGGACAAGCCGAATCAGAATCAGATGCATTCTCGTTCGAAATCTGAGCCACCAGATCAACAGAAACAACAGGAAGATGACCGACAAGTGGGAATGAACGCTGGGAAGAAGCCTACGTCGCTCTCGTGGGTACAGTGGTGGAGTAGGAGCCGGAGGAAAGAGTCGGAGGCTGGTAAGGATGGTCGGCCTGGATTGACGGCTTCACCTGCGCCTTTAGATTCCGTAAGTGCCGTATTCACCTCTGATGATTCTCTCTCACTTTCTTGCAGGAGAAAAGATTGCCAGAACCAGAACCTATACTGAGGCACAAGTCAGACTCAGAAGTCGCCTTTGGCGATGAGTTGCGTCCGTCGATATCGAGGAAGGAGAGACTGGCTGTCGATGACCTTTCTCCTGCTCCTGGTTTCTCCCAAATCACAGCTCCAAAACGCAAATTTGCAAAGACGTTGAGGTTGACGTCAGATCAACTTGTAGATATTCGTCTCATCATTAACATCGGGTACCCTCTTGCTTACGTCTACTTGCCATAGAAATCTCTGAATTTGCGTTCAGGATCAAATACGATCACCTTCTCGTTATCGGCTTCTGGGGCAGTTGCTGCTACAGCTAGGATCTTTGTGTGGGACTCGACAGATCAGGTAGTCATTTCGGACATTGATGGAACAATCACAAAGTAAGTGTGCCTCTCATTTCGATCTTTAGGTCTCAAAGTGTTATCCTTTGACAGATCCGATGGTTTGGGACATGTGTTCGCTATGATTGGGCGGGACTGGACGCATCTCGGTGTGGCCAAGCTCTACACAGATATTACTCGAAACGGATACAAGATTATGTATCTCACTTCTCGAGCGATTGGCCAAGCAGACGCAACCCGCGATTATCTCAAGGGTATCAAACAGAACAACTATCAGCTTCCTGAAGGTCCTGTCATTATGAGTCCGGATCGTCTAATGGCTTCGTTGCACCGGCAAGTTCTTTTTTTCCTACATAGATGGTCACATATCAATTTATGGCGCTTTTTGTTTTACAGAGAGGTCATTATGCGGAAACCTGAAGTATTCAAGATGGCATGTTTGCGTGATATTCAAAGGTTGTTTGGAGAGTCTGCCCGAAAGCCATTTTACGCTGGTTTTGGAAACCGTATTACAGACGCACTGTCATATAGAAGTGTGAACGTGCCCAGTGCGCGAATCTTCACCATCGACTCTACTGGTGAGGTGAAGATGGAGTTGTTGGAGCTCGCTGGGTACAAGTCATCGTGAGTTCGGTTTTCCTTGCCAGCCTTGTACTCTTACTCAATGGGTGAATGAAGGTACATTCACATGACTGACTTGGTGGATCAAATGTTTCCCCCCATTCATCGCAAGTGGACTCCGGAATTTACGGATTTCAATTACTGGAAAGCTCCGGTACAAGATTATCCTCTTCCTGATTTGTCACCTCCTTCACCCGCGCTGAGCGCAAGGTCGGATACCTCAAATCAGAGTGCGCTAGCGCGACTACGGAATTTCAGTTTGGTCGGGAGGCAAAATCCCGTCAAGCTGCCAATGGACGGCGCTCCCAATGGTGATTCGTATCGTAATGCTCACCTCCGCCAGATGTCCTCGTTTGAGAGACTAAGCACGACGCTTGGGTTGAGGCGGAGTACGAGTCCTGAATCACACGCTGGGACTTCTTCGTACGCGGGTTCGGACGATGAAGATGCCGATGTGGATATTTATGGACATAGGAATAGGCAGAGGCGGCGGAGCATGACGAGTATGCCTGGCTCATTGGATGATGACGAGATGAACTTTGGTGTGGATGAGGATGATGAAGAAGAAGGAGAGGAGGGCGAGGAGGGATACGATGATGAAGATGCCGAGGGAGCGGATGAGGAGGGCGGGGAGGATGCTTTTGACGAGGATCTACTTGCTGCTGGAGAGATGCAGAATGTTCCATTTTTGTGAAGGTTGCGAAGAGGCTGAACTCACTTTGGAATACGGAGATACATAGACTCAATATAAGAGGAGAGTGAAACAACCGTCAACAAGAAAGATATCAGCCACTGCGACGATGAAGTACGTCTGGTTGGACGTCGACCCGGTTTGTCGCTTATAATTTCTTCACACTTGAGACTTGCTCAGGACTTTTAGGGTCACGATGATGCGACCGCGATAATGCTCGCTCTGCATTGCTCCAACATCCATCTTCTAGGCATATCAACAGTAAGTCGGGGCGACGTTACGGCCACGCTTGCTGCCCGACTTGTTTTGGTGAACTAGACCCATGGGAACGCAAGCAGCAACCATACAACGATCAATGCGGCCAGGTGCCTTTTTTCCTTCGGTGCACCTAAGCATCTTCGCGTCTACCCAGGTGCAACACAACCTCTTTTGCTCGAGGCAAAACACGATCCAGAGATCCACGGAGAAGACGGCTTGGGCGGCGTTGAAGGTCTCCCTGCGCCTGATGATCCGGGCGTGATTGCCTTCTTCGAAACTGATGAGGACGGCGGCCATGTTCGAGCTTTGGATGGGATGGTTAGGGCCATCAAGCAAACCTGGAGGAAAGGCGATGGTCACAAGGTTACCGTTATCTCGAGTGGGCCAATGACGAATATTGCTCTCTTCGTCTCTGTCTATTCCGATTTGCTGGATGCTGTGGAAGAATTTGTGTTTATGGGCGGAGCTGTAGGGCTTGGTAATCGCTCCTCAGTTGCGGAATACAACATTCTATGTGATCGTAAGTCGATATATTGAATCTATCTTCTCACTGCTGATCCAACGATAAAGCTCATTCGGCCCAGATTGTTCTCAACGCTTCGGTCAAGAAGACGATGATCCCTCTGAATGTCACTCATACAGCCATTGTAACAAAACAGATTCATTCCCAATTACTGTCGTCAACCTTTGTATCGGAATCGGAAGATCACGTCCTTCCTGTTCCTTCCACTAAGCTTCGCCACACCCTCTCGACATTGATCGGGTTTTTCGCTGCATCATACAAATCAACTTTTGGATTTAACGACGGTCCTCCTCTTCATGACGCCCTCACTGTGGCCTACGTATCCAATCCCGATCTTTTCAAGACTGCCCGTCATAGAGTAGACATCGAGCTTACTGGGACTCATTCCGTTGGTCAAACGGTCGTTGATATCTGGAAGTATCGGACTTGCGATGATACTTGGGGTCGAAATGGACGCAATTGCCTTGTGGCAGAAAGTCTTGATGTAAGGGGATTATCACTCAAATTTTCACTTGTTGTAAACCTTGTATCACTTTCTAGGTCAACGGCTTTTTTGGGCTACTTTTGGACGCCATTTCGAGTTGCGACGAAGTTTCTCCGCTGAATCAAAATATCGGGCCTCGGCGCACCACCGATATATAGTGGCCGATGAGAAGCAGTATAGTATTGCAACATACAGTTTCCGCTACCTCGAGACAGATGTAAAGTCTATTTCAGAAATAAACGGGGAGGTTCTTTGCTTCGCGAACCACTGATAGTCTTTGGATAGTCTCAAGAATTTAGATTCGTCGGCGGTTCGTAGCCAATCAGGGTCGATGTCATACCCTGAAGTTTCGCGGTCATGTGATGGTTGCGAAGGCGCGTTGTGGGTCCTTATATATTTTTTCAACCATGGCCAAATAAGATGCAAATAAGCCTGCATTTTGACCCGGTTCTGTGCATCTACTGATTTCTACTTTCGTTCTTCCAACAGCAGTTCTCAGCTGGTTTCGGCGTCTCAACGCTCAACGAAGGCCCTACGCCCTTACGCGCTCACGCAACTCACGCTCACTCAAGATTCAACGATCTCGAACCGAACATCATGATCCCTCTCATTCCTGTTCTAGTCCTTAGCTTTCTGTCTTTCGCATCTTCAGCTTTCGTTATTCTCCGTATCATAATTCCCATTTTGCCACCTCATCCTCTGAGCCGACGTGTTTCCCCGGTGCGTTTTCCCAGATGGTACTGTGTACCGTGAACTGACCGTTCGACAGGCTGAGTTTGGTCTTCCTACTTTCCGTTCACTCTCACCTGCGGATAAGAGTCACATCTGGTTGGCAAGCTTGGATATTTTCGCCATTGCAATTTTCATCTGGCAAGCTGTAGCAGAAGCAACTGGTGGGCCGACCGGGGTTGCCATTGCTGATGATCCAGTTTCATCCATCAGACTGTGGTTTACAGTGACCGTCAGACAGGGCTGCCTGTTGATGATCACAGTCATCACCTTGCTACACGTTCGAATGGGCCGTTCTGTCTCATTCGGCAAGAAACATTGGATGCTATGGGCACCCACTGCGCTGCTGTCGATGACGTCTACAGCTTTGGCGGGTGTCTTATCGGCTGCAGGTATTAGTAGCCTGTTTGTGGGGATCGCCGTCTACTCTGCTACCATTGTCATCTTGAGCACAGTGGTGCTTGGGTGTCTCATTGGCACTCTAGTCATCATTAAGCGCAACCTTGCCGCTATGAACGAAGAGGCTGATCCATGGCCACCTGTCAGGCAAGTGGAAGAAAAAGGCAGACCTTCTTTTTGCACTGAAGAGATTGACGCTATTCGGGATGGTGCGTCCTGGATCACATCGACAGCTGGTGGGAGTTCCCGTCGTAATTCAGCTTCTGCTTGGTCCTTTTCAACGCACCACACTGTCGTGACCGCCTCGCAGCATGGCCACCCAGGTGGACGCCCACAAAATGGCTCACATCCTTCTGTTCCTGCCAAATCTTCTTACTGGTTCAACAGCACGACACCTCATGACATAGATATTCCACCCGTTCCACCGCTGCCATCTCCATACGGTCCCATTTCTCCTACAGCGGAGGATCTCAATGACCCGGACCCCTTCAGGAGAGATATGCCATCGCCGCTTCCGAATCAACCACGCGGTCGTCTAGACTCACAGACATCCTGGTTAACCTCTTCCAACGGGTCGCAAACCACTCTTTCCGCTTGGAGTTACCCAGCAACCGTTTACGAAGGAAGTATCCGCAATGTCAGTTCCCCTGATTTCCAGACAGCCCTGACTGCTGTGTCCCGTCCTGTCACGCCTGCCATGGCCAATGCGCAAGTCCTTGGAGGCTATGGGTATGCTCCAGGGAACACGGAGGCGGAGAAAGGCCTCGCCTCTTTGGCAGCTCCTCCTGGAACAAATCTTAACATTTCTGTCTATCCCGCTATTGGTTGGTTTCTTACTATCTGGGTCCCTCTCGTAAGTTGCTCTTCGGCCTGTCCTGATCAACGAGCTAACGTCGAAATATAACAATAGGGACTTTCTTTACCATATCTCATTTCCCTTTGTCAGCAGACTACCCCTTCCACTGCCTTGTACATTCTCTTCGTATTATCTGTCACACTCTCCTCGCCTCTTTTGGCCATCAACGTCATCTGCGGTTCCCATCTCCCCATACCCACTGGATTATTCGATGTCCGGGGTGAGAAGCCCAAGGTTAGCTCCGCCCCCTCCGAACTTCCCTCGAACAAGTGGTCCCATGAGTACAAGCGTAGCATGAGTACCACAATTACCGCAGTTGAGGGTCGTCGAAGTGGTGACGTTTGGCTTACCAATGGCGACGCTGTGGATGGGAAGAACAAGCTAGGTCGCGCCGTTGGAATGCTCTCTCCGATGCCAAAGCTGTCCGTTATGCCACCTGAGGAGTGCGATGAGCCACTCACTCCTCCGTTACCCATTCAAGACGCGGATTCTTCTTTACCACTCACAATTCACAACACTCCTGAAACCAGTGCCCAGTTCGGAAGGCTCAGAATGGATTCCAAGGCAAGCTCTCACCACCTGTCTGGAGGCGATGAAAGCATGGCGTACGCAAGCAGGATCATGGTCGCCCAGAGGCATTATTCTGCCCTTGCTCAAACGGTCGTGGTTCCCGGGTCATCACCCGACAAACAGCAGGCGACAGGTACTGAGCTGTTCGTCAGTAACGCCACGGGAGCACTCGTAAACAAACCAGCCACGCATCTTCGTTCGCGTTCAATTACTTCTATTAGTGGCCCACAGACAGTCTCCGCGGACAGCTTCAACATTAGTCCCCCGCCCTCGTTCCCGCTGCCTCCTACGCCTCCCAATGTCAGGGCAGCTCGCTTAGCCCAGCTTGCGCATAAAAAGTCCTTCTCGTCTGGTTTCTCCTTCAGCCCCGTCGATGATATGAATGAAATTGATGCATTGACCGCTGGCGTCCTGCCTCTTCTGGTCCCAGGATTGAAGGTTGGCCATGAGATGAAGATCAAAGAGGATGATTGGTCGCCGCCTGGCACTTTCAGTAAGAGCAAAGGGAAGAACGCCGCAAAAAAATTGACCGAGTTTGGGGAAGACTTTTCTTCGCCTGAAATTCACTCTACTCCTGCCAGAAGGCGTCCACGCGAGCCCAGAGGAAGGAAAGAATCAGGACACAAGAGAAACCACTTCAGTTTACCCAGGTATGACTTGGTTATTCTTCAATGAAGACCCTTTTATCTGACGTTATTTTCAGCCTCAGCCTTGGCAAGGATGGAATTCACTCTTTGGCCACCTGGAGTGCAGAGATACGAGGTGCATTGGAGAACAAGGTCGGCCAGTACACATCCATTCCAAGTAACGTCGATCTTGGTCGAAGGAATACCGTCTTTGGCGCCGAGTCAGTTCCCACGGCCCAACCACTCCTCAAAGCCGTACAAGAGGAGGAGGACGAGCACATCGTGAACCCTGGAGCAGGGCTTGGCCGTGTCATGTCAACCCGCTCTCTTGGCCTGCGTGCTGATGTGCCTCGCAATGTGAACACCGCTCGTTCCTCTGTGATCAGCAACCCTGCGCCTACTTCTGCTGCCTCCACAGTGACCTTGTTCGAAGACTTCGAAGCTGGGATGATCTCTGGGCCACAAGCTGAGAGCACTCCACACAACACCGTCTCGCACAAAACAACCCATCGACAACATAATGCACCACCCGTACCAGTAAATCGTCGCTCAAGCATTGTATATATCAAATCTGAAAATCACTCAACTACAACGAACCCACCCATGACAGAATCTTCAAGTTCCTCATCAGCCATGTCTTCTTTCGCCCAGTGGTCATCCCGGGCGGTTCGACCACTTATGACGAAGAACAGCCTCAAGCTCCAGCGCAAGATATCAACCGCAGACTCCTCCTCTCCTAGCCCTCCAAGAGAGGGCCTACGTCCCCTCTCCCTTCTGCAAGACCGCGACCCCAACACTGCACAAGGCACAAGTCCTTTGTCTGTTGGTGAAACTCGGCCATTGACTCTCGGGAAGAAACAGAAGTCGAGGATGGCCGCCCCTCAGGACGAGAATGCGGGTCCGGATTCAATCCGTTCTGGTCACAGAAAGAATCTGAAGTCGCTGAAGCTTGCCAGGTCTGAAACAGCCAAGATGCGGGGCATCTTGCGGAAGGGTGAAATCTTGCCTGATGTCGTCATTCGTCCACCCTCCACCACGGAGGCGTTCGCTTACAGTTTCGATGATTAATTCCGATCATACCCACTTGCTTTTGAGCTTGCTATCGCCGTTTTGATTCTATCTTGCATTCCTAATTTTTATTACTTTTGCCATTTGTCACGCTTTCACGTTTTGCTCTAGACTCTTGCATCACACACACACCACTCCCCATCCATCCAACGTTCCCAGAACTCTCATGCTTTGTTGCTCTCCCGCTTTCTTGCTATATCTGAATGCTCTTATTGCTCTGACTCTCAAACGTTGCTTTCGCACCGGCTGCTCTGGCTTTTTACCTATGCTATAAACTTATGCTTTCCTATCTCTTCTTGTATATCCATACCTACCCAGGCATCATCAACTTATCTGTATAAGTCTCGTCTGTATATGTCTTGGCCATATGTAGCGCGCTCCCTTTCCTGCCGTACATAGAAATGGTCAACAATCATTTTCCAATCAAAGAGGGATTCTGATTCTGAGACTACGAAGGACAATCACTCAAGTAACCCAAACATGCTAATTACAGCGACGGGTGGTGGTCCACCTTCACGTATCTTGGTCTGACCACAATAAGCAATCACGTATTTGGATGGATGCCAGGTTACTGTCGGGGAAGGTGCAAGTGCAGGAACACGATGCAAAGGAACGCCGGTTTCCGTAGCACACTTGAGAGAGATTGAGCCCATTTCTCCGGACAAGATTATAACCACTCACGATATCGATGTATGGTCCTGCGTTTGCAATAGCAAGATACTCGCCATCGTGGGAGAAGCTAAGAGCACTTATGCTGTTTCTGCAACAAGAAATTGTGAGTTAGGCTCGAGCAGACCTATCAAAAGAAAAAAAAGAAAAACTAACTCGCATGCGGTAATTGTACGAGCACAAATCCAATCGTTCAGATCGAACATGTTCACGATAGAATCATAACCCCCAGATGCTAGATATCTGCAAACACTATGTAAGATACGTACGACGTAGTAAAAAGAATGAAACGTACCGTCCGCGAGGATCCAACGCAAGCGCGACACATCCCCCAACATGGGCTGCAGGACTCTCCCGTATTGCTAGGGAAGGGTAATCCATTACGCGGAGGGTATGTTCAGAGTGGTGTGTTAAAATAACACCATCACCGACGTGGTTGAAGATCGCCGTTGAACCTATCTGCGGTCATAATGTCAGGATTCAAGGAACCAGTGGCCCAAAGTTTGAAAAGTTCGCACCGCATCTTTGTCAGAGACGTGCCATTGTTCCTTCGTTTCCTCGCCTTCTTTTCCAAGGGTCATGAAAAATAACTGGTGTCCTGCAGATGCAAACAAAAGAGAACGACCGTCCGGAGAATAGCTTGTCTGCACGGGAGATATCTTCACTGGGCATTGCTGTATATAACGGCTTTCTGAACGGGAGTCAATTGGAGTATTTTTGTGGGAATCAAAGCCAAACATACGCCGTGCATCCCAGAATACAATTCGTCGATCCTTTTGGCTTGATGTGCAAAATAAATCAGGGTGTGTCGGGTTCCAAGAGACGTAATCGACATCATCGGAATGTCCACCAGAGAAATTTGTCGCAGCTCTCATCTCCATCTTGAGAATTGACCATAGTAAGGCGGGTGAACTGGTTACCAGGTGCAAAGTACTCACACTTTTCTCTGGGGACCATACTCTTGTAATTTTATCGATGCCAACGGCGGCCAACTTCTTCCCGTCGCAGTTCCAGGCAACATGGGTCATGGCTTGCGAACTAGGCATACGGTAGTCGCGAGGTTTGAAGGCGGAGAACGTTGGCGCCTACGGGCGGATGAGTTCGTCACAAAGACGTCGTTGGGAGAAGGTGCTCATACATGGACACCCCTTGCTGTGAATGTGGTGTGAGGTGGGGGAGATGGGGGCCTTTGTGGCTGGGGAAACTCATCATCATCTTTGCTGGGCGTTTGGGACATGAGCGAATTAGAGAACAGGTACAGTTTGAGAATTAATTACATCATTCCGGTATTAGTCTACTCAAAGTTCTCACATAAAATCAAGTCAACGACAATAGCAATAGTGGAAAATAACTGAACTTCCGAATACACTGAGAGAAAAGGTTTGAAGATCAGTGAAAAGGCGTCAGTCCGAGTCGCCTGTTAAATCATAAATTTTGCCCGGTGTGAAAGCCCGCGCAGGCAGAGAAATTTCTCGCTTTACTTTCTGATCCTCTCCATTCAGCCTTGCCCTCTTCATTGGCCTTAAAGAACTCCCTTGTCCCAGTTCTCCCTCCAGCTCTTCCAATTCTAGCTGATTGGCAAGGATACCTTGCCTTAGCAGCTCCGTCAGTTGACGTTGTTGCACCAAAATGGTCGCTTGCAATTCTTTAACCCTGGCTGATCGGCTTTCCTGCTCGGACATTGCTTCGCGCTTGAGACATGGTGATTGGTGCTTGATATGCCTAGGCTTTGCGTCCTCCGGAGCCATCTCTAGTTTCATTGGAGGTGTTGTGTCCTCCTCTTTTTTGATATTAGGTTTGACATCATTTCTTGATCCAGTGTTGACGATGTTACTCGGCTTGGGAGGCGGGAGTGGTAAATCTATTAAATCAATCAAAATATGCATCTGGCAGTTTGCTGGCAGTAGAAATATATTCAACCGGAAAATTCATGCGCTGGAGATGAAGCTATTGGAGGTGGTGGGGGAGATGGGTCCATTACATGCGCATTCTTTGAGGCTTGATTATCTGGAGGAGGTGTGACATATTCGAGCCCAGCTGATGGAGATGAAGCTATTGGAGGTGGTGGGTGGGGAGATGGGTCCATTACAGGCGCATTCTGTGAGGCTTGATTATCCGGAGGAGGGGTGACATATTCGAGCCCAGCTGATGGAGTATATCAATAACCGGGGAAATGTAGGCGAGAGGAAAGAGATCACGGGACAGAGAACGGGGTCTCGGAAGGGGAACACTTTTGGCCTTTGGTGAACGCGGTGCGATTTTGAGTCGTTTGAGAACATCTGGTGTTGTCAGTTCGAAAAAAGAACAAAAGTATTTTAGGTTATCAGTCAAACAAACCGAGATATCGATACTCGAAGATGAAAGTTGCCCACGGCTTTTCATCGAGATAATCCACCATGTAGACAGACGAATGGCTCCTTTCATGCGCTTGCACTGAGGAGAGAGGTTCCCCAAGACTGTGGCAGATTCTTTTTCAGAGGAAGGGAGAATAGTTGTGCCACACTTTCACGTACATAACTCGATGCTCTGTGGAGAGCTGCTTGACAGATTCATGAACTTTGCCAATGGAAAGATCACCATTGCGTCATATGTTCCTCAGAGTTTCCATTTTGTTCAGCCTCTTGGATCCGGTAAATTTCACCCTCTGAATTTCTAAAATGATCTTGCCAATTTTTTGATCGAGGTCCTTCCGCTCCAATGCCTCATCATCATCTGAAGTATGCTTGAGGCAAACTAGCATGGATAGATATAGACATGCAGTACTTACCTGACAACTCCGTCTGACCGAAAACAAACGGACAAACTTTTCCATCTGGACTCACAATCTTATTTACCCATTGTGTAGCCCCACCTATGGCGTATCTTCCACTTCGACAGATGAGCTCTTCACCAATGTGTCGTCCATCCGCGTAGACATCCCCATATGTGGCACCGTGGCCGTCGTCATCAAAATCTTCGTCCTCCCAGTTAACACAGAACCCCTTCAAGTATGTAGACATGTAGGAGTCAGCGTTTTGGATATGTTTTGCATCAAAAATGCGACGAACCTGTCCAACCTCGGATGCGATAAAACAGCTAACCTCCGCCCTTCCAGACACGTCTTTCACTTGCACGTCGTATTCTTTGGCTTCTTTACCCCCACCTTCGATTGTTATCCAGGCGGAGAACCCTTTGATAGTGAGCATTTCTGCTCAGCCTGAGGCAGCACGACCTAGAGTGTGACGTCGATGTAGAGAATCAGAAATCGTGGGAACAGTACGACCCGTTGACCGATGCTTAGATTCTAGAATCCTGTTAGAATCGCCCATGAAGTGCAACTCCGGTCGTCTTGGCTGTGAGAGGGTTCAAATCAAGTTCAAATGCTTCGACATACTTTTGTGCCAAGCCACCGCCGCTTACTTGGACCCATTGGTGAATGCGGACATACAAATGCGTGATCGAGTGTTTCCTAAACCATGTAAGACTCCAATCGCTCCGGCCATCCTACTCACGAGATTCCGCCTTCTGACGCTCATCAGCTTTCAAGTGTCTTCCAAGCTCAAACAGATACTTTCTCACTTCATCGGAGCAGTTGATAATGATGTCTTGGTCAAGTCCGTAGCCTTGCCTCACCTCGGGCAAATTCAACGCCGAACGGAATGGAAACACTAAACCACTCTGGAGCACTCTTATACTATGCACTCGCTATCACAACTTATCGCCCCGAAGACACGTCTGGTACTTTCATCCTTAAAGACGTGGGATCCTCCAGCCCCTGCAAACCCATCATCGACATTCGAGGATCAGAACGAGCCGTGCTCATTCCGGCACTCATCATGTTGGTTGCTAGCTTGAGAGCCAGAAATGGACATAGTCGTTGGTACACATACCTGCCCTGCCTCTCTTGTTTGCGTTCATTGGCGGTGATTGCACTGAGAAAACCAGTTTTGAGGTGGAGGGGGTTTGTTGGGCATGCTCATGTGAGACCCAGATGCGCCAATTTCTCTAGAAACTCCCTCGTGTTGTCCCACAGATCTATCCCTCTTATCCTGCAAACCAGACGTGAGTAAGCCATGGGGGATGAATTACTTTGTTGCACTTTCTTGAGCCCTCAGTTCGCGGAAAGTTTTGTGGGATAATTTGTCGGAACATCGACACCCCAATTTTTGAACCCACCGCCCGGCAGCTTGTATCATATATTCTGGTTTACAATTACAACATCACATCTCTGTTCACTGTGATTTTGATGAGCAAAGACTTATTTTTATAGTAATCTTATCCTACAGTGCCGTTGTAGGTTGTGTGACTCACAGCTATAGTTTCGTTGAGTATTTGCCACACGTAAGCTTCTCGAGCCATTCTGCAATCTTCTCCGTCACTTCAGCCTTTGCTTCCACCATGATCCAATGTCCTCGACCTTCAAGCGCAACGTCCTGGTACCTTGAGATAAACTTTTTGGACTTTGTCATCACAGAAGGCACAGCCGTCGGGTCCATTGTTCCCCACATAAACAGGAATGGTAGATCAGCTCTGAGATTCGGTTGTAAACCTGCATACAAATGAACATTTTTTAGAGAGGTAACATACATAAAAATGCGCCAACTTGCCTAATTCTTCATCATGTCTGAATTTAGCCGTCCGGTAGTAATTGAGCGGCCCATTCATTCCTTTTCCAAGCACATCAACGTAGTACGCGCGTTCCTAAAAAATATTTTGATGAGCTTGAGCGAAACGGTGTGCAAAAGCCATACCCGTTCATTGAGGATGGATGCTGCCTCGTGGTTTTCCAGCTCCTGGACATACTTTTCGAGCAATCCAAGACCTGTAAAATTCAAAGACGACTCTGGCGGCCTGAAAAGCACACGTATGAACTGCTTCAACTGGAATAGAGGCAATTCAGTGGTCTTGATAGTGCGTGTATCGGTTGCCAGACTTTACGTTGGCATCAATTTCAGAAGAAGATTTCGGGTTCGCAAAGTAAACTTGATATCCAAGATTAGGAGCACGCTGAGCAACTTCCTCCACGGGCAGATATACTCGAGAAGGGGGAGTATACGGGACGCTCATCCTGTATTCGACAAAAACGAGTCAGAGGGGTCCTTGACATCATAATTTGATACGCGAACATAACGAGAGCCAGTAGACGTTCCGGATGCCAGAGAGCGAACCTTCCGACAATGTGTGAACCCCAGTCATGGCCAATCAAGACCTGCAGGTACGTTTACAATTAGAACCCCTAGCGGAGTAGCGACTTACAGCTTGAGAAACATCTAAAATGTCTAGGAGTGCGGCAAGGTCCGCACACAGCTTCTTAGCTGAATATTCAGAAGGATTCTCGGGTTTATCACTGCCGCCATATCCTAACATGTCCGGGACAACCACACGATATCCGCGACGAACCCACGGGCCGATCTGGTAGCGCCAGCCATACCTACATATACGTATATGAATGTCAAGAACAGGAGGAACGAAATGATAGTAACCAAAAATCGGGGAAGCCATGGACGCAGAGTAGGGTAGCGTGACGGCGTGGGTCATAGCCTTCTGGCTGTTGGTCTATCTAGGTATTGGCTCGGATGAGAACGAGGCTATGTAGGAGAACGACGCGCACGAAATGGTATATACGACCAGTCGACAACTTTTCCGACCTGTGGTTGAAGCTGTCCGGGTCTTGTGTGTCCATAATCTGTGATCGGTTGGCAGTGCAGGGGTAAGTATCAAAGTAGTTCAATCGGAGCTTAAAATTGAGCGGGAAAATTACAAGGCTGACGACCTCGGTGCCGGTGCCAAACTGTGACGACAACCACAACCTCAACACCTTTGATATCCCCCTCAAACATTATTTCTCGCTCTCAATATCACCGCCAACACTACCGCACAAGATATCCAGCGTTCATACGATTTTTCATCGCTTTCACACCTCCAGCATCGCTTTACCTTTGAACTTCTGTCTCATCAAGTAAGGTTCGCCTGCCAGTCACCGACCTCGAATCGCAGTTCTCACTTTTTCATATCCATCTCAGTCACCGATATGCCTGCTACCGTGACCTCACCTACCCCTGCGCGCACAGTCAACAAAGCTGCCTTGCAGAAGCCACGCGCCCCCGTAGCTCTCAAGAAAACAAGGATAGTGAGGCGTAGAGGCAGAGCGAAAGACGCTGTAGAAAGCGAAGATGAGTTTCAGAGGGAGGTGGGAACGGATTCAGAGTCGGACGATGGTGACCTGTCATCGCTCGACTCTGAGACGGACGATTCCGACGCTGAACTTGCATCTGAGAATGTCCTTTCCAATCATCATCCACACGCCCGCGCCCTCAGCCTCAACGAGGGCGCACGACCCGTTGACGAAGACAAGGTGGGCCACTTGAACGGAGATGTGGCGCCTTTCTTTGCTCCCTCCGGAAACTGGTCGGAAATGGTGGCAGACGAAAATGCCAACGGACCCGCGGACCTTCCAGTCATTGAGTTTACCGAGTTTAACGGCGAGACCAATTTTCCCAACAAGCAAACCACTCGTTCGAGGAAGAGTTCGCCAAGACAAAGGCGCTCTTCATCGAGCCCTCCTACATCCGCACCCGCACCCACTTCTAACGGCGCAGTGGCTCACGAAGACGAGGGAGATAAGGAGGAGGAATCTGGAGATGGAGAAGAAGCTGTTTCAGCGTCGACTTTGCCCAGACGAGCCCCTGGTCAGACCGCCCGCCAAGCCTACCAACAACGCCTCGAGACTGATCCGTCATATGTCCCTACTGTGGGTGGGTTCTGGGGACATGACGACCGCTTGATGGATAAGGATTTGCGAAGCCTGAGTGGATGGTGGAGAGGTCGATGGCAGGGAAGAGGCCGTGGGCGAGGCTTTCCGATGAGAGGTGGGGTTCGGGGTGGTTTCCATGGCCGGACAGCTCAAGAGAACGGAGACGTTTCAACAGAGCACGATGGGGATGTTCCTCCCGTTGATCGCCCTTGGACTCATGACGGATTTGAGGAAATGAAACAGAGAGAAGAGCAACGCCGTCTCGAGCAAAATTCCGGTCATCAAGAAAACCCATCGTTCCGTGGGGGCAACCGTGGTGGAAGGGGAGGTTTTGCGTCTGTGCGTGGCGGACGTGGTGGCTTTGGCCGTGGTTTTGCAGCATCTCCCACTAGGATGCGTGTTGCTTCCCCTCTCGGGCGAGTCTGGTTCACCATGAAGCCTGAGCTCATGTGGACGAAACAACACGACGGTTTCCTTTACTTTGAGTCTGCTCTGAAGCCCCGTACAGGTCAAGGTCCTGCGTATCGCATCAGGTTGCCAGGATCCCAACCCAGTGTGATCCGATCTACTCAGCGCACACGACCTACCACTGCATCGACTTCTACGTCTGATTCCATTAGCTCAAACAGTTCAGACTTCGATCTCGTCGTCCGCCTTCCCACACGGGCCGGAAAGCGAAAGGCGGCGGCTGATGCTCCAAAGCAGAAAGCAGAAACCCCCATCGAGGAAGTCTTTACCGTCAGATTGAAGCCGGCTGTTAAACCCATCCCAGTTCCTGACTCAACATCTGCCCCTACTGATAACGTGCCTCTTCCCATAATCAGTCAACTTTCACAGGAATCTAGGCCCCAGGCGGCTACTGATCCTCTGCCTCAACCCTCCATACCATCACAGCTCGAGCAGTTGTCTGTTGAACCTCAAGCCTATGATCCAGAACGACAGGCCCTCACGGAGCAAGCTGTTTTACGCAAGCCTTCATCAGATAGCCCGGTGGAGATCCATGAACCTGAACCCTCTCACTCTGACCAGCGGCCTGTCCTTGCTCCTTTGCAAACCGTATTCACTCCACCTCCACCCCCACCTCCCCCAGCCACTCAGCCCTCCCCAGTTTATGGATCCCCTTATGGCTATGCTCTACCACACGGTATTGCCGTGAATCAACATGGTATGCCGTACGAGGTTGCCACTGGCCGTCCAGTTTACCTCCAACCACCACCTCCTCCACCCATGTACAACCCTCGCCCTCTCATGCACTCGCACATGCCCCCACCTGGCATCCCATTTGTTCCAGGTCACCTGCGACACTCCTCAGTTGTGTCGCCCGATTTGTTGTCCCAGCCTCCCTCACACACGCCTCCGATGAGTGGTTTCATCGACCCTTCCACTGGTACACCGATATTCTCCTTCCCACGCCAGACCTCTCGCATTGAGATTCGAGCCCCGACGGACGACGCAGCAAAGCTACCCAAACCGTCGACGCGCGGTCCGTCAGGACTCCGTACCACTGCGGCGACGTTTGAGCCGTCTCGGCCATCTGAGACCACGGAGAATGGGTTCTACCCTTCAATAAGTAGTCCTTCGGACGGGAGCAGCCTTCCTTCGTACGAAATTACAAGTGGATTGGCCGACGAGGCTTCGCAACAACAACCTATGATGGCGTACGGGCATTACCACCACCAACAGCCGTATTATTATCCGGAGCAGCCACAGTATGGATATCCTTCATACATGGAAATGCCGCAGTACGACATGTACAACATGGACCACCAAGCTCCCCAGGGCACTATTTATTATTAGGCATTCTTGATTTTTTCTTCTCTTTGTGTGTCCCCGCGCATTGTTACATATATTTTTTCCTTCATGCTCACTCACGACGCTACGCCCCCGCCTCGCCTGTTGTTTTTCATTTTGCTGACTCTCTTTTCTTGTTGTCTACACCACATTGATCTCGCTTTTATTCGCATAAACATATAGTGCTCCTATAACTCTGTAGCTTGCCTCTCGTCGCCTTTCTTCGTTTGCGTTACTTTAGGACTCGACTCTGTGCTATTTGATGAGTAGTGTTGGATTACTTATCTTGGAATCATATTTCTTTTTTGGTTCTTGAAATATCAAGCTTGCTTCTTGAAGCGTGCACGTTTCTAAGTTTAACCTACAATCCACTATCTCTCCAAATTCGCATAACACAAAGGCATAAAGCTAAAGGAGATGAATCGCTACAACGCGTATGTACCAAGGTAAACAATTCATCCAGCTGGCAGAAAGCGTCGACTTAGACAAGTCTACAGCCGGCAACTTTCTCGCCAAGAGCTATACTCTTATGGGTTCAGGGAAGGTGATTCGTGGGGAGAAGATAGGCGATCCCTTCAAAGAGCATTTAATGAAGAGGATCGACGTCAATGGGAGCGAGAACAGAGAGCGAGGGGAGGCGGAACAGACACGCGCTACGGCTACGCGCCTTCTTACAGTCATACGTCGGGCTATGGGAACAGCTATAACCACCCATCGCAGAGGAGCCAATCAGCCTACTATCCTGGCTACTACCCTTCCAGCTCTTCATCGGATTCGCGATATCACTCATACGATCCCGCCCTTTCGAGATCACGTTACGAGAATTACCGAAACACTCAATATCAAGGATCCAGTGCAGGCAGCCAATATGGTGGATATCGCGGTAGCACACCAGAGGAGGATTATTCGTACGCAAGGAGCTCTGGATTTGCAAGTTCGGATGGATTTTCTAACGGGCCGGATGTTGGTCGATATCGAGAGGACTGTGACGAGGATAGTGAGAGCTCTGATGAGTATCCCAGCGAGGACAGTCGCGAAGAAGAATCTGATAGCCCTCTTTCGGACAGTGGAGAAGATTCGGGTGGTGATTATGATTATGACTCTGCATAGGGTGTGCTTAGTCAGTACAACTAGCCCACAAGTCTCTTTGTCAACTCTTTGTTCATTACCACCACCGTCGACTCGCCTAACCGTCAGTCATCCCGTTCTTTCATCCATAGAGAAACATACATTCTACTCACTGGTAGGTCTCCGAGAAAATTCATACTGATAGAATGTAGAACTGCACAGCCAATTTTCCAGACCTTCGCTAAACCAAAAACTACAAGTTCAACCTCCCGCAAAAGATCCGCTACTACTCTCTTCGGCCATGGCGTACTCACAGCCCTTCCCTCTCGCTGCACCACAAGCAAAGGGCACTCAGCTGCCCTCCTATGGGCCCGATCTCGCCGTTCGACTCATCTGCCCCGAATGCAGAGACCCCAACCCGAATATCGTCGAGCAGTTTGGTAGCGGAGATCTTGTTTGCGGGAATTGCGGTTTAGTTTTGGGTGACCGTATTGTGGACACGAGGAGTGAATGGCGGGTACGTATCTCTGGCGTGTTTCTTTTGTGAGTACGTCAACCCTAAACCCACACAGACGTTCGCCAACGATGAAGGAGACGACCCTTCTCGTGTGGGCGCTGCGTCAGACCCTTTGATGGAAGGAATGGAGCAGCTTGATACTGTAATCAGCTTCCGTGACGGCGGTTCAGGCATTGCTCGAGAGCTCCAACGTGCTGCATCCCGCTCGCAGAATTCTAGATCCGAACGCAATATTATGACGGCCTTCCGGGACATAGGGAGCTGGTGCGACCAGTTCTCACTCCCGAAAACCATCAGCGACATTGCAAAGCAGCTGTACAAGCGGTCAGACGAAGAAAAATTGCTGCGTGGAAAACCATTGGAAGCTGTCATCGCAGCTTGTATATTCATTGCTTGTAGACAGGCGCACGTCCCGCGGACGTTTCGCGAAATTTGTGACCTCACCCACGTTTCTAAAAAGATTCTTGGGCAGTGTTACAAGGCACTCGAGCAGGCTTTCAATCTCACCCCAGGCGCCTCTGCCGCCCACGCTTCCAACAACCCAGCCACCGGCCCTGAGAACCTTCTCGTGCGGTACTGCAACCACCTCGATCTACCGCCTAATGTCCAGTCAATATGTTCGGATATCATTGTGGCGGCTCGGAAACATGGGATAGCTGATGGAAGGAGTCCTGTCTCTATCGCTGGTGGTGCAATATACTTTACTTGTTACCTTCTCGGTAAAAACAAGTCGCCGAGGGATATCAGCGCTGTGGCGGGGGTGAGTGAGGGTACCATCAGGCTGGTGTATCGACTGTATTATGCGGAGAAGGAGAAGTTGGTCAAGCAGGAGTGGATTGATGATGGAAGGGCTGTCCTTGATCGCCTGCCCGTCGAGTCGACGAGGTAGGAGGACTCTTGGGTATTGCGTGCTATCTTAAAGTTTGTACAATGGGTTATTGACTGGGCTTCTTTGACAGTATGCCAGTTTTCCCTGTAGTCCTTAGGTAGCTTTGGTTGGTTAATATTATTCTTTTAAAGGTCAAATGCGAAAGTATTTGAGTTTTTTGTCGAACGTTCTATAGGACGTTGAAGTGATATCCATCCAGATATGATTGTATTGGATGCAAGGAAGAAATAAAAGACGAAACTACCGACGCCCTTTTTTACCACCACCTCCGCCGCCCCGTCCTCTACTACTTCGTCCACCACCCGCAACTTCCCTCCCTAAAGCGACTCCTCCCCGGCCTTTACTAGCAAACCTCACCGCTTTGCGTACATTCAGATCCGCATCCTCCGGAAGGGGCGCTTTCCGCATCTTCTTGTTATCACTCTCCATTTTTGAGAGGAGGTCCATAGACGCTTTCATCTCGTTCGCGATGGGATTTTCTATTGGTTCAAACTGCGAACGATTTTTTAAAAAAATTGAAGTTGTTGTAGGAGAATAGGATAGCGTACCTTTCGCTTGACACCGCGTACTTTTTTCTCCCCCTCGAGTTTCTTGTCAAACTTGCCCATGCTGGCGGTACTTATCCGAGCAGCGGCCAGCGTCTTTTCGATCTCTTGCTTCTTTTCTTGACGAGGGTTGTTACCAGCCGCACGAGCGATGTTTTGCGTTTGCTGTTTCAAATTTTTCGCAATGCGCTCCTTCCTTGCGTCCCTAGCTATCTTTCGTGGATCATGATCGACGTCTGTGAAATTTGGTGATTAGACTTCCGAGCAGAACAAAGTAAAAAAAAAATGAAAACACACCAGCATTAAGCGGCACCTCTGTAATCCACGCCTGTTCCACCTCCTTGTTCTTCCCATCCCTACCCCACCTATTAACCCACTCCTGCTTCTCCTCATCCCACACCCTCTTCTCCCTGACCTTCTTCTGGATCCCCTTCGCCGCTGCAAAGCGTTCCCACTTTGTCGGTGGCTTAGGCTTCGGAAGGGGTTTCGCCCTGGGGAGTTGGTAGATCGGAGGAGGGAGTTGGGCGAGGGGCCCGTCTGGGGAGGGACGAGTGGGGAGGTTGAATAATGTTGTAAACAATGATTGGACGCCGTCTCGCGCGAGAGATTGGAGGTGCTCCTCGAGGTTTTCGCTTTGGAAAAAAATGTAAAAGGTTAATAAGGGCCCCTACAGACGCGATTCAGAGGATTCTTTCACTTGTAGGTCTCTTCGTCTATGGAATTGAGGTCTGTTACGAGAAGATAGCCTGCATCGACTTCGAGTGGTGTGTCCTTCTCGACCGTGACAGATTGACTTGTAGATTGTTAGTAGAGAATATAGCGAAGATAATTTCAACGTACAATTTCGCTGCATGGGCTGCAAGAACGTTGGAAACGTCCATGACTTGACCACAAAAAAACGTGAAGTTCAATTACTTTGATCAAAAAATTATGCTACGACCATTTGTACTTGATTGCCATCATCCTCGACTTGCAGGTATCAACGTTTTAGGCCTTGAGCTTTAAGGCTATGATTCAAAAAACAACAAGAGGTAACAAATCACGGAGACAACAAGAAGAAGAGAGTAGAAGATATCATGTACCACGGCAGCCACCTACCCAAGTCGATTCAGTGTATTTGTTAACACCCGCAGATCATCGTCTTTGGTGATCTTCAGGTCTTCACTGACCCTACCCGCAAGCAACTCCTCATTGAGCCTCCATGTAGGATAACATGCCTCTCCTTCTTTACCTCCCCAATCAAAGTCGAGCAACATTACAGATTGACCTTCGCAGGCGATGTTTGGACTCCGCAAGTCACCATGACAGAGACCCTGATCGTGAAATTTTTTCATGAGGGCCCGAAGCTGACCCTCCCAAAGCTGTCGGTGAGTTGGCAGCAGTGGGCTGTGAGTGATCGGCGTGGCAGACTTCACATATCTCATGGCTACTGCACACCACCCACCAGGAAGTCGCTCGAAAGCATAGATGGCCGGAGCATGACCTAATCTGGCGCAAAAATCGTGCAACTCGATCGAATACTTTCGAGCAAACTTGATGACGACACGTTGCTTGTCGGGACCTGGCGTCTCTGCGACATACAAAAGGCAGTTGGGTAGCCTTTCAGGAAAGAAACTTTGGATCTCAAAGCTGAAATATTGGTTAGATGGGGGGTAGCTGCGTAGTCTGGTGACCGCAGGAAAAAGACGAGCAGGAGTAGGAATTATGGCAGCCGGGTTCCTCGAAATTGTTGTGGCATCCTGGATAAGACAAGCTTGCAACACAGATGAGGCCACAAAGGCGGAATAGAGACAAGTGCGATCCCGACCATCCGAAGCTGACGCAATGCAGGAGAAAGTTGGTGTCAGGGCAATAATCCGGAAACGATGGTCAATGGCGATGATTGCATAGAACGTGATGTCACATCCTACAAAATCAGAATAAAAATGAAATGCAGAGATATCTAACTTACCAACGATTGTCAAGCCGAGGCAAGGTACCCTCCATCCTTCATAGATTTGTTGATCCATTCTTGAAACTAAACGCGCGACGTAGCCTGTAAGCTCGACTGTGGGGAGTGAATTGATTCCGGCGATCGAATTTTTGAACTCTACACCCATGGTCCCTGAGCCATGAATCGCAATATTGTGACCGTCGGATCTGATAGAACCGATGGCAGCGCTGGAAATCGCAGGAATCGGGGTGGCTCTACGAGCTGCAAAAATCTTGTTAAGGCAGTTTAGGCCTACATCCCCCCGCTCATCTTCATGGCCGAAGTATCCTGTCATTTTGGATGCAAAATCATCCACCGCATCGTGCAATTCCCGAACCTGAACATCAGCGAGCCCAGGGACATCATCATGACCGGCCATAACATTTAAAAAGTGACCAAATCCGTCATAAAGAAGTGGGATAGGTGGGATGTCAGCATCGGGGTGTGGTCGGTCATCCAGGATCTTCTCAGAGGGATCATTTTGAAGATTCAGATATAACGATGGTTCACCCGCATCTGAGGGAGTCATTGTGGCCAGTCTAGTTCGCTTCAAGCGATCGTGAACACCTTCGGCCGGTTCACCAGGCTTGCGTTTGCCTGGACCTGAAAGAGATGGAATTTGAGCAGAGGGGAAGTTAGATGTCCGAGTCGCCCGCCCGCGCAAACGCGATGGCAGAGGCACAGCACCGGAAGACCGAGAAGAGGTTACGGGTGATCGAAGAGTGGGAAGAAATCCGCCAGGATAAATGGATATGAAGTGAGGGAAGACAAATCAGCACGCTCATTCATTATCGATGTCCTAAGTACTCACCAACGAACGGAATCTGCACGACAACATGGAGGTAGCCTTGGACAGGATTAGGAAAGGCGTCCGATAATATGTCCGATTCCAGGAGAAAATCGTCTTCTACCAACTGATATTTGCTGACTTCATTTTTAAGGTTTTTGGTTACCTTGATGGAAACCTTGTACGGAGTAAGTTATTGAAATAGACGACGCTGAAAAAAATCGCTAACCTTATAGATGGTAAGTTGAACAGCGTCAAGACCAGCAAGTGCATGAGAATTCGTCTTCATAACTTCCTTTTTTAGGTCGTCCACTGTGTCGTCGTGTGCGACGTCGACAGGAAAAGAGCTTTCGCTCTTGTCGAGGATCCAGCAAAATAGCTTCATCCTCGTAGAGTCCTTCACCGTGTCAGTAGTCGAAGTCGAAGACGACGGCCCGGCGTGGGAAGCGCCGGAAGGTTTTGCTTGCCGCTTTCGAGCAAACGCTCCGACTTGAAGACCCATTAGTCCCCCGTTTCGAGGGGGTGGAAGACGATCGATGCGAAACATTGGACTTACCTGTCGCCGAGTGTCCCCCTTTCCCAAATCCAGTTCCTCGTCGTTGAATTTTTCGATCGTGCCCCCGAATTGATGTTCAGACGTGTTGCAGAGGCGTCACCGAATGTTTTGAATCCTCTGGTGGATTGTGTGAAGTTTGTCGGAAGGTCTGGAGACCCGTTATGATGCGAGTACTACCCGCACTCCGCGATTCGAGCCGTTTTCAGCTGTTGTGGCCTACGAGAAGGGTCAGGGAGGTGTCGAAGGCTTAGACAAAGGTGGAGGACTTACCTGGACTTACCTTGGTCGATACTGTTCATATTGAACGTCCTCCCGGAAATGGTTCCGTGTCCATCGAGCCTTCAACCGTCAAAATTTTCGATCTTGATGATTTCGCGCCGAAAATGTCGCACGAGGTGGATGGGTTGTTGCCGAGTGTTGGCAATCCTACCGTAACTTAGGTTGCGTGGAGTTTTTCGAGGGCGCTGAAGCCCATTACGATGGGTCCCCACATGGCCAGTGAAAAGGGACAGATTTTTCCGATATGCAGGAACTTGGTAAGCAAAGCTAAAGCGGACTCACAATAACTAGTTGAAGATCCGGGCACAGTGTAAGAAGCGCTGTGAGGTGAGGAAGGCTGAATGAGAGATCTTCGTATTATTGCAATTTTCAAAAATGATGATATGATATCGTTTCCTCGATAATGATATATGTACTTGGTACTACTCGTACAAACGCATACATATGGTTGAAATCGTCGCCCGTCGTGTTAACTTTGGTATTAGGAATGTCATAAGACTGGCACGTCGCCCACATTCACTGCATGCACAACAGCCAAAGGTACCCGAGAAGCCGCTACCACCCAAAATAAAATAAAATGAACGCGTCAACGAGGCAACAACCTCGTCAATCAATCACCGGCATAAACATCCATCGCCTAATCAAACATCAACCTTCTCGAGACGCGACTCTGTCTCCTTCTCATCGCTCGCCTCCGACTTCGCCTTCTCATCGCTCGTCTCAAGGTTAGCATTCACAATGGCAGCGGCGCGCGCCACCTTGTCTGCTTTGAGCAAGACAACCGCCGCGATAAAGGTGAAGAAGAGTGAGAACCATGGGAAGATGGCTACTAGTCTGACTGTGGGTTCGACCGTTAGTAAAAGTAAACAAGAGAAAAAGGGAGAGAAGAGACGTACTGTAGTCAATCTTGCTATACACAGGCGTACTCCCACTAGCAGCCGAAACCTTATCAACCACCTCCTTAGGCAATTCCAGCGCCCCCACGAACGCACGAACGACGGCCTCGCGCGTAGCGAAGAACAGCATGAATGGGATCATTGCTGCCAAAAGGACGAAGCAGCAAAAGAAAAGGGAGTATGCTTGGATGCGGAGGGTTTTTGTTGAGAGCACACGGAGTTTAGCGAAGAACGATGGGGAAGAAGAGGAGGAGGATGAAGAGGGAGAAGGAGAAGGAAGAAGAAGGGGAACGATGTAGTTGAATGTGAGTATCGAGATTAGTGTTGATGACGTTGTTGCTAGGACGCCTACGTCGAATATGTCTAGGGGCGGGTTAACGTCTTTGCTTGACAAGGGAGGATGAGAAGAAAAACAACGACGAACCATGTACATCAATACTAACAACCGTAGGCGCCGTAGCCAACTTTTTCAAGTGACTCTGGGACTGATTCGACTTGACGAGGGAGTTTAAGCCTACGGACGCGGCGATGACGGCGAAGCACCATGATAAAGAGAGTGCGACAAGGCGGGCATTACGCATTGGCATTGGTGTAGTGGCCATTTCTTTGCTGTCTCTAGTTCAACCAGAGGAGTATACGGATACGGGGAGAGGGAAATGGTCGAGTCGCCGGGGAGGAGAGGAGAGACGAAGGAGACGGGGGGACCACATCTCTGGCCCTGCAGCGCTTTTATGCACTCGTATGGGTATCAGCAGGAACATTTTGCTCGTCCAAGGCCGTCAATGAGAAGAGTAGTAGTCCAAGACGAGATGGGATCTTCAACTTGGTGCTCGGTCGTTTTTGGGTACCATGTGGGTCGCCTCACTCGCCTTGGTAGCCCTTGGTTTATTCCCCTTCGCTTCAGCCCTCGGAGCCCCTACTTGCCTAAGAAGAGGGGAAAAGTCGTAACAGGAAGCCTGTGATTTCTTACGACCCCATTTCATATACAAACCAGGCACCGATTCAACAATCAAGAGCGAAATATCGCACTTCAGATGGGGTGTGGCATATGCTCAGGCGACACCATTCATCACGCAGCATGCGTATGCACGGAGTGCTTCACGTGGGCTCCAAGCACTTCGCGACGTGATGGCTGCCCCATTCACGGATGTCAAAGACACCCACAAACCCAGCTAGCAAAACATCACAATTTTGGGCAGTGCTGGCATAGAATTTCCCAAGGGCATTCCACCTCACTTGGTATTGCAACCTTTGTAGAGCACGCTCAGACCCAGACAAATCTATGACATTGGCAAGACACACCCTGCTACAAACTCATCCCGACTCCACAACGGCAAATCGCTAGATTTGATTTGGGGAAGGCTTCCTTGTGTCGGATAACTTGGTGTGTTGATTGATAAACATTTCCGTGGTAGAAAAGAATCAGCCGCCAGCCATCCTGAGAGAACAAAACGACTTGTTTCCGTTGCAAAAGTAGAATGGCAATGTCTTGTCTTCAAAAAGAAGTCATCTTTCGTGGTGGCGAATGTAGGAAAGTAAAGTACGCACACGTTCCAACTCTGATAGTCTATGATAGTACTCCCAAAGAGACCGTCCAATTCCATAGCTCTTGTTCAGATGCGATCGAACATTGTAACATAGGAATCGTGCACGAGAATTGATGGAGGCCTGTATAAGGTGCAGGAAACAGAGGGTAGCAGACAGCGTGTGCTCCGTCGCTCCATACCCCTCCGCTTGAAGCGCCTGCCAACCTTTGTCGGCTACCTTCCATGGTTCATTATTCCACTCTCAATTATCGGGGTATGAAGACGGCAGTTGGGCTATGAGCAAGAGTCTGACTGCTCGCTCACTGCAGTTTTTGACGGTCAGGTCAACCATTTCCACATACTGCGCTATAATTTCGGATTTCCTGAGAGGTGGACAACTCCATGCGGAAAGAAGGGGTCAACAAATGGAGAGTGCTGTTTCGATTTAGAAGAAGAAAGGAGTCCCCCACGACGTTTATACGCCTTTATGGGTTGACGGTGCGCTGGAGGGGTGATGGTGATGGTACTATGAGACACTCAATCTGTTGCTTGTGTCACTAATTATTCCAACAGAAGCCCGTTCAATCTACAAACATACATTCAAAGGGGAGAGGATTTCGATCTTCTTGCCAGGTCTTGTATCGGTCTGAATTTTGGGACGCCGTTTGCAAAACACGGCGGTCGAGTCAAAGACAACTTCGGCCCCGTCAAATCGTCAATGTCGAACAACCACTCAAGTCGCTAGATTTGATTTTGGGAAGGCTTCCTTGTCGGATACATACTTTTCTCCCTAAGTGTTCGCCACCCACTTGAACTTGCACTCCGACGTTCTTCGTATTTTTCCAGGCACCTGAAAGGCCTATGCATGTGCTGAATGGAGAGGAGGAGGGGCTACTCATTCAACTTGAGAACACCCTACGTGCGAGATGACGTTTGAAGCATAAGCGCCAATGCCTCGTGGATGGATGATGTCGATGAAGGCGTGTTTGACAACTCTTTCTTTCAATCGTCCCTCTTGCTTATAATATTCCAACAGATTCCGGTTGGAAACAGTGATGTCCCCTTTGCCTGCCAGTCGTGACCATACGTCTAGTTCTACTCCTCTTTTAGACGGCAAAGGGGGTACACACTCAGCAGCAAAAGGAGGAAAGTCAACGAAAAGGACGGGTCCTAACTATGGTGTGCCCTATCCCGAAAGCTCGACTCCTGGCTTCAATGGCCTAATTTACTCACGCAGTATACTACCGTCTATATACCAAACTAGGCGCTTTTGAATCAAATTATCCCCTCTACTGCAACGACCGTTTCATCGGCCGCATTCCATCGAAATCTTTTGTCCCTCCTCATACCGTGGCGTCTATTAAGTGGTCCCTGTGCAAGCTTGAGGGCCTCTCGGAGCCCGACAAGGCGCTTCTCTTCACATCACTCTCAAGCCCAGCACCCAAAGAAGACTCTGCCCGTCTTTCTTTGTACGCTCCTTCTGGGCCAGGCCTGTCCGAAAAAGATTTGATCGTCTTGGTTGTTGAGTCGGAGAAGAGGACCAAGGAGGTCTCGCAGTCGGAGAAGCTGCCGGAACGCTCTGATGATACCAATATCCACTACGGCAAGTCTTGTCATCTCCTACCCAAATAGTGCACTCATCAGCTTTGCAGTATGCTATCGTGTTTACTCATCAGAAGGAGGAGATAAAAAGGCAAAGACATCCTTTGATGAAAGCGACATTTCTCTAGGACGAGTCAACACCCTCCTCGTCGCTCCCCCTCACACCGCTGGCTCTTTGAAAGCATGCATCGCAAAGGTGGAAGGCCTTGTAACGCCAGATCATGCGCTCTACAAGGACATGGAACTCTTCCAAGACATGAATAGCGACACAGCCATGATCGACACTGACGTGATATCCTTTCAAGATGACACTTATCCAGGTAGCGATGAAGGTGATCCTGTAGCCCTTGCCAATGCAACCGTCGATACAGCAGCGGACCAAAAGGCTAAATCTACCTCAGGTAAAATTCTCAGTGAATATCCACCAGGTACTGTGGCAACAAACTGTGCTCTTTTTCAGATGGACCAGATCCAAAATTCCCGAAACGCGCTCGATTAACTTTTACTTACAGTGAGTAACAGGTCCTGAGCCAATTCTCATGCTATAGTATCCCACTGCAGATTACGAAGGAGTACAACCCACCTGGCTATCAATAAACCAAGATGAGATCGTTTACACAGATGGAGTTATCGTTACCAGCCGTATTTCTTTCCTTTTCTGCTTTGCCACCCAGTTGACACTTCATCGGGACAGAGGGTTATCGAGGCTTCATGGCGATCAACTCAAAGGGTGAAAAAGGCTGTGAGTTCTCGACTTGCCTTTGGGTTACTAAGTGGTTGTTGATTTTCTTTGGCAGTCGTGTATGAGCGTGAGTGGTCTTCTCCCACTGTCGGAGTATTTGATATTCACCGTTTCCCTAGAATATATTGCTGTTGATTGATTGGTGAACATCGAAGACTGTATGCTTTCGGAATGGGATATGTCAGGACTTAGGCTCAGAGGGGATCGGGATGCCAGTACCGTATACCTGTTAGTATGTAACACAAGAAATGAGGATCTGATTGTGAAAAACGAACACGCACTTGTAAGTGTAACTGCCGACTGTTGAGGCTTTCAAAAGCTCAGTGCTACTCAGAGATTCATATGAATCAGTACATACCGGGGTCTATTCCGAGACCTACTTCCACTTAAACTAGTACTCCCGACTATGCTCCTCAAACAACTCACAAACCTTACCAGGGCGCCACCAGAATTGAAGTATCCATTTATACTTCCACGATCCGGAACCTCTTGAAATCGCACTCCGACGTGCGTAATGGATCCAGTGAGTAGAAGTAGAGAGCTGGAGAGGCCTGCTGTCTACAGAGTTGCGTAGTCTGGTGGAGATACGAAATCCTAACCCGTTGCTTGAGTCACTAATCATTTGAATAGAAGCCTATGCAACGTACAAACATACATCCAATGGGTATATAATTACAATACATTGAACCTCAGGCCTCAGGCCTCATTCCTAAGCAATCAAATATCATATGAACCCGACGTTATTTCTTAGCAGCCTTACGCTGCTTCGCAGTCGTCCGCTTTAGTGCGTGAGCTGAAGTCCCGTCCTCACTGTCCGTCGCAGGCGCCGACACAGGTCCCGACTCCTTCTCAACCGATTGTTTCTCCTGAGCCTGAGACCTCTTCTGTGCCTCAATAGCCTGAGCAGTTTGCTTTCCTGGCTTATGCATCAGATTGATCAAGATAGATCCAACCGTGCCCGAGAGGAGGAGGAGGATCCAGCGCGGGACGACTACCGTCCAGTTGTAGATCTTCGTAAGCACTGTCGCGAAGTGATCCATGAGCCACTCACTATGAGGTATAAGCAGGTGCGAGAAAAGATAAAAACATTGGCTGCTTACCGCTCGCCTCCTGGACCCCAGATTGAGTTCCATGGGGCGGTTGCTGTCCACCCTTCTTGTGCGAGAAATTCGCGAAGGGAGTCGGACCGAAGCCTCAAGTGCTGTGGTCGGTAGAAACGCAAAGTTTGGCCTCTGTCCTTTAATATGACGAGGTATGGTGCCCTGTAAGAGAATGTAAGAACTGTGGACGTCGGCAGGTGAAAGCCCCGTACTGCCAGACGTTCCACTTGGTGGTGATATGAGTAACGTTGAGATAGTCTATGCGACCCCATCGAACGTTTGGTAAGTCTTCCGCAACCTGCGTCTCGTTGTACGCGTTGTCGAAGACTTCATCAAGAAATTTGGAGACGCCTTCTTGTTTTGAAGAGGTGGAAGAGCTGATATCTGACAATCAGAACGCAGCGCGTAACCTGATTTTTTTTTTTACATACATGACGATCATCCAGACCCTATCTTTTTCTTCTTGTTCCGTGAGTTGCTCATTTACAATGATATCCTTGTAATTGTGATCCGTGATGAGGGGTATACGTTCGTCCCACAACTTGTTTGTAAATGCAAGTTGGATTTTTTCGGTGATGTTGATACCAAACTTGGAGAACACGGCCACAGCAGGATCGGAAGTGAGAAGCCTGTTGATATCGAATAGCTGCGACAAGCGCAAAGGCTTGGATTGTTTGGGTTGTGTTTCCACTACAGGTTTGGGGGTATATGTAGGGTCGGCCGAGGCAGCATCGGTGATGGTGTGGACTTTTTGACCCGGTTTCCAACCCTCTGAAATATACTGTGCGTTGACGAACAACGCGCAGGCTAGAAGGCCAAGAGTTGCGAGCTTCATAGTACTTAGGGATGAGGCTAGAAGCGAGCACGTGCACGTGAGGATCACATCGCTGGCAGCGCAAAGTTATTGGCTCAAGTGCAAGTCAAGTCTTGGCCTTATGCTTCGTTCGTGTTGGCGTAGACCATTGCTTGCCTTGTGGCTCTTTCTTTCTCTCTCCCATGTTCTAGCAGCCCCAACTGATAGTGAGTCGCCAGGTCTGCCATCATCTCACCTACTCATACGCTTTTCCCAGTACCATCTGCCGCGTCCTTTTACGTCCCTTCCATACCTGGCGTCGAACAGGACCCAAATCACCCATTGAGGATCTACGCGGGCCACCTCTCAGCCGACCCTAATATCTCTCGCGTCCAAAGCAATGAAGTGACTGCGCACATTTACTTTCTCTTGGTCAAAAACAGACGCATCGCCGACAAGGAGCGTATTATATTTTGGTTCAACGTGAGCAAAGGTTTCGCGTCTTCCTGGTTTACGTGTTGAACTTCGAACAAGGGAGGTCCAGGATGCTCATCGTTCGATGGTTTAATGATGGAAGTGGGACCATGGCGCTGGGATGGAAAGTCATTCAAGGTGAAGGAGGGTGGTTGGGAAGAATATGCCACCGTTGTCTATGGTGTGTGCTCAACCAATCATCGGCGAAAGCTTTCCAACGTCTTTCTAGTGGATCAACCCCCAGGGACCGGGTTCTCTTATACCAGCACAGATCACTATCTGCATACCATGGATGATGTGTGTGCGACCGCATGCGCGACTTCAGCTTCTAACCATACCCCTAGGCAAAGGCACATTTTATGGAATTTCTGAGAAATTTTTATCAAGTTTTCCCTGAGTACAAACATATGGATGTTAGTCTCACCCGCAGTCAAAGCGTTCACGCAACTAACTTCAAAATCAGACTTACCTAGCCGGAGAGAGTTTTGCGGGACAGTGGATACCCTACTATGGTGCGCAGAAAACACGTCTAATCTTTATCTATCTCAATTTTTTTGCACTCAGCCGACGCTATCCTGAATTCTAATCTTAGAGTTCCACTTCTTGGAGCCGCCATCGGAAACGGCTGGATCGACCCCAAGAGACATTACCCATCTTACCTAGATTTCGCGGTCAAAGTCGGGGTGCTGGAGGAAAACTCACCTGTTTGTGTTGATGTTGTCAGAAATTCTCGCTCAAATACTAACGCCACATGCAGGAATTCAAACGTGCCAAGCTGGCCACGGACGAATGTGTTGAAATTATTGAAAAGTTGCCCTCCGACCCCATGCTCATTGAGAAATGTCAACATGTTATATTTGAGGTAGCGAGCGTCAGAAACAGAAAGTACGCCCTTTACTCCTCCGTCTTTTATATCGCTTACAAATTTTTTTTTGTAGAGTTAATGGGGTCGATATGTGTCTGAACATATACGATGTTCGCCTGGATGATACCAGTCCTGCCTGCGGTATGAACTGGCCTCCCGACATGGCCCCCGTCACCTCTTTCCTTGGTGTACGTTTTTTTTTACTGTCATTTCACGTTTGTTTCATTTCCAAATCAATCATCTAGCGCCCCGACGTTGTCAACGCCATCCATGCTCAAGCTCATCCGGGATCATGGAGAGAATGCCGTCCTGACGTCCACCGCGCATTCCACGAGTCTAAACAACAATCTTCTTTCACGGTTCTGCCGAAAGTTCTTGCCAAGATCCCAGTTCTGATCTTCGCTGGAGACCAAGACCTGATTTGCAATTACGTTGGGTTGGAGAATTCGATTAAAGCTTTGGAATGGAACGGCGCTACTGGTCTTGGGGTGCGTCTCTTTACTTTTTTTTTTTTTGGACTTAGTCCGATCTCGACAAAATGCAATTTTAGACAGTGCAAACACAATCATGGAACGTCGCAGGAGCACATGTCGGAACATGGGTTGACTCGAGAAATCTTACATATGTCAAGGTAGGCTTATAACCACACACCGTTGAACAACACTGACGAGTGTACGCAGATCTTCAACGCGTCCCATATGGCTCCTTACGATGTGCCCCATGTAACACACGATATGATGCTTCGGTTCATGGGTGTTGATTTCAAAGCCATCGTTGAGGGCTCTGCCAAAATACCTTCAAGCGTTGGATCGACATCGAAACCTATCTTTGTTGGTCAGGAAGAAGTGAAGCAGACACCGGCGGTTGCGCCAGCTAAAACACCAGAGCAGGACAAGGCTATGTGGGAGGGTACGTTTTCTCTTCTAACGTTTTTCGAGAAACTCGACTCAGACAATCTGGTGGCAGCATACTACAACGCCGGCTCAGCGGCACTCGTGCTCGTGCTGATTTTCCTTGTAATAGGGCTTTTCGTCTGGTGCCGCGTTCGTCGGAAACGGGTGGTCAAGCTACCTACGACCCGACCAGACGAGGACGAGGAGAATATACCTTTGAATCCGTCTTCCCTTGGCGAACGACAGCATGATGAGATAAGTTCAGAATCAATGGGGTTCAGGGGGAAGGGGAAGGAGAGGTCACGGAATGGGAACATTCCTCCGCCTGAGGAGCCGCCGATATTTGATGTGGGGGATAGTGATGATGATGAGGAGTACAAGAAGCAGCCTGGGGGTGCTAAGGACGTGTAAAATGAGGCTCTTCTTGCGTTGAGGAGCATTACAGTATATGTATTTAAGGGTAACTTCTGGGTAACTGACTTTTGAGCTGGTTGAACTCGCATTCGAGCTCTGCTCCGTAAGGTTCAGATGTCCAAGATGACTGTCAAAGTTTTCACAGTTGTAAAGCAGATAAACATTTGAAGGTGATGTACAAGAGAGAAAAAAACTACCCTCCAAACTCCCCTCTCAAACCCGAAGCTAAAGAAGCGAGCTGAGGCAGCGAGAGAGATCGCTTACTTACAATGTTCCGGCCCAGAAAAGGTGTTGCACTTGCTCAAGCTATCCCACTATGGGATATTGAGCTGCGTTTCTTGTGTCACTGAACCATGAAAATAATACACAGCCCCGCCACAACCAGAAATGCCTCTCCTACAACGCAGCAGCAGCAAGAACATCCGTGATAATCTCCTTGATCTTGTTGAATCCTTCCGGCGATAGAATATCGATATCCCATGCACCTTCTGAATAATCTTGTGGCAGGACGCGGCCGGGGCTGGGGCGAGGCGCAAAGTCGGGTTCAATGCGCCCAGCGGCGACGGTTCCACAATAAACGCGAAGGGACGTGTCGAGCAAGCTCAACCCCCACAATCGAGGAAGAGGACAGTCGCCAAGCATTGCGTCATACCCACGACGAATCAGGTCGTCCGCCCTATGACGAAGGTCAGGCTTGTCAGCCCGCCCATCCTCGATTTCGGCAAAGAGCACAGGACGACGGTTCGCATCAAAAACGACCAGAAAGACAGCGAAGTCGACTGTGTCACCCAGGTTGAGGTCACGAGGGCTTTGCGCCGAAACGAGGAACTGGAAAGAGTCTGAATCGCCGAAACAGTAATTCAGCAGTCTGTCATAAGGCCCAAAGTAGCGGTATTCCACTGGCCCGCGCTCCTTGCGACAGATGTCGAAGATGGTACGCAAGCCCTGAGGCCAGGCAGTGTCGCTTGAAAAGGGCATTCTACATCTCATGAATGTTTGTGACTTTATAGAAGACCTGAGGGAAAGCCTACATGATAGTTGTGCACAGTGAGCGGTGCTTGAGATCCTAAAGCAAGACGCAAAACCCTAGACACCTCTGCAAAATTCTGAGACTCTCGCTTTGAACAAACAACCGCATTTGGCGCAATTCCGTAAAGCTAATGATCATTTGAAGGCGACGTACAGAAAAAAAAACGGTGAAGAAAAAACTGTCTTCGTCATGGTTTGACCAAACCGTCAAAGCCACATAGTAGCTAGATACGGCAGGTACAGGAATATGACGACGCAAAACCCCACCCTCCAAACTCTACATCAGCCCCTCTCAAACCCGAAAGCGAAAGAAGCGAGCCGAGCCAGCGAGAGAGATTTGCTTAGTCTCGTGAGCGTAACCCCTCGTAAAAGGAGAACGCCTCGCTCCGCCAACCTGAAAGACATAACGCCAGCAGACGAGTTAACATCTGTGCTTTTGGAGAGCTGAACGCTTCGAACGGTTGATGCGGACACTTGAAGAGAATGGAAAATGTTGCAGGGGATTTTATAGGGTTTCGGAGTTTGATTTGTTATCGCCTATCACCGGATCATGTGATACTTAAAGTTATCTTTTTTTTTTGCTGGTTCTTTGCCTCAACATCTTCCTTTCCAGCTTTCTTTTTCCTGTTGACGCGGCGTCGTTTGGAAGCGTCGTAGATCATAAGGGTTTGTTAGTTCTCTTCTCTTGTATGCTGCGTTCCGGCTAATGCATGTCTACAGGCACATTTACTTACTTGCATCGATACTGCCGCTCAGTTCATGTAAACAGCTCGGGTCGATGCTCGTTCCCTCGAATGTGTACTTTTTCAATCCATGCCTTTATAATTTTATGCCCTTGTCAGGGCTTTTTTTTGAGCTCACGATTTTTGCAGTAGCTAATGTTTAGGTTTTTGGAACCGTCATCGGCCATAGTGCACAGTGCAGACCCCCCCCCTACGCAACATCCATGAACCTAGTCAAGGCTCCAGTACACTGCTTTTCAGCGGAATCACACACTTGGGGCCTGTTACGTTCATGGGAGAATGAATCGGTTCGATCATCTTCGCCATTGGTCTTCGTTTTGGAGGCCATGGATCACCGGAGATTTGGGCTCGGGAAGTCTCTTCAGAGTTGAGTATGGTGTATTGCGACCTTTATGGTGGCGAGGCAGGCTGCACTCATAGTTTTGGGACATACACTACCATGTGTAGGTTACTGTCTGCAATTAATATCTTGAACCCCTAATTGCCTATCATGTTTAAAAGCCCTAACTCCTTTTTTAAAACAGTGGTTTGAGACTTTATATTGTCCTGATATTGTCCTTCGAACCAAGCTACTGCTACCAACGATGACCGGATTCTTCAACAAAGGACATCATGGAGAACCCATCAAGCGCTCGCACATTTGGTTTGACGATGGAAGCATCATCATCCAAGCTGAAGATACCCAGTTCTGCGTACACAAATCAGTGGTCTTGAAACACTTTCCCACCTTGAATGATTTCGTTCCTTCTCCAGGCCCACCATCCGCCAACGGATGTTCTGTCATCTGGCATCTCTCTGACTCTGCCGAGGACTGGGAGAACCTGCTCACCGTGTTCTACGACACCCTGCCGTGAGTGTGCATTCAGACTCGAAATGTTTCGATGGGGTGTTCACCCCGCGTGTTTAGGACATGCACGACGAAAGATCTCATTTCTTTTCGTCTCCTCGCAGCGATGCTTCGTCTAGGGGACAAGTACAACGGTCACAATGTTCGAGAGGAAGCGTTAAAGTTCCTCCGGTACGAGTTTCCTCAAAACCTCGAAGATTGGATGGGCGTCTGGGGAACGAAAGTATTCCCGTATCCTGAATCCGAATTTGACTTTATCAACCTTGCTCAAGAGGTCGACTTGCACTCTGTGCTTCCTGCGATGTATTATACTTGCGTCAAATACGAAAAGCTGGTTAGTTCTCCCCCTTAATTTCATTAATATCTACGAACCCATTATATTCACAGAATGACGTCTTCCACGGTTATACAAACACAGACGGGAGCATAACGCAACTTTCACCAAAAGTACAAGCGTGCCTAGCAATCGGACGAGAACAACTCGCATATGCACTCAAAAGGCACACCTTCAGCTGGCTATACAACAAAAGAATCATCCCCTGCCCACGATGCTCTTCCCAAAAGGAGTGCGCCGCAGCTCGAAACCACCTGATCCGCAAAGTGTGGATGCCCGTCCCTAATATCGGGTTGGCCCTCAATGTGTGGGATCGAGGAGAGTTTGCGTCGGGGCTTTGTAGCGTGTGCGCGTATACGGCTGAGAAGCTTTTCCGTTCTGGTCAAGACAAGCTGTGGGATGAGCTTCCATCGTATTTTGGGTTGCCTAGCTGGGATGATCTGCAGGATTTCGATGATTCTGGTTCCTCCCTCTTGCCGTCGTCGTAATTATAGCGTTGTTGGAAGCTTGACTTTTCTTGGGAAAGACCAACTTCGTTATAAGTTTGTTACAAGGCCGGACACATGCACCATGGAGACTATTGCAAAGCACTTGAGAAAAAAGCACAGTACAAAACACATAGATTGGCGTGGTTTAATGAAATACACAAGAACCATTTCATAGATAGCAAATAATTTAAACAAGTCAAACAGGAATCTCATGCGAGAGAACGCCGTCCCCGAGTTAAAATCACCTGAAGCTGGTTCGATTTAGACGTGCCAAGCGAGGGTTTCGTGACTTTTCACAGGATGCAAAGTGAGGTGCCTATTCGCGGGATCATGATTCAGACTCGAGAGCTTGAACACGAACGGGTCGAAGGAGTGCAGTTCCACAAAGTACCAAGGCCGGAGTTTGGCTTTCCGCAGTTGTAAAATGATTCAGCAAAAGTACACACCGAAACGCGGAACGGCAAAAGATCGCAAGAGGGCCAGATGGATCGTTATCATTTGAGAGGCAATTGTACACCTACGGAGATGGTGATGGAGTTGACAGTCAGCAGCGTTTCTATATCGAGCTCGATGGTCGGATCGAAACTGAAAAAGCGTGGAGCCTTGTAAGTTGTGACAGCCAAGGTCGCCCAGGGTTTGTTCTTGTGAGCCGCGCTGTTCCTGATCGGTGTTTGTGTAGGCAGTGTGCAGGCAACACCGCTCGTAGAGGGTTGCGGGTTTGAAAGATGAGGGAGTATTTTGGTAGGTTGTCGTCGTCGTGAACACGGACTGCGGTTGAATATCTTAGAGGGGAGGCAAAGGAAGACATGTGGCCTGCGCGTATTGTCAGTCGTGGATTTTGTAATCTCGTCGCTGTGCGTGCTTCATTGTGGGCTTGTAACCTCATCGCGCCATCTCAAAATATCCGTGTACTGGTCATCCTCAAACCCATCGGCTTCCACAGGACCAATATCGCTGCCTCCTCTACCTCTTTTGTTCACATGACCACTTTCCTCAGTCTCCGACCGCTGTCGTTTTATAATACGATCAGGACTGCGCCACTTGTTGCTCTCGAGTTCTGCTTCACTTGGGAATTCCCATGTCTCGAGCTCCGCGGCCAGGGTACCATGAATATCCCTCTCAAGTTTTGCGCAAAACACATAAAAATGCAGCAGTTGAGCAGGGTCAGACAATCTAAAGTCTTGCTTGTGTGCATATATGCAGATCGCCTGAGAACGCTTGAGTTTTTTTTTTGCAGCTGGCACATAACTACAAACATACCGAGGGGTCATGCATCCAATACGAAGAGAAAATCTCCACATGGCCACGAGAGGTAATAGCCCCCATAATGATAGAGTCCTTGAGTGAGAGAGCTTTCCGCTGAGACTGTGCAGTGACAAGCATCATGATTAGCCGGTTCTTGTTGCAGTCGTAATCGTCCTTCCTGAACTCTCCAACAAACCCAATGATTGAGAAGCCACCTGTCGACCCAGCAGAGGACCAATACAGGTGTTCTGAAAGCGTTGGGTCACGTTGAGAGAACCGCTGAAATCTTATTCCATCGCCGATTGTCGCTGAAGGGATCGTGACCAAGACGTCGGACTCTGCATCTGGATTGCCAGCCAACCCCTTGAGGCGATAGCTTTCTTCAGCTCTGATGGCAAGACTATAGGAGCTATATGCAAGCACGAGCAGAGAAAACGTACTCGAAGTCACAACGACAAGCTTGAAGCCTCGCACTGAAAGCTAATTCGATGATGTTGTCAACACCACGACGCTGAGCATGTTCTGTGGAATGGTTGTCTGAACTTGTGTTGCGAATGCGCCTCCAAGCGAGGGAGAGAATGGGAAGCGCAGGTAGGATATCATACTCGTCTCTTTCCACAGCGCGAAACGACGCAGCCCAAGAGCGCACGGCGCGCTGGAATTCCTGTTCGTTGTCTAATTGCGGTGCCGGTAAAGTACCCTACTTGAAAGTTATGAGTGATAGATATGCAGGCAGGGAGTAGTACTAACGTGAATCAGAATGTTGGGCACTTCTGCCATCGCATACAGTTTGTCGAAGTGGTCCAGAACTCCTCTGGGAGGGATCGCTCCATCAATAACTCTCGCGCCATACGTCCATTCATAAAACAGAGTGGGTGACTTTGCAACCCTTAGCGAGACAATGAAACCCATTGGAATCAGTGAGCAATATGAGGCGACTCACTTTAATGGTAACACACTGCTAGAGCATTCGGAGACCAAGGATGGGGTCTGGGTTGGGGAGTTCGAGAGAGAGTTCATGGACGCAATGAAGCGCATTGTGGAGACGGGTACCAGTAGTGTGAAACAAGATCGAGATTCATGGCCTCTGCTCTTTTCACCATCACTCCGTAGAAAGGTCACAAATAATTTATATAATGGAGAGCATGGGGCAGACGTTCGTAACTGAAACGCTTTGAGGGAAGGGCGACGTCGTAAGTCCTCGTGAAGATCTCCAGGCAGGTGTCGAATGCAGGAACTTGAAGCGAGGAATATAAATGCGATATATAACAGACATGCCCGTGTATGATGGGAGCGACGTGAATTCCGAAGAACAATTACTACAACTCTAGCGCAGAAAAAGCTTTTTGGTTGGATTGAAGAGAGAGTCCTCCACGGAATAGTAATTTGGCACACTACAAAATACACTGAAAATATACTGTAGATAATTTAAACGAAGCAGCCATCCAGGGGCATAGGAATGAATGAATGAATGTAAAGGATAGAAAAAATGCAAGGTATAATGCAAAAAAAAAACGAAAACGAAAACGCGAGTCCAGTGGGAGGAATCACCACCTCATGCGAGAAAACGCCGTCCCCGAGTTAAAATTCAACTCCTGAAGCTGGTTCGATTTCGACGTGCCAATCGAGGGTTTCGTGAACGACACCGGTGCAGGTCCATCACCCAATAAAGTCCCAATTCTCACAGGATGCGAAGTGAGGCGATGCCTATTCGTGGGATGATCATAGAGCTTGAACACGGACGGGTCGAAGGAGTGCAGTTCCACAAAGTACTAAAAGGCCGGGGGTTCAGCGTTCCGCGATTGAAAACGATAGAGCAATGTACATACCGAAACGCAAAACGGCAAAAAATCACAAGAAGGCTGCAATTCCTTCCGTAAATGAATCTCGCCCGAATACCTCCGAACATTAGGTCCTTCTTCAACTCGAAGACCATCATCATCACCCAGCGCCCACCAAACCGCCTTTTCCACATCCTCAACACCTTCAATGAGCCCTGTCATCTTGGCCTGCTTCCCTATAACGTGAGCGGCTGTGGCTTGCGAGGCGTCTTGGGAGAAATGGACCCTTCGGACGAGTTTGACGTTGATCATCTTGGGAGAAGAGGCGAGCATGTCGAGGGCGAGTGCGTCTTGTGTGTGGATTCGGATGTGGAGTGGGATTATGGTGCCTCGCGTGTAACATTGCTATCATGAAAGAGGGGGGGTTGGTGGTTGGTTTGGTTGGCGAGAAGAAGGCGAAAAGGGCTTACGGGATTTGCAAGACACAGCTGTGGTTTTAAACTGATCGTAAGTGGGAGAAAGTTTGTCGAGATGAAGAAGGGTAGTTACCAAACACTCAAGACCGACATCGTACCCCAAGAGTTGACCACGAATGAGAACTTTGGGTAACATCAGCCATCCAGCCGGATCCAAATGGGGAGGAGGCGCGATCCTGCCATCCCTGTAGGCTTGTTGGCTCAAGAACGACGATGGACCCGGCTTGATATCTGGGACGTAAACAACCCCCGTCTGCAACCTGAACTTGACAATGAGAATGGGACTATGTGATAGGAAAACAATTCGGCGTACTTGCTATCGGGACGAAGAAGCCCATGAGTGATATGCAACACCAAATCATACTGCACATTCGCGTTCGTCCCGCGTTCAAGGAACGTCTGTGGTGCCGGAAACGTCTCTGACTCTCGACCTGGGATGCAGACTTCCTGTGGAAAAGGGAAAGAGAACGGCCAAGAATGCGCGCCGACTAGCTTTCCATCCATGGTCTTGTTCGTGGAACTGCGGTGCCAGATGGGAACACGATGGTCCATGAAAGTATACGACCCTCCATCCAAAAAACTTGTAATCACTCTTCCACGTAGCTGTACGGAATCAGACGCGTCATTCTCATTTGAGATGTACTCACGGAGATGGTGATAGAATTGACGGTCAGCGGCGTTTCTATATCAAACTCGATGGTCCCTGCGACGGGATCAGAACCGAAAAAGCGTGGAGCCTTTTGAGTAGTGACGTCCGCTTTACTGAAGACCGTCAAGGTTGCCCATGGTTTGTTCTTGTGAGCGCCACCGTTCCTGATATGAAAGCGGTGTTTGCAGTGTGTGGGCAACACCGCTCGTGGTGGGTTGTTGCGGGGTTGAAAGACGAGTGAGTACCTGGGTAAGTCGTCGCGAACTGCGGTTGAATATCTTGGAGGGAATGCAAAGGAAGACATATGGCCTGCGCATATCGTCGTTAGTCGATGGCTTTTGTACTTCTGGGCGCGTTATTGTGAACGGGATAACAATAACTTTACGGTATCCCAGAACAACAGCATCCACTTTCCATATCGGGCAGGTCTTTTACTAACTTTAGACGCGCTTCAGTATAAAGCTTTTCTTTCAGTTTTTTACTCGTACTCACCAATCCATGCCAACGCCTCCCAGCAAGACGCGTCGCAAAAAACCCATCTGCCGGCAATGCGGTACCCGCATGGTAGGCCACAAACGCGGCGTCCAAGGCTCTCCCATCTGTCCACAAAAACTATCCTCCCTCGCTTCCCCACCCCAATCCCCAACAACGCCACTCAGACCCTTTGAATTCGTTCCCGACCCCGCATTCTACACCGAAATGAAATGCGGCACCCTCCGACGCGTCAACCCCAATTTCGTAGATAGGAAAGTCCCCATCCCAGAACTTCTCCGTCTAAGCGCGGCGGGGTCTCTCGTTCCCACCGTGTTGGTCGATGACGACGGGAACACGATTCGTGGGTCGAATCATGGCGGGGATCTTCCGAGTGACGAGGAAGATGATGTGGATTATGAGGACGACGAGGATGAGGATGAAGACGAGTGTTGCCTTGACAACGCTTTATTAGATATCCCTCACCCCATGCTCACCATTTTCCGCACCAAAGACAAAGACCTCGCCAAGATGCAGGAGACCGCCGTACGCATGGGCGTTCACTACGGCATCATGACGCCCCCCAACACTCCCCCGAACAAGAAGACGCTCAATCACAATCAAAACTTGTCGACACCCCTCACACGAAACGACTCATGGTGGGTCGTAATGGGCCAAAGCGCAAGTTTCGTCCAAGAAGTCATCGACGCGTGCCAGAAAGGCATGCCGGGGACGATCGCGAAAGACGAGTCAGAATTAAGGGAACCTTTTCGCACCACTACATTTCTTCAACTCGTTTTTGCAGGCCTCGTTGGTGGATGCGTCGTCGTGTGTGGACTGTCCATGTTGTAGCGATTCTGGGCAGATCCACTGGAAGGAAAAAGAAAGAAGTTCACTATGCACTCACCTTGTTATACCTTATGCCAACTATGCTCTTCTTATGCTCGAGACCAACTCCTCATTAGAAGGATATCATACAATACACAGTCTGCGAATAAAGCAAGAGAAAGAAAGAGTGTCATGGAAGTCATAACGGATCAAACAGCCCACTCATCCAACCCACCACCATACCCCCTCCCACTCCAATTCCTCGTCACCCGATCCTGCACCCTCTCTTCCTGCCTAGCAAGACTCATCGTAAGCCCATGGGGCGTCCCACCCACACCACCACCCCCACTCAACAACCACCCACTCCACCACCCAGCACCTTCCTCGCCCTCCTTCCCCTTTCCCTCCCCCACCACCGTCGTCCCAGCACCCCTTTTCCGCCGCCTCTGCTTCTGCTTATTGAACTTGGTCAAAGACCCCTCAGGTCTCGTACTAATATACGACTCCGGCAGCGCCGCAAAACTAATCCGCTTAGGCGTAGACCGTCCCGAGCTCGGCGTACTCCCACCACCAAAAACAGACAACATGTCCGGGATGCTGAGCACCGTAGGCGACGGCGAAGGGTTCGCGCTGCTCGCCCGTTTCATCGAAGAGTGTCTAGGTGGCGAAGGAGGTCGCGTAGACGAAGAATGTGTACCTTTGGTGAAAAGACGAGAAATGGAGGCAGTCGCTGTGGAGGTGGCGGCATCTGCCACTGGTGCAGGGGTGCGAGGCAAGAACGCAGGGGCAGGTGGGAATTTGCTCCTTGTGGGCTGAGGTTGGTCGTCCAGTATCTTTCGAAGGGATAAAATTGTCTGCTTCGCGATGCACCCGTCTGACGATGATGACTCTTCAGTAGGGGGCGTCATTGGTCGATGGCCTTTCCGACAAGCATCCTGTCGAGCCCGGTCCGGCGATTTATGCGGGGACCGAGAATTGCGGGGCTCCGTGCTGCTACTGCTTGCACTAGATGACCCTCGGCGGAAAGAAGATGTAAAATTTGATGAAGGAGTGGATGATGATGAAGGAGCTCGAGCAACAAACGAGGAAAGCATGTTGTACGCCGGCGTAGAAGGTTCCAACGGTTTGTCATTCAGTTTAGGTAGTGATGGGGTAGAGTGTAGGCTCGTCGTAGATGACGAAGCGGTCTCGTAAAAAGTACGATGCTCGTGGAAGGACGATGGACAACGTAAACCAAGCGTCGATGGTAGTATGATCGCCTCTGGGTCCTGAGTCGAACCAACATACTGAGTGAGTGCACGCGGAGGCGGCGCAATAAGGCGCGACCGATCCTGTTGCGAATAATGGAGTCGGGGTACGGCCGATTCAGACTTTTGTTGCAAATCCAACGACGGTCGTCTCCTCGGCCGATGAAGGTGTGGCGGAGGGCTGGTACTATTCGGCAGGCTGCAACTAACACCAGTGCCTTCCCTAGAATGTGCACCACCACCACCAAACCTCGCGTCCTCCTCATCCCCGAAAAGAACCTCAACACGCCTCGTAATCTCATTCAAATCACCCGACCATGACGCCTGCACGTCCCAATTGCCTCGGATCCGCGAGGACAGGTTCAGAGCACGAGTTTCCAACGTTGAATCTGCCCTGGAGTCGTCCGCCAATACAGCTGAAAGGCTCGTCGAAGTGGATATCGAGGATTCGAGGAGGGTGTTCGACATCTCCAGCGCATGCACGCTTCGTTCGAGCAAAGAATCGAGATACGAGTCGTTTGACTGGGCCCGCGAATACAACTGCGTCGAATGTCTCCGTTTATGCGTCTGTTGGAAGCGTTTAGGACGGCGGGGAGACGCTGTGTGAGCGCGTGGAGAGGTGGAGGCGGCGGTGGTGGTGTGTGGCACGTATGAGATGGTGTTGGCGTCCGTATCGGTATCCTCGTCGGCTTCCTCAGCACTGTCTGGATAGTCTGGGGGTGTATCGGAGGGGATGTTCTCTGTGTATTCTGGACGATGCCACCCTGTGGATGAAATGTACTCTGGCAGCGTCGATGTTGTGTCGGATGAGAGTCTCAGAGCAGAGACTCGTTTCCGATGAGTTCGCCTTTGATTTGAAGGAGTCATCATCATTGGCAGGGATCAGCGCTGCCGTCTTCTCGGAGCGTTTCGAGTGAATTTTGCGGTGATGTGAAGGGATGGTAAAGGAAAAGGGATGGTAGTAGAAGAATAGTCATGAGGTAAGGTGATATTGTGGCCCTGACTCAGTCACAACACTCGTGGTCAATACACTTGTTCGATCCTGAAGGCTCCGTTATCGCGGGTACCTCCATCTATTGATAATCTATCCTTCCTATTGACACCTTCTAGGATTCTGGCAATATGGCACTGTGCAATGGGACGAGTTTTACAGATACTTGATCGTAATCCTCGTCACTTCAACAACGGCTTGGACAATCTTCAAATACGACCAGCAACAACGTGGTCCGCCGTGTCCATCTGGGCCTGAGATTGTGCAACCAGGATCTTATGTCCTGCTTTCGAGCAGTGGGTAGCTCATTTCCTTCAGGTAAGCCTCAAACTTACCAATTAGCAACTACATAGCTGATGATCCCATTCGTGTTGGTCTAGTACCCACCCTCCCGCGCCCTCGCAACCCCACGAATTCGAATACTCCTGCCAGTGTCAGTGAATAACCCTATAAGAAAAATTTGGCTCACTATTATCAGGATCCGCACTACAGAACCCGTGCGCGTGCCAGAGATGGCAAATGCCTCATTACAGACTTGAAAACGCAGACTTACAGTCGACTCAAAGTCGCACACATATTTCCACGGGCACACGACAAAGAGGTGAGCTGTGTTTCTTCTACGATGAACCGCAAATTCTCAAGCGACGTTTACCAGCGGATACGCAAAGGTTACCAAAACAAGATCACTGACACCGCCGACGTATCCACTATAGGCGGCCCGACGAAGATCGACTCAGTGCAGAACGTGATCACATTGCGAAGTGATTTACACGATGCATGGGTCAATTATGAATTCGGAGTAGATCCCGACGTGGGTTTCGTTCAACCTATATTCATCGGAATTAAATAACTCTTTCGCAGAACAAATATCGCATCACTGCTTTTACCAATGGTAACGCAGACATCAATGGCAATTGGCAAATATCTCCGGCTAGCTCATATCCAAGACTCAACGCTTCGCCCACTTGATGAGCTGTTCATCGACCACTTTAAGCAGGGTTTGTTGAAACATATGAAGGGCCCAGGCGAACCAGCTTGGTCATATGAAGATTGTGAAGATGCTTTTGGAGATCTCAACTTGTCAAACATGAATATCTGGGGAACTAGGGAAGGGAAGGAACGGTTAGAACTTGCACTTGCAGATCGTCTGTTTGATCATCGGACAGCATATGGGGAGCAACCCCCCAGCTGATCCGCTCCTATGTGGTCCTGCAACATATCTAGCAATATATTATCTTTCAAGGCTGTAACAAACATGGGTATCACGAAAAGAAAACTCTAACGATCTAGCAAAGACGATGGATCAGGCCTTGGCCTCAATAGTATTAGATGGGGGTATGGTCGAGTCCTCGAAAGGACCCGCTAAGCTCTCAAGGTGGGTCTGTGCCCAATGTCCCCGAGCAATCTGGAAGGGTGTATAGAAGTTGAGGGTAGTCCACAAAAAGGTCCGACCGTATTGAGACCCTATCTTCTCGTAGTCGGCTATAGAAACGCTTAGCACACCATCTAAGGTTCCAAAAATGTATCGAACCTTGAAGGGCTGTCCGCATGTCCAGCCATGTTTGTGTAACGTCCGTAATAATGGCGTGAACTTCCCATCTCACTGCCTGTAGATGATTTGAGACGAGTGAAAAAAAGAAGGCAAGAGCCTGACCTCCATCATGTGCTCAGGTTCATTGACGGTCCACACGACCAAATTCTTCCCGGCGTTCTTACACTCCTGCCTGAACCTGTGCGAAAAGTTGATCTTATCAGACAAGCATCAACAGGAAATAAGCGCTCGACCCTCACTTCTGACCATCATACGTCGTCAACGCTCCAAAAGACATCGAGAACGCCTCGCAATCTTTCCAAAAGTACTTGCGAGCAATGTCAGTGCTCACGCCAATATGCGACCTGCGACAATATGGCAAACATGACTTTGCAAACTGGAGGAAGCGGGGATGCCAAAGTCCTAAAAGGATACGCGGGGCAAGGTCGGTCTGCCAGGCAGGTTGTGCGGAGATGACTTCGTGCATCAGGGAGAAGAGCCTCTCTGGATCGTTCTGGACCTTGACGTCAACGTTGAACTTGACGTGCTTGTTCTCGGGCTTGTGGAGGGTAAATTGGATCCCGACTTGACACGCAAAAACAGGAGGAACTCACCTTCATCAGCAATTCCACCGTCTCTGCAAAAGTGGGGATGGCCTGTTTGGGCTCCTTGATGGTCCGAACGTGCTGCATCCCAGCGTCTCCATACCAAGTGCGCTCCTTGATTCGACCTGCGGGCGGAGCTTCGGACCTGGACCTTCCATGGATAATTACAGGGAACAAACGTACCTGTCGAATTTGTCGTCCTATCTAGAGCTAAACATATTCTTGTGTCGGCTTCATGACCACACCATCAGACGAGGAAGGTTACGTACCTGGATCATGGAACATGATGACAACGCTATCCGCTGATACATGGACGTCTGGTGGGGTGGTTACGGGCGTGCACGACTTTAAACGCCAACATTGAATATACCACTCTCAATGCCTTCTGCGCCGTCGCGGATGGCCGCTTCGAAGCTTGCGAGGGTATTCTCTGGGAACCGGGAAGATGCCTTGAGGGTGTGTGTGTCAAGGCTACGGCAGCAGCCCCTGAACAGGTAGTTAACTTACACCGCGGTGACCCCAGCAGTCTTTGGAATGTGTCAGTTAGGGAGCTGCGGAGGCGGGGTATTCAATGTACTGACCTGGCAGGACTCTTGGTGGAGACATTGTGGGTGTAATGGTGGATGGTCGGAGATGGCGGTGTGAGAGGGGGATAAAAGAAGTACGGAAAGATGTAAATCTGAGACTGCGTTTTATACCGAAGTCCCTCATCCCAAAAGAAGATGGAAGCAAGTGTAGAATTTTGCCCTGGCCTGCTGGCAAACCTTCCCTGACAAAAAAAAAAGTGCGGTCAAGCTCCGGAATACCTAATTATATGATGCATGGCCCTGGCTCAAAGAAGATGCAAGCTTTAGGAGTCGAATTGAAGCAGTGTCGAAGAATAGTACCAACCGCTGCCTGACTACTCCACGCAAACGTGTGATCACGATGACGCGCGTACTTGCCGGTGCCACTCGCAGCCGCCGGGGTCGAATGAAATCGCGCACATGCGCTACTGAAGTAAAAGTAGTATTCCAATGAGATTATTATGTAGCTAAAGGCGAGCGTTCTATTATGAACTCGGTCGGCCAACCAAGATCATGCCATCATCTTCCTCCGTCTCTGTACCGGCTTCACTCCCTGATTTCCATTGTTCTGAAGACGAGGCCGTCGAAGACGCAAGAGACACACTCGAGCTGGCCGCATCAATAATCGTCGGACCCAAAATCGTCGCAATAATAGGGGAAGCCGCTACCACCTGCGGCTTCTGACTTTCAAAATCGGTTGGCTGTTGGTCCCGTGCTTCGTCTTCAGGTTCCTCTTTGATTTGATGATGTTCCACAGGCACCTTGGGCGAAATCTCCCGTAATGCTTCCAGCATTTGGTCCCGCACACGGGTCGTAAGCGAACCTACATCTGCCGGGGTCAAACCCACTGTCGGAATCGGGGGTAGCACTACACATGAAAACGTCAGTCCCAACAATCCAAACACAAACATCGTATGCCTCACCTCGGACCTTGATAGTACCCTCGTCGAAAACGCCTTTTCGATAGATACGCCAATAATTCTCCGTTACAATGGGTATAATGGGGATGCCCGCGTTGATCGCCAGGTGGAATCCACCTTTTTTTAGTGGAAGCATGTCGGGAGACTCTGACATATGTCGTGTTCCTTCTGGGAACATCCAGATGGACACTTTCTCGGCTTTCATCGTTTCTCCCGCAGCTTCCAGTGACCGTACAGCTCGAGTGTTGTTGCCTCGGTCAATAAAAATGGTTCCTGCCATCGTCATGAAGGGTCCGAGTGGAGTGTATTGGAGTGACTTCTTGGCCATGATAGCTGATTGTTTCGGCATCAGCCTATGTATTTCAGCTTAGAATAGGACTCGGGGAGAGTAATGCCATGAGCTCACCTGCCCACAACGACAACATCGAGCATGCTTTGGTGGTTTGCCATCAGGACAGCGGGTCGTGTACTGAGATGCTCCTCTCCTTCCACCTCGATCTGCAATGCGAACGTGCGTTTGGTGATGGCGTAGAAAGTGCGGGCAACAACGTAGCTGACATCGAAGCGCCTGCCGATGACAGACATACCGGCGGCTGCGACGATGCTACATGATGCGACTGAGACGAGTGTGCCGATATAGAGCGCAACTCGAACGTAATATCGACCAACGGGTGAAGTAGCTGCGATGGAGCGTAGTAGAATGATTGGTAGGGAGAAGTATGCAAGAGGCTTGAATACGGCGACCAGGAACGACATTGATGAAGCAAACAGCGCCAGGCAAGTCCTTTCTGGTCCTTTAAGGTCCCTTCGAGGTCCTGCAAGGTTCTTTATACCCCGCTCTAGTGGTCACTGTGCTGCGTGTAGTCGTTGCAGCTGCTCAGAAGTGATACCTCAATTTGGCCACAAACTATAATAACTTTTCACAAGCATACCACCATATGGCCTCCAAACACCAGGCCCAAGCTGCTTCAGCCCGCGGTACACATCTTTGGGCCATCATACTGCCCTCGTAGCTGAAAACTGCCTTGCCAGGCAGAAATACCGTCTCCAAGCCCTTGAGCTCGTCAGCTACCGCGAGCTCTAGAGCAAAGCAGGCTGTTCCCCTTCAACGCGCCCAGAGCACAAACTCAACCCCATTTGCAAAATCATCTGCTAATGCCAATACGACAAAGATTTCGTCACTTTCTCGAACTGCTTCTGCTGGAGCCAACGTGAGGCCGAAACCGAACCCCTCAAAGCCATTGGACAAGCCTTCACCTGTAGGAAATTGCTTTGCGACGCATTTTCGCGTTTAATTTTTTTTTGGCACAGGTGGTGAATGCGAATGTTCCGGTTGTACAGACGGATAATGTTCCAGTGGCAAAGCCGGACGCCTCTTCATCCTCCAAGCCAACAGTACGTTTCTCACAAACGCATTCAACGCGATTTTGAAAGGCAGAAAAACAGTCGACATCAACCCCACCCATCGAAGAAGAGACCCCGACGCGAACTTCAGATCCCTTGCAAGTCGCTGCGCAGGCTTATCCATGGATGTACATGACATCCACGCTGGAAGCGTGTTTTGCGTCATCGGAGCAAGTGGCAAAGGTTAGTTGTTTTATCCGGTCCTTGACTATGAAATTTATCGTCATCATCTCGTCAGAACGACCTCGAAACCCGCGCAAAACAGATCTCAGAGGAAGAATCCGAATTATCGGACCAACGGACTCGGCTTGAAGCGGAGCGCGCAATTGACTTTTATGATGAATTAGCGACGGACACTGTCAGTATATATCTCCATACTTGCCCATCAATACCTCGGCCAACCCCACTTTTCTTCGTAGTTCGCCAGAGATGCCCCTCTTATTATGAAGACATATCATTCGCACGGCGATGCCTGTACACGTCTTGAGGCGGAGGCGCTTAACCTTGCCGTGCGCGGCTCGGCGGTTCCTGATGATGATGCCCCTTTGCAAGTTTACGCTGACATGCTCGACAGTCTCGGTAAGATCCCCTTGTCAGTCGGTGATTCAACATGGCTAACCTGTGCATAGAGGAACTTCAGGCAGAGGCGTCAGACCTGGAGTCATCCATCCTCAAACTCACATCAAGTACGCCGGCGAATGACGACGCAGCTACTGAATCATCATCTGCGCGGGGACAGATCATCAGTGTCATCGCGGCGTGTCTCCCCGTCTTACATGCCCGCATCGCGAATTTGACAATGGCACAAGACCTCATTGACAGTGCCCAGGAGAACTTGAGCATTAGTTTACGCATGGAGAGTCTTGGTTTAGATGTCTAAGCATTTTTAAGGGAAGGAGACTCGAGGACTTTTTTGGTCGCCTGTACCGCTCATTCCTGTATACCCTACAGATACCCACACACTCAGAATCATCATTATAGTTGTTGGACGCCCACCATTGATGTGGAATTTTTTTGGTGGTGAACCATCCAGCGCGCCTTCTCAACTGAGGACAAAATCTCAATTAGGGCAAGTTACGCTACGCAGGAGGACAAGGCGACTTGCAAGAAGGAATCCCACTATACCTAACTTGGAAATGTGGACGATCTAGAATCAAAATAAGTAAAATCGGGTGTGGCGGTGGTTGAAACAGTCCGATCCCTCATCATCACTCTGTCGAGGTGTGGGCGCGCCGTTCCGAATCCGAGAAAGGCCTTCGGCAAACATCAACACTCGGACAAGATCTTTAGGAAAGTTCAGGCGCGATTTGACTGTTTACGTACTTCATCAAAAAGTCGACAAAGTCCCTGTGTCTACTTCCTCATCTGCAATGGCATTCTTTTCCTCGAGAACTTCCTTGCCCAGGTCGAATACCCCACCACAAACATCCTCAGCTGCAGATAATGACTGTCCAGGACCATCTCGTCCCAGTGGCTTTCAGCCGCCCAGGTATTCAATGGATGGCGTATCGTTGGTGGACCCCAATGAAGATCTCCCCCCAGCCCCGCCACGGTATTCCATGATTGTACAACATCGTCGCTCAAGCAATGATACGCAAACGAGACGAAACCCTACCCCATCCCCTTCGGAGACCAAGCACGAGTACCATATAAGCCACAAGAATAAAGTGTGGGCGATTCTCACCGTTTTTAGTCGACCGTCTATCCTTACACATGCATTCCCCCGATTTTATGGAAACGACCCTGTTTCTGGCACAGTCGACCTTAATCTAGACAGCCCGCAAACAATCAACTCAATTACAATTTCTGTTCGTTCCGTCCATTTTCTGTGGTAGAGAAAGTTTTTGATTCTTCATTTATCTGTCCACAGCTCCGAGGTCGAGTCAAAACGGGTTCATCCCGTGAAGGCTCGTACACCTTCCTCGATCAATCCATACTCATCTGGAGTCGACATTCTGGGGATATACGGCATTCAAGTGCAGCTAGCGGCCAGAAATTCGACGGAAAGTCATCTGGAACGTACTCCTGGCCATTCACCGTTCCATTCCCAAAGGAAGTAGCCATTGCAGGGCATGATGAAGTTTTCCCTATACCTCAGACCTTCCTCGAGCGTGGGGTTGATGCAAGTGTGCAGTATGAACTAATCTTACGCGTGGCACATGGGGTCTTGCGTCGTGATAGCAAGTGTGTTTTGATCTTGTTCTCGGTGACCGCAACTGAAATGCATAGATTGCAGGCTGGCATTGTTTACATCCCCGATATAACTGCAGAACCAGCTTCCTCCCTTCGTCAACGCGCGTATTTGGAAGGTTACTTGGTACCCTCTCCAGCGGATGATCCTTTGGGTTGGGTTGCGAAGCCCCAGGTTTTAATTACTGGGTCATTAAATTGCAACTTTGTAGGCTTAGAATGCACTGTGAGTAATTATTGATTTTGTTTGAGTGTTGAGCCAAGTTTTGAGGATCATATATCAACTTCTAGCTCTTTATCGCAAATCCCGTATGAAATACGCCAATTTATGACCGGCAGCGCTCTGACAATATTTGCCTAGCAATGTTTTGCCCGTGGAACAGTCATCCCTTGTTACATACGGATCTATACAGAAAATTCGGTGGCTCTCGAGCTCCTGGCTACTTCAGACAGCATCAACGTCAAACTCGTCAGAAGGGTTAAATACTATCAAGATCCTGAGCAAGCAGCGTCACATTACCGTGCCAGAGCCGCCAGCAAACAGCTGAAAGAGTCAGGGGTATTTGAAGTCGTCCAGGAAACAGCGAGAGCTGTATGGTGGTCGCCTCCAAGACTTGTCGCTGAGCAAGGCTGTACCCGTGAGATGGCTGGTGAGATACATCTGGCGGAGGATTTGCAGCCTTCATGTTCGTTTTTCCCTTTCAATGTTTTGGTGATGACCTCCTTCCTTGCCTGATCAAAAAGGAGGCTGATCTGACTCTCAGTATGCCGTTGAACTCCATCCGTTTGATCTGTCCACCTTTCGAGTCAACTCAAAGCAGGGGGCATCAGTTTCCCATTCTGTTGGAATAGCTACTTTGCACAGCGAGGGTCCAGTGCCAGTCTCATTTACACATCCACGTCGGGTTTTATGAAGTCCCAAGAAACAACATGCAAAGGTATTACCTGGCTGCTATGGTTGTCCACGCATTGTTCAAGACATTAACAGTACTCTCTCGGTCCGGGTACTGAGAATCATCCAGTACCAACCTCATCCCACGACGAGTAGTTGTAATTGTGCATGCACAGCAAAAATATGTCAAACTCGCTTGTATTCTTTATGATTAGTGAACTCGACCCATCTCTGGTCAATCCGATCTGAGCAATACAATACAATTGACATTGTCGTTGGTCATATAGAACAATGCTCAAGCACAAAAGGATGTAGCGAAAAAAGCAGTGGGCCAGATGCCCAACTACTGTAAAGCGTCTGCGACCATCTCGAGTATCTCTTTGACACTCTTCCCAGAGCTCTTCACGTCTTTTGCAATTGATTGCCATGTCGGTGAATGATGTGGCTCTGCGGCAATGCATTTATTCCTGACTTCTTCTCGATGTTCCTATAAAAAAGAAATCGTCAACGAAAGCCAGCAAAGAGGCAAGCATTGCGGGGCATTACCTCTGTTCCATGCTGCCTCTCAAACTTTAGCCACCAACCCCAAGAATCACCCAGATCTGGGTCAGTAGCAACAGCCCTTCCAAACCACTGTCGAGCCTTCTCAATCTTCCTCTCCTGCCAAAACAATCGCGCAACAGTACAAATGATGATGGGGTTATCCGCAGACTTCTTCAACGCATCAACGGACCTCGCCTTTCTCATCGGACGAGGCTCAGCCCAAATCGCCATTGACCATAACAAACCAGAGGTGGGACACTCTTGAAGACCACGAGCCAACATTGCCTTTGCTTGTGCAGTACCGCCAGAGCGTTCCTCAACACCAACAGCCTCAGCCCACAAAGTATCGTTTGCAGGGTTTACTAGACGTGCTTTCTCAAGCAACGCACGGGCTTTTATACTTTTCCCGTCTAGTTCCTCCAGCCGACTTGCCAAAATCCAAAGCGTGGCCTCTTTTGGACAGGCTTTGACACCAGCAGAGAATGAAGCACGAGCGCCAGGGTAATTGTTTTGGGATTGCAGGATCTGGCCTTGTACCATATAAAGCTTGGCAAATTTAGGGAACTTTTGCAAGGCAGCAGCTAGAGTCTCCAAAGCCATCGATAATTGATTTTGTTGGCGTTCGAACACGGCGGATTTCATCCAAATCTGAGGGATACAGAAAATTATGAGAAAAAAAGCGGAAGGAAGGAAAAAGCTTTACACACTCTTTCGGTGTCCGCTACTGTCCGCGCGCGTACTAGCAACTCTCGAGCAACGCCTAGCTCTCCGTTCTCTGCCTCCAACTTGACAGCAGCCAGCCAGATTTGCTCGCTCTCCGGATTAGCAACGAAAGCCTGTTCCAGAACTCGTCGGGCACCAGGAACATCACCCGCTAGCCATTTCTCTTTTGCAGCCATGAGCCAGAGCACTTCGGCCTGTGGACAATGATGGACAGCACGGCTGAGAATAGCGTCGAGACTGTCCGCTGACCCATGCAGTTTCTCCAAATCAGCCGCTTTTCTCCAGAGACTTCGTCGATCGGGGTATACTTTCAGAGCATAGGCTAAAACCGCACGAGCAGTTCCCACCATTCCTTTGCTTTCAGCGCTTTCTGCATCTCCAACCCAAGTATCCAATCGATCCTCCTCTTCAAGTTCCATCGCTATTGTCGCTTTCACAATAGCCTCACATGTTCGTGGGCTGCCCTCTGTTTCACATCGTTCTGCTTCCTTAAGCCACTGCTCCCTAGTCAACAGAACCTGATACTTTCGTAGCTCTCGGACGGCAAGCTGGATGGTATTGTCGACCAGTTCCAGCGCTTTCGCCTTCTGTTCTGGTGTCTTAGAAGCGCCAGTTGCTGCTTCTTGTTCCAGGAGGCGGCCAGCAGCTATCCAGATCTCGTGGCTTGTGGGAACAGCTTTACGGGCCTTATTTAACACTCCTTTCGCTCGTTCAGGAGTTTCAAGACGGGCTAGGGCTAACCACAGCTCAACGGATAGTGGTATGACTTCAACTGCTCGCGAGAGAAGAATACGGGCGTCTGTGGCAGATGATTCTAGGTTGACGGTTTCCTTCCAAAGTCGCACGGAATTGGGAATATGCTCCAACGCTGATAAAAGGTATGTGAGATTGATAAGATACGATGTCGGTTGGGAATCCTTGCCCTTCCGCAAAACACGCTTCTTGGCCTTCACGTCACCTTCCAGGTCAGCTGCAGCTAGCCAAATCTTTACGCTCTGGCCGACGTGCTGAACTGCATTTGCGAGTATTACTTTAGCATCGTCGTTATTCTAGATTAATGTTATGAAGATTAGTCTGAAACATAGGCTCCTGAAAAATCTAAATACTTACATGTAACCGGGCTGCTTCTAGCCATACGTCTTCACTCTTCGGGCACTGCTCGCACCCAGCCTTTATGATCTTCCGAGCAGCAACCATACGACCAGCATGTTCTTCCAGGCAGGCGGCAGCAATCCAACCAGGTGAGTGCTTAGGGTTCGACTTGACAAGGGAGTCGAACAGCATACGGGCGCGTTTGATATCACCAATTTCGGCATCAGACTTGATGATGACACTGTCCAGAGAAGTCAGGTAGCCCTTGGGGTCGACAGAAGTCGAGAAGCCCGATGAGGTAGCGGTACCAGAGATCTGTAATCTAGGTCAGAAAAATGAATCCTCGATGAAATATAACTTTACCTGATCTAGCTTGAGTGAAAGGATCTTGTCACGAGCCTGGCCAATTTCCACAAAATTCGTGAGGGTACCGGATTCCGCTGGCGTTGCAAAGCCGCCCGCCTATAATGAAAATGAAAACGTTATCAAAGAAAGAAGATCGGGGATAACGTACCTCTTGCTGTCTCGCGTCCAGGGAGTTCTCATACTCGTTTTTATTCCTGTCTCCAACAAAAACACTATCCGGAACCACAAAAGACCGCTCTTCCCTGCGTCTCTTCTTCCTCGTCAAGTTCCCTACTTCCGGTATATTCTCCCATTCCTCATCAGTGACAGCCGACAGCCCCCGTTTCAAATCCGCAAACTGTTGCTGAATCTTCGGCCGCTCCGCACGATGCCTTTCCAACTCCAACTTCTCTTGCGCCTCTCTGAAAAACGCGGAGGATGGGATGATGTCAGAAGAACGTGAAAAAACGTCAAAACTAACCAGAAGAGCACACACCTCCGCGCCTTCCGCCGTGAGTCCATAGCTTCGTCGACTTGTTCATAGATTTTATCGGCCTCCTCATCGTCCTGCTCGTAGGTTGTTCCGGCGAACAGACCATATTCGTTGTCGGGATCCTGAAACTGTTCTGGGTCAACTTCGACTTCCTCTCCGCGCTTAGCTTGTGCCTCGCTAATGTGGGGTTATTTTCAATGTTCAAAGATATTAAAATCAATTTGACGCACGCTATAACTTCGGCTGAAGGTCCTTCTCGTGCAGGACCGATATCAGATCGAGTCGTGAATCCAGACGCTCTAAGTTAATGTAAGGTGTTGCTCGTGCTTGTAAGCAATTCAGAACATACCCTCGACCAAGACCAGCGACGTAGGACGCCGGGGCTGGCATGGACAAAAAGGCTAACTTATTCGCTTTATTTGACGCCATCTTGAGAACGTGTTGCCGACGTCGAGGGAGTCGAGGAGAAAGAAAGAGATGGTCACACTGGGTAGTCACGTAACTCCTGCCACTTCTCTTTCCTTTCTACATACCCAGACATGACTTCAATAACGCGTAATCTACCCTGGTTCATCAAGGATCTTGGAATATCAATAGTAGGAAAGGTTCGTGTATCCTCACCACCAGCTGCTTTAAATGTGACAAGCGATATCTTTCAGGAATGCTACACGTCACTTGTCGAAAATCTCGACATGGGCGATGTTCAATGTATCAAATACTCTCTTTCAAAAGGCCTGGGGATCGGGATAGTTGTTGGAGGTTCCGTAATGAAAGTACCTCAAATCCTTCTAAGTGAGTTATGAGGCTTTCGAATTTGGCTTGCCTTGTAACAAAATTGTTACAGTTATCAACGCCCGTTCAGCGCGAGGCCTTTCGTTTTCATCATATATCCTGGAAACGCTCTCCTACGCGATAACTCTAGCTTACTCGTTCAGAAACGAATTCCCATTTTCCACATACGGGGAGAACCTGTTCCTCACCATACAAAACACAGTTGTTACACTCCTCATCCTCGCTTACGCACCATCCTCCCTTCGCTCAGGCAATAAAGCCCAAAAAATTGCAGTAGCCATCTTTGCTACCATTGCAACTGCCTTTGCCCTCTACGTGATACCCTCCCAAACACTTTCCCTCCTCCAAATGTCCACTCTCCCACTCTCCCTCTTCTCAAAGCTTCCCCAGATACGCCAGAACGCCCGCACACAATCGACAGGACAGCTCTCAGCCGTCGCAGTTATCGCACAAGTGGCAGGTTGCCTCGCGCGACTCTTCACAACCGCCACTGAAGTAGGCGACGCCATCGTCTCTGCAGGGTTCGCACTCGCGCTCCTCCTCAACATTGTACTCGGAGCACAACTGTATATGTATTGGGGCAAGAGCGACGTGACAGAATCTCATGAACTGGGAAAAGCACATGGCTACATAGAAGTAGAGAAAGTGAAAGAACAGGAGTCCCCCGCTCCAGCTGTATATGAACCCGCATCGTGGCAACAACAGACACCTCAGCAACGCGTAGCGACGCCGCCACCAAGAACGCCTTCGTCCGCCAGTGGAAGGAAATGGGCCCGGAAGGTGGATTAATTTGCTTTATTCTATTCAGACTGTCGAGTTGTAATTGTTAACTGATTGTGCAATTATTTTCCCTTTCAATCCCAATCTATTCGTTCACTGTCACTGCGTGCATCTGGACCACTTAGCCTTACACCGTTGCTGACATGGTCTAGGGGGTTTGGAGGCCCATCTGGCACGAGTCTCAGTTGATCCGAGTCGGTCGACATGCATCATGTATTCTCATGGATTACAAACTGCGATAAATTAGTGCAGAACCAGAAGCCGAAATGTATGTAGGGTTTTCATGCGGAAGGCTGGGGAAGAGATGCTCTCTTCATGGCAGCCTCTTCCAATTGTCTGTCTCGTTCCTGCTGGTCCAACTATCAAAGGCGCTGGTTAGAAATGTAATGAGAAGGGGAAGGTTCAAGTACCAAATCTTTCCAAGAGTGATCATGGGTTTGCTTTGAAATTAATGAGCGTCACAGGCACGGAATGAGCTGACTGTGTACACACCTCTCTTGCGGTTTCAGCACGCTTGCTCTGAGTCAGAGCCCCAGCAGCAATGACGAGTCCGATTGTCAAGCCTTGGGCCCACATACGGGCCTGAACAATCTGGGGAATCAAGTCAAAAAAGCTGAATTGCACCCGCCTTGACTAATAATACCTTCTGAGGGTAGGTTTGATATCTAAGAAAAATCAGAAAGGATAACAGGATGGAAGAGAAAGAAACACACTTGTTGCGCGAGATGATAGCACCAGCAAGACCTAAACTGGCAGCCCATCCACCAAGGATGATGCTATACTCGTGTCGTGCAGCCCAATCGCCCACTTTGTCTGTGAGCGTAAGCGATTGCCATCTTTTCTCATCCCGCAACTGTTTTTCATCGAGGATACGCACTCCTTCGCCCTCCCTATGATATCGCATGAGAGCAGAAAACCGAGACGGAAGAGGGCTGCACACCATTGGGATCTCTCGTACTCGAGACCACGGCGTTCAGCTTGGATAGAAAGGCAGGGCGCGACAATGATAATGATGCCGAGTGCTTTGAGAGAGAGCGGCAGGCGTCGGTAAGTTTCTACGTTGCGATGCAGGTAATAGGAAGCTGCCACAGCGGCGCCACCACTGACGACTGTGCCCTCCATAGCACCCCGGCGGACCGCCGCCGCATGTTCCTCCAGTTCTTGTTGGGTTGCACGGACCTAGTTAAAGACGTTAAAATGAGCAATGTATGGGTGAAGAAATGAAAGTGCCTTCATAGTTGTAGGTGATGTCTTGTGTCCGCCAAAACCCTTGCTTTTTATCCAGTCTAAAGCTCTGACATCATCTCAAATCCAGTTCCGTTCAACCTCCGATTCTTCCGATGCCTTCCGTCAACAACATGTAGATTGGTAAGTAATGTAGGAAATGAACGGAACGGAACAAAATGCAGGTAGCAACGACTACTACTGCCAAAAATATCAGAAATGGTCAACAGTAAAAGTCCATTTCCCAGTCTCTATATCAAAGCCTTCGAAATGTGTATCCTTCATATTCTTCAGCCGTTTCAGGTGCTTCACAGCACTCGCATGGCTGGGATCCTTGATCGGTTCCCTCGTCGCCTTGTCCGCTGGCCAGCATCGCTCCAATGATATCCTTGCCTTGACGTTCAACCCAGATCCTGGAGGTGGCTTGTCTACCTCTTCACTGTCAGGGTAGACACTGCACTCCTTGTCGTCAAACCGTACGACTTCCCCAAGAAGTGCACCAAGTTTAGGGAGACCGGTCAAATCGACAGGCTCCAAAAATGTGATTTCTCCATAGCCGACACGCCCGAGCTTGAGTCCTTCAAAGGCCGAAAGTTGGTCGTACCCAGCCTTTTTCAGCACAGCAAGGTCGGGTTTCACCCAATAGTCGCCTTCGTCCAGCGTGGTAGAGTCCTCAGCTGTTCCGTTCTGAGAACCTTGCGCCGCAAAGCGATTAGGGCTACGTTGAGGACGTGACACCGGCGTAGGCGATTCAATGACAGATGGAGCTACTAACGCAGCCGCCGCTTCCTTTTCTCGAGCAAGGACGCTCATTTGCGGGCTGAAAGTCACCTTCCCTCCCTTCATTGATCCTGGGCTTCCCGACTTGACAAACAATTCTGAAGGATCCACCTTCTTGTCCAAAATCACTTTTTTCACGCTCTGACGCCCTCCACTCCCAAGTGACGGGCTTCCGCTTCGCCCCAAAAATCCGTCGGGCCCAAGAGAAGACGCCCTGGTATCTACAGATTTGTTCAACGTCAAAGCATTGGCTTTCCCAGTGGTAAAGGAGGCGGTGAACGGGTTTCCCGTCGTGGAAGATGCCATTGTCGAAGATCCAAAGCCACGGAGCTTTGAGTTGGCAGGGGTGTATCCTAGCTGAACGCGGGGAACAGGGGAACGGGTGGGGATATCGACGAAAAATCCAGATTTTTTCTTTGGTTGAGATTCCAGGTCAATGAGCCGAGGACCTGGAGGCAGCATGGCGAAGATGGGCAAATTGGCTCCAATGGGTTGTGATATCGACGCAGTAAGTGTGCCCTGTGCGCCTTGAGTATTGGCGGAGGCATTGAAGGAACCCACAGGATTTCCCAATGTCGACCCAAATAATCCAATCGACTGACCCATCGAAGCTGACTGACCAAGAGGGGAAGGCTTGTTAAATAAATTTGATTGCTGATTTTGTTGGCCAAGAGTGTTTCCGAAAAGGGACTGAGTTGGCTGAGTCGCATTTTGTTGTTGGTTGAACCCAGTCGAGAATGATCCCTGAGGGGTAGCAGCTTTATTGCCACCAAACAAACCAAGTGCCCCAGTCGAAGCAGGTTGCTGCTGATTTTGTTGCTGGTTGTTGCCGAACAAGCTGTTTCCAAACAAACCTGTGTTTCCTTGCTGTTGGGTGGTTGAACCACCAAATACTTAGGCCATGGGTCAGAAAGTCAGAAAACATAGATAAGTGGAAAGAAATACATGGATTCGTAGTTTGAGCACCCTGCTGCTGTTGTGGCTGTTGATTACCAAACAATCCGGTGCCGCCACCGAAAAGAGATGGTTGTTGAGTTTGTGATGGCTGTTGCGGGTTCTGCTGCTGTTGCTGCTGCTGGCCACCGCCAAAAATTCCAAATCCAGTTGTAGGTTGAGTTGCTGGCTGCGTCCCAAACAAAGGCTTATTGGCAGTTGAGCCTGTTTTGATAATGAGAAAGTGATGAAAAAATTCTAAAAGGAACGACCTACCAAATGTATTTCCGCCAAACGCATTGGTTGTGGCCGGTTGCGTATTTCCGAAAAGACCCCCAGTTGTTTGTTGGGCAGGCTGTTGACTTTGTCCCCCGAATGCGGAGCCACCCCCAAAAGCACTGCCAGTTGTAGCAGCAGTAGTGCCTTGACATCAGTTAGTAAGCTAGCGACCACATATCTAGACTGGCCGACATACCACCACCACCACCAAACGCTCCGAACGCGGGTTTAGGTGCCGTGCCACCAAACGCTGAACCTCCACCAAACAACCCTGTTTGCTGTTGCGGTTGTTGAGGCTGCGTCGAGCCAAATGCACCTCCTCCAAATGCTGAGGTCTGCGCTGGTTGTTGCGCACCAAATGTAGTACCTCCGAACAAACCAGTCGTCGCTGGTGCAGGTGGTTGATTTGTCGTGGTATTACCACCAAAAGCGCCAAAACCAGTATTTGATGTCGTCGTATTTGCTGGGGCACCAAAAAGCGAGGGTTGCTGATTTGGCTGAGCAGGTTGCGTTGCGCCGAATAGACCGGTGGTGGGTTGTTGAGTGCCAAATGCTGCAGACTGACCAAAGCTGCCAGCCGTTTTACGACCTTGTGCATAATCTTGAACACGGAGTTCCTGAGAGTAAGGATTAGAAAAATTCAGAGAGAAAAAGACTTGAAAACATACCTCAAAAGAATAACCAGAGTAAGCAGGCATGCATGATATAGCCTGATATTGCGAGGTGACATTTTGGTCTTTTTCAGTGAAGGGCGAATACTGGGGATTAGAGGTGCCGGTGGTTACTGCAGGGGGAGCTCAAGTCCCGAAGTCAAACACCGTAGGAGAGTCGAAAATGTACGAGAACTGACCTGTCGTTGTTCCAAATCCAGTGGTCTTGTTTCCACCAAATAGATTGGTACTTCCACCAAAAGCGCCCGTCGTAGGTGCAGGAGCAGCTTGTCCAAAGAGTCCCGTGGCTGGAGCTGGATTGTTCGCAGGTGCCCCAAAAGTGCTCCCGCCACCTCCACCTCCAAACGCGCCACCTCCCCCGAACGCGCCAAAGCCGGTGGCGGGCTTCGCACCAAAAGCTCCCTGGGAAGCATTGGTATTGGTATTAAATGCTCCTACGAGCCGATGATAAGGTCCCCGTTCCGAAGTCGACAAAAGATACGCATACCGAAGCCAGTCGCTGGGGTGGTTGTGCTGGATCCGCCTAAATTTCCAAACATCGGATTCGCCTGAGGTTGCTGCTGTTGTGCTGGTTGACCAAAGGCTCCTGTAGAACCAAAGGCTCCAAGAAAGTTAGAAAGTCAAAGCATGAGTCACCAATAACGCTACTCACCACCCGTGTTGGTTGCACCAAAGCCTGTTGGCTGTCCGAATGCTGAGGGCTGTTGTTGATTTTGCTGCGGATTTGCCCACGAAGAGCCGACGCCGCCTCCTCCGAACATAGTGGTTATAAAAGCGTGAAGAAATTCGCGTTGTTGTCGTTGACCGCAACACTGCAGGAGTCTTGCCCAAACTCATTCAGACTCAGATCGTTTGACATCGCACGATCTCGTGATGCATTTTGGTTCCTCACGTGCCCATTTTTTTGCAATCTCCACCGCCTGTCCATTCGTTGTTGATTCGTCGTTCTCTCCTGGTATGCCTGACGGATCGCAGAAAACTCGCCGAATACCAACATTCAACACTCTTGTTAGGGAAAACGCGTTTAGAAACCCTCCAAAAGAAGGTTCAACTTATAGCATTCTAAATGAATTCGTTGCGCCTCACCTTGAATCATTCAATGCGTTATTTGACGACTCTGGTCTTCCATCTGGGGATGGAGATGGGAGAGGGCTTCTTTCCCTTGCGTTAAAGGACATCGGAGAGCGGGTTGCATTTGACGGAGATGGAAAAGTGGGCTCAGAGAGTGGACCGGACGGTTGGGGAAACAGAATAAGAAGTAAGCTGGCTATTTCAGAGTGTTTTATGGCAATTGATATAGTCCTGGAGTATGGATTGAGCAAGTTACCGTTGCGAGACCAATGGTCCCCGAGAAAGACAGGACCGCGAAGGAAAGGAAAGTCTTTCCGACTGAGGTAAGTTGTAAAGAATTACATTTCTCCTAGTGAAGATGTTTTGATCTCATCCATATTCAGGCTCGGGAACGCCTTACCTCGTATCGTGGGCGCATGACTGTCAAATTATGTTGGACCGACATTTCAGGTCAAAGACATGAAATGCCCAAGGACTGTGGTCTTTTACCCATCATGGTTCGGGTAAGCTTCTGCCTTATCATGACCTTGAACTCTGCTCTGATGCATCTCATAGTCTGTCCGTTGTAATTTGCGATCCATGTCGTCTGCCGAATTAGTGAAGCATCATGAAGAGCCTGAAGAATTTGGCGGCTATTTTGTGATTAACGGCAACGAGCGCTTAATTCGGTACCTCATTCTACCTCGACGAAACCATGTTATATCCCTTCTGCGTCCATCGTTCTCAAACCGAGGACCTTCCTATACACAATACGCTGTACAAATGCGTTGCGTCCGTCCAGACCAAACAAGCGTTACCAACACACTACATTATCTCTCGAACGGGAGCGCCATGTTGCGATTTAGCTGGAGAAAACAAGAATACGTGATTCCTATCATGCTTGTTCTAAAAGCTCTGGTTGGCGCCTCCGACAAGGAAATATTCGAGGGCGTGATAATGCAGGACTATGAGAATACCTTTTTGACCGACAGAGTCGAATTGCTTTTACGCAGTTTTAAAATGTTCACTATGCAGACCGGAGAGCAATGTCTGGAATACTTGGGAGACAAGTTCCGAGTTGTTCTCAACCTTCCTGAAGATTGGACGAATGCTGCTCAAGGTGCATGGCTTCTCAGAAAAATGATCCTCGTTCACCTGGAGACTCCACGCGAAAAATTTAGGATGCTTCTGTGTGTTCATTCCTACTGAATCGATGCCTGAAACTAACCAACTTTAGTTTTATGCTTCGAAAATTGTATTCCCTGGTCTCAGGGTCATGCTGCGCAGATAATCCCGATTCCCCTCAACATCAAGAAGTCCTGCTTCCTGGTAGTCTATATGGCATGATCATCAAGGAACGCCTGGAAGAAATTTTGAACGGAATCAGAATGGGCATCTCCATGGATGTAAGAAACGGAGTTGCCGTGGACTTCAACGACAGTAAGTGGTTGCTGCTATACTGAAAATCGGTATGTCTCATGAAAATTTAGAGCGCTATTTTCAAAAAGTTGTCTCAAAAGTCAACTTCGACATCGGCTCAAAACTCTCCAATTTTCTCGCTACCGGCAACCTCGTCTCTCCAACCGGGCTTGATCTTCAACAAGCTTCAGGATTCACAATCGTGGCTGAAAAGCTGAATTGGCAACGTTACATCAGTCATTTCAGATGCATCCATCGTGGTGCATTCTTCGCCGAACTCAAAACTACTACCGTTCGAAAACTGTTACCAGAAGCCTGGGGTGAGCACCTAACAAGATTCTACTTTTAGCTGATGCAAGCAATCCTACAAGGTTTCTTATGCCCGGTCCATACACCTGATGGATCACCTTGTGGCCTTCTCAACCATCTTTCACGTAGTTGCCGCATTACGACCACTCCACTTGCTGTTGCACACATTCCTGCCCTTCTTGCAGCGCATGGAATGACTCAAGTGTTTACCCCTACAATCGACGGGCGCAAGAATTTAAGTGTCCAGCTTGACGGGCGAGTAATTGGATGGGCTAGACCCAGTGTCGCTGCTCAACTCGCCACGAACCTTCGGATATGGAAGACGGAAGGGAAACATGAAGTCCCGTTAGATCTCGAGATTGGACTTGTGCCTGTCTCGAACGGTGGCCAATACCCGGGACTCTTCTTATTCTCAACCACAGCAAGAATGATGCGACCAGTCAAATATCTCGGCAATGGACGGGATGATCAGGTTGGGCCCTTCGAGCAAGTTTATATGAACATTGCGTGCATCCCTGAGGAGATCGAGGAAGCTGTGTCAACACACGTCGAACACGAACCAACGAATTTCTTGTCTATTTTAGCCAATCTGACACCATTCTCTGACTTCAACCAGGTACATGGTATACCTCACTTTCAATGAGCCTTTCCTGACCCTCTTGATTACTCAGAGCCCTCGAAATATTTATCAATGTCAGGTACGGATATACATTTTGCCACATGCGATGCTAATTCGACATCTAGATGGGTAAACAAAGTATGGGAACACCAGCCACCGCCCTTCAGCATCGAACAGACAACAAGCTCTACCGTCTGCAAACAGGCCAATCCCCTGTCGTTCGGCCAGCCTTGCACAACACATATGCCATGGACTCTTTCCCAAACGGTACAAACGCAATTGTTGCTGTAATATCATATACAGGCTACGACATGGAGGATGCCATGATTCTCAACAAGTCGGCGCACGAAAGGGGCTTTGGATATGGCACAGTTTATAAATCCCAAATCATCGATTTAAAGGAGATGCGTGGGGCATCTAAGTTAAATTCAGTTCCAACACTGCATTTTGGCCTTGGGAATGACATCCGAACGACAGGTGACAAACTGCATGCCTGCCTCGAGTTCCTCGACTTGGATGGCCTGCCTTTTATTGGGGCTCGACTGAGCTCTGGCGACCCAATTGCTGCTTATGTTGACGATACGACCGGACGAACGAAATTTGTCAGATACAAGGGTGACGAGCTGGGGTATATAGATGAAGTTCGTCTACTAGGTTTGTGGTCGTTGCCTTTCTGATTTCGCCTTCGTAACCATGTTCTGTAGGCAGCGATGCTGGCGACACCGAACTACAAAAGATTCACATTACACTGCGTATCACACGATCACCTGTCATCGGTGACAAGTTCTCATCTCGACATGGACAGAAGGGTGTTTGCTCACAGAAGTGGCCTGCAGTCGATATGCCGTTCAGCGAGAGTGGTATGCAACCTGATGTTATTATCAACCCTCATGCCTTCCCTAGTCGTATGACGATTGGCATGTTGGTCGAGAGTATGGCAGGCAAAGCTGGTGCTATGCATGGCCTTGCGCAAGACGCTACACCGTTTAAGTGCGTTTTCCATAAATAATCACTTGGAATGTAACTAAGTGATTGTGCTCAAGGTTTTCGGAAGAGGATACGGCTATCAACTATTTCGGGGAACAATTATTAGCTGCTGGCTACAATTACTACGGTAACGAACCGATGTACTCGGGAATAACAGGTCAAGAATTCGCCGCCGACATATACATCGGAGTCGTGTACTATCAGCGATTGCGCCACATGGTTCTTGACAAGTTCCAGGTCCGTACCACAGGTCCTGTCGATCCCGTAACCCGTCAACCCGTTAAAGTAATTTCTTTTCGATTGAGTGGCTCGTTGATCAGCTTACCAAAATCAAAATCAATAGGGTCGTAAACGTGCGGGCGGTATCCGCTTCGGTGAGATGGAACGCGATGCCCTGATTGCGCATGGAACGTCTTTCTTGCTTCAAGACAGATTGATGAATTGCTCAGACTACTCGACTGCGTGGGTATGTCGAACATGTGGGAGTTTGATCTCCTTAGGGTATGAGGACGTCACTTTGGGTGAAATGGTCGTTGGCGCATCAAAGACTCTGAAACCGTCAGGGCCTGGAGGTGAATATTGTCGAGTATGTAGAGCTGCGTCAGAAGAAGAGGACGAACGGGAACGGCAAGCGCTCGCCACCGGTCAGTACCTGCAACGGCCGCAGACGGACATCACCATCCCGATATCGTCGCAACATGTGCTCAATCGAGCGTCAAAAGGAGGTGACCTCGATGTTGTTGCAGTTCCCTATGTCTTCAGATACCTATGTGCAGAATTGGCATCTATGGGTATTGCTGTATCTTTAGAAGTCCGTTAGATCCGTTAAATCTTCTATTTTGCCCCCCTCGCCACGTTTGAGAATCATACACCAAACCAGTAGTGATTGCATCAACACATTACAATTATCTCAGTCAAGAACAAGTACTTAAAAAGAATGGAGGGGTTTGTAAGGAGGTACTCGAACAACGCGCTACTGCTGAGTAATACAATAAAACAAAGGAGTTCCAGATACGAACGAATCTTAGCAGGGGATATATAGGTATAGAGGAGTGGGAACGTTACGATGTTGTCCACCAAATTCCGGGGTAACGGAATGGCTTTGTGCAGATGGGAAGTCGTGGATCTTTGAAATTCCGGGGATAGAATTCATCTCTTGACAACATCATGTAGATGAGGAATCTTCTGGCTTCGAAGGGCGTTGACGTCGTGGGCGTGGTGGGACCTCAGAGACAGCACTTCCACCAAGTAGAAGTTCCACCAGGGAGGTTTCCAAAGAGGTTTCCTTGGCAGTAAAATGGGATTGCTTCACGAGAGAAGGCGATGGCGAAGGATACGGAACAACCATGGGTTTCGGCTCGCCAGCAACTCCAGACCTTGCTAGAAACATGTCGAAGATGATACGACACTCATCGGCAGTCGTAGCACTGGAAAGAAGACGATGCATGTCGCGAGCATCTGTGGCTGACAGCGCCTGAGAAGTGATAGTAGGGGTAGTCGCGGGGGGATCAGTGGTCATGACTGAGGGGGAAATCGCAGGGACGGGCTTTCGGGTGGGCGATGCTGGGTGCGAAGTAGTCCGTGAAGGTATAATGGGAAGGGTATCATTGGTAGGGACCACGCTATAACCATTTTTGGTATTCCCGTTGCCATTAACAGGGGAGGATAATGCCCGACTTAAGGGTTTTTCTTGTACTTCTTTATTCGTGTGGGGTATTGTTGGAACGGAGTTTGCCAGGTTGCCCTTGACGGCAGCGGCCTCCTGAGGAACGAATGGGGTGCGAGGAGATCCACCAGCGAAATTCTCGTCGAACGAACCTCGCGATGGAGAAGGAGAGGAAGGAGGCGAAATAGGGCGAGGTGGGCGAGGAGGTATCGGCCGATTAGCCAAGGAGGAGAGAGTAGCAGTGGAAGATTTGTGTTGCATGGGACTACGTTCAACGCCTTGCCTCCCTGTGCTGAGTTGTGCAGGTTTGAGTGGACTACTTGAGGATCCCTTAGCTTTCTCTGGATTACCTAGATTTAACTTTGAAATCATTCTTTGCAGCCGGCCCGCCTTAGGTTTAGAGTCGAGCGAAATAGCGCTGGAGTTGTAAAGGGGACTGGGGGGGCCCTGCGCAAGAAAATCGAGCAACTCTTTCCCCTCCTTCGATACGGGAGGCTCAGGGGGTCCTTCAGCTAAGAAGTCCATCAATTCTCGAGTTCGAGCTGAGACGGGATGCGTAGTTGTGGAACGTTTTGGGGAGACAGGTTGTCTGGGTTTTACCTTTGCTGAAGTAAAGCTGAGATCCTCTTCGTCGTCAGAACCTCCCATTACATCGTCAAGATCAAGGGATTCACGATTCTTCTGGATGATGCGAGTTCTTGAAGGAAAACCACTATCTTCTCGGCCGCGATGCATGAGATGCTCACGACTCTGAACCATCTTAGCGTTGGAAGACGGAGGCGGAGAAGCGACGGGTGGGAGGAATGAGGATGGGACGTTCCCGTTGGGTGAGCGGACGGGTGTTCTGGCTACGTTACGACTTCCAGCGCTTGCAGAAACCGAGCGAGTACGGTTTGGGACAGTGGAGGAGGAGGCACTTGGCGGAGTTGCAACACTGGCTTGGCGAATTCGATGGGTTCGGAATTGCTTTGGTGAGGAGCTTTCCTCGTCGTCCTCGACAATGGAGTCGACGTGGCGAAGAGAAGTTCCTTGGGGCGTATGAGAAGAAGGGGGCTCTGTTTCAGGTTTGAAGGACAGCGGCACAGGCCTCCGATTACTGCGTTGATCTTTTTCTTGTTTGTACACCTAGATAGGGAACAAAGTTACATCTGCTGACTCATCAATCATCCTAGGAACTCCGTACCTCCATTGTTTTGAGCCGGTCAGGAGTTAGGGACACCTTCATCGTTGATGTAGAACGCATCAAATCATCAAACTCTTGAAGCATGGCGACATCCTGAATAGACTCAGAACATAATACCAAGGCCTGACTCCTGTTTTACTCACCTCCGCAACATCATTCTCTTCAGGTCCTATTTGCCGCGAATTTTCGCTCATCACAGATTCCGATTTCTTGTGCCTATTCTGGCTCCCATCTCTTTCAAGCGATGCCTTGCTGTTCGATACAAACATCCTCATGGCTCTTGTTTTGTCAAACGACGATCTCGAACCAACAGTGGAAGCGGTGACGGTGGTTGTCATGACAGAACCTTCTGAAGATTGACGAGAACGCGAGCCAGTCAGAGAGTTAACCAGAGCCAGTTCGTGATGTGGAGAAGAAGTGCGAGAGCTGGAGGCTTTGTCAGTGCGTGAGAATGATTTACTTCGTCTTGATTTTGGGTTTTTAGAGAGTTGTTCAATCTGGTCATATACTTAACGAGTGGACATCGTCAGATAAATGGGGAGAAGTTGATAGCCGTTTCTCACCTTTCATGGCCCGAAACAGACAATATATGGAATCGTCTTCACACAAGGCAACGAATAAGTCGTTGACAGTTGCACTCGTTCGGCTGCTATCGCGCGCAGCGACGCGTCCCACGTTCGATAGAATATGCCTGTCACGCACAAAATTGAGTTAGGGGGAAAGAACGGAAGTCCAGGTCACATACTCGCAGGTCGCTCTGTTTATGCGTAATCAGAACTTGCCATAATGAAAGAAGAAAAAACATTGTGCTTACTCAAGGATGGCTGTCAAATATAGGGCTGCTGGAGCCACGAGGGCCGCCTTAGGCGGGGAAGCACCAGACCTTCCGAGGCGTTCATTGATATGAGTTTCAGTGCCTGGATCTTCGTCGGCTTCGTTCAATGTTGAAAATGCCTCGCATTTGAGACGTAAGAGCTGTAACAGAGAATTCAAAGCTAGACGCAAAGTTTTACACAAAAAACGTACCTCGAAGGCCCACTGAAGGTTGAAAGTCCGAGAATCGTCTTCTCGCGGCGGCGTTATGCCTGCTGGCGCTGTACGCTCCCAATACGCCCTCAACTCAACCTCGGCTTCCAGTAGTGCTTCTTTCCCAAGACTCGTCGGAAGTAGGCTGAGTAGACTCGCTCTGAGCTTGTCCGTGGAAAGAGAGTGTGAGGCGCTAAGAATGTTGTAGAGAAACTCATCAAGGAGGACATTGATGGATTTCAGAGCCTCGATTTTGAGCTTTATAGGTCGAATGTCAGAGAGGATTACATCGGCAGAATGAGAGGAGATGTAGGAGGGACCTAAGTAGGGTGTTAGTCGACCTGTGGGGTTCGAGGGACAAGCTTACCGTTTCCCTCAGTGGAACCGGTCATTGTCGTCGCGTGCAACCAGGCTTCTTAAGAACGGGCCAAACGGTCGCCACCACAGTCCAAAATGATACGCCGAATATGGATGAATTTCTCACATCAACATAATTTGTCAAAAATTACTCTCCGACCTATGTAAGTAAGTACATCCTACATAAATTGTGTATCACTAAGATATTGGAGTGCCACAAAAATATTCGAGTATAATCGTTTACAGTGTACCCTCAGCCGCGTTGTTATGAAGATGCTCAATCGTGACATCCAACCCCTCTGCTTTTATGTCCTCTGTCAGCCCGATGGACACTGGAGGTGGCGTCGATACCTGTGTACCCTCCTCGGACTCCTCTTCCTCTTCATTATCCCATAGGGATAATCCTTCACTCAACATTTCAGAAATGGCAGCAGAATCCAACTTTTCGAGCGGCATGTCAACAGGTTCCGATAGGCTCGATGAATACCGCGTCGAACGCCTCGTCAAATATTCGTAAGTTTTGATTACTTCTTGATCCAAAACCCCATCACGTATCCTGCGACGAGTTGATCTCGCAGCTTTCTGTTTGTTCGGCCTCTGTGTTTCCACGCCAGCAATGTTTCGCAAAACCTAACGAAGCAATCAATAAAGGCTGACCTTCTAATAGATTCACCTTACCCATGGACCCAGCCTAGCGTGGCGGTCGTCTGGTATTGAAGCCTGTTGAACCTTCCTGGACAGTACCATGTATGACGGAAGTACTGGAGGAGCGGGAGGTAAAGGACCCTCCAGAATCGGAGCTGTTGGCCAACGGGGCGGTCTAGGCTTATCATTCTTATGCTCCGCTTGTATGTGCTTAAGAAGCTTAGCGGAACTGCGAAAGGCGTCCTCACATCCTAGTTAACGAAAAGGAAAGAAATGAGTCTCCGGGCACACACACAAGATCCCAGACCTACCCTCATATGCGCATTTCAGGAAACTAAGTGCGTGGTGCATCTCGACGTGGTTCTCTTCAACTCGGCATCGTCTGCCACAATTTCTCCACAAACAGGTGTATGGTTTAGGCTGCAACCTGGAGTCAATGTTGAACGAAAGACAACATAAAAATCGGTGGCACACTTTAGTATGATTTGAATCAGGAAAATGTGACTTGACATGGATAACGAGCCCCTCCACAGAGTTCATGACAACGTCGCAGCCACCCCACTTGCATGGAGCCTCCTGAACCCGAGAGCAAGCAAGATGCATCGCCTCCCTTTCCTCTTCATCTAAAGGAAAGTTTTGCTTCGGTAAGAGCACAAAGACGAATTCTCAAGTTGCTCACCGTGGGTCGTCCGTCCTTGAGAATCGAACGTAAAATCAAAATCTACACTCCCATATGCTTAAAATTTCTTTCAATTGACCTATCTATGAAGAAACACACCTTCCCCTGGCGTAGACGGGGCTAGAGACTGTGTCTGTGTTCTGTCCCTATTAGTTCTATATGTTTGAGAAGCCCTCGTAGCCTGCCGCTCTTTCTTCGCTTGTTTCGCTCTAAATCGTATCAAATATTCTGGTGCTGGTGGGATCAAGATATAGAACGGCTGTTTTCGCTGCTTGTCTTTGGTGTCTATTTGCTTTTTATTGTCAATAGTGGTCGACTCTGTCGTGTCTACTGTTGACTCATGGGCATCACCAGAGAGCACGATTGGGAGAGCGTCGTCGTCATTTGCTACATTCGCATACCCCGGAGTTGGAGATGACGAGGGTGACGGCAGAAATAGTGGATCATCCTTCTTTGGAGGTGGAGAGGATGATAATTCGACTCCGTGGTCAGAAAACGCATTGCGTGCAGGCGATGGTAGGTCGACAAGAGGTTTGCGAGCGGGAAGAGTGCTAGCAATCGAGAGGTCGCCAACGGTGGAAGCAGAAGGTGTCACAGTGGAAGGTTCCGCCATAGACTTCTGCTGAGTCAAGGGTATGTCAACAAGAACTTTGCGAGCGGATGAAATTGATGGGCCGGCTACCAGGAGGGTTCTGGTGGAAGTCGAGGAATGATCGACAAGATCTTGGGTCTGAGCAGCTGCGATGAGAGGGATGGACGGTTGCACAGCTTGCGCCGTCGATGTTGAGTCATTTTCAGAAATGGGCTGCGTGGTGCCAGTTGGGATGACGGCAATTGGAGTTTTGAGAGATACTGTAGCTTCATTAACTTCTGTCCCCTCCCACAATTTGTTCGGTGGAAGTAATGCTTGAGGGTTGTTGATCACTTCAATATTCTCACTTCCGCGAGGACGTAGCGTCGTAGAGGAAGGAGAGCTTGTTAAACCGTCCACACGTCCAGCTTGGCTAGTTGGAAGAGCGACGACAGTCGCCCCTTGAACCTTCTGTTCCGTGGCATGACGCTTGACTTCACGGTCTACCCCCAGACTGAGCAATGAACTGCTCTCTCGACCTCTCTTGCCAAGGGCAAACATAACATCCCTTGCGAGAGTTCTCTTGTCCGCGTGAGCTGGTGAACGCAGGCTTCCACCCGATGGGAGGGGGCGAGAGGTGTGAGGAGTTACCGAAACCTCAGAGGAAGATGGAGCTACGGGAACAACGCTTTCTTTGTTCCCTGGAGCTAAGTTATTGGGGGTCACCGGAATTGATGGAGGATTAGTTGCAGGAGTAAATATTTGTTTACGTTCTGGAAGCGACATGGGCCACTGGTGTGGAGAAAGCTTTTGTGGAGTTTGAAGGGGCGAATTGCCGCGAAGCAAAGAAATGAAATCGTTCACACTCAGAGAATAAGGGAGCTTGTCATGACCAGGGAAAACTATGGAAGTCGCAGATAGAGCGTCCTTAAAAATTCGAAGGTAGGGCGACATAGAAAGAATCCGGAATGTGCCAGGGTGCAATTCTACTTGGCAATTATGGATGTCCCTCTCCAACAGAGAGCGTTGGTTGGAATGCAACGGTGCGAAATAGGCCCGTGCGCTTTCTGATGCGGAAGTGGGAGTGGCCCCTGTCTTGGGCGCAAAGAGTGTTGAAGGGGGCAGAGCATCCTGCTGAATGGAGATGGTCATTCCTCGAGATCCTTCTCTGTCCACAACCTGCTGAGATGTCGGTTCAGAACCTGACTGAAGGGCGGTATTGATAGTTGATGGAAGGGGGGCAACTCGGTGGTTCGTATTGGCAGGCGGTGGAAGTTTATGTATTACAGAACCTTCGGGAGCCGGATTACTAGGAACAACGGTCTAAAACTGGTGTCAGCGGCGCGAAACAAATGTGAACAACTCGCATACCCTAATTGATTGACGAGTAGACGCAGTAGATGCAACCCGAGTCGCAGGAGCAATTCCTTTCCGCTCTCCTAATGCCCCAGCAAGACTTGAAGACTCTAAGGTTGGCTGCGTGAGGATATCGTCTGATAAAACAATTAATTCAAAAGGAGACAGACCATTATGCCGAACATGTGCAGGTCGATAGGCAGCGCTACTAGTGTTGCCTATGGCCGATGCATGGAACTGAAGTGAAAGTGCGGCTTGTGATAATGCTTTAGGCTGGGCTTGAGCCCGCGAATGAATTTCTTGAGGGGAAACCTGAACTCCGTGAACTCCTTGGGATAATGGAAATGGATTTGCGAGCTGGTGTGGTTGTGTTTGATGTATCCGCTGCCGATGAGGTTGTTTGTTGTTTTCACCATGACCATGATATTGTGGATGACCCAGATGAACTGTGGACTGCGTGCTCCATTGGTCTGGGTGAAGAAAGTGAGATTGGTTGGCTGCCTGGTTTCTCTGGCTTGACTGTGTCACCGAGCTTGCACCACTGCGGCTTGTTGTAGCCTGTGTCCAAGCAGGTTCATGCTGGTAACCTTGCGTTGGAGCATGAGGGTTGGAGGACTGGAGTACAAATGAGTGTCAAACATATGACAAGAAGACAATGATTTTCACAGCGTATTCATATTGAGAAACTTCTTCAATTCTTGATGAACTCGGCACATTAACGAATTGAGGAGCTGAGGCTTGAAAATTGGAAAATGGAGACGACTGCGTTGCTGGTGGCACAATGATCATCCTGTAGATAGGTGAGTTGAACACATTTTTGATTCAGATGCCCGAAACTACTCGCCCCTGCTCCTGTTGCTTCACTGCTTCCAGCATCCGCCTGTATACAGATATGGATTAGAAACGGGGAATGACAAAACGAACTAAGACCTACTTGGCTTCATCTCCTTGACGAACCTTATCCTCCAACTGTTGCATGAAAGCTTCATAATTTTGCTTTTTCTGATCTATCCTTTCTTCCCATTGGTCCAGCTGTGCCTTCAAGGCCGCGATTTGAGCCTTCCGGGCGTGATACTCCTCTGTATCAAGCATGGGAGGAGAGTTACTGCGGTTAACCGACATGATATAACATGGGCAAGTTGCACAGAAGGGTGAAGGCGCGTCGAAATAGCCTTGTAGATGGCGTTGTTCTAGAGAGAGGGTGAAGGCGCGTCGAGATTGTCACACAAATCGCAAAAATCGTGGGAAAACATATGTCTGTTCAACGTCTTCTTCACAAACTTCGCTCTACCCAAAGACGTTCATTTGCAGCCATTTCCACCAACTCCCCGCCACAGCCTGTAAATTATGTTAGTCCATATCAAATCTTTGACCGGAACGCGAAAAGGTTGCAAAAAGACCGTGCAGCCATTCGAGATGCCGGGGCGCGAAATAGAACCGTAGACTACATTCGTGAAGAGGTTGCAGAGAGGATGATGGAGAGATTTATGGTGATTTGAGGGCTCTTCGTTTAAATCATACGTCCTAACTTGCTTTTCTTCCTCCTGGTAGGATATAAAACGGAAATTTGACACCGTTGTCGACCTTGGATCCGGACCAGGGCACTTTTCTAAGCTACTGGAAACTGACAAAGTGAAGAAAAGCATCATGATTGATTCTAGTGGTACAAGTTTCTACAACATCTTTGGAAATTTACATCCTTATGCATTTGCCAGGTCGGCTTCTAAACCGTGATCCTGACTCTGAATTCGAAGGTAAGCTTGGATGTAGGATGATTCTCTCCTACTCAGGCGCGGCTTAGTTGAGGTCGAACGTATTGTTGGAGATGAGGAGAATTTGTTGACGATTATCGACCGCAATTCACAAGAGGCGGTTTTATCCTGCCTAAGCCTTCATTGGGTCAACGACCTTCCAGGTTAGCCTGGATCATGACGCTCCAGAATCTCCCACTCAAATCCATTTAGGAATTTTGGTGCAGATTCAAGAGGCCCTGCAGCCTGATGGGCTTTTTCTGGCTGCTATGTTTGGGGGCGAGACTCTCTTTGAACTCCGGTAGGCTTATGCTGTTTCCCCTTTCCTGGGTGCTAAAAGCTTCCTAGAACTTCACTTCAGCTCGCAGAAATTGAGCGCGAGGGTGGAATATCCCCTCATGTTTCGCCTATGACTGGTCGGGTTTCTTGCGTCAAACGTACCGAATAACTACTTAACAGGATAATAGATACCCGAGATATTTCGAATTTACTCGGGAGAGCAGGTTTTACCCTGCTTACGGTCGACACCGACGACGTCAAGATCGCCTATCCAAGTATGTGGGAGCTCATGGAAGATCTTCAGGATATGGGAGAAGCCAACGCCGTAATTGGGAGGTAAGTGACCCAGCGTATCAATCGGCCAACATGCTTTACCATAGGTTGTATATTTTAGGAGAAACCTCATACAACGCGATACTCTATCTGCCGCATCTGCTATTTATAAAGGTTTGTCAGACTCTCCAAAACGGGAGTCATTCTTTGAACCGTCCCAATCTATCAGAACTTCATGGTGAAAGTAATAGCATCCCAGCTACATTTCAGATTATTTATATGGTGTGTGATAAACCCCCCTCTTCGGATAACAAATTGAGGCTTTGCAGATTGGGTGGAAGCCCGCGCCTTCCCAACCGAAACCTCTCGACAGGGGAACTGGCAAAATGAACTTGAAGGATGTCTTGTAACACCCGGAATTTTTTTGAAATATATCCACACCTTCTGAACACCTTACGCCATTTTATCCGCCTTGGCACCCCCATTTTGAATCCTGAGATAGCTATGCATTGTTTTTGAATTATTGCAAGGTACGGCGTTGGACTCACCTTTTCAAACCCCAATCCTTATTACACTAGTGGAGTTTCTTTTGGCGAGCTTTGTCTCTGAGGTGATCGTAAGGAGGTTATTACCGTCGCATGAGCGCGTATCCCATTGTTCGTTAAAATAGACGGGCCCTTGGAGGGGCCATCCAACCTCGAAAATTTTTCAGAAGAAAAAGAAGGAAAAAAGGAAAAAGACAAAAATTAATAAATCAAACACGAGATAGTCAGCTTGCTTGAAGTCTTCCTCGCGGATGGACAACGTGAGTGCGGCTCTGTGGGAGGGCGAAGGAGAACTGTTCGTGCACACGCCAGTGGATCAGCATCAGAGGCTCAGCCGCGACGAAGACATAGGAGGTGGGGGAAAACCCGACAATTCAGAGTATTATCAGAACCTTCCAAAAGCTCCGTCCCAATAAGGTTCAACGACTGCCTAAAAGAGCCCATCTATGTTTTGTTTATGTTTCCCAACCTTTATATCAGTACATTATGTGATAGACGTTATGAATGAAGCTCCCAAATCCTTGACATCTGGGCAATGAAATTAACCTCATGTTTGCTACTTACCGCCCTCGTTCTAAAGGGCCGAGGTGGTATTTTCCATGGGTGCCCGACAACAAGTCGCAAAGTAATTGGGATTTAGATAACTGCAGTGAAAATAGTACCATTTCCCACTCTCTATCTGCTGAATGACCACCACCTTGGGTTGAGTATGACCTTGTGCACCAAGGTCAGGGTGTTCAATGTTCTTTTTCAACCGCCCTTGTTTTCTGCTCGTTGCCTTCAGCAACGAAGGTACCTTCTGCCTCAGTGATGGGAGGAATTGCTTCTGAAGTCGCGACGCTTTTTTTCCCTCCAGCATGAAATTTCCGTTGTGGTATAACGGCGTAGAATGCTTCCTCCCAGTCCCTAGTCTCCACCCACTTCACTAGGATTTCAAAAACTTGGTTGACGGTCAGAACCTTACGGGTGGGAAGCGATGACAAGTACCGCCCAATAGGGAGGCGAGCAATTCGAACGCCGGATTCGTTTGCTTTATTGAGGCAAAGATTCTAGTGAGAAAAAAATAAACAGGTAAGGCAAGGCACGCTGGTGACCTAAAAAGCGAGATCACTTTGTACCGGTTGTGATCACATATTCCACCGATGATATACGTCTCATCAGCTTTCAGCTCGGTTAATTCGTCCTCGGAGTCCGCTGTGAGGTAAACAACCTGTTGTCGGGTATCAACGTCCATCGATCCACCACTTCCGCCGACTGGCGCATGGTCTTGGGATTCAGCTGTAGGCCTTTCGACCTCGGAGGTGCTTGAGGAAGTGCTGGTGTATTCTATGGCTTTCTCGACAGAGTGGACAACGTCAGGCTGCTCTAGCCAAAGTCGGTCATAACCCTCCTGCCACCAATCGGCATTTTCCCAGCGTTTATAACTAGCTTCACCTATGGCTTCGAGCCGGTCGAAGGTACGTCCATTGAGGGACGTGAAAACCAGTGAAAACGGAAACGATGCCTGGCGGTTGGCACTGTAGGTGTAGGCCAGTTGTGAACAGAGGGACTTTATCTCCTAAAAAAACAAATAGGATTGATATGATTGGCGTCGGTGACATGCGTCAAGGTAGAAGGATGGAGGCAGGGACGGAAGGGGGGATAACACAAACCCACCTTTTCGCTCATCATGTCATCGAATCCAAGGTCAACGACGACTCTGCCACCGAACTGGACTCTGGCCTTCTTTTTTCGCCTATTGCTTTCTTCCGCATTGCCATCGTCCAGCTCCCCCGCGGCGCGTTTTGCTGCTTGACTGCGTTTCTTCTCTTTCTTGGCCTCCTTTTCGCGAGCGCGACGCTCTAGCTTGTTGGCAGCGAATCGCTCCGCCTTTGCAGCTTTTTTCAAAGCGCTTTTAGAGATCGCTTTCTGGGACTCCTGAGTACTCTCCACGGGGGTCGTGAGGTCGGTCTGCGAAAGGCTTGGTACCGATTGTTCGGCAATTTCAGTGCCGTTATCCATAGCGATCTCGTGCCTGGAGCAGCGTCACGCCTCTGGACTCTCCTCAGCAACTTGCTCGGGGTTTGAGATATCTCTAAGGTGCAGAAGAATATCTTTGAAAAGGTCACCGGTAGATGCCGACGCTCCTGAGATTGATTATTTGGAGCAGAGCTCGAATTGCTCGGGTCGTAACTTGGACAAGCATCCTTGGTCTCCTTGTCACAGTTGCATACTATTGCAAATCATACCTAGCTTCCCCTACACTGATCAAGACCGCCACTCCTCACCCCCACCCTTCGATCATGGCAGCAGCAACTACTCTCAAGTACCTCACCGTTCCCGCCATCGGTAAACATACCGCCACGGTTCTGTTCGTCCACGTACGAACATGTTTACCCGTCTGGGCCCATTGGACGCGTAGCTGACGAAATCTCGTCGCTCAGGGTTTAGGCGACACAGGACATGGCTGGAAGCCTGTCGCCGACATGTTCAAAGCCGACCCTGCTCTAGCTCACGTCAAGTGGATTCTTCCACATTCGTCAGTGCAGATTATTTGCCTCCTTAAATGCACGTTCTGACTTAGCCATATGATCTACTTCAATATATTACCCTCGATTCGACTTATTTTGCCTTGTGATCAACCAAGTACAGACCTACGCGAACAGTAAAAGCTAATATGGGCATCGAAATGCCTTCATGGTGTGTCTGAAGTTTTGGGTTCACCGGGTTTGTGCCCTTTCCGATTATTGGCATAGGTTCGACATATACTCATTTGGGTTCGACACCGATGAGGACGAGATGGGCATGCTTCAGTCTGCGCGCATGATCAGTGGGCTGATATCAGCAGAAGTCGATGGAGGGATTGACCCCCGACGCATTGTTCTTGGAGGCTTTAGTCAAGGCGGCGCAATGTCACTCCTGACGGGACTTACGGGGGAGCGAAAGCTAGCAGGAGTCGCCGTCCTAAGTGGCTGGTTGCCACTGCGAAATAAATTCAAGGCGGTAAATTTAAACTTTAGTATTTTCACTTGGGGTACATGCTAATTAGCGGTAAATCTAGATGGCTTCGCAGCACGCAGCCTCCATTCCTGTCTTTTGGGGTCATGGCGCAGCAGATCCTCTCGTCAAATATCAATTCTGTAAAGATTCGGCTGATTTCCTCACCCAGACCCTTGGAATGCCTCTTGCTCCTACAGGAGAATGCAAAGGACTGTCTTACAACATCTACGAGGGTATGGGCCACACGACAACCCAGAAGGAATTGGACGATCTCAGAGAGTGGATCAAGAAAGCCATCCCTGGCGAAGAAGCACAGTCTTGATTCATTAAGTGCCAGCAGATACTGTTAGATTATATCGTCATCCTTGATTCTTTCTTAGTGTCCGTCACGTTTTTACCCCCTCGTCCTTTTTCATACTTACTCGGTCGGCTGGCCCAAGATCATTTCCTGTTTTCACAGATATTTTATCCCTCCACCGTTGTACAACGCACATGCAAAAAAAGACTTTTACCTTATCACTCAGTACTAAAAGGAGGGAAGTTCCAATTAATGTATAATTCAGCCCAGGCTGTGCCCGACGCCAACGGCAATTACTCGAATGACCAGAAGGGAGAGCCATGGACAAGTCACAGGTGTGGGCTAGTGTGGGGTCGATCGCCGTACAAACCCGACATGACTGGTCCGAACTGGTCCAGCTTCTGATAAGGGGATATATCTTGTTGAGATCTGGGGAAGGGCTGACCCTTTATTTCAGGATGAAAAGGACGGGAGAGGGCAGCGTGGGTCCTCGAACTCAATCTTCTTAGTACACTGGATTCCTGTCAAGCCTGCAGGAGGATGCAAAAGGAATTGACGCAGGAAGGGGAGAGGCAAGCGTTAAGGAGCTGTAAACTCATGAATACTTTCAGACTTCATGAAAGCGAGGACGATCCGAGCTCTTCCCTGTTAACAGGCTGGTCAGAAACATTATATATAATATTAATAATTGACAAAATGAGGAAGTCGTCAAATCTGCGACAGCATTTGGCAGAGAAGTTCAGGTTGTTGTTGGTATATTGAATTTGAACTTGAAGGTCACTTCACCCATGAATTAGCGTACAATTGTGTTCATAATAAATAGATCGCACCACTTTGAAGCCAAGGCGAGCCATAGTTGCATTCATTGCTTAAAGTCTCGGTGGAGGCGTAGCTTGGTTCTCCGGAGAGAGGGTGGTCCAAGGGGTGGTCTCTGTAGGATTCGGGGTAAACGGCGCCAAACAGGAGCCGGTCCTTCTTGACATGCTTGATCATGGCATGGCGCACCCTGACGTATACCTTCACGGATTCACGAATTCTTGCTACGACCCTCCCAGTTGACTTACTCGTCAACTATGTCAAATCCACCAGCAATCCCCATCATTAAGAGCAATTCACCACCACCAGCTTATAGCGAGATCCCGCCCTCCTCCAGCGGATCCACCTCCTTCCCTGCACCAGCGCCTCTTTTCGCCCATCCTGGTCCATCACAACATTTTGGGCCCACACCTTTGAATCCCACCCAGATGCTTCTGCCTTATGCATATTACGGTGACCCTGCAGCTGCGGATCGACGTGCACGTTGGCGTTTTGCTGCGACATTGCTATGGGCTCTTGCTGCTTGGCTCGTGCTGGCCTTATTCGCTGGTGTGGAGTTGTGGGCTGAGGAGGGCTGGGGGAGGCAGAATGTGAAGGCTTGGGTCACGACGGGACTCAGAAATTGTGTTGTTGCCTGATGTCTTGTTATCGGTCATTTACAGGGTTTCTTCCAAGTCCCAGGATAATTCTGTTGTATTCACGGTGAGCCTCTCTCTTTGTCTATATCGAAACGCAAATGGAGCTGAGGGCATCTGTCTAGTTTATCATATACCAGCATTGGAAGAGTCGTTCTTTCCCGCTGGATAAGTTTAATCCAGAGAGTGAAATAGTGAAATGCGTTCAAAGGTTTCGACTATGAAGCCCGTGACAGTCTCGCTTATCGTTCATCTGTATCTTAAGAAGGATCCGAGCACCACCATGAATGCCCCTGGATATCATTTATCCATGTCGGTTGCAGTGTTCTTCTCGTCAACCTCAGGAGCTCTTGAAGATGTTTCCCTCCACATCGGAATGCTAGTAGTCCAACTACCGACTGGCTTATGGTGACTAGGTCAAGTACAACCCTTAGGCCACTTATCTTACTGCCTGTACCGAGGTTTGACACTTTGATCGTCTCTATATGCACGAGATTACTTTCTGGTGCCCGTGAATGCAAGATGGCCAGCATTGGCCACGCGTTATCTATGAGAATCAAGCATGATTTTTGTCCATCCAAAATAATTTTCGGAAATAATAATAACAGAAATGGTTTTCAACCCGTGTTCAGTCACATCGAGGCGCCCACCGCCTACACTTTTAAATTTGGTACGAAGTGTGTAATTCATTTTACATGTGGCAAATTTCTTTCACGTCACGCTTGTCTCCGTCCAACGTTATCCTCTACAACGACGACCACCTTTCCTTTGACTCTCACGCGCTTGAACTGCAATGATGACTCAAGGGGCTTACTCACGCCAGCTTCAATATCTACTTTCAGAACATGCTTGACCGAATACGATATGGCCAAAACGGGCGCAGGAGTGATGGAAGAAGTTTGCAAACAGTTGGCTTGAACGAGTGGCTAAGGAATAATGGAAAGGAGGGGACAAAGGATACGCTGGACAAAGAAAGGTGCGCCCATTGTGTATATTCCTTTCTTTTGCAGGAGATGACGATGATTGTCCAATAGGGAGGCAGCCGAGATGCCGTTCACGTGACATTTAAGGTTAGGTTTACAGTTGTTGAATGGCCTGTGCGTGGGAAATGGGTGCCGGGGGTGTTTGTGTGAAATTGTGATGAGATTTAGATGTGACACTCCAAACTCGGGACCGTCCGACTTCCTTCATCACATACCTCTCGATCGCACTTCCCCGACACAAGCCCTAACCCCCTTCCTCGTCGTCCACCACAGTGGCGAAGCGCACCTTCATATCATACTCGCATCGACTTACCGCTCATCTCCTCGCCCCCCCACATTTTTTTTTACCTCTTCATTAATCACGTCTCGTCCCACGCGTCGCCCTAGACCCACGTCCACTGCGCTTGCTGCGATTCACGCTCGAGCCACGCTTTACTTCTCCACACCGACGCTCAAGACCCCCCTTTACTGTTTCAACACCCCCGACACCACCCATCTCATTTGTTGGTTGATGTGCTAGGCGTTCTGTCCCCAACAAACTTTTCCAACATCACACACACACATCTGCCCACACTGGCTTCCTCCACCTTCCTGCAACATTCGTCCCATCCACTGGACGAGCACTTCATTAATAGGTCGCTCCTAGACTCCGTCGACGCACAGGCAGACGCAGAGCCCATTCATCCCACCTCTGATTCTGATCAGCCGGCGCCAGCATCTTACAGTTCAACTTCTGACTCATCTTCCGGTTCTCCATCCGTAGCATATCCGCTCTCTATGCATTCACAACACCAGCACCAGCCTCGTCCTGACTCCCCACACGAAAATAACACACAGAATATGCTTCACCATTTGCATTCCCAGGATTCATTGTACAGCATTCAAGCCTCTCAAACGGGGTTATACAACAACTCCAATCTGATGCATCACTCATCTGAATATCCCAACGACTTTGACCACGCAAAAATTCAGCAGCAACATAAACTTAATGGCTTTGCACCTAATAGTAACTATCGGGCTTCCTTCAGCTCTTTCCCAAACACAACCCGCACGCGACACCCAACCAATCAGTCATTCCTCAATCAAACATCTTTTCGCGATCTCCAGGCTCACTTTCCTACTTCTTCGGACGCTTTTCAAAATCAATTGACATCTCCTGTTCAAGCCCACATGCAAGCCTATGAATCTAGGGCTAGCTACGACTTTGGAAATGGTCAATCGGGGCTAGTCGGTGGCCCGAAATATCTTGTCGAACCGTATGGGCCTTCCTCAGCGATGGTGCAGCCCCACCATAACCCTATCAAGGCTGGTTCACAACAAGCTGCGTATGCCGCAGTCTCGCAGTACACGAACGGCGTCCATCTCTCCTCGCAAACTCCTTATGGTCCCCATGTGGCTACGAGTGGTCCTACATCGTCGAGTGCAGGAATAGGTATCAATGCTGGATCCGGGGTGTCATCGGGATCCGGAACCTTGAGCATGGGAAACGGCACGAATTCGTCGTCAAATTTAGAGGAAATTTCTACCATCTTCGTGGTCGGGTTTCCTGAAGATATGCAGGTACGTTACTAATTTTCTCTGTACCGCCTGGCTTTTTGACTGACTCGATTGTTCAAGGAACGGGAGTTCCAAAATATGTTCACGTTCTCGCCTGGGTTCGAGGCCGCGACTCTCAAGATTCCAAACAAAGAATATACTGCATATGGTGGCTTGGTTGGTTCTGGAACGGCCACTGCTGCGCTGCGATCCTTCCAGGGGTATAGTGGATCGAATGACCCCTATAATCTAGTCACAGTCAACCAAGGTGGTGTTGTTGTCGACGGTGGTAGGGACGGAACAATGACGTCCTGGCCCGCCACTGTACCTGGGGATGATGGCACGGGTGCGCACTTTTTGGGAGCAGCTTCAAATATGCCTCCCAGGAAGCAGATCATTGGGTTTGCAAAATTCAGGTCACGTGAAGAGGCCCTGGGAGCGAGAGATGTTCTCCAAGGTAGGAGGGTGGACATCGAGAAAGGTGCAGTGCTCAAGGCGGAGATGGCGAAAAAAAATCTACACACCAAGAGAGGCGTCGGTCCTGTTCCCGGGAGTGGAGCAAGCGCTGTCGGCGGGTCGACGACGACAGTAGGAAATAACTCATCCAACCCCACCTTGCAACACATCAACGGCACCACCTTGTCTGGTAGTGGTGCAGACCCGTACACTTCAGGTGATGAAGGCGCTCCTTCGATTGGGCTTGGGCAGGGTTTGGGTCGTTTAAGTTCCTGGCGTGACCATACGCAACCAGATGTCATCTCTCACTCAAATGGCCTTTTGAATGGCGGCGTCTCTGTTAAGGAGGAAGAAGACCGTAGAAGGGAACACATCTACAACGCCATGGGACTGGGACCTGGGTCTGGAACTCGTGGCCCTAGGGAACGTGCTGAAGAAGAAGAGCGCGAACGGCGAAGGCATGAAAATGAGAGGAAGTTGAGAAACAACAATTTCCTCGCCTTTGATGCTTTCCACGCTGTGCCAGCTGGCATCTCCAGACAGAATTCCAACCTCAACGGCGGGTCTTCCCTGCTTTATCCGACTGTAGAGGGAGGGTCGAGTATAGGGTCGAGCCCTCTCCTTGCCAACGCTTTTGCTGCGGCTCAAGGACCTCAGCCCCAGCCGGTTCAACCTGCTGATGATATTGTTGGACCCTGGGATCAAGTCCACAAGCCTGCGTCCACTAATATTGCCCCAGGCCGACCCAGCTCTTCTCAGCGCTCATCATCGCCGCCTTTACATGAGCTCTCTGATAACCGATATTCTCCTTTTGATGAGGATCATATTCAGCATTACGAACATGGTGTACATCAAGCAAGAGAGCATCGGGAACAACCCGAATCCAGCGCTTCTAGCGTTGGCTCGCATGGTGTCTTGCCTGGTAGTGAAGCACATCGCGAATCTGAAGCAGATCTCACCAGGGCCATCGGTGATTTGGTTTTGAGCACGAACAATGGAACAACATCGCCACAATTGCCTTCACCTGCGTCAGGTGCGAGCTCGGCTAGTGCGCGGAATGCGATTGATCAAAATCCACCGGTAAGTGGCTTCGATGTTGCAGCAGGTTGAGTTTACTAAATAGTCTTAAACTTAGATCAACACGTTGTATGTCGGCAATCTGCCAACCTCTCCAACCCCCATCGGTTTTCCACAGGATTACTTAGAAGAGAGTCTGCGTGAACTGTTTTCTTCGTGTCCGGGGTTTCGGAGGCTTTGTTTCCGACAGAAGAACAATGGGCCGATGTGTTTTGTTGAGGTACGTCTGATTTCCATGGATAATCCGGTCTATTGTCTTACGAATTGTTCAGTTCGAGGATGTCCAGTATGCTGCAAAGGCGCTAAACGACCTGTATGGGAACACTCTCAAGGGGCTCGTTAAGGGCGGAGGCATTCGGCTGTCATACAGCAAAAACCCGCTTGGCGTGCGGACTCCCACCGGCGCCAGCGGTTCTAACCTGCAACAACAGCCGCAGGTACCCAATGTGAAAAATTCACATCAAGGTAACACCGCACAAGCTTTTCATCCTGAGGCATTTCAGTCTCGGATCGAGGAACAGTCTCAGCAGCGACCAATCACTGCTATGCGTCGGGATGTCAGCACGGTGTCTTCTCCCCCAGCTACTGTTGGTTTGTCCTACAACAACACCTATTTGACATCTCCACCCCCACGATTTTACTCTTCGTCGCCGGGGACATCCAACGTCTTTGGGGGTACTTCAACCACCCTCACCAGTACCTCGAACGCCTTCGTTCCGCGTGGTGGTGGCATGAGCTTATACAGCTATAACCTGGCGACCTCAAACGGACATGCCTCATCAACGACGTTCGCTCCTTTTGGGATGTCAACCCCTCCCCCTTCTTTGATACCCGAGCAGAGTTCCAGCTCTGACGAACCTGCTTTACATTCATCTCAGCATTTCATACACCATCGCGCTTTGTCGCCCCCTGTCAGCAACAGTCTAGAGGCCGCTAGGGCCGGTTGATTTGGGGGGTTCAACCTCTCATCATAATTCGTCACCACATGCAAATCCTTTCCAACACGCAATCACGCAATCCTCACAAACCACGCAATGCCAAACCCTCAACTGCAATATATCTATGTACTAACCAACGACACAAACATTTACCCCCCTCCATCTTCCAATGCATATTCATTCGTAACATATTTCTTTCTGGCTCTATCTCTGTTGTTGTCTTTAGGACTTGCTGTTTGTCTTTTTATTTGCATTTTTATGTGATCCCCCACTCTAGTCGCAAGCACATTTGACTTATATAACCCTGCTACATTTCAATTCATAATTCCTGACGTACACCGAGCATCATTCATCCTTCTCCTCTTGGTCTCCCTTCGCCTCCATCCTGTTTTCTATCTTCCCAGATGTATCACCATCGTAGGCTTACTTACAACAATACCGATCACATATTCCGTTCCTCGACCAACTTGACGTCTCTTGCCAAGTCGTACATAGAGCATTAAATCTATGCAGAAGCATGCATAAGAGCATAAGCATACATAACATACATAGGCAAACCAAAAATTAAAGAGAGTTAACGGCAAGGTATGCTCTGTCTATGAATACCTAAGAAGTCGAAGAGTAGACGTCCGAAGAAAGGATGACCAAAGATGTGGACGCTATCCGGTATCACCATCTTTCACGTCAATATCAGTCGTCGTCGGCGACGAGGTTGGTGAAGCAACCACGAAACTTGCCGCACCGAACTTGACCTTGATCTTCTTTGGTGGGTCGTCTCCATTTTTGGTTCGTCCTGCAACCACCGAACCTTGTTTGACAGACCCAAGGTCTGGCTTTTTGGATTTACGCAAGCGATCCAAAAGCTCATCGTCGTCGTCGTCATTCCGCCGCCGTTTTTCGAGTGGTCTCAATGGCACGATAGTCATCGCAGGAGGTGAAGGAGATTGTGAACGAGCTCGAGGACGCACAAGAGCCTCGAGGAGGTTATCCTCCTCGTCTTCATCCTTAGCATTACGTGTGGGTGGTGGTCCTGAGGATGGAATCGTAGGCACTTGCCGATGTGCAAGTTTGGGGCTAGGAGGTGGGGTTTCTGAGGAAGGTGGTTGTGAACTCGAGCTTTGTGGTGGGACCACTTTGGAGGATGATTCGTCCTGGTTGGTGTCCTCTTCGTCATCGTAGTCTACAAGAGATCCGAGTATTGGTGTCCGCAGTGGTGGTCGATGCCCTTTGGTTCCAGTACCCACAGCAGGACGTCGTTTGCGCTTCAACCCGACGTTCATGGGCAGAGGAGACGAAACCCCAGTACCTCGCGACCATGGCTCCATGATCGGTATGGAAACCTCTTCTTCGTCATCGTCGGTATTGAAGTAATCTTCTTCTTCCGCATCAAGGGCGTGACGACCCTGGCCCGGCCAACTTCGAGCGTCAATAGGTCTGTCGGAGCTGGTTAGTACTATGATAAGCGCCAAGATAGTTGTTACGTGCTTGTCGGACTTCGGCTCTTCAGTTGGTAGCGGTTCGTTATTCATTTCCCAGCGACGAATAAAGAGATCGAATCTTTGTCCGCCCAGAGGTGTTGCCGCCAGCTTCCGAACCTCTTCCTCGTGCTTTGTCATACAGAACTTTATCATGTCCTTCATGTTTTCCTGGTTGGAAGTCAATTAACTCGAAGCGAGCTGAGTTACGTTACTTGCTAACCTTACGCATGCTGTCAAAATACTCCTGACATGAACAGCTCAGAAGGTTATCTCTTCGAGATTCTTGCAGCGTTAAATCCAGTATGGGCTTCAACACATCGTGCTTCATCATCTGTGCATGGGAGTTTGAGTTGTTTTGCTTCAACAGTTGTCGAAATATGCGGAATGAGGCTGTGAAGGAGAGTAATTATAGATACAACAACAACAGCGAGAGATGCGCACCGTGCCTAAGATGTTTGTCCTTGGCCTTGAGAAGGCTAGCCACACGCGACATTATATTAGATGACATGATGTAAAAATGACTTCGGAAGTGATGTTGTGAAATGCAGTTGTAAAGGAGATCACACAAGTAAACAAATCGATTCGTCTCCTCGCGAGAGAGAGGCAGGACATGTCCTGAATAAGAAGACGATTCAATGGCATCCAGATCATTCTGTTCATTTGCACAAACCTTTGACATTCCTCCACTCCGCAAGTTCATTCAGGGGTTTGAATAGAATGTGTATACATCCTTTATAGAAATAGTCCATGAATCTTTCCGTTCCTGGCTCATCCTTACGGATGGGGGGTTTCGGAGGTCCGGCCTAGAAAGTTGTACATTCAGCATTGAGGGAATAAATGAATTGAATAAAAAACAACCTCTGACGCGGCCATTGGGGGACTATCGGGCGGGACATCCAACCACGCCTTGAGTGCGTCCCCGACTTGACTTTGAATCGCCAAGTCGCGACACTGGGTCACAATCTTGCAGACCAACTCCAAAAGGGTCTCTGCTTTATCTGCGCCTTTCTTTCCAGCCAGACGCTCCTTTTCGATAGCCACTTCTTGCTTCAAAACATGCGTGCGCACTCCGTTCAAGTCGTGATCAATGAGAGCGGATAGCACCTCGCCCCCAGCACTAACCATGGACTTATTTTCTTGGTCTTTACCCGGAAGACCTAACGCCCATTGAGTGGCAAAAAGTATCCCTCGATCAACAAGCGTTCGGAACAATGCGAGGCGTGCAGGAAGTTGAACATTTTTCCCCATGATACACAGTTGCTGTATGAGAAGAATGACCTCTCGTCGGAGGGAGATATCATGTTCCTTCAAGTCATCAGGGGGTGAAAATGCATAGGACGCGGACCGTTTCGTGGCTGTTCGACCGTTCTGTGTCGGATGTACGCCATTCGCCGGCTTCTGATCAACATCCATGGACACAGCCTCCTTTTCCAAATTCTCATCATTTCCATTCAAACTTATTACCATATGTTGGGGCTGGGGCGGTTGTTGAGACCCTGACGGATGCGAATAAGGTCCCAGAGCTGGTGACTTTTTGGGAGGCGCTCCTGCCAACATCTCCTCGTCCACAAATAATCGAACAACCTCTCGAAGGAAGGCGTGGTCCTGTTGGACATGTTGTATTATGTCGATTTGGTTGAATATGATGCAGGAATTAAGAACGTTGAAGGTCGAATCATCGAGGGCTCGTGCGAGAACGACGTCTTTCAGGAACTGGAGGCGGTATGTGTGATGGATTTTGCGTTGGATAGCTATGTCACGAAGAGGGATAGGCTGGTGGAATTGGGATGTCTGATGTAGGAACTGGCGGTAATTAGCTTTGTGCGCTGGGAAATCAGGGTCGTCTACAAATTTCATGAGGAAAAGGTGGCACAAGGGTAAAAAAAGACAGACATTCAAGCATTCCAACGACACCAAAGAAAACGTCGTCCTCAAGGATGTGTTCATACATACCATGATCATTCATCATCACTGCCCACGTCCACTGTTAGCCCGAATTGAGATCGCGAAGTTAGCGACATACGAATAGTTTGCATAAGACTACACAATGCATGCAGGTTTTCCAGACTCTCCAAATCCTCGGCGGTGTTCATGACCTCAATTAGCGACTTGAGGTAACCCTGTGAGGATGAAGGAGAAAACAAGTCTTCTAATCAGCCAATTGTCCAGACACATAAAATTCCGTCGGACAGAACGAATATGTGTTAGGATGTTCACGACATCATGGGGACACAAAAGGGTGGTGGGGAGGCGGAGATTGACATGGACCTCGAAGAAGATGTAAACTCACCTCTTGCTGGATGTATTCACATATTCGTTCCTTCAGGTGTGCTGTGCGACTAAGTGATTTTATTGCTTTCTCAATTTCGCCGATAATGCCAAGTTGTGGTCGTGGAAGGCTCCCTGACCGAATGATGCTCGCCATCGTCAGGGATGGATCTGGCGAGCCATCATCTATCTCCATATTTAGAGGAATGAGATCCTCAGGTTAATAATTCTCACCGTTATTCATATGCCTTTGAACCTCCAGGATAAAGTTCCATACTTCTGAGCAACCCTCTGGGTCTTGAAAACTGAGGGCGTAGTCAACGCCATCGGGTTCCGTCCATACAATAAGAGTTTCTATAACAGACAATTAGTAAAATTCGAAAAGAGGGATCGGGAAGAATTCAAGAAAATGGGCATGGTAAGAGTTCTGCCTTTATTGGAACGGATAGAGTTGGTCGTGTGCAGGGGTCAAAGCGTTGAATGGGAGCCAAACGATAGACAAATTACCCACCTTGTTGCCTCTGATATACATCGTTTGAGCGAATGGCGGTAGATAAGATGATATCGTGGTAGTTGCGTTCCGAGCGTGCAATGAGGAGAGCTTCATTCGTATCTTCCTGAAACTGGCCAAAGCAAAATGCAGTTCCCTGGTCCATCCATCTAGAACCGATCAGCTCATAAACCTAGAAGAGTGGTCAGCATTTTGACAGAACTATGCATGATAGTATATGTGAAATACAGCATCCTCAACAAAGAGCGAAGGAACCACGAGATGGCTATCGCTCGAATAGTGATTTTCGAGCCATGGATGAGACAGAATTACATTGGTTTACTCACTTTGACGCGTTTCAGCTCATGATCACCCTCTGCTAGCCATTCATGTCCATCTTCTGTCACGACGCCTGCCTCCCCTACCCCCACAATCGTATCGGACGCATGCTCCAGCAACTCAATTTGGTCGTTGGCATGTTCTAGAGTAACCTCGCCCTCCTCCTTCACGACAGGTTCTAGTTCCGCCTGCCGACCGTTCTCTCCTCCGGAAACCATGCCTTTGTCAGTCGCTACTTCTGAAGATCCAACATTTTGTCCGCGCCTCTCTTCGGAACCAGTTGACGCCAAATGTAGTGTACTCGTAGGGGTAGATTCAAGGTGTGGTGGATCAGTGACACCAGTCTGCGTCGGGACCGAAGGCGTTGTCGTTGCGGAGTCTTGCCGTGGTGACTGTTCGTCAATGGTGGAACCAGCACCGGTTGTTGGGGAATCAGCAGCGACCGCAGAAGATGATTGGGAATTGCCGACGGCCACGCCGTTCATGGCCAGGATATAGAACGACCAGTAGACAAGATCAGAGCAAAAAATGAACACGAGAGGGGATCGTGGGTACTTTTACCGCCCAAATCAAGCGGTCCGACCGCTGTTGCTTCCGGTGACACCAGCCGCCTGTTGAACACCAATGGAGGGCGAAAAATGCAAGATAAATGTTCGGAGAATCAACGAAAAGCGTATAATGGACGTAATCTGGCAAACGGACACAAAATGAACGGCAACCGAGAATATTACATCCGTCATTCTTCGATATTCGCGTGCTAGGTACATTTCATTCCGCGCACACTGTCTCAACCAGTGCCTTCAACGACTGTGAAGTATAAAAAAGTTACCAGAAAGTCCATGATTTGCTTGCCAGCATGGCCCTAGGTGCTCTCAGGTGAGGATTACATAAGCGCTGAAAAATTCAAACCATGACACTTGTTTGGCAGAAGAGCTTCCGTTTTACCACCACCATGGAGCGGTCGACCACCATTTTCACCCTCGCCGCCGTTACTGTCGCAACAGGCCTCGTCGCCTATGCTGTCTACTTCGACTACAGGCGTAGGAACGATGCTGATTTCCGCAAGAAACTGAGTTGGTCTAATTTTTCTTTGTGCCACACCAGCCACCTAACACCACATCTCAGAAAAGGAAAAGAAACGTGTTGATAAGTCTCTGGCCCAGTCAAAACAAGCAGAGGCATCATCAAACGAAATCCCCGACGAGATCCTCCGAGAGGCCCTCCTGGAAGTCAAAAACGAGCCAGCTCCGCAAGGCTCCGAAGCAAAAGAGGCCTACTTCATGCATCAGGTTAGTATGGGAGAGCAGCTTGTTGCACAAGGTACGTTCTTCCCTTTTTCACGCATTTACACCAGCTTCATCCACTTCACAGGCCCCGCATTCCATCTGCCCTGCGCCCTTGCTTTCTTCAAGGCTCTGCGCGTCTACCCTTCGCCAGTTGAACTGATCAATATCTACGAAAAAACTGTCCCTCCACCTGTATTCAAGGTGTGTTTCACACTCAAACGTAGTCTTATGTCGCTAAATGTGTCTGTTCAGATCATAATGCAATTAACTAATCTAGACGTGAGTCCACCATCTTCGCCCGTCACACGAAGTCGCGATGCGGAGGAACACGTCGACGGGGATGTCAGTCCTACCAGAGGTCCACCCTCGGAAGCATCCTCGCAGGAGTGGGACAGGGTTACCGATCCTGGGTCTCAAACACCGGCATCGTCGTAAAGCGATTCCTCACCCTTGATTTACCTACGTAAGACGGCCGAAGCCTCGTCTGTCGTAGGACACTACACCATATTCACCCGCGTCTGCCTTGTTTTTTATCTTCACACACCCTTTGCACAACTGTTCTAATATACTTCTTCTCTGATCTATTCCCTCGCGATCTATCTCTTGTTCAGGTGACTTCTCGTGTTGAAGGTGAGCAAACTAAGATTTTAAGTCAAACTTGACGCTCAGTTCTTGTCATTGCATCATTGTAGGATACTATAAAGTGTTTCCTCCAAAATCTACAAATGTCTCTGTCACAACACGACCAGCAACTACAGGAACCGGTGTCCGCAGCGTACTTGTACTCAATAAGGATGTTGCTGTTGGAGAAATCATTTACAAGGTTCGTCATCATGTTATGCAACTCCGAAAGGTCTCTCATCCAGAACAGGAATCCCCCGTCGTTGTTGCATTGGACGCAGATGTCCAAGCGGCTGGCACCCATTGCACTCACTGTTTCCGTCGCATTGAGTCAAATATGGCCATTCTGATTACAGCAGAAGAAAGCCTCTTCCCTGCCTCATATTGCTCTAAGCCTTGCCTCCTCGCTTCTAAACATCAGTCTCACAGCCTGCTCTTCACACTTGAAGCCCCAATCCCCGAGGAGATTGCCCCAGTCGGTCCCCCTCCAGCCTCTCACAACGCAGAACGCAAGGCAGCTCAAAGCAAATACGTGGAGTACGTCAAAAAGGAAGGTCGCTCTGGCCCGCTACTAGCTGCTCAGTTCATTGCGAGACAAGTGGTCGTTGAGACGCAAAAATTATTCGCTCACCGTGGGAAATATGGTCCAGTCGTTGAGAAGGACTTTACTGACGCTGAGGGTGGAGAATACTACCTGGCCGATCACATTGAGCGCCTCAGGTATCTGGAGGTTATCCCCAACGAAGAGGAATTACCTCTTTTAGCAGAGTTGCTGCATGCTACGCTCCCTGGCTTGGAACAATTCACAACGTCAGAAAGACATGCCACTCTTCTGGGAAAGATGGCTTATAATGCATTTGGCATTTGCTTTGCTGGTGGTCGTGATGACAAGGTTCGTTTCTCTCTCCAAGTTGGTTTTCCCATTTTTAACCATTGAACATCTTTGTCGTCGTAGCCTGCACCAACCGCTCGTCCTGAGGACGTTGAAAAGACCCGTACGCCTTACGGTACACAGCGTCAAATTGGGAGTGCTCTCTACACCGTCTCCTCCTACCTCACACACAGCTGCAGACCCACTGCACGTCCCTCATTCCCCACGGGGACAACAGAGCTTCACCTCATTGCCAACTGCGATTTGAAGAAAGGCGACGAGCTCACCGTCGCGTATGTTGATGTCACCCAACACCCCGACGAGTCGGTCGTAGAGTGTAGGAGAAGGAGACGTGTTGAGCTCGCCCGCGGCTGGAGGTTTGCGTGTCCATGTGAGCGTTGCGTGGAGGAGGGGAAGGAGATGTCGGTAGAGGAGAAGGACACTACTGCTGAGCAGCCAAAAGACGAGTCAAAGGTGGAAGCATCCGTCAAGCACCTTCAAGATGGAGCACGCCAAGAGGAAGATGTCGAGTGAGATTGGGGATTTAGGCAACGCTACATACATACAATATGCTCTGTATTATTTTAAAAAGTCTTTACAGTCTTCAATTGATACAACACCAGTCACTGATACAGAACATTCTCAGCGTCAATTTTGCGTGCCCTTGAAAAAAGAAACATAGACGCTGATTCGGCTCTTAATTTTCATGAAGCACGAAAATTTGCAAAGGGTATAATTCAAAAGCAAGGAAGCAAATCAAGCAAGCTGCAAGCAATACAAAGTCAAGCAATACAAAGGAGCGCACAACAACAGTCTATCTAAGGCCCCGAGTGCCTGTGCTGATAGACCACCTCTTGCACTGGAAGAGGCACGCCCAAGGCGAACATTCCCCTAGCAGCCCGGCACAAAAACGCCGTTTAGAGATGCATCTGTATGGGGAGTGGGGATGCTGCGTCGATCGGAGAAGTCGAGGCCATCGAGACGTCTTCTATCGGCGAAGTATCCTCCTTCGGAGATTAGCCAAACAAGTATGATTTTCCGGAGCCACGGTGTTCTCGAACGAGCGGACCAAGAGTCATGGAGGTGGCCAAACTTCCATAACGATTAATTCGCCCTTTCGAGGGGTCGCGGCGTCAGTGGAGGGCCAGACGTCTTCTATAGTAGGCGAAGTACCCTCCATCGGAGATTGGTCAAACAAGTTAGGTTTTCCGAGGCCGACGGTATTCTCGAACGAGCGGACCAAGAGTCATGGAGGTGGCCGAACTTCCATAACGATTAATTCGCCCTTTCGAGGTGTCGCGTCGTCCGTGGAGGCCCAGAACGTTATCCGATGTAGGAAAAGTTGTGACACGGGAAAGTGTTTGTGTGTCAGCGATGATCTGCGAGCAAAAGACTTCTACATGAAGCATCTACGAGTCCTGCCCGTCGGTGCGCCATATAGCAGCCTTTTGCTCGCAGATCACCGCTTGGGAAAGGTGGTTGGTAGATTGCACAACTGTTCCTACACCGGACTTCGTATTTTCAGTACAGAGGGGGGTAATCATAAAAAGTTGAATACTCACTAAAGCAGGGTTGGTCCACGCTTGCGCGCCGCCCAGGAGAGAGAAGATGCACTTACTGGGACGACGATGAAAAGGCGAAAGCACTTACTAGGACGATGATGAAAGGGTGAAGGCACTTACTGGAACGATGATGGAAAGGCGAAAGCACTTACTGGTCCGATGATGGAAAGGCGAAAGCACTTACTGGAACGATGATGGAAAGGTGAAACACCTACTGGCTATCATAGTTGCGCAGCGAAGCGAGAACCACAGAGGAGACAAGGGGCCCGAAGCCGGGAAACAGGCAAGCCAATCACGCGGAGCCTCCGAATAAACGCGAAAGTTCTTCTCCAAAGGCCTTAAGCTCGACGTCGAAGGCATCGATGTCACCGCGCAAGTCCTGGAAATCACCGTCGAGTTTGTCAAGACGAGCCGATACCTCGCCAAACTTGGCCAGGACGTCGTCAGCTTCCTTGACTGCTCGTTGTTTCTTGCTTGATCCCTCCTTCTTGGTTCGTTTCTTGCTCGCGTCTCGCTTAGAAATACCGATACGACGAGGCCGAGAAGGATCCACAGCCTTCGAAATATGAGGGACGCTAGCGTGATCGTCGTCGCACCCGATGTCTGGGATGTCCAGCGGTAAATCTAGCAAACGACCAGTGTCTTGCTTTGCAGTTCGTTTCTTGCTCGCGTCTCGCTTGGGAATACGACGAGGCCGAGAATGACTCTTGACTTTGGCCACAGCTTGCGGAGTATGAGGGACGGAAGCGCCATCGGTGGACGCGATGTCAAGCAATGCATCTAGCAAACTGTCCTGCCTTTCTTCCTCTTCCTCGGGTTCGGTAACATGCATGGAGGGGGCTGGCTTGCGAGGGGAGAGGAGGTGGGGACTGGGAATGGCGGGAGGGCCGAAGTAATCAACGAACTGGCCAATGTATTGGCGGGGTGTAGCATCGACATCGGAAGTGAACTAAAGAAGCCGTATTGATGAGTTGCACTTGAAGAAAAGAGAGGAGAAACGCACCGAGGACTCCCATGTTTCGATATCCTCTTCTTCACATGAGATAAGGACGAGTGGGACAACAGGCTGGCCGGCATTTTTCAGCAGCTGGGGGTGGAGCGCGTTGAAGGATGAATATAAGAATTTAAAAAAGGAGGTATGTCAATGTTGGCTCACCTTTGCCATCTCTCTTCCAGCAGCACAGAGGACTCCATAGCGATCAGCCTGGCTGGATTGCTTGTGAAGCCTTCGAGCATTGATGGCTTCGAGCTCTTGGGTATGACGATAGGCGGCGATGACGTCCTGCAGATGAGATGAACGCTCAGCGTCCTTGACAAGATCGGCACCGTCGTCAGAGTCGGCCACGGAAACAGAGGTCATTGAGCCAGAGGTGGACAGGGGCTTCGGTTCCCACATCGATGCGTAGGAGGTCCGAGTGAAGACGGAGGTAGTAGAGGTTTGAGAGGTAACTCTGGGGCGCGTACCAGACGCGCGCACAGGAGTCACAGGAGCAGTGTAAATGTAAGCGGTGGTAGACATGATGATAAAAATTGTGATATGTGGTGATGGTATGCGGTAAAGGTTATAGGTAAAGAGTCGACTGTGAGGGTTGCCGTATTTATAGCATGTAAAGAGGGGCAAGAGGTGAGACAGGGGTTTTTTTTGGCGATTTTGCGTGAAATGAACGGGAGCTTTGGAAGGTCCTATGTGGTATCTTTGACGTGATTTTCGCGTTTACAACGGCCAACATCAAGCGGAGAGAATTTGGGAGCTTCTCAGAGTAAATCATGGTTTGGAAAGTATATGGACGCGTTATTTGGCAACCACAGCAAAAGCAAACAAACACATGGAATTACAAGGACAGTAATTAGTACCGACTACAATCCAACTACAATCTGCTTCACATACATAATCACGAAGCCAAACTCCTCCACATCCCTGACGGAGGCAACTCGCTCCGTGCTTGCAGAATCTTCAAAGCCCGTTTCCGTCCCCTTCCTCCTGCATCCCCTTCTGTGTTACCTTGAGGCTCGCTTTCGCTCTCGCCATCTTCCTCTTCGTCCACTTCTTCATCTGCAAAATCCAAAGCTCCAGGGTCCATCGACCGTGATCGATCTCGCTCTGCATATGCGGCTTTGCGCATTGCTACCGAAGATGAAGCTTTGTGGGTGGTTGAAGAGGGCCCTGGTTCATTCTCGTCCGCTAGATTTGACTTCGGTACATAAGAAGCAAGACTCAGAACTTCTCGTTGTCGCGAACGATTGATGATATTTATTGGCACCGAACTGGGAATTTGTGGGAGGCTGGTGGGGAAGTCTGAAAAGATAAATGTCATTATCAAAATTATTGTTTATTTCAGAGGGACGACAAACCGTCATAGCCCTCATCCTCGTCCTCATCTTCGTCTTCACCTGGTGCACCCACTTCATTTGTTTCAGTTGACATTTCCTCGGTTTCGTACTCGCCCTCTTCCGGTATGTTATCGTGATTCAGGTGATCCTTAGAACCTTGACGACGAGTAAATGTTTGCCACGCCTTTCCATCCAGTTTCCATGCACCACGATGGCTTGGAATATCAGCCGCCACTAGTTTCAAAATCTCGGCGTCCCGAGCATCAGGGGCCTTCCCCTCTGCTACACGGCTAGGGCCCGCTCTTGGAACTGGAGCTAGGCGTGGCAGTGACATCATCATCGCTTGAGACGATGAGTCAACACCTGGTTGACTTCGTATGGGACGTATATGTGAAGGGGCTGGTAGTGAAGAAGGTCGAAGGGATGAAAATGATCCCGAAAGCCCATTCGCCTGTTGTCTCGATTTTCCTGGTCGTGATGGACGGAATACCGCGGGTTGTTCAATGAGTGGTAATGTGTGCCGCGATTTGGGCGATTGATCAACACCGTCAAGATCTTCCAGTTCAAAAATTATTTCTATTTATTTCGTGTCCATCAAAAGAATTTGGTTAAAGAAGAAGAATACGCACCTCGTGGGTCCTGTTCAGCCAATGCTTCTTGCTCCGCGTTCTCTGCACCCACCTCCCTCTTGATAGTGACGACATCAGGTTGAACATCGAAAGTGACCCTGCGGTTTCCCCTGCCTCGTCCACGTGGTCCTGCGGAACCCTCCCCAACTTGAGTTTCTGGTTGATCATTACGATTATTATTATCTGCAGATGTGGTAGGATTTTCAGACGTTTGCGAAGGGCCAGCTTGCTGATTGTTGCCCGTTGGGTTGGACGCCTGGCGCTCACGCCTGTGACGGGAAATATCTTCTTCGAGATTTACAAAGTAGCGGAAGCTTGCAGCAGTATTGATGGAATCGTTAATGTTTCTACGAAATTGCAGGACGTTGCTCCCTTCGGAACGTCCGGCTGATTGGACCAATGTCACTGATTCTGAGTGAGTGGACGACAGGGTTTGGCTCGATACCGAATTTGGGGAACCATTAGACTGAGGTGGCGGCGATCTGCTCTGATTAGCCTTCGGATAGTGGAACGACGTTGTTGCCAGAGAAGCTGACAGTGCTGAAACTCGAGGCCCAGGCGACAATGATACTCTCGCAGGATTAAGTACAGAGACGGGTTTGAAATCACGAATTGTCGTAGCTGGTGGACTTCCGACACCGTTTACTCCGAATTTGTGATTCTGGTCCTTGTGGTTTGTAGGAGATAGTGTTCGCTTGGAATTCCGTTCTTTTTGAACTTCGTTTATACTCCGTTTGAACTTCCACCAAAGAACTTCCACCTGCTGTCGCAGCTCGTTGTCGATACGCTCCATGTCGGCCACTTTTTCCCGCACTAGATCCGCAATTTGTTGCTCAGCAGCCACACGGTGAGCCTGAGATTCCTTCTCAGCTAATGATGCGAGATGGAGAAAGGTTTGATGTGACGGCGTAAAAGGCGGCGGGGGAAAGAGAGATGTGTGTGAAAGGTATGAAGGTGGAGGCTCTGGCGATGATGAGATAGTGCGCGACGGTGGACGCTCAGCATTCGTCTTGGGAGATGGTGGCCTTGAGGAAGGAGGAGGAAGTAAAACTGAAAATGCCGTTGAATAATTATGATGCGTTGTTGCTTGCGTTACTGCGGTGCCAACCTAAGTGTGCATCCAGGACGTCAGATATTGTTAGACTCGGTGATAGATTTCAATACAAGGATCGAAAGAACGCGACTTGGTCTGGTAGGACGTTTATTGGAGGGTAACAAATGATATCGCGCTTGCAGCAGACACCCTCTCGCTCGCCCATCGTTGCAGAAATGACCCTGAAAAGACTCACCAAACAATCCTTATGAATCTCAATCCATCCACTGGAGCTCTTCATGATCTCGCGCTCCACCCAATCATTCGCTGGCAACAATGGCCCATCCTCTCCTTCGATATCCGCTGAAGAGATTTGAGAGACGCGATAGACGTTCAGGTCACACAAGAGACAAATCAGAGTCGTAAATCGGGAACATCGCGATATTCCAGAGATAGGTGTCAGCGGTGTCTTGATTCTAATGGTGGCTTGTGGGTGTGCCTGGAGCGAGAAGAAGGGAGAAAAGGCGATGTTAAAGTGGAAGTGGAGGTAAAATCTATATAACATACCACTTGGATGCCCTCATCGCCGACAAAGACTTGCGCATACACTGGGTCGCTAGCGGAGTCTGGTGGTGCTGTGGTCGCAGGTTCCGCTTGCAGGCGGACGTTCAGACACCTGCACGCAAAAAGCTGTGGAGCTAAGGTGCTAGTCATGAGAGTGGCTCGAGGTCGCAAGCGTTGTACTCGAGGATACAAAGGCCAGCAAGCGCTTGTTGTTGTGCCAACGATGTTGTTGAGCAATTGTTCAGGTTCAAGGTTGAGTTGAAGCTAAGGAGCATCCGATGCGGATACCCGGACCTAAAGCTCTAGCCGTTGTAATACGGTGTCATATCAACCCTTTATGTACCTCATATATCACTCATTGCCACCGACCAGGCGCCGACCATCGCACTCAATCACACGCGTACCGAATTTCTAAACCTCAACTCGCTAGAACCATCGACTCAAAACGACTGTATTGCCTCCCAAGAACATGGAGCTAATTACAAGCATACAAAGTAATTACTTCACCTCCGTACCCCCAGGACTTCTGGCCGGGGTGCCTCTCTCGTGACATCTTGCCTAGACGCCACTATTTTCCCCGAGGAATTAAAGCTCGTGAGCATCTTCGCATTATCCAGTGTCACTTGTCTTTCTTGGACTCTACAACCGTGGCATGTACGTCTGCAGCCAGAACTTGGCCATATTCATTCACCCGCTTAGGATCAATGCGGTATATCCATCGCTTTAAAATCGGAATTAGATGGTAGTTGCAGTGTTTTAAGCAGTTCACGCACCTGATATAAGAAGATGAGGAATACTACGTCGTCCCTGTAAAGTTTCATCTGTTAGTAACCATACGCTGTCTGATTAGCCGGTGAAGATAAATTACCGGAAACAGGCCAAGCGATGCAAGAAAGGCATCTTGATGCAAAACCTAAAGGTAGTCAGAATGAAATTTCCCAACATAACAACGATCCTTACGCAAAGAAATCATCGACAACTGTTGAGAGTGTCTTGTATATCATGGCCTTCATTGGCATATGAGCAACACTCTGTGGTACCCGTAAGTATTCCAGCTCGTGAAGCGGAGAAGGTCACGAACCTTAAGCTTGTAGTTGATGATCAGCTGAGGGATAAGTTGCGCCTTGGGGTTGGTTAGTCTGTATGCTCTCCGTTCTCAGTCACGATGATGCTTACGAATCCAAACATGTACACAAAGGAAGTGAGCGTTGTTATCACGAAACTATACCATCCCTTGTGTGTCTTGTAAATCAACGAGTACACGGTATACGCCATAAGTGTCGGTATTGCCACCCAAGAGACGTAGCGGAACGCCAGTTTATCGTATCTATCACGGTGATGATTCAGCACGGAGTACCGTCAGTAGAGAAACGCGCCCACTCTTGTGTCTTCTTCTCATCCTCGCTGAGCACATGTTTATCTATGGTCAGGAGGAAATGAGCACAGCATCAACGTCTGGTCAGCGGGGTGTCATACCTTTGATATCAAGCTTATATGGTAGGAGTGAGCCCGCGGGTGAGGGAATCACACGAATATCTACGGCTTTAGTGATCTGGGGATGTGTTATTGCCACCGAAATCAACGGAGCACTCGTCATACCTTCCAGGCTTCGATCAAGACGCCCATGCCGGATCCCATAAGGATCATCCAACTTGTATTTTCGTTGTTGTCGATGAGATACAATAGGATCACAATTTGCACAAAGACGTTTGTGATAATCTAAATTTAAAAAAAAGCATTCAGTCAGTGATCGCGTCAAGATCTCATGACCGGCGACCTACAGTTCTGCGGGAGTAACATTAGAGGCGCCGGTTTCCGCGATAAGTGTGATCAACTCACCTGACAGAAACGCCAACCATCTCTTTTTTCTGTCGCCAATGTGAAACGTCCGATTTGAACGCCAACATCTCGAATCTGGATCAGTGTCCCGTGTTAGGTGTCCCGAACCTCCCGTGGTAGTGAAGCATTTACGCACAAAACATGCAACACACTGACAAGGGCCGTAACACCCAAAAACCAGGGATTAGTTTCCAGCAACATTCGTTTCACTTCGTCAAGCTCTGCACCACCGCCTCCTTGTTGTTTGGCGGCTTCGTTGAAACCGTGCGTCATGGATGCAAAAATCTGGAATTTGAAGAAAGTCATAGGTTGGAGCGTAATTTGTAATGGCAGTGAGGGCGTAGTGCTGTTGAGTTCGACATAATGCGACCGTAGATGCCAAAATTCGTTCGGAAAAACAATAGGTTTGTACCATCCCTTAGTGCCGGTCTCATCTCGCTGGTCAGGCACTAAGTAGACATCTAACAAAATACAGTCAGCCATGGTGCATATGAAAGGATGACAAAAGCCACTCACGTTCGAGAAGAGGAGGTGCAAGAGTACCGTACGGGAGAATTGCAGCGTCTGAAATGAGGGCCAAAGTCACATTCTACGAGACCGGTGAGAAATAGGCATTGACGTGCAAAAAAACGCCACGTACTCTATGCCAATGTGGAACGATAATTTCCGGCTGTTTGGGAAGATAGTCGGACAAATTACAAGATATCAACAATGCAAATGCTCACTTCTTCTATCTGATTTTCCTCAGTTTCTTCGGTTTTACTAAGTAAATTCTTTTCCTTGCGAGCTTTGAGCTTCGGAAGATACGGCGTCAGAACTGAAAATAGATGTTTAGCTCAACGCATGTCAGCTTGCAAAAGATACGGCATACGCTTTCGGACGTGATGGACATTAGAGGGATCATACGAAGGCGTTTGTGGGTCTGGATGAGCGCCATCTTTGGTGATGTATATGTCTGCCCACAGCGAACCGTTATTCAATACGCTCTACAAAATTAGTCGAAAGCTGGGGACAGATGGAGTGTTTTTCACCTCAGGGAATTTAACGTCTAACTCTGCAACCCGCGCTTCAGTGAAATCACCAAATGTAATGTTTTGCCAAACGAAGTGGGGCAAATCCTTCTCTGTCTTCGAATTCGACTGAATGAAGATGTCGTTGCTTTGCGAAGTTGAGAGATAGACGTGCATGTCTAATGCTTGACCTAGATGCCATGCTGAGAATGCTTGAACCGGAGGTAGATGCCAAGGGTTAACGGCAACCTTAGTGGTCGGTTCTCCCGGTTGCGTCGTTGGAACGGCAGTTGAGGGGGACGTCTGAGATGTGAAGAATTTTGTAACTAAAGCGCACGTTAAATACAGTAACAGTGAAAAATGCTATCACATACCAAGTTGTGATATTGTCCAGACCAATAGGACTTGCTGTTTATGCCGTTAGGTGGGTGGAGAACTCGAACTCTAATGAAACGCACCTGTCCAATTTTGAAGACTCGTTGTAATGTAGACTGTTCCGGCTCAGCATCACCCTGAGCAGCAGCAGCAGCAGCTCGTTGTTCGGGCATACTGGGAGGGTGAGAGGAGACTCGAAACTTGATATAACAGTGACACGCTGGCTTGAAGCTGAACGAATAATAATGCCATCACTCTGCTTTTCCACGACATCAACAAACGTGTGCTCATCCTAGTCTCGACACTGGCTGGCGTTTGAGTAAGTATGGAAACAATCGGTCAGAACAAGAACAATCGTTCAGAACAAGAAAAAGCGGTAGAACAAGAACAATCGGTCGTTGTGGCTTCACTATCCTCTGGACCTACATAGTACCTACATACGTGAGAGACGTGGATTGGGGTTTCTTTGGCCAAAACTATCTCTGTAATCATTTGGAATTCATTGACGCAAGTTATGTACCCCAGGGTCAAAATCTTAAGTGGTTCCTTGCAGCATGGGGCGAGAAATAGATTTCCAATCGCTTTGATCACTGCGGAATCTCACAGTAGACGCTGAGCGATTTCTCCATGGCTCTTATATCTTGAATGGTTGTTACGCAAAATCACAGTTGAAATATTATTGCCGTTATCAAGGTTCTTTTGTAATTCGTGACCACGTCACAAACCCTCTGCCCTGCTGTTTGTGTCCATCACGTGCACGTCCAAACCCTCTGCCCAAGCTGCTTTAATTTAGCCCGCCTTTTCCTGCTTTTTCCACCCACCAACTTCCGCACTTCAACCCAGTTCCAACCCTTATCGCCACTCCCATTGTAAGCCAGCCCTCTCCGCTGTCCGACGTTGAGCTCATTTCTTACCTCTCTGCAGACCACTCCTCCACCTCACCCCACATATCAACGTATGTTTCAGACGCGTTCTGACGCGTTATTTCTTTCTTATCGTTTGCTTCTAGATGCCTGAATCCCGTGAAGACTCTGTCTACCTTGCCAAACTCGCTGAGCAAGCTGAGCGTTATGAAGGTTATTATCATTGTTTCGTGTCGTGTGCTCAAGCTTATAGTACCGTCATTAGAGATGGTCGAGAACATGAAGCGTGTTGCTTCATCTGACCAGGAGCTGACTGTGGAGGAACGTAACTTGCTTTCCGTCGCCTACAAGAATGTTATTGGCGCTCGCCGCGCTTCGTGGAGAATTGTCTCGTCAATCGAGCAAAAGGAGGAGTCGAAGGGTAACGAGGCCCAGGTTTCAATGATCAAAGGTTACCGAGAGAAAATTGAGAGCGAGCTCGCAAAAATCTGCGAAGATATCCTTGACGTCCTTGACAAACATCTCATTCCTTCAGCCGCCTCAGGAGAGTCGAAGGTGTTTTATCACAAGATGTATGTTTTCACTCACTCCATCAAACGCGCCTGTTGTTCAACAAATGTTTTCGTAGGATGGGTGATTACCACCGATATCTTGCTGAGTTTGCCACTGGCGATAAGCGTAAAGACAGCGCTGATAAGTCACTGGAGGCATACAAGGCTGCTTCTGATGTTGCTGTGACCGAACTCCCACCCACACACCCCATTCGTCTCGGTCTCGCACTCAACTTCTCCGTGTTTTACTACGAGATCCTCAACAGCCCCGATCGCGCTTGCCATCTTGCCAAGCAGGCTTTCGATGATGCCATTGCCGAGCTCGACACATTGTCAGAAGAGAGCTACAAGGATTCCACCTTGATTATGCAACTGCTGAGAGATAACTTGACGCTATGGACTTCAGATATGCAAGACTCAGGTTCGCATTGAGTTTGAAATGCCTTATGTTCTAAACTTACATGTTGTCATTTTCAGCTGACAAACCTTCAGACGGCAAGGATGAGGCCGCTGAGGCGCCCGCAGACGATTAAATGCTTTTGGTCGTTTGGTTGCTTCCTTCCCTGCCTGGATGGCGCTCACGAGCGTCACCTGCTCCTCCATCATCGCATTGCAACATCCTTGTTCTGACATCATACATTCACACCTGATACATCAGAATTGTCCGAATTGCCGTCACTTTTTTATCAGTATCCCGTAGTTTAACTTTTTGTCATTGAATTCACGACTGCCTCGTACGCCTTGTTGTGAGAATTCTAAGATCACCTTATCTGAAGAGGCGCCCATCAGCGCTATTATCCGCTTGTAGATACTGGGCAACGTCCAAATGCTTTCATGCCTCCTTCACCCATCGTTGCGGTCTTAGGCATTACATCGTTGCTGGCGACATTGCTTTTTTATGTTGCCAGCTCAGATATCGCTCAACGGCTATCGCCACAAGGATGTCGAATGTCGTGGATGTCCCCTTCCTACGTACTCCAGAACAAGTTTGACACGGCATGGACTCCTCTGGCGCGGAGATATTCGCTGTGGCTATATCGTGAAGTGGGTTGGGATCCTGAGCAGGTGCGTTGGCCGCCCTTCCGAGGCTCACGGCGGTTGATATGAACTTTCTAGGTAGACCATCTAGCAAATAGCCTGCCTGTCCTCTTCATTCCAGGAAATGCGGGCTCGTCTCACCAAGTTCGCTCAATTGCATCTTCTGCAACGCGTCAGTTATGGCTTTCGCCTTACACCGTCGACGCGACTTTCAAGTCGCGTCCGCTGAAACCGCTTGATTTCTTTGCTGGTAAGCATGCGGCTGCCGTTTCACAAATTCTTCTACATTTAAGCAGTTTTTAGTTGAATTCAATGAGGATCTCTCTGCCTTCCATGGACCAACTCTTGAATCACAGATTGCATACACCACCAGTGCCGTGAGGTATATCCTTTCGTTGTATCCGCCGAATACGACTATAATCATAATGGGGCATTCTATGGGTGGAATCGTTGCAACATCTCTCCTTCCCTCCCCGGATATCTCAGCCATCATCACGATGTCAACACCTCACACCCTTCCTCCTGCTCGATTTGATTCTCGCATGGATAGAATTTACGAGAAGCTGCAAGGCATTCTCGCCAACGACCCGACTCCGATTTTGTCCCTGTGTGGCGGAGCTACGGATATGATGATCCCATCTGAAGCATGCATCCTTCCCTCACACAATTCCAGTACTTTCCGAAGCACTATTTTTACATCTGCCTTGGCAGGAGCTTGGACTGGAGTTGGTCATCGTGAGATGGTTTGGTGTCACCAGGTCCGTTGGCGAGTTGCCCGGGCTGCGCTGGAACTTGGGGGGTCAGATAATGCGGTAGGAAGAGCTGCTATTTTTGCCAAGTGGCTCGACGATGGCCGTTTTGTTCCCTCGATTCCCACCCAACGGCTAAAGTTGGACGCCGAAGATTCTGCCAACAAAGAAACGCTTCCTCTCGGCAAAAGGTTGGTGTTGAGAAACCCTCATCGTACAAAGACGTACCTTCTTCCTACTCCCCAAGGCAAACAGCATACCTTGACGGTCTTCGTTTCACAAGGCTCTATGTATGGTGTATCTCCTCAAAACCCGCTACCTCTTCAAGTTTCTATTTTCACCTGCGTGTCTCGCTCAGCGGATTTGGATTGTACAACTTTGAGACCCACTACCTTGAAGCTCATTCCGAACCCTATTCCTGGAAGGACCTTCCCTGCTCCTGACGAAGGATCAGATGAGTCTGAAGGTGTGGCCCTCTACGAAGTCGGTCTCTCTCCATCCGAGGATTCCAGTTCTTCACGCTGGATTAGTGTCCTAGTAGAAAATGGGGATGGGAACGGATGGGTTATCGCAGGTCTCGACAAGGGAATAACACTTTCTAACCCAGTTGGATTGTCAAGTTGGGACTTTCATTTTTCGTTTCTCGCTTCGTTACTAATGCTTTCCAAGGCCTACTATTCGGGGTTGAAACGCTGACCTTTCCCGTGAATGAAGCGCTGCGAACCTCCGTTACGTTTCCGAATCTTCTATCGAATGCTCTTGTGGCATACCGAATTACCCCTCTTTGGTCAAATCGCTCGGAATGCTTGGGTATGTCTTTTCAAGATTCGGGGATTTCAAAACGATAACGCCATTTCGCAGATTCGCTCTTCCCACCTCTCATTATACATACTTCAAATCCTACAGAAACTCATTATTTTACCCTGGCGAACCAGCGAGATCCAAGAGTAACACTCCACACTCATTTACCTGCTCCTTACATCACGCCACCCCAATTTCTCGCTCGTGGCGTCAACTTCACAGTATATTCGTCCGGCGATTCGGTATGCAATGAAGATTTCAAAGGGATAACCATTTCGGTTGACTGGTCTGCGACGTTGGGACGCTGGGGATCTCGATATATGACTACCCTGGTCTCGTGGGCTGTCGGTGTTGCTGCCTTGGTGGTGTTTTTCGCTTGGGGGGTAGGCGACTCAGGATGTATGACTTTCGTTCCTCTATCAGTCCATCTATTGACATTTATGACAATAGTACCAATACCAAATGTCTCTCAGTCTCTAACGGATTACGGGGGTTCGATGCTTCGTCTGCTGCTCTTGCCTTCTTTTCTGTTTTCTTTTGTTCCGCTTCCTGAGTCGTTTTATCTGGGAAACAAGGGAGAAGCTGCTTTCTCACCTCTAGCGCCCTTGGTCTTGGTTATCGCGAGTGGCCTTGTATGCGTAAGTTGGTGGATCTTGTCGTTTCTGGTCTTCGTTGTCAGCAAGTTTGGTAGCTATTTTCCCGACAGGTATGGATTTTAGTTGATGTAGCAATCTGTCACTGATTCTGCATCAGAGGCGGAGCGTATGCTAGCGTGCGCAGGAGCACGCTGGTGTCAATGCTTCTTATCTTCCTTTTAATATTCCTCTTCGTCCCTTGGCAAGTCGCGTTTCTTGGTAGTTGGATTCTTCATCTACACACCTGCGCATCGTCGGCTGCAACGATAAAATCACTACCGGATTCATCGGCTGCAATTCCTTTCATTCGCCGGTCTGACGATCGACCCCAGCAGAATGAAGAGCACACTGGAGAGAATCGAAGCCAACGGCTCCCTCTGGACGAACAAAAAAATATGCACCATCACAACATGCTTATTTTGTTGCTTATGACATGGCTGCTGCCCCTTGCTGCCCCAGCACTGGCAGTGTGGGTGCGAACCTTGGCTACGGCTGGTTTAACGACGCCGTTCGATGGCGACCATAACTTTCTTAATGCAGCGCCATTCCTAGTCATGGTAGACTTCGCCTCATGGACTCGAGGCCCACTATTCCAAAGGCAAAGGTATGTCGCGTCATTCAAGCTAGCTTATTTATTGTTTTAAAAAAAATTATCGCCTGGCTACCTAGATTCGAGGACCATATATCTGTGCGGTGGTCATTCGCGGCAATTTCTGCTGTGGCATTTTCGATTGGATCTCGACAGCCTTATAGTGTCTTTGATGCCTCCAGAATTGCCATTGGCCTCGTAGTCGCTGTTAGAATTGGAAAACGTTATTGGGGGGGCGCCTCCTGGAATGCAGCAAGTTACCAAATGCCAAGACTCAGATGATCATTCCGTGGTTGATCACGATCATGTTCGCGGAGTTTTGATCGCACAGCATGCGAGATCTAGGCCATCAAGAGTGGAACACACCATTACACTACACTCTACCACACTACCACTAAGTACTACATAAAATTCAGTCAAGATTTACGCATTCAAGGGGATTTCTAAGCTAGAGCTTTATGAACCATATTTTCTCCTTGGAGCGCTATAAATAATGTCACAGCTATCCGTTCACGCGATGTTGTCTGTTGGGCAAGATGTTTCGGTTGTGTATAGAACAGCGCTACTAGTAGCCTAGGCTTTCCATTGTAACATCAACTCAAGTAGGGATATATAATACGGTCGAGGGGCTACGTTACATTTGTTAACTTGCCGGCGGGGAGTGGCTGTCATCTCGCCCAGTAGGATTTGTGCGAGAGATCTTGTGAGATAAGTTCTTTTTTGGATATTCGAGCCACTTGTAGGTCATTGTATGCTGTTTTCGGAGGGTGCCTGTTGTCTATATAAAAGGAAGTGGCCCACGCAGAACCACTCTGGTGACCCTACTAAACATAACCTTGTCGATTTCAAACTCCGCTGCTCACTCTTGACACTTAGAACCTCTAGAAGACGAGGCCGAAACCCTCAAGAAATTCGGGGCCTTTCTTTTAAAATATGCACGGCAGTCCTCCTGCAACCTCTCCTCGCGGTACTCCTTCACGGAGGGGAAAATCTCCGCGATTCTCTTCCGAGGGCGGCTCACAGGCGGGTTCCAGCACCCTACCTTCCAACTTCTCAAATAAACCCCCCTCTACCTTCGTATCTTCGCTCGACATTCTCGTTGAAGGAACAATACCAATTGATGTTGAACCTACCATACAATCAGGTCCATCTGGCACCGACCCTGCTACGCCCCCAGAATCCCAGCGAGCGCCTCGAAAATCCAAGACAGAGGCTCTTGCAGCTCTCAATAGCCAAGCCAGGTCTTCCTCCGCCGGACCGGATGACTCAGAGAGTCTGGAGTATTTGATGGAGAGATATCGCAATGCACCGCCTATTCAAGCTCCCTCGATCTTCGACCTTTCTAGTGTCAAAACGTCCAGTCCGAGACGAAACATCGGCATTTCTCAGGCTCCTCGACCTTTTGGTTTGCAAGACTGCCCCGAATTCTTTCCAACGGCAGAAGAATTTAAGGATCCGATGAGTTATATTAGGTCTATCTCGGAACGTGCTGAACCATATGGCATCTGCAAAATCATCCCTCCCGAGAACTGGAAAATGCCCTTTGTGACAGATACAAAGGTTTGAATTTAGAGCTTAACTTCGTATTTCTCTGACAATATTGGCATTATGCTAGAGTTTCCGATTTAAGACTCGTCTCCAGCGACTAAATTCCATTGAAGCTTCCTCGCGAGCTAAATTGAATTTTTTGGAACAATTATACCGGTTTCATAAACAACAAGGCAATCCTCGTGTCCTAGTGCCGACCATCAATCACAAACCTCTAGATTTGTGGCTCTTAAGGAAAGAGGTGCAAAAAATGGGGGGTTATGATGCGGTAACATGTCTTATCATCCGGAATTTAACGATGTGTCTTACTATGGCTTCTGCAACACAGGTAACGAAAGGGAAAAAGTGGTCTGACTTGGGCCGTATTCTTGGATACCGTGGCATACCTGGTCTCTCAACGCAAATAAAAAATTCCTACACTCGCGTTATCCTCCCATTCGAACATTTTTGTGATCGCGCTCGGAATTCGCCAGCGATGTCGCCAATATTTGCGCGCGATGCACATCTGAGAACCCACACAAACATTCAGTCGCCGAGCAGATTATCGCGGCCAAGTGCAATTGTTAAGCTAAAGGACGAGGATACAAGTCCACCCGGGAGTCCACTGACCGCAACTTCTAGTCCCCTCTCAGAGCCTCCAGATGAATCTGATTTTAGGGATGCTAACGGGAATAAAGACCCTGGTCGGTCCCGTAGGAATACGAGAATGGGTTCTCAAGAACAACGTACGTCGCTCAGAAAAATCTTCAAATCGACATTATTGTTGATGCTTTCGCCTTCAAATAGCTCTCCGAAAGCCAATTTCGGGCGCGCTACTCCCATCCCCGGTTATACCCTCACCCATCTTTTATGATAAGGAGCAGCATGATAGCAGAATTGGTACTCCAGAGGTATGATCAACAGTCCTGGACAAGGATCCAAAGCCAACACAATTGATGACAAACAGCAAAACTGTGAAATTTGCCATAAGAAGAATCATGGAGATGAGATGTTGCTGTGTGACGGATGTGATTGTGGTATGTAAGAATAAATCTTTTGTTTTTTAACCTCACCATTTGTGACAGGTTTTCATACCTTTTGCCTTGACCCACCTCTTTCTAGCATTCCGAAAGAGCAATGGTTTTGTTTTACATGCCTATCAGGTACCGGAGGGGACTTTGGTTTCGACGAAGGCGAAGAACATAGTCTCTCAACCTTTCAGGCTCGGGATTTGGAATTCAGACGCATGTGGTTTGAGTCTCATCCACCCGCTCGAAACGCCCTTCCCTCAGCAAACGATACTGACATGATCGGCAACGTTCCAGTATCAGAATATGACGTCGAAGAGGAGTTCTGGCGTTTGGTTCAATCCCCCAATGAAACAGTTGAGATAGAGTATGGTGCAGATGTGCATTCGACAACTCATGGAAGGCAAGATAATTGAATGTTATCCTTTTTTTATGACTTGACGTAATTGCTAGTGCCATGCCGACGATGGAGACGCATCCACTCAATCCCTACTCCAAAGATCCGTGGAATTTAAACAATATTCCTATCTTGCCGGAATCACTGTTGCGATTTATTAAATCCGACATATCGGGAATGACGGTGCCTTGGACATATGTTGGCATGGCGTTCTCAACTTTTTGCTGGCACAACGAGGTACGAGATGCGCAAGAGCGCCAGCAAGCGTTTTGCTGAAATTGTTCCACAGGATCACTATACGTATAGCATTAACTTTAGTAAGTCGTTAACCATGCTTTTGGTAATGCCTCTGAGGGCCTGTTTTAGTGCACTGGGGTGAGACAAAGACTTGGTACGGTATTCCTGGAGATGACGCCGAGAAGTTTGAGGCTGCAATTAAATGCGAAGCCCCTGACCTATTTGAGGCACAACCTGATCTTCTCTTCCAACTCGTTACTCTAATGAACCCGCAACGTGTCACGGAGGCTGGAGTGCGAGTGTTTGCTTGTAACCAGAGGGCGGGGGAGTTTGTTGTTACATTCCCCAAAGCGTACCATGCAGGTTTCAACCATGGGGTACGATCTTTCAGTGAAGTCTCAGAATCGCTAAACTTGCTTTTTCTTAGCTGAACTTCAACGAAGCCGTGAATTTTGCACTTCCTGATTGGCTCCCGTATGCTCGTGCATGTGTACAAAGATATCGAGAACACCGAAAATTGCCTGTGTTTTCGCACGACGAACTTCTCATCACCATCACTCAGCAGTCTCAGTCCATCAAGACGGCGATGTGGTACGCCCTTTTGTGTTTCAACTACCTGAGCTGTTTTCAAAAGTCTTCGTAGGTTGATTGGCAGTCTAGAGGAGATGACTCAACGAGAGATGAACGACCGACGAAAGGCACGATGTCTTGGTCTCGCAGAAATATTAGAGGAGGAAGACAAGCCCGAGGATCAGTATCAGTGCAATATTTGCAAGGCTTTTTGCTACCTTTCGCAGGTCACATGCCAGTGCACGAGGAAAGTGGTATGTGTGGACCACGTCAGTCTTCTCTGCGAGAATCGCCCACCACATCATCAAACACTGCGCAAACGTTTCTCTGACGAGGAGCTTCTGGACATACAAGCCAAAGTTGCCGAACGTGCAGCCGTACCATCAACCTGGCGCGGAAAACTCTCCAAACTTTTGCTTGAGAATGCTACCCCACAGTTTCGCCTTCTTCGTGCTCTGCTCACGGAAGGAGACCGCATAAACTATCCCCTTCCCGAGTTGGCGAGTCTTCGCAAATGTGTTACAAGAGCTACCGAGTGGATGGATTCAGCCAATGCCTTTCTCATCCGTAAACAGAGCAGGAAACGTTCCCGCCGTTCGCGTGGACGTCCATCGGCCAACGATATACCTGCCGCTAACTCTGATGATCCAGGCGATAGACCTGATCAGGGTCTTGACGATCTCTATGCCCTAATTAGGGAAGTCAAAAACCTTGGATTTCAGTGCAATGAAATCGGTTCTCTAGACAAATTGGTCCAGGACTGCGAGAAAATGAAATCCGAGGCATCTGCTTTGCTCAGATCTACTCCACTGAACCGAGATGAATTTCTCCAGGAATGTAGACGACTTCTTATTCAAGGATCGTCGCTTAACGTTCTACTCGACGAGCTTATTGAAATAGAAAAGATCGTTGATCGAGAACAGTTAGTGACTGAACTCGAGCAGAAACTGGACGACGGCGCTGCTGTTTTGACGCTGGAGGAAGTTCGACATTTGCTAACCCGTGCACGATTGTGCAACTTGCCACAGGACAATAAACATGTACAGCTTCTTGAGGTTCGACAGAGGGAAGGTGATGATTGGGAAGGTCGCGCTAGAAATGTTCTTGAACAACCTATCAAGACTATTGCCGAGATGGACGACTTTGCAAATATGGACCCCAATATTCCTATTGATCCGACCGTTCTGGATCGACTTATGACTGCCCGCACTAAAGCGCTCGACTTTGATAAGCAGGCAAGAGCTTGGCTCTCCTGTGAAACCGATGGTCCTAAACCCAGGCTGACCGATGTACTGCGGCTGGCAAGCCGTGCAGAAAAGGACTTCAGCATATCTTCAATTCAACTTTTGAAGCAAACTGCCGATATTGCTGCGGACCTTGAAACCAGGTGTGAACAAGTTTTGAAGAACCATTACCACAGCGCAGATGAAGACATTTTCGAGACAATTGGGCAGTGGAAAGACTACGCCAAGGACCATTTAAAGATGTTCTCACTCCCCTGCTTTGAGAAGCTGGACGCGCAGCTGAAGCTGCATGAACAATGGCGACGAGAGCTGCCTTGGTATTGCCATGAGCACAAGGAGACGCATATCCAAGGGCTTCTCGAAGATGTCTTGGAATGTACACGACCTGACGACGATCTGCCGCCTACAGACGAATATTTCACCTGCATTTGCAATGCACCAGTCCGCCCTCCGCCCCCTGGGATTGTTTCTGATGCCGTGCAGTGTGACCACTGTTATGCTCGGTTCCATGGTGAATGCGCCAAAAACGGTGGGTCTTGCCCTTTTTGCGATCACCACCATTGGAACGGCACAATTCACAAACAAAGGAGCTGGCATTTCTGTTACTTGCCCAACATCCTAAACAATGCCCCAGAAATCACACGGCACTACTCGGAGGACTATAGACAACTGGAAATCATTGTCCACGGAGTGGACCGTCTATCTGCGGTTATTGGACAATTCCTGTCTTATACTTCACAACCTGCTAACCAACGTCCCGAATACATACCCCAAGTACGGCACTACATGCGCAAATTATACAAGATCCAATTCGCTGTATCGCCCAACCCTGATGTTTCTTTTGGTTTGGATCTGGCTGGTTTACATCGTATTCTAGCTGGTCGACCTCCTGTTGCAAAACCGAAGAAAAGGCGTAGGCCACGCTTCACCTTTGGGCAAGACATTGATCAGGATTGGGCGGATGGCACCCGGTGCATTTGCAGAGGGCGGACAGGTTATTTGCTAAACTATCCATCCGTTGAATGCGACCTCTGCGGGAAGCGGTACCATGCTGGCTGTGTCTTCTTCCCGCTGAAAGAAGGCTCATCTGAGCGACCAGTGTTCAGCTGTCCGTTGTGTTGTGTACGAAAGAATAAGACCTACGAGTATTCCGATGTTCGGGTTAAACCTACTGGTGCGTGTGATGACTGCCCAATTACGCGTGGTTAATAATCTCTTTTCCGTTTAGATGCCCTCTGCGAAGAGAGTCGTGACCCAGACATATATGTCAATACCGAAGACATGCTAGACACATTTAGCAAGGATCTCATGTTTAAGAGGCTTCTATTGCCATACAAGCCGACACTATTCGTGGAGCTGGTCTCATTTCAACCAGGCTCGGATGGCGTGGCTGCGCCGAATGCACCGGTACCACGGTCAATATCCACCATCGCCAACAACCATCCCGTTTCTAGATCGCATTCCGCCAATGCACCGCCACATCATGGCCACCCTTCACCACCAGCCGCGACGTCTTCGGTATCAACTTACTCTAATACCCTGCCACCCCCACCCTGGTCGCGGTGGGGTACTATGTCGACTCCCTCAATGCCTCCTGTGACACAACGTCGACAGACAGGCGAAACCTCCCGCTCGAGAGGCGGATCACCCCAGCCTTCCTCACGAAAGCGGAAGCACGTTGAAGAGGCTGCCATACAGGAGGATCACGGACGAGGTAGCTCCTCATCCTCATCCTCGATAATGCCGTCCTCGAAACGACGTGCGGGTCCCGCCTTGTCTCCCACTCCCATGTCATCGCCCTCACAGCAAGTGCAGACGCTTTCCCCATCTCTGGCTATGATTGTTTCGCCGACAAATCAGGCCGTGCAGACATCACCACGACACGTTCCACCATTAAGGAACGGCACTACTAATGGGTCTTCTCCCACCTCCCTACATTCTTTGATCGCTGGTGACCCTCGATAGTTCCGTCTTTTGTTTATTTGAATGTTATTTGCCTTTCGCTCTGTGTGCAATTAAAACTAATGCTGTTTATGCTGATTAAATAATATGGATCATTTGTACTGTGAATCATTTGCGGGACATGAACTTGTAGGTTGAATAACCACCAACGACGGCGAAAACTGCAAGACATGAGACGATGGAGATAAACCATGCATAACCCTTGGGATGATTAGGTTAGTTTAGAATGCAAGTGTGGTTAATACTTACTGGTACGTCCTGTCCTGGAACGTGAACGTTCATACCCCAAATACCCGTTACGAGATTCATAGGAATGAGCACGGTACCAAGGGCTGTCAATTTCGATAAAACGTCATTGATTTGATTGTTCGCGTCTGTCATTTCGATGGAGATTTGCGCGAGGTAGTTGGAGTGCGAGCGTGACAAAATTTTTTCATAGTGATTCAGATTTTGGGTCATCGTAATAAGATGGTCCTAGAAAAAGTTCAGCAAAAGGTAGAGGAATGGTAATTATAATTACCTGTATATCAGACAGATATAGACCCTGTGATGACTGTCAGTAAAGTTAACTCTGTATAACACTTGAGAACTGACAATATCCGACGTTGGTGCGACCCTCCAATTCTCGTTGCATCTCTTGGCCAGGCCTTTGACGACGTCGGCCTTGTTTCCCATGAGCCTTAAAAGTCCCATGACTTTTTTTCTGCATGTCCCGATGCGCCTCAACATGTCGCTCTGCTCCGCCTCTTTGAGTATCAGCACCAGTTCGTCAATGCTGTCGACCTCGTATTCAATGCCTTGTATCAAGGGACCAAAGGCGTCAGTAATGTCATCGATGAGGGCGTAGGAAATCCAATCCGATGTTACAGAGATGTAATCTTTCAGTTGCTTGATTCTGCGGCGAACGTTTTGCGGATGTGGGGTGGGACGGAAGTGGAACTGTGGAATCGGTCAGCAAGCGGAAAAAGTTAGTTGGGAAGAGCCGTACGGATAATATTCCTTCTCTAAAAACAATAATATACATGTTCAGAGGTTCTAAATGAGTTGGGCTGTAGGGGTCTTGATCAAAGCTGCGGAAACAGACGAGGTAGTAGTTGCGGAAGAGTTCGATCTTTTCACGCGTCTCTTCCATGAGAATATCTTCTGTTGTGAGTGGATGTATCGAAAACACCTTGGTGGTTGTTAGACATGACAGGATGTGAGACGGGCGACCTACCTTGCTGAGCATTTTCATCTCGTCGTCTGTGGGACTTTGGACGTCTAGCCACCAAGTGTTTCCGTCTGAATCGTTATCCCCATTCATGCCGTTCGTTTTGTTTTTATTCAGAGTCGTGGAGTTCGAAAAGAAAGAGGCTGGAGGAGGGCTAAAGGGCGGTGAAGTCGTTGGCCGGTCTTTTCCCCGGTCAGGGTCGTGCTGCTTGCCAGAAAATAAATCTTCAAACGTCTGGCCTTCTGCAGGCAGCTCGCTGAGACTCCGGGCGTGGATTGTGGCGGAGAGCGCATTGGAATAGAAAGAGAACCGATAGGGTCTGTCGTGTCCAGTATTGAGGATTCCCCCGCCTCCAACTCCCGATGGCATTCCCCCGATAGTATCATACGATAACCCACCACCTCCTTGCCCACCAAGTGTCAAGGCAAGACGTGCAGGGAGGGAATGAACTGCCTCGCCTGAGTTAGCCTCGAAGAGAGCCATTTTGCCGCCGATTCCCTTTCGGTGGACTCGTGGGTTTGGGTTGCTCTGACTGAGTTTGCGATGGCGCAGAGGGCGCAGATCAGATAACCCGCTTCCACTTGCACCTGGGTCGTCTTGGGATGGCTCCCCGCCTGCCGGAAATGTAAGACTGCCCCCACCTCGGAGCGCGGTCAAGGAAAACCGTGTTGTAGCTGGTGAATTGAGCCCTAGAACAGCTTTCTCGGTCGCTGCGAATTCTTCCATGCGCGCAAAGTCAAACTGGGCATGCGAAACGTTTGCTTGGTACGTTGGGAGACCATAAGAGGTAGAAGCGGGGTCTTCGAATTCATGGTGGGTTGTTGGCAGTAGGGAAGGATCGAGTGGTTGTTGAAGATGTAGTGATGGAGGAGATCTTTCAGAAGATGGTATTGGCTCATTGTGGCCGAACTCGACGTCCAAGGCATGGGTATTTTCGTCTACTTCTTCGATACCCTGTTCTGGTAAGGTAAACAGATCGGTGTTGGGATGTCCGGGTTCGTATGGGGATGCAGAAGTTGGTGTGACGAGGGAACTGGGTGGATGGAGGGTATCCCTCCGTGCTCTGGACAGCTGCATGGCCATGTCGACGTCCATAGTCCGCTGCCGCTCCCGAACCTCTGGATCATCGAGGTTGAATGACCTGATGACGGTAGGAGAGTGTCGTGCATGAGAAGGTATATCTGAGGGGTCACTCGGCGAAGAGCTTCGACGGGGCGGAGAGATGGAGATGGGTGAACTGGAGAAGGCAATATCCCGCGGAGGGGACGCCATGATGACCGTGACGGGGGAGCCTTGTGGCTTGCTTGACATCAATCTATCAGTTTGGCAAGTTCTGTCAATGTTATTCTTATTCAAGTCAGTCTTTGAAAGCCCTCGTTGTCTAATGGTTATGACGTCAGACTTCTACGGTGCGGGAGAAACCTAGTCACGTGACATCTGGAGGCTGTGAGTTCGAGTCTCACCGGGGGCTTTTTTTTGCTGGACACTTTGCTGAAATTTTAGGTTTTCAATCAGTCTAGCAAATGGATGCCATGTTGTAATGCTGAGAGCGGCATTACAGCTATTTGCAAAAATGATGGCAATAAAGCGAAAATAAAAATACATTACATCTATGACAGACTTTGTTAAAATTTGAGTGTTTTCGCAAAACATACAACCATTGTCCATATCTGAGAACATGAGCAGATATCATTGTCTACATTCAAGCCATAAATTGGTTTCCTGAATGTTATCTCAAACCCTCCACAACCCTATCTCCCTGTGGAATAGTGTTTAAAAGTCTGGTCTGGTCCTGTTTTTTGATGCCCCAGGGCTTTAATCATAACCATAACCAGTCTGCCTTTTTCCCAGAAGTCAAAAGCTCAGTGAGCACTGGGGCAACAACATACTCTAGCATTGCCTTTCACATGTCACTGATGGGATCTGGAGAACATTGATCTCTGCAGATTCTTCTATGGCAGGGCCTGAGCAATCTGCTTGAATATCAGAATCGGTATTGGTGCTTGGAGTTGGTTCTGGCAGAGTAGTATCACTCCTCGGAATCGGTTCTGGCAGAGTGATATCTTCCCGAGGAGGCTGTCCTTTGGAAGCTACATGGTCCAGCAGTTGTGTGTATTTTGCGACCTGGGGTTCGAGCTCCAGTGCTTCTTCATTGTCAAAAGCTGCTGCCATGTCCCCAACATCCTGTTCATGCTGCAATTCCTGAGTGAGCGAGGCCTGCCAGGTGCATGGGTCAGTAAAGGGAGACCACTGGAGGCTCTGCTGATTCAATGGTTGCTGGTCTGTGATAGCTTGTATAATATGGCTGGAAGGTTTCGCCACCTCGATGGCAGCAGCATTTTGGTTGTTGGTTGTTCCAGTGGCCCCCATCTTGGTCATAGAGTAGGTTCTGTCACTAGAGCAGTTGCTCCTCTCCTTTCGTGCCCAATATTGGTGGACCTTTACAATCTCTGCGAACAATGCTACCAATTTTTCCAGGGATTTCCTTGCATTGTCTCCCTCCCCAGGTCGAAAAGCTAGTCGGGTCTTTGGCTCTCATGGGTGGGGGATGGTGCCTGAAGCGATGCCAAACATGTGATTGGCATTTGATTTGCTGACTTTATAAGTTTGAGCTACGCTGTTAAAGTGTGACAGAAAGCCTTCCCATTCAGAGCTGAGTTTTTCGTCCAATTTTTGAATAGCTGGAACACCCTGTTATCTCATCGGTAAGAGCTCAAAAAGAGACAAAATGAAACACCAACATCAACAACACCCTTTACAGTCAACTTTTCCTTTCACTTTTCCAAGACAGGGTCGGTCCCAGTGGCTCTAACAACACATTCAATAGCTGTGTTCAAGAATGCATGTCAGATTGCATTTTGCTAGCAAGTAGATAAGATATCAGTAGCCAGCAATGGTAGAGTGAACCAACTTACCTCAAGCATTTCTCCAGGTCTACTTTCATTGGTTCCAGCAACCTCCCCCAATCTAATCCCAACAGTCGATATATTGTTCATGTTGTGAGAGTAGTGAGTATGAAAGACCCCAGTTGTACTATGGTTCATCATGTCTCTAGCCACCCTCTCCCCAAGTTGCAAACCATACTAGAATGTTTTCAAGTGAAGAATAGTTTTCAAGGTTGAATGTTGCTCACCATGTTTTCAGCATCTCTTCACCAACTTGTCACACCTGAGGTTGGAAGACCAGCTTGCTTGGTCCAATAAGACAATGCATGGGATAGAGATTGTGCTGTAGCTACTTGGTGAGGGACAACAAAGTTCCTCCCTCCCTCATCAGAGGCAAGAAACCTGCAAAGACATGGTATTCGGATGGCAAGTTGGTGAAATTGTTGCATACTCACAGAGGCTCCTCCTTCATCACTTGATCAAGGAGTAGTCCTGCACTATTATCATTGCATAATTCTGTAATGGTCTCATCTGCAAGTCAGCAATGATAATGGCATGTATATTTTGGTATTTACCTCATATTTTTTGGTGAAGGCACCTTGCAGAAAAAGATGGGCAATAAAGGCCACAGTCAGGTTGAATAAGATGTTATGTGCATGGAGAACACCTTCCAGGGTGTGGATTTGTTCATCACCATGGGTGGTGCTAATGGCCCCCTATAGATATGTTTTAGACTCTGCATGGACAAGTCCCCATGAAAGAACAAACCTTGAACTTGCCAAAAAAAATGGTGATGCTCCATGTGTTCTGGCTTCATCGAAACACCAGAACATGCTTGAGTTTTATGTACTGCAAGGCAAATTGTTAGTGGTTGGAATATGTGGAAAGAACGACTTGCATATCCCAAATCATGCCACTTCACATGGGTTGGTCCCTGGGTAGAGCCCTGTGCGGTGGTGTAAAATGTAATGCCGAGTTGGACCATGTTCTGAATGATAACTTGGTGACCAACATGTCGCGATGCTGAGAGCATGGTGTTAAGCACCAATGACAGATGCTCATGACCAAGATATTGGCGAGGTTTGAAATGTCGATCAAGCCTGTGCTTGTGCATGACTAGAAACAAATTTAAAACCTTAAAAAATGCAAGGATAAGCTGGATACATGCAACTTATGATAGACGACCTGATCTCACAAATAGTTGTACAAGCCAAATTTGGTGAGAAGGGTTTGGCCTGCTTTCTCCAATGTTCCAGGTTCAACAGTAAAGTTACTAATAACTATGATAAAAATCATGCAGAGGTTGTCGAGAGTTCTAGCCTTGATTGTTTTGCTGAATTTGTTTTTTGGTACAATGTTCTACAACTAGGCAGACTGTCAGTCATCACACAGATTGTGGATGGAGATGCATACCAGGTATGGGAGAAACAGTTTTGCATGCTCATAAACTACACTGAAGTGCCAAATGTTTCCTCAGACCAAGTTGGATTATACTGGCTGAACATGGCATTCCAGTGAGCAACAATGAGGGCTCTCTTAGCAAGGGTGGTTGGAGAAGTCCTGCTGGTGACTGAATCAGCAGACTCTTGGAGCGAAGCAAACAGGTGAGCATTGGATTCTTCGGAACCATCATAACCTGTTGCCAGCTGAACTCTAGCAAATTTCTCTTTTTGCTGTGCTGTCTTTCATGCAACATCTGGGAGTGCATTTCTGGTTGCAATTGGGGAGAAATCAGTAGAGCTGTGAGGGATATAAGTGGATTGCTGGGGAGGGGCTGAAATGATGAATCTTTGCTCATTTGAAATTTTGCGATTCAAATCAGAGGGATCATAGTGGTTGATGGAGTCAGCATGGATCTGGAAAGAATTGTCATTGTCGTTCATGGGAGCAGGGGGAGAAGAGTGACTTGTGTCACACACACTGCTTGTTACTTGACTATACTTTTGATGTTGCGAAAGAGAAAAAGCACCACTATTCTGAGTGACGATGCCACCACAAAAAAGCAAAAAAAGAAAGCTGACTCCTCCTGTGCCCAGTGCTTTAGTCACCCAAAGAATGTTGCCCACCTTGAAATTACTGTGATGACCAAGTTTATTCGAGCCAAGGAAGCTTTAGCTAGCACACAGTCAAAAGCATTGCCAGCAACCAAGTTTGAATCATAACTCTGATCTTTGGAGGCAGAGTTAGAATCTCTGCCTTGGAGTCTACTCTTCATTCTAAGTGTCGGCATACATTCAAGTTTGTCCATCTTCTACAACAAGAACTGCATCCACAGACCAGCAAGGGTTGACTACACCAATGTCGCAAGCTGCCCAACCACTTGGTATCAATCCCACATTGACAAGACAAATCACCATCAACCCAACCTTGGCAGGACAGCCTTTCCAACCATTCACCATTGACCTGACCTTGACAGGACAGGCTTTGTGTTCGTATAGATTTGGTGTGATGTAGCAGGCTTGTTGTTAGCACTAGAGACTAAGCATTTGTAATAACAAGTTTTGAAACAGCAATACAAGATGATCCAGCAATACAGGATGATCCTGTCCACCAATGACACAAATGAGCGACAGAGCAGCCAAAGTATCCCTTGATTCAAAGTTTGCAACTGTGTTTGAGCATGCTCTCAGTAAACCTTTCAGACTGACTTGTCGTTTGTGAGATGGGGTACTGAGCAAGAGTGTTACATGACTTCATTATTTTACAAAGAGGAAATAAACAATGGAGAGAATTTGTTCAAGAATGACTCAACATAATCAGAAACAACATCATCACCAGAAAAGGCATTGAGGAGGCCAACAAGGGTGGTGAATCCAGGCTCCATGCTAGTGATGTTGCAGGGTTGTTGTTCTATGTTTCCATCAGGCACTGGATGCAAGCCACATTAACTTGAGCCAAATTATTGTAAAGTAACAATGTCTGAAAAATTGTAAAATTATTGTGACTTTTTCTTGAAAAACAACAGTATTATCCAAAGAAAAATCACAATAATTTGGTTCAAGTGAATGTGGCTTGCATCCAGTGGGGGGTACAAAATGCACAAGGAGGGGGATGTGCAGCAAGCAGGGTTGAGAGCTGGAGAAAAGAGGATCTGTAGGTGGGAGGCTAATAGGTCAAGAAGTATATTGACACCAAACTGCAAATCATTAATAGTTGTATGTTTTGAATGAATGGCAGACTTGCCAAATGATAGAGCATCAAGAGATGCAAGTGAGCTGATATGAGTTTGCTATGTTGGCAAACAAAGTTTTTCCTAGCTTTTTGCATTTCAGCAATGGAGAGGTTGTTGATATCTTGCTGTTGGGAAAAAGTGAGTTGAGGTACTTGGTCTTCCATGTTTGATCCCTTGTTTCCTGTTCGAATGTGAATTTGAGTGTTTCAACAGTTCAGATGACATAGTTGATATAAGGATTGCTCAGCAAGTGCTTGGTATGGTTTGGATAAACTATATACCTGTAGGCAAGTGGTAGGGAGTAGTCGAAAGGTGCATATCTTTTCTCTTTGTTGAATACATGCATGCAAATAGTAATAGATGGGAGATGACAATGAGTTGTAAATGAGTTGCCCAATTTGGAGGAGGTTCTGTTGCATAGCTCATGATGAGCTTTTCAAATGCCATACCATACAAGTTTGCTTTTTTCTACATATCTTAAGAAACTATGTTAAAAATATGACCAATCATGTCCTAGCTAGCCAATCTGAAAGTACAAAGTTGGAATGGTCATTGTAGAACTGCAACCTGATAGATTTGCATTTTTTCAAGGTATGAATGGACACAGAGCTCAGTAATATTCTATGGAAACATTGTTAGAATAATAATATGGTAGGATATCCTCATCATCACTTTTTGGATCACTGGCTTGTATTGCAACATTGTGGCAGTGAACCTGTTGTTTAAGCCCCCTTCTCATTTGAATTTCAGCATGATGAGATGCCAACATCATGATATGTTGTTTTTGGTGATGACAGGAATCAGAAATGGTGTGTTTCTATATGTCTTTGAAGATTGAGTGCAAGCACTAGGGATGGAGCTGCCAAAGATGCAGCAAAGACTTGCTGCATTGGAGGGTCAAGGTAAGTTGCACATTCAGTTGTGTCTTGTTAGTCCAAAGCTGATCATCACCCAGTTTAAGGCGATGTGAGGGCATGCAGAGGCAGTTGGTGCCTGCATGGAATGTGGCCAGCACAAGTGGAACTCATCATGGTGGAGACACAATGCATCGGTTTTGACACCACACATCAAGCAACCTGCACCTGCCTGGAATGTCACTAGCACCAGTGAAACATATGGAGAGAACATGGTTTGGACAACTAATAATTCCCATTGGAGTTCATAGACAGTTTTTTTACAGACTAAGTAGTATCAATCAAGTTTTGCACCAGCTGTGTGAGTTCCTGACCACCTGTTACATAAGCGAGAGAGAGAGCAGCCAGATTGCTCTTTGATGCAATATGAATGTTGGCACAGATATACTTGAGGATGTTCTGAAAGCTTTCCAAGCAACCATTAAGACCTGGTTTTGTTGTTTGAGAGTGGACATCCCAAATCAGATCTAGAAGGATTGAAGAGCCAAACTGAAACAAGGTGAGAGAAAAAAGTGATGAATCGATAAGAAAAAAACCACCTTTTTGTACAAAAGAAGGAGGGTTTTTTGGGCTGTGATCATTCATTGGTGGGCTTGGACGAAATGGTTGGTTTGCTGAATGAGTTTGTCTAATTCTTCTTTGGCTTTCAATGCATGGGCTTTGTTATTGAAAAGTTGTTTGTGGTCAACTTTTTGCAAAGGTCATCAATAGTTTTCTGGGTTTTTGGATCAAGCAATGCATAGAGTTTGGCCAAATGTCTTTTTTCATTTCTTGGCCACCTGGCTGTTGTTCAAGCAAGTTCCAGATGAGCATGAATTTGAGGGTTTCAACTGACCAGATGACATAATCAAGATAGCACTGCATGGCATTCTCAGGACCCTGGGTGGTCAAGAACTAGAAATGGGGAGGGGTTATTTACTTGACTAAGATATATTGGATGGGTTTGCTTGCCAAATCACAATGTATAAATTGTCTTGGACTGATTAAGTGTCATGTTTAGCAGACATTGTACATATGGAGGTGAGGGAGGGCATGGGTCCCACAAAGCCAGAGAATACATCCAAGGGGGTGCCGGCATCGAAAAAAAAGACCTGGGGTCAATTTTTTTGTTAAGGCAACATTGAGGTGGACTAACTAACTAATGTGATCAGGCACATGTCTAAATATAGCAATATGACATCATCTACATGAGAGCTTCCCCCATGTGAGGTGGGGTGCAGCAGGCAGGGTCAAGACCTGAAGAAAAGAGGATTTGTAGGGGGGAAGAATGTCCCAAAATAGGATAAGGAGTATATTAACACCAAACTGTAAATCATTGATGGTTATGTGTATTAGAAAAATGGCAGACTTGCCAAGTGATAGAGCATCATGAGATGCAAGCAAGCTGACATGAGTTTGCTATGTTGGCAAACAAACTTTTCCCTAGCTTTTTGCATTTCAGCAATGGTGAGGCTTTTAATATCTTGCTGCTGAAAAAAAAGTGAGTTGAGGTACCCAGTTTTCCATGCTTCATCTCTTGTTCCCCATTTGAATGTGAATTTGAGTTTTTTGACAGTTTGGACAACATAAAGGATTTTTTAGCTAGTGCTTGGAATAATCTGGGTATCTATATACTTGTAAGCAAGTGGAAAGGAGTATTCAAAAGATGCATACTTTTTCTTCTTGTTGAATAAATGCATGAAAATAGTAATAGATGGGAGATGACAAGAAGTTGCCCAATTTGGAGGAGATTTTGTTGCATAGCTCATAATGAGCTTTTCAAATGTCATATCATACAAGTCTGCTTTTTTCTACATGTCTTAAGAAACCATGTTAAGAGTCCCAGCTAGTTAATCTGAAAGTACAAAGTTGGAATAGTCATTGTAGAACTGCAACCTGATAGATTTGGATTTTTTTCAAGATATAAATGGATGCAGGGCTCAGTAGTACTCTAAGGAAACATTGTTGGAATAATAAAAGGCATATGATAGGATATCCTCATTATCACTTTCTGGATCACTGGCTTGTATTGCAACATTGCAGCAGTGAACATGTTGTTTAGGCCCCCTTCTCATCTAAATTTCAGCATGATGAGATGCCAACATCATGATATATATGTTGTTTTTGGTGATGACAGAAATCAGAAATGGTGTGTTTCTATATGTCTTTGGTGATACAGAATTGGAAGGGAATGCCCAGAGGCCATAGTCAAACAGTGGTATATAGCTAGATTTGGATATCTTACATAATTAATTGATCTTTTGTCTTGAACTACCATCTTGTCAGCTGTGTTGCCTTCCTCTTGCACTACATGTAGTGCTTTGTATATCTGTACTTCCTACAGTATGCATAATCATGTTGGGCCAGCTGAGTATCTTGTAACTGCTCACTCCTCACTTATGGGTGTTGATCCTAGATCCACCCATTCTTGCCTCCTCCTTCCCTCTTGGCTTCAGCTAGGCAAGAAATTCAGAGTGAATGCTTCACAGTCTTTGAAGATCAAGTCCAAGCACTCAGGGTGGAGCTGCCAAAGATGCAGCAAAGACTTGCTGCATTGGAGAGTTGAGGCAAGTCGCACATTCAGTTGTGTCTTGTTAGTCCAAAGCTGATCATTGCCCAGTTCAAGGTGATGTGAGGACATGTGAGAGGCAGTTGGTGCCTGCATAGAATATGGCTAGCACAAGTGGAACTCGTCGTGGTGGAGACCCACTGGTTTCAACAGCACACATTGAGCAGCCTTAAATCTGCACCTGCCTGGAATGTCGCCAGCACCAGCAAGTTACATGGAGGGAACATGGTTTGGGTGACTGATGATTCCCATTGGAGTTCATAGACAGTTTCTTCACAGACTAAGTAGTATCAATCAAGTTTTGCATCAGCTGTGCAAGTTCCTGACCACCTGTTACACAAGTGAGTGAGAGAGCAGCAAGGTTGCTCTTCAATGTGATATGAATGTTGGCACAGATATACTTGAGGATGTTCTAAAAGCTTTGTGAGTGACCATTAAGACCAGATTTCATTGTCATTGCTCATAACTTTGACAAGGGGGTGGCGGAACATGGAAAATGTACCAACACTCACAAATTTTTTTCATGGATTTGGCTGACCTCCCCTCCTCCTCCTACTATATAAGGTATGTTTTTCTGTATTCCAATGTTTTATTGAAAGTTTTTTTTTGTTCTACGGTTCCGGCTTCTCGAAAAACTTGTACCTATCAACTCATGAACTTTCAAATCACAGTCAAAGATGCTCCGCATGCAAGCTTTGCACAGCAGAACATAAGAATTATTGAAAGCCATCATGGTGAGTTTTACAAGTGCTCTGATTACCTCCAACATTATCGTTGAAATTTCAGCTTCAACATTATTGTCAGAATTTCAGCTTAAATGGTCTCCAAGTTGGGCACTTGCAAGGCACTTGACAACGGCAATTTATTTGCATAGGTTTTTACACTGTCACCGGAATGACAAATGCACCCCCACTGCACCCTTACTCACCAAAACAATTTTTGAACTTGGAGAGGTCTAAGCCTTCAGCTGGTATCTTTCCCACATCCTGCAACCCCTTGAGACAAGGTCACTATTTTTTTTTCAGCATTTGGCCAGACCCCCCCTCCCAGCCAGTGTTCAGGATCCACATTCCGCCACCCCCTTGAACTTTGAGGTTCAATATCTGTGGAAAATGAATATAAATTTGAGAAAGGACATCCCAAATCAGATCTAGAAGGATTGAAGAGTGAAACCGAAACAATGTGAGAGAAAAAAGTGACAAATCGATAAGGAAAAGAAATACCTTTTTGTACAAAAGAAGAAGGCTGCAATCATTTGTTGGTGAGCTTGGATGAAATGGTTGTGATTTTCATTGTTTTGCTGAATGAGTTTGTCTAATTCTTCTTTGGCTTGCAATGCATGGGCTTTCATATTGAAAAGTCATTTCTGGTCAACTTTTTTGTGAAGGTTGTTGATTGTTTCCTGGGTTTTTGGATCAAGGGATGCATAGAGTTTTGGCCAAATGTCTTGTTTTCGTTTTTCAGACACCTGGCTGTTGTTCAAGCAAGTTTCAGATGAGCATGAATTTAAGGGTTTCAGCTAATCAGATGATATAATTGACATAGCACTGCATGGCAGTTTTTGGGACCTTGATTGGTCAAGAGCTAGAGATTGGGGGTTTATTTATTTGATTAAGATGGTTTGGATGGTTTTACTTGCGAAATCACAATGGTGTCACAAACCATTCTCATGACCCTCAACCACCCCTCTCCAACCTCACTTCTCAGACTCCAACACCGAACCAACACTGACCTTGTATTCTGGCAAACCAATGCCAAACACATATTTCCAACTCTGAGCATGACAACCCCAAATAGAACAAAACACTTATTGTTCTTTGCTTCACCAAGTCTCCTGTTCTCAGCCTTGGCAACTCTCTTCACAATAAACCTCAACCTCAACTCCATGTTTCCTAACTTATCATCTCTGTTCTCCATGATACTTTCCTCATGGTCCTTGTTCCCTCTATTGTTCTATCTTGTACCGAAGTTACCAATCCCTTCTCCTTTTTCACAGACTTTACACTCTCCAACTTGTATAATACTCCTCACATGTATCAAGTATCCTGATCCTTGATATTAAAGTTAACTTCTGTCTTATTCCTTTGTCCTCTTGTCTTAGTCTCTCATCTGCATTACTTTCACTGACTTGCCTCAGACTTCAACTCTGATGCTGAATCCACCTTACACTACAGTGGAGAGCAAAAAGAATGGACCATGGGTGATTTTCCGGTTCTTTCTAAATACATATTGTGGTCTAAATGTAGTTGTGTATTCTTTTACATTATGTAGTTGTATTACACTTCCCTTGATATGGACTAATTTGGGTGAAAGCTGGAGCTGTGATGAGGATTTTGTTCTGATGGCCATTTTCAGCACCTGTTAAAAAAAATATGCGCTAACTGGACAGTAAGCCAAAAGGTACCTCTAGTTAGCCTGAATGAGCCCACCAAAGAATCAGTTGAAAATACTGAGCAGTTATGTCTGTAGAGTCCATAGAAAATGACTTGTTTT